AGCAGTCTCTCTCTGGGGAGAAGAGCCGTGCCAACAAGTAGTGTTTCCTCTCTCTCAGGCGTGAGCCTAGCCCCTCTCGCAATAGTTGCTATGCGAGGTCGTAGCAAGTCATCGAATTCGGAGGGAGTATCAGCGGCGCGGTACTTCGTGTGGTACTTTTCGAGGTATATCCTTTGCCAGTCGGGATTGCCGGCGGGGATCGACCCATCGGAATCAGATGAATTGACCGGGTGTATCTTATCTGCCTTCCTCTTGTAAAGGGTATTGACTTACGCGCGGCAGGCGACATGGTTCCTCGATCGAAGGGTATTAGGTGGTCTCGTCTTGGGGAATCCTAGCTCTGGTATAACAAAGTCCGAAAAGGATATACGGTACTCAACTTCGTCGAAACAGGCAATGTCGGCTATGGTCTTCTGGCGGTGACGAGGATCCGTTAGATACCAGATCTGTAAGGCACCAAGATAAGGAGAGATCTTTTCGGCCGAAAAACTATCTACCCCGCAATTCGACTCCCCCGCATAATTCTTCTTCTCTTGTCGCCATGTTTTTGCATTTTCTTGCTTTCCGTGTGTTTTTGTTGTTTCTTCTTTAGTGATCATCGCATTTATGGTATTCGATGGTGCCATCAAGTGAACAGTCTCGGTGGACTCGGCCGCTGGGACAGAGGTAGGCATTAAGGCGGCTGCTGAATACCTGCTCAGGCTTTTAAACCAAAAGTCTCATATTCTTCGGGCCAGAGTTGGTCTTCATAGAAGGATCCCCCATTCCGTGGATGATATGCTTCAAAGCTGACGCGCTTCCTTCTGTCCTGGCTCGATATCGTGCAGATAACCCTCCCATCACCTTTCTCAGAGGTTTGCAGCAGTGCGTCTTTCGCCTATATCCTACTAAGTAGGAGATCGTTCGTGCAACCATCCCCGACCATAGTATGCGACTCAGTCACGATGTCACCGATATTAATCGGCAGATTCTCAATATAAGCACCAACTGCGAACTCACCGCCGTCGACAGGAACGAGCTTCAGCCTCGGCTTTAGCCGCATCTGCGCCTGCATGGATTGGGCGATGTCTCTGCGGATGATATTGACTGACGATCCAGTGTCGATACACGCCTTGACCACTTGTCCGCCGACGGAAACTGTCACAAATAGGAGGTCTCTGGAGTATTCACGGGGAGAAGACACGGGCGAGGTATCTGCTATCTGGGCATTCTGGTAGCTCACTTTCGCGGCCAGGTCTTTTGCATCGATAGGACTACCCGTCTCCCGATGATACTTAGCAATATCTCTTGCAATTTGGTTGATCTTGCCTTCCACTTCCTTCGAGAGAGAGACGTCTGCGAAGTTCGACTGAGTATGTGCTTGCGAGAGTACCTTATTGATGCGCTGGTTGATGACGTCTATGCTAACACCTTTGCCTATTCCAGCGCGTATCTTCGGAGCAGACCCGGCGAGCTCACCGATCGTAAGGGTGATCTCGGTTTCCCATATCTTTCGCATCACAATATCCGAAAGCTAAGATCTTCGCTGCGCAACATCTGGGTCAATAGGGCCGCGGACTCTTCTCGGAACCTGGCTGTGTGGCGGAGCAGCTTCCTGCTGAGGCCGTACAGTTTGAGTCTCTTCAGGCTGTCCGTCTTGCATCATATCGTCGTTATTGGCATCAGCAACATACGGTTGGAATCTGCTAGTCTGGGAGTTCCTTGTTCTGGCAATGTCCTGGTCTCTGCGGCGCTTTGCAGGACGACCTTCAATAGCGTTAACGGCACCGAATAGGATAATTGCTTCCTTATCCTCGCTTTCCTCGAGCTTCTCCCATACAGGCGCGGTACCAAGAAGCGTGGCAGTAACAGAGTGGACAGGTACATTCAGGTTCGTAAGATGAGTGGGAGCAGGAAGAGTGGCACGAGCGACATTACTGCTTGGCTGCACGGATACTCTGTACGACTCCTGCTTCTTCCAGTTATCATACTGCGCTTGGAAGGCTTCTTAGTTCAATTATCCTGGGATCACGCGCAGTCTCGGGCCTAGTTATTCAACAGTGCCTAAAACCATCTGATTCGCAGTATCATAGTGCATAATGCCACGGCCTTGCATATCGCGGATAGATGGACATTAATCTGGTCGAGAGAAGTGGGCACCTCCGCATGTCCAGCATTTTGCTGGAGGATTGGCGCCAAGGCCATTCGAAGGGTTTCTTCTATCAGGCTCGTACCGAACGTTATTCCTTATATCTCGGCTAGCCTGTAGCTTAAGAGTAAGTGCCTCCATCTGTGATTGCATTTCTCTGAGCTTCCTATCCTGTTCGTCCTGACGCTAGACCTGACTAGCGGTCGGTTGACGATTTTCCTGAGGCTTCGCAATAGCAGTAGGCGACTGCTGCGGGGGATGAAGTTGTTGGTCACGCTTAGGGTTGCTCGGAGAAGATTCGACAGTCGAAAGAATTCTCTGAATGTCGGTTTCCTCTCTGACATATAACCTGATTGCTGCATATGCCTCCGAATAAGTGATCAGTGTCCCTCTCGGTAACTGCTTGCGAGAATGCCTTCTGATAACCTTCTCCTTGAGCTGCTGCGGAAGTCCTTGGATAAGAAGGCTTGCTCTGTCCACATCGCTAACCTCGCCTTTCGAATAGATACGGCCAGAGATATCATCGAACTCATTGAGATACGAGCGGATATTGTCCTGCATTGTCCGCTTGATCTGTGCAAGGGATTGAAGGTATATCTTCGTGTACCTTTGCTGCTCGCTGTCGTCATCATAGAAGTGCTCCAAGAAGGCTTCCTTAAAGGTATCCCAGTCCTTTCTCAGCCAGGAGTCTTGTCTCTTCACCCAAGACTTGGTGACCTTCGCGCAGTACTGAGGCAATATGCCCATGATGTCTTCATCGCTTTTGACGCCGCATCTGAAACACGTATCCTGCAGCTTCTCCAGGAACTCGGAGACATCGGTCTCATCAAAGTATGGTGCTCCTGGGGATCCTGGAGCTGGCAATGCGGAGAAATGAGGCACTTGAACTGTGCAAGGATAAGGCATGGCCTGCACCCTGCTGGGCGGTTCGGCTGAGGACGATGGTGGCTGGTGCTCATGATCCGCACTGTCCGCATGATCATCACCACTTAGGGTCGATTCGGATCTTTCTGGTGCAGGTTCACGGTAATCTGTGAAGGTTGGAATACCCTCAGGGTCCGACAGCTCAGGAGCCATCACACCTTGTGTGCCGTGCGCTGTTACTTACTTGTGGAAAAGAGATGGCTTTTCGGCCGAAAAGAAATGCTGACTCTGTGCGCTTTGCTTTTGATCGTATCTCTTCAATAATTCTTCTTCTTCTTCCTTTTTTCTTGTCGAGGCCGCTTCCTCTTCTTGTAATTTATAATGCAGAATTGTTTGCATCAATATCATCTGTGTGGTGGAGTGCCATAGCCATCGGATACCCGGGTACCCCTGCTCGGCCACCGCATTCAATTGGATAGGCTGCATCTTCAGTAGTATCTGAAGCACCGCCGCATCTCCCGCATACCAGTCCGACAGCATTCCTCGTAGGAACTGGGTGTATTCAGGGGAGCACTGCATCTCGGCTAGTCACTCTCGGCTGTCCGCACCGAATGTATGCCGTTGCAATCGCTGGTGAATGTGGTCTCCCGCTTGAGGTCTCAGACAGTCTTGTAGTCTTCAGGGTCAAACGCGATCCCCACCCTTCAGGTGTGTGTTTCTTCGTATGGTGATGTGCCTTAACAAAAGAGCCTTCCCGGGGACGCCAATATGAAATGGGAACGGCTCGATGGCTGTCTGGCGATGCAGACTGGACAACACACACACACACTGCCTGTCTGGTGTAGAGGACGCTGGATGAGGCCGTGCTGATGCCCTGTTGCGTCCTTGCTGGATAATCTTAATGCTGCATCATGAATAGAAGAAATTGGGTGAATCCTGAATGAATTGGGTAGATGACTTGTCTCTCTCCAAGTGTGTCTGGAGATGTACTATGCACTGCAGACATTAAATCATGCCTGAGGCCACACATAGGCTCATTATGTCACCAGTTCTCCCACTACAATACATAATTTCTCCGCGCCTTTCCTAATTCGGACGTATAAAATTAATGATTCAGCTTATAAAAATACTGTTATTTATGGCTGTTCTAGTATCTATTTCTATTATTCCTTAATTATATACTAATATCTACGAAAGTTAAAGAAATTAGATTATAAATAGATAACTTATGTATCGTTACCTTAGTGTTCTGAAATTTAACTTAAATTATATAGTGGGTGGCTAGTTTTTAAGGGGTTTATAGAAAGTTAAGAGTTTTGTTACGGAAATATATATTAAAGGTAGAGTAAGAGTGCTATATTTATACGATAGTAAATATATCTTTTTTTTTAATACCAAAAATGCCCTAAATCGAAAGCTTTCTTCGGTTATAAATTAAATAGTGTAGTGGGAGAACTGGTGACATAATGAGCCTATGTGTGGCCTCAGGCATGATTTAATGTCTGCAGTGCATAGTACATCTCCAGACACACTTGGAGAGAGACAAGTCATCTACCCAATTCATTCAGGATTCACCCAATTTCTTCTATTCATGATGCAGCATTAAGATTATCCAGCAAGGACGCAACAGGGCATCAGCACGGCCTCATCCAGCGTCCTCTACACCAGACAGGCAGTGTGTGTGTGTGTGTTGTCCAGTCTGCATCGCCAGACAGCCATCGAGCCGTTCCCCTTTCACTATATAATTCTTTTTATTCTATACTCAGTACATACGACCATAGGGTGTGGAGAACAGGGCTTCCCGTCCGCTCAGCCGTACTTAAGCCACACGCCGGCAGGTTAGTAGTTGGGTGGGTGACCACCAGCGAATCTCTGCTGTTATATGTTTTATTTTTATTCCTGTTGAATCAGGTCGTTAGTGTCCTGACTGCTTTATTCCTCAGCCCCTTTAGGCCCCTTCACCTGAACGGCCGGAGGAGACGTGACTACGGCGTATCATTTATCAGTCTTAGTCAAACGAGGCAACCCTGTCAATTGCTACACAAGACTAGTGACATCATCTAGTCACATCCAGCTGGATTCATGTTCTTAAGAACCATTGTAGAAGGACAGAGGCAAGCCGGAAGGACAAGGCCCGGTGATGTTGTGAGCCTATGGGTGCTCGTCCCAGAACTGAGCCAAGAATTACACTTACCCTCTACTACCTGCTCTGCCTCCTCATGTCTCGTGGCCCCTCTTTTGCCGCTGTCCACGTCTTCTCCTAGGCGCCTTGCCTCTTGAGGCCTCCTGACCAGCCTGAGCTCCTCGGGGCTGAGCTGGACTGTGATCGATAGCCTCTGACTGCATCAATTGACTGGACAACTTGTTCATAATTCCCTGAATGAACTTTGCAGGTAAGCTCTGCCACGCTGTACCTGTGGTGATTTTTCGGCCAGTTGCAACATATTGCTGGGAAAAATACTGTCCATAAGTCCTGCGCATATTCATCCCGTGAATTAGGCCGGGGGCAGTAAGGATCGGTCTGGAAAAAGGCCTCCACAGCGCGGCGAACTCCTGCATCATCCATGGTAATGGTGGCACAGGCGTCGAAGTCCAGGAGCCACAGACTAATAGTCCTCTTCTTGTAATCCTGATTGGCTGTTGCGAGCTCATAGGTGCTGGAGCCAGGAGGGAGTTGTTCCACGTATTTGAGGGGCAGTATCCGACGCGCAGCATTTCGATCAAGAGGAGTGCTTCCTAACACAAATTCAACGTCCATAGCATCAATTTTAGAATGCCAATGCAAAACTGCAAGAGTATCAGCCATACTCCTTGCATATGCTTCAGCATCGAAATTAATCTCTTGAATTTGATCCAGATGGAGCTTATAGTTCCTAAGCGAGAAGAACATGCTGCCCCCTGGACGCGAGGATCCGAAGCGCCTTCGTCCCAAGAGGATTCGCACGAGACAGTCCTTGTTCTTTGGCTCTGCCTTTGCTGTCGCAGCATTTGTTGGGTTGCAGAACACATCAATCAGAGCATGCCTTATCATTTCAGGCAGAGGGAAGACTCGCTCCATGCATAAGATCTCCCGTGGTCCCCGCGGAACTGTCGATTCACTAGGAAATAAATCCAGGCTGTCATCCCAAAAGCTTGAATCTTTGTTCGCAAACCATGATACTCGAGGTACATCAACAAGACTCGCCGTTTCGCCCAGTGCGTCGAAGCTTTGCTGGATGAGGAGGTGCATAATGTAGTTGTTCCATAGCTTTGCGTGGCGGTCAACAAGCAACATTTTAAACGCCCACGGGGTTCCTGGCTGCTCAAAAACTTTGCCGATTGAGCCAGTTCCAATTTCTCTAAATGCCGCCCTAGTTCCAATAGCTGCTTGTCGACTCAGAGCAAATGATGAGGCAGTTGATAAGGCGGACTTGGTTGAAAGGAGGCGATGAAGGAGTTCTTGAGGGGTCTCAGCATCCTTGCTCAACTTTTCCTCGAGCTGAAGGTTTTGTTCCATATCCAAGACGAGAGAGCTAGTCCACGAGTCCATCGTGTTGTCGCTTTGCTGGGCTTCTCGTCGACTAGCCATGGTGGGCTCTAGTTCCAGGGCGGTCAGTTTCGAAACAGCCTCAAGCAAAGGTTGAGAAGACTCATACGAGAGGTAGAATTGAGGATCAATGGTGTCAGAATTCTAATCTCAGGATCAAATGCGCTTTTGGTGTCAAAGATGGGATTTGTAAACAAAGAAGAAGCAGTTCAGTACTCGTCAACACATGCATTTACTCCAGCCCGTGGGTCTGGGCTTCCGCCGGCAGGAACTACTGATTACATGACCCTGGACAGGTGTGACAGGTGGATCCGAAGACTTGTGAACATCAAAATTCAACACCCTAAACGAATACTGGATATAACACGGACCCATGCACCGAGTTGCTCAGTACGCAGATTTCATGATTCTGCCTTCGCCGCGCCATCAACATGAGGTGCCTTCTCCCGACGTCTTGATCCAAGAATAGTGGCTACTATGAGAGGCCTGAAAAGGTGCATTCTAGTATACAGAGTTTGAGATTTAATCCTCCTTTTTCACCCTCTTCTTTCCCTCCCTGTTCCACCAAGTCAATGAAGTGCCTTGACAGGATACGCCGTCTTTGCGCTGCTTGTGGCTCACTCACGCAGGCTTCACTAACCTGGATGTAGCGGTCTCGGAACACACTCCAGAGTGAAGGGGTTTTTTCTGGCCGGGGATAGTAGGGATCATTGCGCCAAAATGCAGCAGCAGCTTGTACTACTCCTTCTGAGTCCATTGTCATCCTCCTGCATAAATCAAAATCCAACACCCACATTGAATGCTCTCCAAAAATAGTAGACTTCATTTTGAAACCACTCTCGCTCGGAGGCGCCAGAACAAACTCGATATCGTTTCCATCAATTTTGCTGATCCAATGCATCATTGCGAGAGTTTCGGCCATCACTCTTGCGTACTGATTTATTTCGCTTGTGGTGACGCCGAGTGACTCCATTTGATCCAGATGGAGTGGGAAATTCCGTAAAGAGAACGCGGTGAATTTCGAGGTAGTATGAGACTTTCGTGTTCGTGTTCGGCCTAGGTATGGCCTGATGAGGCAGTCTCTGTCGGGCTCGCTGTTGAGGATTTGTCGTGTTATCTTTGGTGGGCAGTAGTTGCTAATGAGGAGTCGTCTTGTAATGTCAGGGAAGGGCGGAATGCGTTCGGAGAGGATGATATTGCATGGCGTGTACCCTGCTGGGAATTTTCGCTGATTCACCGACCACCATGTATAGTCGGTTGACTGAACAAAGTCATAGCAGGCTGGTATTTGGATTTGAAGGCGTAAATGGGTCGAAATATGAAAGCTTTGGAGCACTCGCCGGTGCATTTCAAAGTCGTTTCTCAAAGACCGGGCAGGCCCGCCATCTTCCCTTTTGAATGCGGGCCCTGTTGATGCAGCCCAGACTGTACCGCAAAAACCTTGCCCAATCTTGCGTAGTGTAAAGGTTTGCACTTCTTTGGTCTCTTCGATGCTGGTATCCATATTTCTCTGACGACTTTGTGATTTCAGAGAAGGGAGAAGTCAGTGAACAATTAGAAGAAAGGAGATCATATAATCATAACACGGGAAATCAGTAGCGCCGACTCCCAAAGCAGACTGGTAAGCCAACCAGGGATATGTCTAGATTGGGATCGGGGTTTCTGCCAATTTGACACCGCCCTTTAGGCCTAAGTATAACCCGTTTATCAGCGAAACCTAGGTATGAAGGTAGTCCTAAATGTCTATATCTCCCTTTCAGCTACGAGTGAGCATATACGACTATGTGTTCTCGTCCGCTCAGCCAAACTTTAGCCACGATGCCGGCCCCGACATTCGCCTGTTTCTGAGCACACCGCAATTGCCGAGTCCCAATGTCTGGCTCAGTACCATGGGTACCTCGACTTATTGAAGACTGCCTTAGGCTATACTTAAGGAAACTTTGGAGGCCGTCCCTTCGCCGAAAGCATTTTCATTCTTACTCGCTTCGTCTCCTACTTCTCTTCACATTAAACCTTATGGAACACAGACAAACTTGCGGTCGGGCGTTGAATCTAACGCATTCTTCACCATTTGCCAAACATTCAAATCGTAGGCTTCGCCAATATGACCGACTGAGTCAAGCGGACAGATATCCTGAATATACAGATTCCTCACGCCAGCCTCCTGAACAAAAGAAGTATGCGTTGGTGTGACCATTTCATCAAACTTAGACGCGATAATAGTGACAGTATTACCCGGTTGAACAATAGGTTTACCATCATTCAGTCGCTCTATAGCCAACCCTCCGGAGACGAGATCGTTACAAGCTCCACAGCTAGCCTTGTTAAGAGCGTCTTTCACGCCCGTGCCACTCGCCTCGCCAAAAGAAAGAGCCGCGTTATAGAGGCCGCCGAAATCGGTTCCGTGCGTGGGAGGAGCAATAGACACAACTTTGTCAATAAGATGCGAGACGTCCTCGAATTTTGCCACGTATAGAGTCTGGAAGGCGCCCTCAGAGTGGCCGATAAGATCAACCTTACCCTTGCCGGTCTTCTGGACAACTTTTTTGATGTATTTGGCGATTTCAGGCGCCGAGTCCACGATATGCTTAAGACCACCGACTTCCGGGAATCCGTCGTAGGCTCCGTAGGTCAAAGAGTACGTGCAGTAGCCTTGAGTTTGAAGCCAGGACTGCATAAAATTTAGGTCCTCGTAGTAGGTTGCGCCTAGACCGTCGAGGTGTACAACAGGGTTTGAGTTGCTTGTGCAGGAGAAATCATTGATTTCGAAGGCAGTTGCAAGTACTGCTGTCGCGCCCACAAGGGCTGATAAGGTCAAGGAGCGGAGGAAAGGCATTTGAGGAGATGATTTTGGCATCGAAAGGCCGAAGCATGGGTTTATGTTCTCAATGACGAGGAAAGAAGGCTCCATTCCGACATTCCCCCTTTCTCTTGGTCGATCTTGGCTCTGTATCTTGCATTTTTGTTCTTTCATTGGAAATTTGGCTTAAGGGAGGGTCGATGGCGTTGGGTACGAGATCAAATCTGTCCTACATTGCCTCACTATACACCGGGGTTCCCCATTTCTGATCACCTCTGACTGTATGGACGGTTTATTGTCACAGCGGGGAGATACATATCACCCATCTGTGTCATGTTTAGCAAAACAGCCTCACATTCCTAGTGTTGCTCATCCCGGTTTCCGACCCGAGAGGTGCGATGAATTTGATTGTTTTGTGTTGAATATCGGTAATCCGCAACTGACCAGGAGGTTTGCAGGTCAATGCAGATTGTTCTGACTAGACTCAGTGGCCAGCAAGGGCGTGACAGACGGATAAAGGACGCAAGGAAAAATTAGAAGAAAAAAAATGCATCATCCGTGAATCGAACACGGGCCTCGTCGATGGCAACGACGAATTCTACCACTAGACCAATGATGCTGGGAAGGGCGGTCAATCGAATAGCTGATTGGCTCGCTACATTGATCCGTACTTTATTTATATTCATAAACACCATGCCCTTTTTTTTATCGTGAATTGAACCGTTCGGAACAAAAGAGCGTCTAAAGTTACCCCAGTATTTTAGTTCTCAACATTCAAGAGTAATTTGGAAGTGAAGAGGAAGTCTAGTGCTCAGACCTCCTTCGTCTTGGTCATCTTCTCGCAATCTGAGCGTTTCTCGCCAAACGTGATCAAATATCATAGTTGTGGGCGAGCGTCTGGATCCACGTATGTCAGGTCCTTAAAACGCCTCTTTGATTTGAACTTCAGAGCTACACGTCTCACTTAATGAGTTCTAATTTTTGGCTGCACTATGATAAACGCCGTCTTAGTCGGAGAATAATTTCAACCTTAGTCCACGATGTGAGTTTCAGACCACTCAACATCATGCTGTACCAAGATATACATCGGGCCCAAGTACTCCTCCAGTCTTTTCTTGTCCTTGGGAGAAGCTCTCGGGGACGCAGTCTTTACAGGAACACATTGAGTCTCGATATCAGCACCAGGCTCAATGGATCCCGGCCTGTTCGTCGAAGGGGTCATAGGCCGTAGTCCGCGGCCGCTGCAGTGGCTGCTATTGCTGAAGTGCTTCTCCAATCGAAAGATTTGCTGCGCTCGATTGCTGGGGCGGAGGTGGGTGCGGAGGTGTATAATATATTCGAGTTTCATCGCCGATTGGATGACGGGTTGTAGGGCGGGAAGACATGCGCATATGATTGCTATGCAGGGCTCCAATGTCGACCAGACGTATACATTCCCCATAGTCCAGGTGAGATCTATATTATCTTTCAGGAAGGTGATGTAGTGTAACCGAACGATGCTAATGGCGCAGACACTGGGCGGCATGTTAGCAGTAACTCCATCCTCCCATTCAAGGGATCATACAAGATACCCAGCAGAAGAACTCCAGACACCATTATTTTCTGTGTGACCCGCATTTTTAATCTCCAAATGACGGGAAGCGGGACGAGCAAAATTAGAAAGTCCGTGACAACGTTCGATGCTGCGTTCCCGATGTAATATTTGTAAAAATCGTATCTGTAGTGTCCGTCGCCGGGGTTTATGAGTTCGGTCCAAAAATACGACACGGGCGCTGGACAGGTTACAAGAGCGATCATGCTGCCGAAAGTCCAACCCGAAGCTAAAATCATGCAGATGTAATAGCTGCTGCTTGTCCCAAATATACGACGATAGAACAAAAGCAAGGACAGCTTGACGATGAAAAGCTCGAAGATGTAGATGAAGAGGTAGGCAAATAGGATCTTCAAACAGGTGTTAGCAAAGGTCTTCCGGGAATAAACCCACCCTTACTCTCTTCATTTCTATCATATTCTCAACCGACGTCAACCAAATGTGTTTGCCCATCCCATGGTGTCCCGCAAGAAGCGCAATGGCTAGCAATGCGATAAGAGGAACCTAGTCAAACATCAGCTTAACTGATTCTGTCAGTTGAATAGACACAAATCAACTCACAAGAGCAGCAGCAACAAGCCAATCATCAAGAGCCAGCTTCTTAAGGTCCGTTTTCCCCCCTTTCAACTTTTCATGAATTCTGATCGCGACTGCGATCATCGCGAGACAAGAAATACTTATCACCACCGCATTGTCCTTCTTTATCGTATCCTCAGAGAGATCCACCCCTTTTGGGGCTGGCCCAATGATTGTAATGATACTCACCATAGGAGCTGACTCTGTGGTCAAAGACCATCTGGATCAGAAAATTTGCAGACTTTTGCAAGTCGGGGAACGGAGCTAATATAATCAATGCCCTGGGTTAATATAATTACTAGAGCCGATTGGGAGATTTCATATCAAAGTGAAAATCCCCACTTATAAGCACCTCCTTTTGCATGGTCCATGTGGTCAAACGTCAACCTTTCAATCATGTTTCGTTCCTCCGCCCCCATATTCCGATGAACTTCGACATAAGTCAATCTTAACATGAGTGAACTTCTTGCTTGGGGGCGAAAGCTTGTCAGGGCGGGCTTGATACGTCCGATAGCGCAGAATTGTATGCGCAATGATGAACACAGATCCTGCGGGATTACACGCTACATTAGGAACGTTACGTGGGGATGTTCGTGATGAGTGATCTTCCAGTTCATTAATGTGCGGATCCTAGAGCTCTTTACTCATGGGTCTAGGGGTTCGTTAGGGTAATGTGTATGGTATTGGAAGCCCGAGCTCGGAAGAGTTCCGTTGGCTTTCCTCTAATTAAACTAGCCTTTGCGGAGTTCGTTCCAGATAAAGTGTCACTTCAATATTGGATTGTCTATCCATAATTATAGCATGCTGGCCGCAGTATTGTCCATTCTCTTCAAATTCGCTGTTGGATATTGGATGTCGGGCGTCACGTCAGCACTGTCAGCGTGGGGGCCATGTACGGGCCGCAATCACAGTCGGTAGTTCTTAGCTATCAAGAACATAGTTGCCATAATGGCTCTCATATCTTTCTTTCGGGGCCTTCAACGGAGGAATGTTGCAGAATAAGGGTTGCTCCGGTATTGCCAATATTGGTGATCCGACCGTTGGACCCGGTGGGACCTTAGTGACTGCGTAAGCCCTATACATGGGACCAAGCATGTGGTCCTCATGGCCTCAAAACGATCTCAACTCATTCATGCAGGTGAATTAAGAGACTCGTGATGAATACGTTGAGAAGAGAATGAACAAGTGCCAAGAACAAGCAATGAGGTCCTCAGCTCACAGCACTTAAGCCCCCTATCATGTGTGCCGAGATCGAGGAGTATGACCGTTTAACATTGCCACAGCAGTTGAGGCCCTGGCTTTGCAACCTCATAGCTAAAGGCATGTGGAAGGGAAAGTGGCTTGGTCTATATTTCGACTCTTACTTTCTGCGTTTCAGGCTCACATCTTCATTCCGTGACACGATGCTTAAATGTTCAGCCCCACAGAAACACGCGGTCACCGCCAGTATGCCTGAGGCAGAAGTGCCCCCCCGGTGCCTGGCCCCGAGGACACGGGAATAGCCTCGCCAATGCACAACCTGAAGAAAGGCGATTCTTCAGATAGATCGAATCATAGCTAAACCTTCCCAACGGAGCCATCATCTCGGCCCCCGAATTTCCGAACGAAACTCAAATAACACCCAACCTCACTCATTCGGAAGTAGCACGCGAATCTACCAAGCGACTTACTACACCACGCGAATGACGATTTCCAAGAGTTGGGCCATGCAGGCAAACGACTGGTCTCTGTCACTAGTTCGCTTTCCAGCGGAGACTTGGCGTGGGTTTACGTCCAAAGGTGCGGGTGAGAATTTTTTTGTCATAGGCGGATGAGTGAGGTGAACTCACCCGCGCGCCCAAATAAAAAGAAGCAAGAATTTTCTAGAGTTTCGAAATGTCTCTTTTACAATGAATTGGTATATTTAAAGATATTTGTTCCAATTTGATTGCTTTGTTTCATCTATTCACGTCTTTTTCTGCGTTGTTCAGCGTGCTGTGACACGCAATATCCACCAGCGAACGACCTCGACTTGTCTGGATAGCTTCCAGCTCCAGCTAGCTATGCCTTCTCTCACATGCATGGCTTTGGCCTGTATTTTGGCATCTACCATCCATCTTGTATCAGCAAGTGCCATTCCTCGACCAAATTCTGAAATTTTCGACACTACCGCAATGCTTTCCGCGCGGTCATTGTCAACATTGGGCCTCTCCCATCCTGAAAAAATCACCCTCTATGTTGTCGCGGGTCTAGCAGGTTTTTTGATCATTCTTGGCTTGATCATTGCAATCCTCCGCTCTCGTCACCAAAAAGTATGCGAAAACCAAGCGCGTGGAGTGGCGAAAACTATTTTGAAGATTCCCATCATCCAATACGATCAGCAAGTGATGCGGAAGTCAAGCTTTGATGGATCTGTTTATGATTCTGATCTTGATGAGAAGTGTGTGGAAAGTGCGAGTAATCATACTTGTCCGATTTGTACGGAGGATTTCGTGCATTATCAAATGCTTCGTGTATTGCCTTGTGGACATCAGTACCATATGAAGTGCATTGAGGACTGGTTGCAGCGGGCTTCGAGCTGTCCTATCTGGTATGTTATTCTCACTACAATTGATAATTTTGCTTTATACTGACTTGGCACAGCCGCATTGATCTCAAGCCGAAGTCACAGCAAAAGTCAACGCCTACGACCACGAAGACCGGGGGATGACTCCTGATCTGGAACAGGGTCAGACTCAAACACGGCATATTAGAAGTCTGCAGGATCGCATAGTGGAAGATCTCTACGGTCTGCGCTGAGCTGGTAATGGTGCTTGCAATATTTAATGATGATAATGAGATATGATTAATACAAGGTTCAAACGCGCCTCACATATGTCCACGTGTAATATCCAATCGTGGAAACGGTTGTGATGAGAGATGCTAGGGTGAGAACTCCTCCAGTGATAATACCCTGCTCGAAGAAGCCGATCTTGAAGCCAGGACGTTGCTTTGTTGATGGGAGGGGTGCTATGGCTGCGCGCCAGAGACCGTCTGAGTTGGTGGTGTTGGTATTCTCGATAATTGCTCGGGCAATTTGAGCCTTGGAAGATGGTGTAATCAGTTGGGGCCGCGGCCGTTGGAAGGATGAGATGGCGTAGCGAGTGTTAGGGTTGTATGATATGTTGCGAGGAAGGGCGGGACCGACTGCTTTTGTAAGTATGATTAGGAAAGAAAGGCTAAGCTTGGAACTTACGCAGCATGTGGCTGGGTACATGGTTCACCCATGAAATATCAGCTTCGATGAATTGGGTCAGATACTTGGCCGAAGCGGGAGCCGCAAAGGCGTAGGTAGCAGCCAGTGTCTCGTTTCTGATTTCATTAGCAAAATGCAAGATAATTTCGAAAAGATACTTACGAGTGCATGTCAATTGCATCATCCAGGCTAGTCACGGGGTGCACCAGCAAGACTTTCTCATCAATCTTCTTTCGAAGAAGAGGCGAGTTCCTTCAATAGTCAGCACCGAACGAATGACTCGGTGATGGGTACCTACCGATCTTGCACCTCGACCACTCCCCACTGACTCCCCGAGACCAAGACTCGTGCGTTCCGATCCTTTTGAATGGAGTCCATCAAAGTAGACCGGCGTGAAGACGTAGATGACTGTCGTGCTTCACCATTTTCTCCTGCGAGGTACTTCGAAGCTTGCTGAATAACAGCCTCGACAAAGGGTTTCATGGCGAATTCATTCACCAGAACCAGATCAGGAGCATAGGTTGAACGACCACCCATTACAAATCGAGCAGCAACTAAGGCCTGTGCAGCTTCAACAACGTTTGCCGTGCGGTCGACAATGGCAATAGTCCTGGCTACAGGAGAGATCAAACCACTTTGACCATCGGAACCAGTTTGCGACAGCAGCAATGTCCTGCTCATGAATGAAGAATCAGGTCGGTTTGCAGTAATTGCAAAAGTATCATGATCCAATGCATCTGGAAGAATTTGGCGTAACAAAGCAGGCAAAGCCATCGTCGTTTGAGGAAGCTATTGATTTTAGCACTGTTCAATCGACGTCCACTTTATTCGCTCACCTCCAAGACAATGCAATTCCCAGCTGCAAGAGCAGCCGTCAGTGCAGAGATCACAGAAAAGAATAGAGTATGTGTGCAAGGTACGAGGTACACAATTCCAGCACCGCGTGAACCATCCAGATTGTCTTTTCCATTCGCAATGCGATACTCAATTTCCAAATCTTTCTCCAGACTCAGTGACTCATAATGTGTTCTCAGCTCCTGCAAAGCTAGAATGACCTCGGCACGAACTTCTTGCGCCGAGTGTCCCGAGTCAGCGCGGATCGCATCTTGAATTTCTGCAATATGCTCGACCAGCACATTTTGCAAGCGATGGAACTGAGCTTGACGGTATCGCGTGTTGTGAGCACGGCCGTCGATATCAGCGGCAATGATGCGTGAGAGATCCATAATTGTCAAGATACGAATGAAAAAAAAAAAGAAAAAAAACAAGAACAAGAAAAATGAGCTCGAGATCAAGATACTTGAAGCACGCGTACTTCAGAGCCGCGGGCAACCCCGAGCTTTCCCCAGTCTTCGGGATGTGGGGGAGAGTGCGGGCCCGGACACCCATCACCTCGCCTCACCACGACCTCCGAGATCCTGATAATGCTATTTCCAGGGCTTTGGAGACTGTGCAGGTCTCTCTACTCATTCTTCTTCATGTCTTCGACTATCACTACCACGACGACTTCACTGTCTGTTCTTGCCGACTATGAAGTCCACCACAGCGGCGAGGAGAATGTTCCTACAGTGAATCACTCTCAGCCTCAGCCAGGTCACCCAGACTGGCCAACCCATCATCGCCGTATACCAGCTTATCGACCTGCGAATCGAGAAATGGATTTGACGCAGCGGCCGGCCGGGAACGGACATCCTGCGGAGTTTGCTTTTATTCAAGTCATGTTGCATGGTGTGTGGCTCAACGCGGTAAGTGCAATATGTGTAGAGTATAGGACGTTACGATGCTGATATGTAATATAGTCTGTCGCGAGACTTTGGAGATTTACTGGGGGAAGGATTAATGATAAAATCTTCCATTATCAGGTTGGTGGGGAGTGGTGATTCTATTTTACTGTGTGTTCGAGATTACTTTGAGATATATCAATCCAACAACTACTTCCTTTTCACTAATTGAATATTCTGAGACAATGTCGCCTGCTCATTATGATGAAGACTTTAGTGGTAGAAATAATCCGGTCCGAATTACCCGTAGCCAGGCGATCCATCTTCTCTCCACGCCTAGTTATACCTACTGAACCAGAATACAATTCTCTCCAAGGATTCTAATGTCTAATAAGTCGCGATCTCACAACATCACCACTCGATTGATGTATTCAGCTAAAAACATCTAAGTACTAGCGCGCACCCCAATCCCATCAACAACCTCCCCCAACTTCTTTCCCCCAATCTCCATCTCCTGCGCCGGCGCAAGAACATACAGCATTCTCGCCCACTGCGGCACCGCCACCCCATCAACAACAGCATCCGGCGTCACATTCCTCCAAGCATGATTCGTACCCCGCTGCACCGCAACATCGCCCCTCTTCAACAGTCTCGTCTCCCCGGAATCAAGAACCAGCTCGACCTCGCCTTCCAGTACAACGCCGTAATCCAGACTGACGGTGCGGTGCATGGGACTCAAGGCGCCAGGCTGCATGTCCACGATGCGGCAGACGGTACCAGTTGAGATTGTGATTCCGGGGGAGAGGATAGGTATCTGTTGTATTCGGTGATGTCGGATTCATTGTTCAGTTGCGCGGGGAAGTGGTCTGATGTGTAGGCTAAACTGAAATCTGCGCTGTCGGGGAGACGTTGGACGGGCATGACTTCTGAGAGGATTGAAGAGAAGATCGCTTGGCCGGCGTCATTGTGGGTTGTTATGTACCGGTTGAGAGGACGGATGTTTTTGGGGATTTTGTCGGGCATTCTGGTGGTTTGTTTTCACAATGAGATAATTGTACAATATGGATTGCTTTGTGGAGTAGTTGTATTCTATAAAGTACTTGCGTGAAGAACTCGCATCTTCCTACTCTATATCTTTGTCAGGTGCGCTTCGGGACCACTTTCGACCACATCGGCCCCAGAGTTACAGTTGTGGGGTCGGACTTCGGAGTTAAGAAGTGTCTCGGGCGTGAGGGGTTCAAGTTGTAGAGTAGAATTAGGCCATAGCTTGCTTGCTGTACACTAGCTGGCGGGTGGTCGCGGTAATACATGCCGGTGCAATGGCCGCAGCCGTTGACATGGGGTTGTGAGAATGAAGAGAAGATCCCGGCAACATTTGAACCCGAGACTAAGTTTTCATGCAATACATTTCATTGGACACATCAGCTTCTACAATTTCAGTACGATGATTTACAGCTGATTTACAGCTGATTTAAGCTGATCCAAAGTTGATTCAAAGTTGAAAATATGCATTCATTCTATGAACTTCATCTATATACCACACCTTGGCTCAAATCTACGGAATAATCGGCAGCGTAACATAGTTCTCCCCAAGCCCAAAATGGATATGGTTTTGACCTTGAAACCGCTCAACAGACCTATCAACAAAGTTAGCACACTCATTATAACCATTCAAAATCCAGCAAAAATGAACTCACCGATCAACAGGCGAATTGTGCTGGAAAAGTCCACATCCCTGGGTATCCCCACTAGAAACCTCCAACACAATCTTCCCGCCCTTCTCAACAACGACGTTTGTCGGCCAAATCTCCACATCGACAGGATAGATTTCGCCCGGAATGACAGGAAGCACGTCAGTCGAGAGATAATCGCGATGAGGGAGATGAGGCCGATGGCGCGGGTGCTCCGGGTTTGTCTTGCGCATGGACACACGCAACCAGCCCTTGCATAGAGGAACGGGATCGCCAGCTGTACCGGTGTAGAAGACTTCTTTCCCGGAGGGTGCGATGTGGCGTAGTGTGAGGAAGAGGTCGATATCTTTCGGCGTGGGTGAGCCGGGGAGGGGACTCATTGACACGTTCAGGTGGGCGACGACGTGGCCTGTTATTTCGGTTTCTTTCTCAAAAGCCGGAGTGGTGAATTGGACGAGTTGGGGATGGTCGATATCCCCGAGAGCATCGTAGGTGATTTTAACCGGTCGCTCGGTTGGTACATTGGTCGTCAATTCTCGGGATGATGTGAGGTGATACCTTGTGTACTGTGTGCGAGCGATGGGCCATTCGTGTTCAATACGGCGAGAGAAAGTCTTCTCGTCAGCTGCATTGTTGTGACCGACATCGCCTTTGCGGAGGACAATGTCTACTTTTGGTGCCTTGCCTGTTGACCAGCCTGCGCGGTCTTCGCCTTTCAGGAAGGCATCGAGGAAGCTGCGCTGGATCTCGACCTCTTCGGAGTAGTAGAATGGGAGGTCGTGGCGACCGGTGATGAAACGGAGGTACTTGAGCTCTGATCCAGCTTGGGTCCATCCTTCGACATTGCCTCGAAGGTGGAGGAGGATTCCTCCCCAGTTGGCAACACTCAGCAAGGGCACGGTGATATCCGACATACTGTACTCCTTCGAAGCATAGTACTCATCATCTCGGAACCGGTTCTCAACATTATCAACGGTTTGATCCTGACGATTGGCAATGAGTTCCTCCTCACTCAGATCGCCTTCAATCGAATCCGGACCCCAGTTCCTGGCCGCGCGTCCACCCAATCCATACTGGTTACTCACAACCTGACGATCCCACCAGAACTTGATAAACTTGTTCGACAAAATACCACCATGTCGGCACCGATCGCGGTAGTAATCAGACATTCCCTCCCATGGAATTATACAAGCCAGACCCTTGGGCTGTCTCGCGGCAACGCGCCACTGACTCCCAGCATAGTAACTGATTCCCAAGAGTCCGACTTTACCAGAAGACCACTCCTGTTCAGCAGCCCATTCAACAACATCGAAGAACGCTTCGCTCGTGCCGCGTGACATGGTATCCAGCTTGCCCATCGACTGGCCTGTACCGCGCTCATCGGCGCGCACAACTGCGTAGCCCTGCGCAGTCCAGTACGCAGGGTCGGGAGTCTCCCAAGCAGAATGCTCAGAGCGTTGCTCGGGGTTGACTTCACTGAAACTTTGCGGATGGAAGTCCTTGTAGGGAATGTCCTTTCCGTAGGGACCGTAGGTGACGAGAACTGGGACCTTTTCTGTTGTCTTCGGTCGGTACACATTGGCGCGAACTAAACCGGAGCCATCTTTGAGCGTGACGGTGACATTTTGCTCAAAGATGTAGACCGAGGTTTCGTCCTTGGTGTAGATGTCTTTGACTTCGTTGGGCATTTTGAGAAAGAGTCGAATTGGGACCGAAAAAAAAATGAAAGACAAATAGGTTTAATGGACTTCAATGGCGCTGGTTTACCATGCACAATTCATATACTTTGTTATCATGTCCCCGCAGCGTCGTCCCGATGTGGAGCCGAAAGTGTCTTCCGAAGCCCCGTCAACTGTACGCGGCGCGGGATGCGGATATGGACCCGAGAGGGACACCCCCCGGACCCCACGATCGTTAGTAATGGTCATGGTAGTGGCATAAGTATTAATTGGGGGCCTACGGACATGAAACTAGATCTGAAGCTGTTGAGAAAGTCAGGACTTGAGCAAAGAAGCTATAGCTACGTCTGACACGTTACAAGATGACGCTCAAGGAACTTACAGAGACCTCAGATGAGGGTCTCCGCATTCTGATTGTTGGTGCAGGGATCGGTGGTCTTACTGCTGCTATTGCACTACGACAGCAGGGACATCGTGTTGACGTGAGTCTTATCCCTGTTCCTGCGCTTGACTATCTCCTGTCGTGCACCTGTCACAAAGTCCAAGACTCAAAGTATAAAACTAACCAGAGAAGCTTTTCGAACGCTCACGTTTCGCAAACGAAGTTGGCGCTGCCATCCACCTTTCACCAAATGCCAATGGAGTTCTCCAACGGCTCGGAGTCGATGCCACCAAATTCGGCGCTCTGGAAGCTGAATTGGTAGGCTCTCATCTCTATTTCTATGTGTGGCCCCAGCTAACAGGATAGCTTCGTGAATACAAACCATCCGGCGAACCAGTGCACATCACAGAATTGAAAAAAGTTGCTGGCATGTGGAGACACGTATATCTTCCTCAATCCCAATCCTTGTTATACAGAAATTAACAGTTTCCAGCGCTGGCTCCTCGTCCACCGTGCTCACTTCCACGATGGTCTGAAAGCTTTCGCTCAAGCCCCAGGCCGTGGACACCCCGCTAGCCTCCACACAGCCAGCAAAGTAACCGACATTGACCCGCACGCCGCAACAGTAACCCTCGAAGACGGCACTGTCATAACCGGTGATGTCCTTATCGGCGCAGATGGCGTTCACTCCCTCACCCGCACCAAACTCCCCGTCAACAACACACCTTACAGCTCGGGGAAAAACGCCTTCCGCTTCCTGATTACCCGTCAACAAGCCCTCGATGACCCAGACACCAATTCCATGGCTCAAGACTTCGGTGCAGTCGATATGTGGGACTCGTCTGATCGACGCGTGGTCATTTATCCATGTGCGAATAACGAGTTACTCAATTTTGTGTGTATTCATCCTGATTCGATGACTACGATCGATACTAGCGGAGACTCGTATAATCAGCAGATCGGGAAGGACACATTGTTGGAAGTTTACAAGGACTTCAATCCCCAGGTTAAAAAGTTGCTTGAAAAGGCTGATCCCGCGACGTTGAAGTTGTGGCCGTTGCTGGATATGGAGATGCTTCCGGACTGGGTGAATGGGAAAATGGCTGTCCTTGGTGATGCGGTTCATCCGTTCTTGCCATATCGGGCGTCTGGTGGTGCGATGGCCATTGAAGATGCGGTTTCATTGGCTGTTATGTTGCCGAAGGGTGTGGAGAAGGAGGATGTGGAGGAGAGGCTGAGGGTTTATCAGATTGCGAGACATGAACGTGCAACCACTATCCAGCAGATGACTCGCGAGTCGGCGCAACTGGTTTCTGCGGAAAAGGGTATGTTTTCTGTCTTCTTTTTTTTTTTGTTTTCTTTTTTCTGTCATGGTCATGGTAAACCGGTGCTGACTGTCTTCAGCCATGGGAATGGTCGGTTATATCTACGGCCACGATGAATTTGACCACTCGGCTCAGGTCCTGCGGAAATACCTCTGGTCCAAGAATCCACACATGTACTGGCGCCAGCCTATCGTCTTTGGACCCATGCCAGGCCCCCGACAAGATTGGATGGGTAATGACCGGGCACTGAAATCCCTCGAGTCAACCTTTGTGACAGCCTCGATCAAGTTCAAGACTAGTCGCACGCTCTTACAAAACCTCTTCCCGAATGACCGATATAGCTTCATGTCGCCGAGTACCGTCGCGCGCGCCTCTTTCTCCCAAACCACGTTAAATGGTATGGACTGGCTCGGCGGCGGCGGATACAGACATATTGGACTGTATATCCACGGAGTGCAGTATAAGAAACAGAATGGGGAGGTGCTGAGGGGTACTTACATGCCTATTCTGTTTGAGAGTCTTGCGGACCCGATAGTCTCGGGGCGTGAAGAGCTCGGCATGCCGAAGCTATTCACGGCTATTGATGTGCATGAGCGTCGCGACTCGTATCGCCTGCAGACAAGCTGGCAAGGGGCTGTGTGGGGCCATTTCGAGTTCGAGGATCTGGAGGATCAGGATCCCGCGGCCGACAAAGGTACGATTGGCGGGGAAGATGATGAGGGAGTTCTGGTCCACCGGTATATTCCCAAGGTTGGCCGGGTTACCAAGGGCGAAGCGGAGGCGGAGTATCCTGTGTTTGTGCCGCATGCTCAGGAATCCAAGGTTGTTCCGAGTAAAGTGACCAGGCTGAGAAGGACGAAGAATGCCAAGGTCGAGATCAGTGGGCTTGGATGGGATGCGCTGCCTACACTGCATCATGTTGTGGAGAGGTTAGCGGAGATTCCCATCGACGAGGTGGTCGATGCGAAAATTACCGAAGGGCGGGGTGTGCCTGATGTGTCTAGTGCTCAGCGGGTTGAATAGTCAGATTGAGCGTGTTTCATAGTAGCGCTCGTAGGTATTATATCAAATCAACGGGCGCAATGATGTGAAGCTTATTCTCTTTTAGGAGGGGTGCAGCGTGCTAGACGAAGCAGGACGATGCTTTTAGAATGATTCGAGAGCACCATATGACCGAACTGTCCCATCAGGCTTTGGTGCATGAGGCACCGGCGAGTCGGTAGACCAGCAAGTGTACACAGACCCCTCCGGCCAGGTAGGCGCACCGTTTGAGGCTGTGACCAGAACGGGATGCGGGATCGCCCGATGTTGCGGGGTGAGTGGTGAACTGGAAGATGAGTCTGATGAGTCTGTTCTGATGTATCACAGTCGATCGTCGACTATAGATTGGAGATTATAGAATCTAAAATCCTAGAACAAGAGATTGTAGATGCAGTGTCGGTGGTTCAGGCCAAACATGGGAATGATGTTGGAGGCTCTCTGATGCTATCAGGGTGGCTTGAGATAGGAGCTGTGCGGGGATCTACGCGTAATGTAAGTGGACTCAGTCTAGAACAGCACCGAGCAGCGCAGAAGGTAGGATTTACAGCTCAAGTGGATCGGCTGTAAGGGGCCACCTGAGCTGAGGTCCCCTTCCATCTCTTTCCACCATATTTAACCGGCAGCTCCCCTCCGTTCTTTCTTTTTCAACTCCTCCCCCCTCCCCCCTCCCCCACTTCTCCTCCCCTCCACCTCACCATGTGAGTCCTGGCTGAGCTCTAGCTGCATCGGCACCTACTGACCATGAGCTTCCCAGGCGAATCACCGTCAGCGTCATCCGCCCCGAGCAGGCGGACTCGGATATCATCAATCTTGAAGTAGGCGGCGACATGACCGTCGAGCTCCTTAAAGCCATCGTGCAAAGCGAAACTTCCATTCCCCCCCGAAGCCCAACAGCTCGTCTTCAACAACGCGCTCCTCGGCAACCCCTCACAAACTCTCGACCAAGTCGGTATCGCAGAGGGCGATATGCTCGGTGTCCACGTCACCCTCCGCCCTCCCACCCAACCCGCTCCCCGAGCTACCCCCGCCCCTCCGCCCCACGCCAGATGGCCCCCCCGACCTGGAATGCCGGACCCGGAGACGATCAGGTTGCATATTCTCGGTGATCCCCGCGTGCGCGAGGCGGTCAGGAGACAGAATCCCGAGCTTGCCGAGGCGGCGGATAATGCGCAGCGGTTTAGAGAGGTGTTGCTTTCACAGCAGCAGAAGGAGAGCCAACAGGAGGCAGAGAAGGAGGCTAGAATTGCTATGTTGAATGCGGACCCGTTTAATCCGGCCAACCAGAGAGAGATTGAGGAAATTATTCGCCAGAATGCCGTCACGGAGAATCTGCATAATGCGATGGAACATCACCCGGAGTGTAAGTGGTCCTTCTGGGATGTCCGTCTTGGAAATGCGGGGACTGATTTTTGTGGCAGCTTTTGGCCGAGTTACGATGCTCTATATCCCCGTCGAAGTCAACGGTCACCGGCTCAACGCGTTCGTCGATTCCGGTGCCCAGGTTACTATCATGTCGCCCGAGTGTGCTACAGCATGCAACATCATGCGTTTGGTCGACCGGCGCTACGGAGGTATCGCGAAGGGAGTGGGCACTGCGCCGATTCTGGGACGGGTGCATTCAGCACAGATCAAAATTGGCGAGATGTTCCTGCCCTGCTCATTTACCGTCATGGAAGGCAAACAGATTGACCTGCTCCTGGGACTGGACATGTTGCGACGACACCAGGCATGCATCGACCTCCGACGCGGCGCACTGGTCATTCAAGATCAGGCTGTGCCGTTCCTAGGCGAAGCTGATATTCCCAAGCATTTGACTGAGGAGTTCGAGGACGAGCCGACGGTCAAAGGCGCAGACGGAGCCGAGATAGGTGCTCGAACGGGCGCCGTTACTCACCAGGCGGAGAATAAGCCCGGTGAGCCTAGCAGTAGCGCCGCCCCCAGCAATGCTGCTCCAAGGATCAACATACGACCCGCACAACCACCCGCCTCGCGCTGGCCGCAGGACACCATTGGCAAGATCACAGAACTGGGATTCTCACGGGAGGACGCGGTGCGGGCACTGAATGCCACCGGAGGAGACCTGGACAACGCTATCATGATCTTGCTGGCTGATCATGATCCGTGAAAGCATTCTTACGGCGTTGGGCAAGGATATTTGTATTTAGCGGGGTTCAGCATTGCACGTAACGAATGTGTACGATTATGTGGTGCGTCTGATGCGTTGCTTAATCACGCTTTGATTTTGAGAGCGAGCTTCGTAGCCGGAAGACCATATCCAAGGCCATGAATGCACCTGCAACCGAGGTGCATGAGCCATCACATCATTTCATGCCAAGCCCCCAAAGCATTTGGCCGGGAGCGGGAAAGGAGAGGGGGAAAAACATACCCAGAGCTACGTAAGGACCGTATAATGAGGTGATCTGCTGCTTTTCGGCGACGGAGCGGTCCGGCCAGTTCCAGACTTCCACCAGGCACGTCAGGGAGGTGACGAACGCCTGAACCCCGAAAATGAGAAGCTGCACCGGCACCAATGGATGGTCTAGATGTGGATTCGGGGATCCATTAGTGACAAATCCTTCGGGGAAGTGAACTCCGATGCAGTTTTCTGCTCAGCGTGGCAGGTGGGGGGGGAATCCCTTCCGTCTCTTTATTCCGAGGCACTCGAAACCCGAGTCCAAAAGACAGGTAACAGGGGGGGGGGGCGCGATGGCTGGAACGGGAATCGAAAGAACGGGAACTCACCGCGCAATAACCCCCACACGGCCCACAGGCTCAATGGCACATGGTAGAGGAGTTCCATCCATATAAAGGCGGTGAACCAGGTTGGGGGCTCGGAGAAGAATTTGTCCCGGTAGGTGGTGATGTAGAACTCGCGGAGCGTGTGGGACAACGAGGTCACCATAAAAGGGGGGAGAAGGGGCACTGTATCGACGAGGAAGATAATGGGGATGTGCGTGGCAAAGAAGATCAGATATGCGCAGTCGCGCTTGCGAGTGGGGAGCATGGTGGAGTATGAAGGATCTGATTGTAACGCAGTAAAAGGTGAGGGAGTTGTACGTGGTGTACGTGGTGTACGTGTATTGAGGGTTAGGTGAGAGAAGGAGTGCGGAAGAGAGTGTGAGAGGAAGAGAGAAAAAGGGAGAAGCAGTTCCTACAGTACGTAATACATCTCAGGGTCGAGGGAAAAGTACCTGACAGAGAGCAGTGGGGCCACCCGGCGATCTGGGTATGTTTGCTTTTTCTTGACTGCGATTTAAGCTCGGTGGAGATCGGTCCACCATCTGACTTATTCTTCCATTTGGCTTCCTTGTTTTTTTTGGGGAAGCTATGAGCTATCCGGAAGGACGATTGGGGATATTCCGTCCTTTGATTCTATTCACCGTTCTACTCCATAGTCTGGCACTGGCGGCCCGAACCACCGGAGCCCAAAGAGATCCACTCGAATCACCAAGGTACCTAGGGGGTATGAGAATTGCATGGGTACCCGGGAGCTATACCTCGGTAGAAGCAGCTAGGGGACAGATAGGCACGGTCAAGGGGGCTTGAATAGGCTAGTACCGTACGATGCATCCTTGCCGGGACCTTCAGTCCCCCGGCCCTGTGCGACGTGTCCAAAAAAAACGATGAGGTCAACGGACAGACCGCATCTTTGCACGACCAATCAAGCCGGAATGGAGACCTAGTGTCCAAGAATTGAGGAGGTTTTTTAGTTCCGGGAAGAAATGCACTAACGGACTACCGGAATAACGAGCTAATTAACTACGCTAACTAGCTACCGAGCCAACCTAGGGGGGGGGCGTGTCTTCTACGCTCGCTCTTCGACTCCCGCGAGCAGCCCGTTTCGTGATGGACCCGCTATCGCCTACTGATCACTGATCACCGATAATGCAAATTGCCATCCCGCCTGCATTTGCCTTATCACTCAACTGCACTAGCGCCACGGAGATTTCTCGCCGAACATGAAGCGGTGAAAATCCCCCACGGAACACACCGGGATTTGTGCGATTTCGTCTTCTCGAGCTGACCGCTTGTCTGGCGAACGCCTCCTGGACTCGGAAATGAAGGTGCTCGAGCTAGTGTTTGAACAGGGGTGCCCCGGTGGAGTGGATTGGGGCCTACAACCGATCTATATAAACGGTGGGGGTTTTAGCTTAGTTCCATTATCTGATTCCCATATTCTCTTTTCTATACTCTATCCGCTATACTGCTATACTGCTTTACATCTTCAACCTTGAAACCCCAAATTATCTACATCCAAGGCGTCAAGTGTCTACAATATTCCAACACTTGAAGATGCCTTCCTCTGCCCCCTCATTCGCAAACCCAATGCCCACAAGCCCGAAATCCCTATAAGCTACGACATCAACATCCCCTATGTCGATGTCGACAAGCAATCCAAGGTCAATACCCCCTATCCTCAGTACCTTCCAACCTGGGACCCAATCTGGTTCGAACCCTTGCAACCATTCGACTACGCCGACCCAGCTCTGCGCGTAAAGGACCGCTCCAAGCGCAACCTGCTAGGCCCAGGCTCCAAAATCAACCACATCCAGCCCTCCATCGGCTCAGTCGTCGAAGGCGTGCAACTCAACACCCTCTCCGACGCCGCCAAGGACGAACTCGCTCTCCTCATTTCCGAGCGCAAAGTCGTCGCCTTCCCAGATCAGGATCTCATCGATGCTGGGCCCGAGGAACAGGAACGTTTCATGCGTCACTTCGGTAAACCGAATTACCAGCCTGTCTCAGGTTCGGTTCGCAACCATCCTGCTTTCCACGTTATTCACCGTGATGGCAACAGAGAGGAAATCGAACGGTTCCTCTCTCAGCGCACTACGACCACCCTCTGGCACCAGGATGTCTCTTATGAGATTCAGCCCCCAGGCTACGTCATGCTAGGTCTCTTGCAGGGTCCCGAGGTGGGCGGTGACACGGTCTTCGCCGCCACGGATATGGCGTATAAACGCCTCAGTCCGACGCTGCAGTCGTTCTTGGATACACTCAAGGTCGTGCATAGCTCGGCCAAGATGATTAATCATACCCGACTCATGGGCGGGTTGGTAAGGAAGGATCCGGTTGACACAGTGCATCCGTTGATTCGTGTGCATCCCGTGACTGGAGAAAAGTGTCTGTTTTTGAACGCCGAGTTTATCACCCGGATTCAGGGTATGAAGGAGCCTGAGACAAAGTGGATGACGGATTTCTTGATGAATCATATTATCACCGGTCATGATTTCCAGGCTAGAGTTAGGTGGCAGCCAAGGACTATTGTCATGTTTGATAATCGGTCGACTACTCGTGAGTTGCTCTTGTTTTTCCCTGGTTTTTTATATCCACCCTGATCATAGTGCCCGGTGCCCGGTGCACAGTTGGGTATCCATGACGTTCTTCTGAATTGCCTGTTTAGACTTGACGCTGATCATGATCTACAGATTCCGCGATTGTTGATTACCTGGATGAAGAATACGGTGCCAAGGCTCGGCATATCTTCCGACTTATTGCACTTGGCGAGAAGCCGATTCCAGTGTATGACGAATTTGAGTAATTGGGCCTGCAAAAGCGTTTCATTTGTCCGATAGACGTGCGTTTTAATTTTGCTTCGTTATGATTCCCTTAGACTGTGGTTCTCGGTTATTTACAGTGGTTTTACTTCTATTTTTATCTTAATGCATACACCCTGGTCAGCTGGGGTGTTTTTTTTTTTAAATGTTCTGGAATAGTTCCATGTGCTTCATATCAACCTTGAAAGTATGCATCTCCTCTAGTGCTTCAGCCATGCATTGTCTCAAATTTGAGATAAGATACATCTCAAAGAAATTACGCACCGAGTCTATGACATGCATGTCCCATGCATGATCGGATCAAACTACCACATCTGGAGAGCAAACTTCTGTGAAAGCGGACGCACGATTTGTCATTCATTACCATCTGCCAAAAAAAAAAATAAACGCCAGCGACGGTGCCACTAGAGTACATAAAACAAAAATATCCTAGCCTCACCCAACCAGCTCCGCAATACGCTGTCTCAATCCCTGACTCGCTTCCACAATTTCTTGTGTGCCTCCACCCTGCTGCAGGAGCATCAAGGTCTCGGAGACACGCTCAGCCATAAGGTCAGAGCCGAACACAGTGCCACCGGGCCGTGCGCTCTCGCTGAACCATGCGTCAAGCAGGTATAGTAAGTCGGCAGCGATGATACGGCGGTTTGAGCCGTGGAAGGGGGCTTCGTCGGTGTAGAACATGGCTTCGAGGACGCCGTATAGAGATTCGTGGGGGACGCCCAAGTCCAGGAATAGATCAATGACCCAGTGCGTTCGGTTGGCTTGGCGGTGGTACTGGTGTTCAAGGGAGTAGCGTTCCAAGAGAGGGACCAGTTCGCGGATGGGGAAGACCGTCTCGGACATGCGAAGGCGGCTGCCGAGACTGCGTACTTTTTCAATCACGGCTTCGTGGGGAAGAGGCGAGCCACGAGTTTCAGTGACTTCGTGGACATCGTGGATGAGGTTGGCCCAGGTGGCCTTGATGTCAGCTGCATTGCGATAGTCGGCCGCGAAGAAGATTTGGAGGCAGATGTCGTAGTAGCTGGCTGAGTCTGCGTACTGATTGAAGAGCTGTGGCTGTTAGTATCAATGTGTGAGAATTGCAGGGAGAGTGGACATACTGTGCTGATGTCCATCACAGGACCGTCCACGTCACGCAGAACTTCAGCTTTACGGTCAGCGGCAATCCGTGTATCATCCTTCAATCGCTGTAAAAGGTCATCCTGAATGTTGGCCACCTCAATAAGGTTGGTGATCTCCTGCAGCAGTCGCTGTCTCGACTGACGGCCCACATCAGGTGTGAAAGTAGAAGCATTGGTACGGGCACGGCCCAGATACTCAATGCGGCGGCTGAGAGGCAAGGTAAAAGCACTCTGAGCAAGCTGGAACTGAACCTTGGCAGCCTCGAAGAACCGCTGGGATTGAGCGTAATATCGCCAGAGGAGATCCGCGTGGGCAATGTCGTCGGTAGACTTGCGCTCGAGGTAAGTGACCACGAACGCCGACTGTGTTTGGAGGAGGCGGTCGTTCCAGCCCTGCTCCAGGTACCAGTCGTACAAGCTGGTCAAGAACACTTCATCGGTAGAATCGGAGATGACACCATAGGCCTCGTTCTGTCGCTTAGCAATCACGGTCAATTGACCGTCAATGAAGCCGGGGTCGGACGCAGCCAGGGTATCAACAGCGAGCACAACCTTGAAAATAAGGTCGTAACATTGCTTGCGGAAGTAGAAGTAGTCCTTTCGAGAGTCCTACGTTTGTGTGAGCTGGGAAGATGTGGATAATTCAAAAGACTCAAGTACCTCTGCGGGTCGCCCATCCATAATCCAGGAGAGCGCAATATTTGCCTTGTCAGAGCGGCCAGCCACGTTGAGGGCCAATTGAATAGCACCTGATCAATCAGCAGCTGGAAACGAAAAGCAGAAAGAAGACTAACCGGCAAAGAATTGATTGGCAATATAATTGTCCACAGCCGAAACCAAATAATCCATCGGGAGGCTATCAGCCACCTGCTGGAATAGGTGTAAACTCTCATTCAACAAGTTGCGGCCCAGTTCTGAATTGGCACCGGCCTCTGTCGCACGCTTGAGCAGTTCTTGCGCCTTGAAGATAACGACATCCTCTGCGCTGCAGAAGCTGCCGCATCGCCGGCGCAGTGCATCAGCTACCGTCTCAACGTTGGAACCCTTGGCAATGTTGCGGTTGACAATGCCCTTGACTAACTCCTTAGCGATGTCATGGCCCTTGCTGCTGCTGAACAGCTCTTCAAAGGTTAGCTTGAGGAATCGCTCCTTAGACTCGGCGGGTAGTGTCGCGACAATCTCATCCACGCGCTCGTCGAACAGGACTAGCACAAATGAAATACCCTCAATGGTGTGTGACACGAGCTGTACGAGGGAGTGCAAGGCACGGTGCTCAGCCTGCAGAGCGGTTTCTTCCTGCTTATTTGTCACTCGGGCCAGGGCCTCGGGTCCACTTAACCCCTCGATAAAACTTTTGTTTGTCTTGAAGAAGTCTTGCAGAGCTGCAAGATCATGCTGGATGGTCTGCAGCTTGGAAGCAGCCACCGAGGCAGCCACAGTCATCGCACCATTAGGGGCGCTGCCGATCTTGGCAATTTGTTTCTGCCAGATCGACCGCAACAGACGCGACATGTATAGGGAAATGCCGTGATGCCGAGGAGAAGGGTTCCAGGCATCGATTGCCGAGGTAGAATCAGGCACGGCATTCTCGTTGGACACTGGGCGACCACCGTACTCAATGAAGACCTTTCGGGCGAATTCGAGCACGTCGGGATCGTTGATCCGTGTCAGGCGCTGATCCGAAGAGATCTCAACACCTTGACCACAAGCCACCGCAAGAGCAGTGGCAAGGACCTCACTTCGACCGTATTTCTTGATAAGGTTGACTACCTCACCTTCTAAGCCTTCCTCGCTGTTTCCACCGCTGCGCACCAGGGCGGCAAACATGTCGACTAGGCGTCGTCGACGAACGATGTGAATTCCGGAGTTTGTGAGAATCGCCACTTCCGCGGCGGGATGGTCAAATTGAATCGCCAGCTCATTTCCGAAGCCGGCAGACGTTGTCGGTGGTGGTGGCGAGCACAGTCCAATGTCCTCTGCACGACCGCCCAGACTCAACCAGATGCCCGATTCATCGGACTTGCTCATGACCCCTTGTTCACGGGCGGGGCGAGCGAGGAGACCGGGGTCCGGAGACGAAACAAACAATGTGTCAGCCTTTTGGGTAGCATCCTTGCAGGTGAAGCAGAAGAAATAGCCGGGAGGGAAACGGGAAGCCATTCGTGTTGGTGCAAGAGAGTGAATCGGATACTTGATGGCGGCCATGGGGATTTGCGCGGTCATGCTCGCGTTTGCGGCGTTGTCGATAGGAGGTGTCTTGATGTGCTGAGCTTGCATGCTCGTGGGCGGGTTGGTGCCGTTTGAACTAGGCGCCCAGCTGTAGGAACCCGTAGCACTGAGGTAAATACGATATCCGGTGGCAGTAGTCGCGACCAAGTGGTATCGCGAAGCTTCGGCTGCTGGAACCGGGCTAATAGCAACAATTTGTACCCTCTCGTTAAGAGTTTCGTTAGACCCAATGATATGTCCGATATTCGAGTAGATGTCTCTGGCGAGCTTGGTGATGACAAGATTGAGCGACCCATCAGCCCTCATGTGGAACACCCGGATGGTCGAGGCAGAGGAAAGAGTATAGAGGAGTTTTCGACTATCATCAACCACCATCTGTTCCACATTCTCGGTAAGAGCCCTTGCGGCCAGATTAGTCAAGCTGAGGGATGGGCTAAAAACGGAGAGACGTGAGCTCGTATGGTTTATTTTTCCGCACCGACCCTGGAACCATCGCTCTTCTTGCTGATAGGTGAGTTCGTACACGTCGTTGTCAGAGGAACCTCCAAAGAAAACACGACCAGAGTCTGACGAAGCGAAGACGTGAATATCAAGCCCGCGAATCGCCACCGTCATCCCTGTTTGATAGAGCGCAACTTGTTTTGAGCCGGTTGGGGTTGTCTCACAGCTCATGCCTAGCAAGATGACTTCGGCTGTGGTCGAGACTACCAACATGTGCGTGATGGCGGGCAAAAACACACCCGCGCGCGGCTTCACCAACTTAACAGCGTTGATGCTGTTGGGCTGCTCCTCGAACCCAACCAATTGAGGGTTAGGGTGTGTGAAATCCCAGAGATATAGCGCGTTGTCAATGGCCACCCACGCGTGGTTTAACTCAGCGAATAGACCCATGCTTGTCGAAACTTGTGCGCGATTGTACTGATCGAAGATCTGGTCGGGAATATTGTACATTTTGACTTTTTGGAAGGGCGCCCACGATGAGGCCGTTGGGATGTCATATTCGGAGGAAACTCCTTCTGTAAGATGTTAACCCTGTGTCTGTACTTTAATGAGATCGATAAACTGACGAGACAGATAGCTATCGAGGTCTGGGTATTGCGCTTCAAGAGCCAGTGTCTGGCTGATGGTGTGCGCTCCACGTTCCTCGGCGCTCAAGGTCTTTGTAGTCGTTGTCGGAGGCAACTTGGGCATCGGTGTCATTGGTGTCTGAGGGGATGTCTGCTGCAATGGGGACTTGAAGAGACTTTCATGGCGGGCGACAGCAGGAGTCTGCAGGTAAGCACCAGGTACTGCTTTTTGCGGTGTCGCCGGAGGGAGGTTCGGCAGCGTTGGATACGACATGGCGGAGAATTTGCAACGGTAGGGAGGGGAGAAGAGGAAATAGCTCCCCCGCCGAGGAGCAAAAGAGTAGCTGCAGTATCTAATGAAAGAAGATACACACAGAAAAAGGTCGTGGGGGAAAGTCGCGGGTGTAGCTGTAGCTGGTGGAGGAATTAGTTTCCAGGTTCTTTTCGCAGGTCAACAACGTGCACGGACCACTTGAGGTGATCTTCCGCCTCGTTCTGCTATTGTTCCCATTTTACATTCGCAATTGACTATTCAGAGACTGTCCATTGCCGTCATGTTCCAGGTAACTCGCTTCTCTGCTCGGGTGCCACTGCGCGCTCCTCTTTGGGTGCGCTGGAATTCCTCTAGCTCGGTGTTGCCGCCTCTCATGACCACATTGCGGAATGATCTCAAGACTGCTATGAGAGCCAAGGACACTTCCAAGTAGGTCAGCCAGTCTGTTGCGCTCCATTTTGACTGACTCATGTGTTTACAGACTCAATGTCCTCCGCGCTCTCATCTCCGAGACCAATAACGCCGCCAAAACCGCCTCTCCCATCCAGACAGACATCCAGCTCCTCTCCCTCATCCGGAAACGCGCGTCCGCGGCGAAGGAAGCTGCGGAACAATTTGCCAAAGAGGAACGAATGGATCTCAAGGAGAAGGAGGATTTGCAGGTGGCTATTCTCGAAGAATATGCCAGCCAAATCAAGACTCTCAGTGTGGAAGAAGTCGAGGCCGTGATCGCAAAGGAAATTACTGCCATTAAGGAGGCTGGAAAGAAGCTGGAAGTTGGTCAGGTCCTCAAATCTTTATTTGCTACTGGTGGTGCATTGGATGGCAAGCCGGCGGACCGTAAGGAAGTTGCTGGCCTAGTGAAGAAGGCTGTATCTGCCTAGACGAAGCCGCAATCTATGTATGGGCTGGTGTACATTACTGTTACTATTACAATATATTCCTTCTGAGAAAAACATGAGACATAAATTAAAAGGCAATTAAGACAAGAAGAAGGCCAACCCTCCAAGGGAGGTCATTATCACACCGAACCACCACCACCGGTCCGGATTGATCAATTCCTCCTTGATGGCCAAATGGATTACAGTTCCAGACAGGTCACGCTTCTTTTTGCCGGTAGGCACAGGGTTCAATGTGTTTGTGGGAAGCATCTTGGGAGGTCGGTATGCCAGGTACAAGGGTTGGATCTTCTCCCCGGTGAACATGGTCAAGTCGAGTCGTTCAACTTTGCTGAATTTATCGACGGATACAGCGAAGCCCTAGTTTTGTCAGCCCCATGCATACAGATATCATGTTGGATAATACCTTGAAGTGCTCGGTGTTGTTGTATCGGGTATACGCGCCAATATCTTGTCTGCATGGTTCCGACAGCAATTGACGACCGTCCACTGCAATGGGGTGCAGGACTAGAGAACCGTCGGCAGACAGCATGTAGGTGCCGTGCTGCCACTGTTGAATACCACCAGGACATTCAGGGTCGGTGGCTTCATCGCGTCAGTTCTAGTTCCAGCTTCATTTCCATCTCAATTATGTATAGATCGTAGATCGGATCCACTCACGATTGGCCAGGGCGCGATAGAACGCCTCTTCGTAGTTTCCATCGGCATCGAACGAGTAGGAAATACCAGTGCGGTCGGGCTCGATCAGTCGGTCATTGAGTGGATCGTAGAATCCCTGTCCAAATTAGTGTCGTGTTTTTGTTGATTTAGGAGTATACATACCGGACCCGTGAGGACCTGCTGTGATTTAGTCGTCCATGTCCCAACTAGCTGATCGACACTTGTGGCCGCACCAACGGTCGCCAACAGAGTCCAAATCCAAATCATGGCTGCTTGAATGAAGAAGAGAGGGAGAGGCCAGGTTAAAAGGAATCCCTTTATTCAAGTGGGGACTAACACAGGGCTTCAGCAATGCGGTCCACTCTTATCATTATCGCCTGGAATGAATCTTTCCCCGACAACTCCAACTTCCCGCGGGGTCATGGCTCTCCAATCGGCAAAGCGAGAGCTGCGCAAGCAAATGCGCGACACGTTTGGGCGCTTGTCTACGACATCTATCAGCCAGCAATGTCTGTTACTAGTCTCTGTCTTGGTGCATTGCTGACCCCTCGCAGCCGGCGTCGCGACCGCCAAGTTCCTGTCGCTTGCCGAATACCAGAACGCAAAGAGCATCGCCGTATATCTGTCCATGCCGACCGGAGAGCTATCAACTAGCAGCATTGTACAAGATGCACTGCGGCGCGGAAAGGATGTTTACATCCCATATATTCACACCATCGACCAGACCTCCGTTATGGACATGCTCGCTCTCGAGTCCATGACCGAATTCGAGTCATTGAAGCCTGATAAATGGGGCATTCCATCACTACAGCCTACGCAGATCCCTGGCCGACGAAACTGTCTCACAGAAAGTGGATTAGATCTGATTGTCATGCCAGGCATGGCATTTGATCGGGGATTCCATCGACTCGGCCATGGCAAAGGGTATTATGACCATTTCCTATCGCGATATTCTAAATGGAACAAGAAAATGCCATTCCTGGGTAAGTCCGATTTTGAAACAAGAACCCCTTTTGAACCCTCAAATGAAACTAAACGCCGTTGTAGTTGCCCTCTCTCTCCAAGAGCAATTGCTCGCTCAAGACATTCCTGTTGTGGAGCATGACTGGCTGATCGATGCGATCGTGGTGGGTGATGGTCGGTATTTGGTGCGATGATTTAGACCGCCTGAATGAGGGACACGTTGTCACCCTTGAGAAGAATCTGGCCTAGGGGAAGAGTTAGCTTAGCGCTTCAGCTTCGGATTCGCGATTGACTTACCAAGCGCTCTCCGCTTCTCCGACTCGGTCTTTGTAGCTTGGCGCACCTCCACGGCATCATCGATAACCAGGTTCATGAACTCATCGAAACCCTGTAAGCAAGTTAGCAGAGGGCCTGCACTCTGGGCGAGAGCCGAAACACGAACCCTGATCTTGCCCTCAATGCGGAAGGCCAGCTGCTCGTAAAGCCAGATCTGAACGGTGGCGCGCTTCTGCAGCAAGCTGAAGATGTAGTGGATAGGAGCCAACAATGTCTTGCGGCCCGCCATGGTGGTGTAGATGGGTTAACAGGTAGAGATAACGTGGAGATAGAAACGATAGAAACGAAGGAGTCAAGCTCTGCGTCCCGTGACGAACGGTAATACCAATACGCACCGGGGCCCGTCACGGGCACTAACATCCCACCTTCATCTCCCTCTTGCACTCTTTGCGCTCCCCAATCTCACTTCAACCACTTTTTTCAGGTTGAATGCCCATTTTGTACTGCTGAGCCTCTTAACGTGTCTTTCATCATGGCCAGCAAGGAAGGTGGGCAGGCATTCGCCCCGGTCCTGGCGGCCGTGGCAACCATGCAAGGGAACGTACCTAGGTCGGAGAAGACCCAGGCCCATGAATTCCTGGAGAAGTTCCAAAAATCTGTGAGTATGCATGGTAATTACTATCGCTTCATTCTAATGCGTCCCAGATCGAGGCTTGGACCACCACCCATGCGCTATTACAGTCGCCTGATGTGCCCATCGAGGCTAAATTATTCGCCGCAACTACATTGAAGGGAAAGGTAGCACCCCGCGCTCTATTTGATCACGGATTCCTTGAGACTAACTTTTAAGATCGTGTTCGATCTGGACCAACTTCCTCCCGACTCCGTGATCGCGCTTCGAGACTCCGTCCTCAATTTACTCGTGGCGTTCGCTTCGGGTCCGCGCCCCATTCAGACTCAACTATGTGTGTGCTTGGCAAGTTTGGCGATTCAGATGATCGCATGGAAGGATGTGTTGGCCACGGTCGCTTCGGCATTGGGCAGCAATGCGGGGGACTGCGTGCTAGAGTTCTTGAAGATCTTGCCGGAAGAGGTCACTGAGGGTCGCAAGATCAACCTCAGCGTGGGTTTTCTCTATGTCAACCCTGTCTGTATGGGCAATGCTAATCTTGCAGTAGGAGGACGAGCTTCTCGATCGAACAAAAGAGCTACTGGAGGACAATGCGGACCAGGTCATGCAGCTGATGATTCAGTATGCTCAATCTTCGCGTAAGTTTTGTTTCAAGCAGTAAAACCGGCAATTCATGGCTGATCTCGCTAGCTTCTGCTGCCACCAACCCGCGTCTTCTCGATTGCATCACTTCGTGGCTTCGTGAAATCCCCGCCGCCAAAGTCGTCGAGTCGCCTTTGATGGATATTATCATTAAGGCATTGGACAACGACGTCTCATTCGAAGCCGGCGTGGACTGCCTTTGCACTCTTTATCGCGACACCAAGGATGTCGATGAGTCGCTTCCAATCATCCAAGCTTTATACCCCCGATTGATGGCTCTCCGACCCAAGATTGCGGAAACTGCCGAAGCCGAAGACCTGGAGGCATTCAAAGGCATTACAAGAATGTTCTCAGAGGCCGGTGAGGCCTGGGCTGTTCTGATCGCTCGCCTGCCTGCCGAATTCCGGGGTCTGGTGGAGGCTGTCCTCGAGTGTTCTGCGCGCGATTGGGAACGTGAAGCTGTATCACTCACTTTTATCTTCTGGTATGAGCTCAAGCAGCAGATCACCATCGAGAAGTTCGTGGATGCTCGTATGAGTTTCCAGGATATCTTTTCGCAGCTGGTAGACATCATGGTGAAGCACCTTGAATTCCCCACCCCGAAGAAGGGGAGACCGATCTGTTTGGCGGTGATCGCGAGCAGGAAGAGAAATTCCGCCAGTTCCGTCATTCCATGGGAGACGTTCTCAAGGACTGTTGTGCAGTGGTCAGTACGCAAGAATGTCTGGCTAAGATTTATCAGTTGATCCAGCACTGGGTGGCAAAGTATGCCTCGCAGGCTAGCAATGAACATGTCCCTCATTGGCAGGAACTGGAAGCTCCTCTCTTTGGACTTCGTGCTATGGGTCGTATGGTTGACCCTGAGGAGAACACCATTATGAACCAGTTGGTTCCGCTGATTGTCCAGATCCCTGATCAGGAGAAGGTGCGGTTCCAGGCCATCATGGCCCTGGCTCGATACACCGAGTGGACGGCCCAACATCCCGAAACCCTTGAGGCTCAGTTGAACTATGTCATTTCGGCCTTCCACCACTCCTCCCAAGAAGTGGTGCAGGCGGCTGCGCTTGCCTTTAAGTTCTTAGGCACTGACTGCCAGAAGCTGCTAGGTGGCCACATCTCTCAGCTGCATTCTTTCTTTGAGTCCGTCCTGGACAAGCTTAAGCCCACCAGCCAGGAGGAGGTGACCGAGGGCGTGGCCGCTGTGGTCTCTGTGCAGCCGCTTGAAAAGATCTACGAGTCTTTCAAGATGTTCTGTGACCCGATCATGACACGAATTATGAACCTTGCCAACAATGCCCAAGATGAAGAAGGCCAGCGGGCCGTCGCTGATCACCTGCAGCTGATCACTATATTTGTGCAAATTGTCACTCCTATCGTTCCTTTCGGTGTGGAGAACCCGGCCGTGAAATATGTTGGCGAGATTCTGCCCATCATGACCACGATTGTTATGAACTTTACGTCTTCCACGCCTATTCTGGAGCGAGTGTGCCGCTGCTGGCGCTACATGATCATTTCGTACCGGACAGCCATGATTCCCCTACTACCCACGCTAGCTCAGAGCATTGCCAGTGGATTTGAGGCTTCCCGCGAGGGTTGCTTCCTCTGGGCCACTGACGCGGTGGTTCGTGAGTTCTCTGACGGTGCCGAGTACGTCGATCAAGCTACCAGTGACGCCGTGTTCCAGTTCTACGAACAGCAAGCCCTTGCGTTCCTCCGTATTCTGAATGACCTGCCTCCGGAGAATCTGCCCGATGGTGAGAATATTCCCTTTCCCCGCATAATCTTGTCTCTAATTCAGTCAAAGTCATTGAGGATTTCTTCCGCCTGTCATCGGACGCTATTCGCTACTACCCTAAGAAGTGCATTAGCTCGTCCCTAGCCGTCCCTATTTTCTCTGCTGCTCTTAGCGCTCTTACCCTCCAGCAGGTCGATCCTCTTATCGCCACGCTTCACTATTTCAGGGACCTGTTCGGCTTTGCATTTGACAAGCCCCTGGTTTCCGAGTTCACCAGCCCGGAGGGCAAGCCGTACTCAAACCCACCAGAGGTGCGAGAGGCCGTCAAGAGTCTCATTGCGTCGCAGGGCCAGCCTCTGGCTCAGCGCGTATTGACCGGCATGATGTTCACCTTCCCTGGCGACTGTTTCCCCGATGCCTCGGGCGTTGTGATGACCATGTTCGAACTCCTTCCTCAAGAGACTGGAGCCTGGCTGCAGACCACCTTGCAGATGCTCCCAGGCGGGACCATGAAGCCGGGCGAGGCCGAGCGGCTACTCAAGAACATTTCCGACAGGGTGCAATCTGGCGAGACACGCAAGATTCGGGTCCTTCTTCAAGGTGAGTGCCCTTCTTCTTTCCCCTTTCTTTTCTACCGTTCTCTCTCATACCTTTTTTCAGATTTCACCAACTCGTATCGGCGTCGCAACGTCGCCCTCGGGACGGATTGGGCCGCCTGGAGGCAACTCGGTTCCGCTTCAGCGGATGAACTAAGAATCCTTCTCATGTATATTGTTTTTTTACTGGTGTTTCTGTCTGGGTCTGCCCGGAAACAGGAACAAAACCATCCCCGGAGCATTTGCACATCAGGTGTTGGGTCCTTTCTTAACGCGCCATGGCCTAGTGGCATAGTGGCATGATGGCTCGAAGTCCCGGTTTTGTGATGAATTATGATCCCGGTGCAGCCGGTCGGAGATATCATTGGGATTCGCATCGTAACGCGAGACGACCAGGTAGAGATAATAGATATGTCTCCAGTGAATTTGCGAATGCAGACTCGTAGATTCAGACAAACAGTATTTGAAGGTTACTGTAGTTTGTATGTAGAGGTATAGTTCCAAGCTTTCAACATAGTCAAGGCTTGAATGGTCACCAGTGCAGGTGCCACTCCTATGTACATTCAGGTGCATATTGAAATGGATCGACCGTGATGCACAACATATTCTGATATGCGCGATGACGTGCACGAACGCGGTATTTGCAGCACTACTGAACAAATCGAGATATCAACATCTGCACTATCCATACTGCATTGTTCTGTCCCATGCTACTCATCCAGTTGGTTTGACTCCTAGGCCTGCCCCAATACCTACCTAGCTCTAATTATGGAGGGGTATCTTATCCTTGGGAAGGTTTCATCAGACTATAGATGACTATGGCTTCTCAGCCGTAGTCAGTGAGTGGTCTAATGTCAACAAAATCCAAGCTCGTGTGATAAAACGTATATATCTATATATGAACATATGTATATTCCTATACTCCAATAGCCCCCTACCAAAGACATCGCCAGAAGTTGCCTTCACCGGGTCAATTGCCCCAACCTAAAAATGACCCCACTGCATTCTCCGCATCCCCAGAACCTGACATTTGACCCTTCACTGACAGTTCATGCTTCAAATACTTTGCATTCATCCCACGTGTTCCAGGGCTTACTGATCGACATCCCTTGCATCTTGCTATGGCACCCAATGGTGATCCTCGTTAACCCAGCCATGGAGGACGAACAGCCCTCCAAGCGACGCCGTCGCAGCCGCCGCGCCCCCTCCGATCGCAAGTTCGAATGCACCCACGAGAACTGTGGAAAGAGTTATTCACGCGCAGAGCACCTCTACCGTCACCAGTTGAACCGTTCGCCTTCCCCGTCTTACCCTTCTTCCCATACTTCATAGACTCCCAGCTGACAGGTAAACTCAAGACTCCCCCAAACAAATCTTCCACTGCGACTTCCCAAACTGCCACCGCGCCTTTGTGCGCCAGGACCTCTGCATCCGCCATCGCGAGCGCCATACAACCCGCGGCTCGCAACTTCACAAACGCGACTCCTTTGCGACCGAGACCGACAAACACGATGATTCGAAGCTCGTCACTACATCACCTTCCTCGCCCATGACGGCAGATTACGCGTTCATGGCCGATCCCAAATCCCCTCCTACATCATACCCTCTCTCGACAGGTATTGAAAGTGCGGGCATTCCCGTATCTGGATACACGGAGTTCCCGACCCTAAGCCAGGATGGAATACTCGAGTTCGACGGCCTGTCCAATGCATATCCGATCTTCGGAGGAGAGACGTATAATCGCTCGCCGTTTGCCATGGCGGATGATTTTGCCGCGTGGTTGTTTAGTGAGCCTATGGCACCGCTGGGGTATGGGATGATGCCCATGGTGCAGAATCATAACCGGTTCTATATCAATGAGCCGGCGTTTAATAATATTTGCACTGTCATTCCGCAGCATCCCATGAGTGTGACAAGTATTCTGGACTCCGGATCTCTGCCTGCATTGATCTCAGAAGAGAAAAGGCAGGAATTGCTGCATCTTATGGCGACGCGGTTCAATGAGGCGGCGTACTCGGCTGATGTCAAGCGCAAGGATGCCCTGCTGGATGGAGATTTGACTTCGGATCGCCATGTTCTCAGTTTGCGCATGATGCAGACGTACATTGGAAGCTACTGGTATCATTTTCATTCCCAATTGCCCATTCTGCATCAACCTACTTTTGCGGCGGATCGTACTCCCAATTTGCTGTTGCTGGCGATTATGGCTATTGGGGCCGCGACGCTGGATAAAATCCATGGGAAGGCGGCGACCGAGACGGCCGCCGAATTGGCTGGGTTCATTGCGTGGCATTTGAGGTGGGAGATATTTATGGACACTGATTTTCGACCGCCGGCTCGACTTTGGGTCTTCCAAGCATTGCTGCTTCTGGAGGTTTATGAAAAGTCTTTTTCTACGAGGGCGCTGCATGAGCGTGCACACATTCACCATGATACGACCTTGACTCTGATGCGTCGGGGGAGTTCGTTGATTGGGAGGTCTTCGTTTGATTCCCCGGATACCAAGGAAGAAGACGATAGCTGGTCGCATTGGATCAAGGCGGAGGCTACGCGGCGCGTGGCTTTTGCTGCGTTCGTGTTGGACTCGACGCATGCTATCATCTTTGGTCATTCTGCTAAGATGGTTGCTCATGAGCTCCGCCTCCCCTTACCCTGTGACGAGGCATTATGGGCAGCAACCAGCGCGGCCGAGGTCGCTCGCGTGCAATCAAGTCTACAATCCCACGGCGTCCGGCCAACCATGTTCCTCGACGGTCTGAAGCGCACACTCAACGGCCAGCCTGTGCGGACCAACGCGTTCGGCCGCAGTATCATCATGGCCGGCCTACTAAGCGTCAGTTGGCACTTGAACCAGCGAGACCTGCAGGTTAGTTCGCTAGGCGTAGGACAGGCTCTCGGGGTCGCGATAAATGGCGGACGGCACTCCTCCGCTCGTACGATAATTGGCGACGAGACTTCGACGACGCACTGGGTCCCTCTACCTCTATGGAATCTGAGTCCCGGGATGTGTTGCATGGAATCGCGCATATCGCGTCCCATGTTGACATCGTCGATCTACAGATCTTTGCAGGCGCGGGTCGTCTTATGGGTCGTTCTATCACGGCGCGCGACTACAGTGCCGCGCGGGAGAAAACCGAGATCTGGGCTACAAAGGCCTCAGCTCGCGATGCCACCTTTTACGCGCTGAGGTTCCTCTCCACTTGTTTCTTTAGATTCGCCGGGTGAGTATGTCGCTCGTGACGACTACCTCTTGAACCGACCGTGGGTGATCTATTTCGCGGCATTGACCGTGTGGACGTACGGATTCGCCCTGGACGGACCCTTACAGAATCCGCCAGCCCTTACAACGCTGGCCGAGCAGAGACACGATATGCGAACGTATCTGGGACGAGTTGGCGGAGTGCGCGAGCCGAATGGATTGGAGGGCATGAAGGGTCGAAACCAGTGTATGGGGTTGTTGATAATTCTACGCGACTCGTTTGCGAGTACGCGATGGGAGCTGCTTAGAGAAGCAGCGAGGCTGCTGGACAGCTGTATTGCGAAGTTGAAGTCCTAGTGTCTGTAGTACTTGAGGGGATTGTATCTAGTATCTAGTATCTAGTCTAACCAGGATGTACTTAGTGAGATCATGAAATCCACCGTTGCGAGGGCAACGGCCGATCCCACCCAGAGACCCATTTCCCATCTCTCTCTTTCTCCTCTTCTCCAGCTAACATTCCACATCATCCCTCAATTCACTTCTGCATCATGGTACGTTTTACGCTCAGATCCTCGTTGTTGACGACTTGCCTTAATCGGGGACCTTCCCGCCCTTCCTGTTCTCCCCCTCAAATTCATCATTCTCATTCATCCCTTTTCCACTGGATCACGAACACCAACACAGACACAAACACATATCACACATCATGGCTAACCAAAAGGATCAGGCCTCTACCAACTACAAGGAAGCTTTCTCCCTTTTCGACCGCCGCGGGACTGGCCGTGTGTCCGGCGACCTCCTCGGCGACCTGCTGCGCGCCTGTGGTCAGAACCCCACGCTGGCTGAGATCTCCGATCTCGAGAAGACGGTCGGTGGTGACTGTACGTGATTTCTCCCTATATTGTGAGATGAGGATCAGCGCTGATGATAATTAGTCGACTTCGATGCCTTCCTCAAGGTCCTGAATCGCCCCGGTGGTTTCCGTGATCCCGGCGAGCCTGAAGAGTATTGTCGTGGATTCCAGGTGTTCGATAAGGATATGACGGGCTTCATTGGTGTGGGACAGTTGCGATACAGTGAGTTTCCTCGCCCCGGAAGTACTTCCATAGTTGTATGGGTGTGATTAGCCTTGATTACACCCTGGACTTGGGTCTTGGATCTGGATCTGGATCGAGACTCCGACTCTCACGGCAAGACATGCTAATCTCGGAATGAACAGTCCTCACCAACCTCGGCGAACGCATGACCGACGAGGAAGTCGACGAGCTCCTCAAGGCGGTGGATACGAGCTCTGGCGAGATTAACTATACCGATCTCGTGCGCACCATCCTGGCCAACTGAGATTGAGATACCCCGGGTCTTTATGATCTTACTTTACGTTTTATGCTTACGGACTGGGCTGGCGCTGAATTGTATCTGAAATCTGACCTCGGACTCTGACTTGGACTTGAACTTGGACTCTCGTGGAGTCGAGTTGAGTCAAAGTCAAGTCTGAATGTATTATCGGCTTTTGCTTTCGACTGGTGGCCAACTACATACATCTGGGCTCCTGTTACTTTTTCTTTTTGGAATATACTTTATTTTTCTGGGTATATGGCGCTTGACTAGTATAGCTGGTATACACAATATCATTAATGGTCACTACTGACTATAGACTTACTCCCCATTCCACCCTCCACTCTGATTCCCCAACTCCAGGCCCACCCATATCTTCCGTCCCAACCAAAGCTCCAGGAAGGATATAAACCGCCGGCGGCTTCTCCTCTTCTCCATCCACCTGTGCCTTTTGAAAGCCCTTTCCCTCCCAATGAACCTTATCCAAATAATACCCCACAACAACCCGACACCGCCCACAGCGCAACAGAATCCTCTTCTCAATCCCGTCTTCGCGCCGAATGAGTGTTGCGCGTCGGTCGGGTATTGTCGTCGAGAGAAGAAGGGTTATATGCTTCGTTTGTGACTCTGTCTTTCCATCTGTATTGGCATCTGCGTCCCCGTCGGCGGTCGAGAGGGGAATGATAATTGCTTTGTCGAGGGCGTCGCCTTCTCGGCGGGGAAGGCTTGATATCGAGCGTGTTGTTGAGAGGAGGAGGTGGGAGCAGAAGCGGCAGTGTTGTGTTTGAATTGGGAGGCGTGGGTTTGGGTTTGTCATATTGTGCTCGTTGGATTTGACGATTGATGAATGTCTTCTTAGTGATTGCGGCCACCCTTGGGAGGTCGTGTAAGAGCCAGATAGTAGATTGATTGGTTGTAGCCTTGGCCTCAAAGGGTACTGTAATGGAAGTGGAAAGTCTGGAGCTAGGTCCTAAGTTGATTGAGGAGAGTCTGCATGCGATGGTTAGCGGGGTCCATTGATATCCACGATCTGGGGTGTGGAGCTGATCTCTCGTACTGAAGAATAAGACTTACATACACAAGACTCTAGAGCTTGACTTGAGAAGATCACTGGACCTGGATCTCGAGTTGGGTGTGAAGCAAAAGTTCGATGCAGGCCGTGGAGAAGTTGAAGGCGGTGGGCTTATCAGCTACAGCAATATTCGAAAATGGCTTCCATGTTTTACACAGCGAAATTATCTCAAGCCCCACCGCCAAGACGATGGTGAAACCATCTAGGCCAAATCCAGCTAGACATCAGATCATCCCTGCGCCTCAGAATGGAAATGTCAAGTACCTGACAAGACTGATACGTCGAGGCCGTTGAATCATACAGTGGCGTATCATTAGTATTTGTACCCCAGTACATTGCATCCTGACCGCCCTTAATACACCGCCTACCCATTATATCCACCCACAACCCCTATTATTGTCTGCCTATAATCCTCTTCCTATGATCCTCTAAACCATGCCTCGCGGTCCTGAGCTTGAACCATATATACGCGAGCGTATATGTGAGTTAAAACGATCAGCAAAATGGGGTGCAAAACGTATCCAGAAGAATGCGTTCCCTGATATTCCTCTTTCTACTATCCACTATACCCTCCGGCAAGATCTAAAGCGTTCAAAAGGTGTATCCCTACCTCGCTCTGGCGCACCTCGCAAGCTTACTGCGGAGGACCGAGACCGTGTGTATGATGCTATTCAAAACCGCCCTGATATTACCCGCGAGGATCTGCTTGCTAAGGTTAATTATAAGGTCAAAGCGATGTCAATCTGGCGTTTAACGCATGATATGGGCCTCCGGAAGTGGCGAAAGATAAACCGACCTTACCTTACACCTATTCACGCTGCGAAACGTCTTACCTGGGCTTTAGCCTATCGCTATTTTACACCAGAGGACTGGAAAAGGGTTTTTTGGTCGGATGAAACGACTATTGAACACGGACAAGGTGCTCGGAAGGAGTAGACATTTATTCCTCCTAAAAATCAGCTTCAAGAGCGCGAGTCTAATATCCAAATAACTCTATCGAAAGGGAAACAGACAAAATAAATGTTCTGGGCTTGTTTCTCAGGCGCTCCGCGAAAGACTGGCTTAATTCCTTTATTCGGAGATCCTACTGCGGATCGTAAGGGTATCACAAAAGAGGTTATTTATAATCTTTATCGTGGTATCCTACCTACCTTACTGGCGAACGAGGATATATCTTTTAACATGATAATGCACCGACGCATACTGCATATATCGTCCAATCCCTTCTCCGTGAGTTAAATATTACTGTAATGGATTGGCCGCCTTATTCGCCAGATTTAAACCCAATTGAGAACCTCTGGGGGCTATTAAAGGCTGATATATTAAAGCTACGGCCGTGGCTTCGCGAGATGCCTAATAATGATACTACTTAGCAGAGCTAGTAGATGCAGCGCAGGCTGCGTGGGAACAGCTTACGATTAGGCACTTTATCAATCTAGCTGAGACTATGCCTCATCGTGTAGAGGAAGTGATTCGGTATGAAGGGTGGCATACTAGTTATTAGAAATAGAGCTCTATTCTACCGGCAGAATATATGTGGGTCGAAGTACTGGGGTGCAAATACTAATGATATGTGACTGTACGTCTCGCTAATACGCTTTTCTCGCTTGCTGTCTATATTTGCAGCTCATGCCACCTTAACCCCCATCACAGACACACACGGCACGAAATAGCTCCTAATCTGCCTTTTTCTACTAGAGAGTTCATTCGCGATATGATCTTGAGCAAATTACCGACCACAACCTAGATCGCTGATGCCGCTGGATGCAGCCCGCGTTCCATCACCGCCATCCGGAGCAATCTGCGGCAATTCGGTGATACCAGAGCTCCTCCTATTCGAGCAGGTCGACCCCGTAGCGTCACACCACTAATGTTGGAGGCTCTCTGCGACTATCTGCTGGAAAAGCCTGGTCTCTACCTCGATGAAATAGCGCTTTTTCTGTTGGATAAGTTTGGCATATACGTAACAACCACCAGCACCAGGAGAGCGTTGATCTCCAAGAAATGGTCAAAGAAGACATCTCGACAGAAAGTAAGGGAAACGGAATGCCGATCTACGAGATTACTATCTACACAACCTGTCTGGGTTCTGGTCGTACTATCTGGTGTATATCGACGAGTCTGGGTGCGACAAACGGATTGGCTTCAGGAGAATAGGTTTGTCACCGCTCGGCATTACACTAGTACAAATCTCGAAATTCCATCGCTATCAAAGGTACCAGATTCTACTAGTATACTCCTAAGATGGGATTGTCTTGTCCCGAGTGTTTCGTGGCTCGACCGACGCGTCGGTTTTCGAGGACTTCGTTGAGGAACTTCTGCAGCATTACAGGAAGTGGCCGGAGCCTAGGTCTGTTTCAGTGATGGACAACGCCTCTTTCCACCATTCTGACCGCATAGAACAAATGTGTTCAGACGCCGGCGTAAAACTGATGTACTTGCCTCTCTACTCGCCTGACCTAAATCCTATTAAGGAGTTCTTCTCTGAGCTTAAAGCCTTCATTCGGAGACACTGCGTATTCTATGAAGATAACCCTGAACAAGGCTTTGATAATTTTCTGGAGTGGTGTGTGGAACGCGTAGGCGCAAGGGGACAAAGTGCAAAAGGGCATTTTAGGCATGCAGGTATCAACGTTGACAAGACGTGATTCGAACGACTTGGTTAAATATGCCATTTGTCATTTAGAACCTAGTTTATCTTAATAGACCGAGTCAAGTGGTGAAAATGATAAATAATGTGTTCTCCAAACTATCCGCGTCATATATAAATTCTCTCTATCTCCCTACTTCATAACTCGACATTTGTGGGGGCATAATTTCGCCCACTGAATGATCTCAGATACGAACCGGCGCGCTACTCCCACGCTGATGCCCTGCTTAATGAAGAAGTCTGGATCTTGATCACTATAGATCTGCTGGAGATCAAGACTATTTGCAAGCGCCAAGTCTCGCGCTTTGCGGATATCGTCCTTGAGAATGTCTCGGCTCACCCGTGATTGCTGCCAGTTACTATACTTCCACCGCCACATCGTCGAGACTAGGTATATTAATTGGATCAGGAGTAGGAGTCCTCGAGGTGGTCGAGGGGGAAGGGTTTGGGCCATTTACACCGGTCACGACTGGTTGCGATGCCTGATTGGGGAGTACAGTGATATTGATTGGTGGGCACATCGACCCAGGCGGAGAGTTAGAATGGCTTTTCTGCTTTGTGGTTCGCTCGTTGTCCTCGGCATAGAGCTGCTCATACTGTAGAGGCTGTCCGGAATGTCATTGTGGGTCTTAAGTATCCCGCCTTTCTCCATGTATCTGACGAGACTTCTCAGTTGGTGTGTTCGCAGTTTATAGTGTCTTTTCCCCACCGGGTCTTTCCAGCAATATTGGCCTTTGTGGTGGCATGGCGGGCCAGGATATCGCATCATCTGATATACCTCTCGCCAAACCGAGGGCTGCCCAGAGGCGTCTTCGGCATCAAGTTGCGCGTCTTGGTCAGCGAGCATCCGTTTAGTGACCGAAGTTTTCCCTCTTTTGTCGGTCCTCGACAGCGGGGTGCTATCTTCGATGTAATTCACGGAAATTTTAAGCCGGAGCTCTTTACCCTAGCGGTATAGGCTAGCCCACGTAAGCAGCTGCTTTTCTATGGCAGTCCAGTCCATATTCGTGCTGTCAAAGCGTTTAGTCAGGTCGCGCTGAGATCGGTCGTTTACAGAGACCACAACGGTAGTATCGTCCGGTCTTACCCGGCGGTCGCGGGAGATCTTGTCTCGTAGGGTTTTATCTGCGCTGGCCTGGATCTGTGGCCAATGATAGCTTGGCATTTGAAAAAGATCTTGCTCAGTGTCCTTCACTACGACTCGATGGTTGAGAGTGACTCTCCATTCAATCAGGTATTGGATACAGTCTGACGGCTGTTCACCTGAAGTTCCTGCTTCATGTTCCACTAGAGCGAGTTGGGTCTGACGTAACGGGGACGAGCGTTCACCGGCCGCTTGCTCGGAGTCCGGTGAAGGAAAACCCATAGAGGAGCCCACGTTGGACTAAAAAAAACCAGGAGTTGAGGCATGCGAGGGGGTTTTATCCCACGACCGTAGGAATTGAGGTCCAAAGATGTCTTCATCGTCAGAATCAGAGAAAGCCATTTGCCCTAGGCAGCAAATGCCACTGAGGAGCCTAGTGATAGCGCCATTGAGTGTCAGCCTGCAACAGAGTACAGCCAACGAGCGAAAGGGAGGGGACTGCAGCTGATAAGACAAGCAAAGGAAGGAGTAAGAGCATAAATACGCGGCTGGGTCAAACAAGCGTTCCTGGTAGTGAGTAACGAGCGTTGGTTGTACAGTATACTGTAAGAAAGTGATGGATGGGAGTGGGTGGGTTTGAGATCCCAAGCAACGGGTTCGGGTGGTTTGGATTGTTTACACAAAAGTCGATCATTCTAGACCACGATTCCCCTGGGCGCTCCCACCAGTTGTTGCGCCCCAGGAACTGGATTGTGCGTCACCAAGTGGCTTGCCACTGAACAAAGACCGAAAACCCTATCCGGTCAAACCAGGTTGGTAATTTACTATACGCTACAGCTAGTTGTTGAAGAACGCATTAACATCAAAGCCTTTGGCCATTCCCACAACCCCCTTGCCGTGGTTTGTGGCTTTGACATTGTGAATTTCCTGGTGAACCTCTCCGTTGTCATTGTCGCAATTGATGAGGCCGACAAGAAGCCTTCCGCCGTCACTCATGTCGACATTGGTAATTTTTTGCCCTGTACGCACTTGGTGAGCCTCCGCGAGCAGGCTTTCTAAGAGCTTTCGAGAATCATCTATTGCAGCACGTTGATCTTGGAGTTGCTCAACGACTTCGGCGCCACCTGGACGATCATCCAAGAGCTGCACTTCTGTCATCTTATGCAAGGCCAATGCCGCCGCGGCCTTCTGTTTGTCAATCTCGATGATCTCCTGAGCGATCTCAGTTTCCTTCATACGAAGATCTTTTTGCATCGTGTCAACGATAGGGGATGAGCCTGCGACCGAAAGCCTGTGGAGCTAGTGAGCCTATGTCTGATGACCAAGCCAAACCTATATCAGAAATGGAATACATACAAGATTGCGGTGCTGACTGCTGTGTCCATGGTAGATTTGTAGCGGTTGAGCTGCTCACATAAAGTCTCAACAGTTCGTTCAGCGAACAAGCCGACACGGACACGATCCCACACGTGCATCTTTTCACCCGAGCGCTTCGTCCACCGTACTATCTTTGTGCGAAAATCACTGCAGGCTTTTTGGCAATGCATGATGGCCAACGACAGCGCCTTCCTCACATCGGGTGTGAGGTGTTCAAGCTGGGAGTTCTTCTGCGCATTATTCAAGGCCAGAAGGATGGCCTCCACACCCGTCAGCTCGTCCTTGAGACCAGCTATCACATCTGGTGCACCTTTGATGGCCTCGATCTCGTGGATTAATGATTGAATACTCTGCACCGCTGCTCCAGCGATACCTAAAGCGCCAACAGTCAAGCTGAACGGATCCATCGTCGCGAAAGAGCGAGCAAAATGGACCTCGCTTGAAGGAAATCGTGGGTTTTAGATGCTTTGACAGAGTCGTGCTCTTCTTTCGAATGGTTGTTTCAACGTGATGGGTATGTTCTCAGCCGAACGTAATTATGGTCCATATATTGGATGAAAGCGTGGGGTAGGATATGAACCGGCACTGGGAAATCGTGAGGCTTACATTTTAATTGCCGCCGATGCTCCTACGGCCTACCCTGCGAGGGTATAAGGCTTTATCAGCCAATTACAGCAGCTAAGACGGTACAGATAACAAGCTTACCGGATAGAGCTAGGCGAAGTTGTAATTTTGGGCTCTACCCCGCTTATTAGCGCAAAGGACTGAACCAGTGGGTCCCTCGTCCCAATTGGAAGACGGGGACGAAACGTTTGAAAAGTGCAATCTGCCCGACCCGACTGACCTTTGAGCGAACAAAGCGCGCGACAATACGAGAATCTGTGCCGAGGGATTCAAAAGTCCCTAATGACTTTATTACAAGACTTTGATGATCAGCCACCTCATCTAGACCTTCAAACCGTCGCTTTTGTTTTTTGGAAATCTGCTCGTCTCAGCCTCTTCGAATTTATTATGTCTGGCAATCATGATAAAATACTCATGCCTCGAGGAACGACGTCGAGAGTCCCTATTACCCAGTATATTTCTGGAGTGAGCGCAGAATCAAGTGGAAAAGTGTTCGCAGGATACGTGGACAATAGTAACAACAGCGAATACTATGGTGGAACCCACTACCACCAGCATCCTGGTAAGTTCTTGGGAAAGAAATCGACCGTCGCATTAACCATGGAAACCTTAGACCCGCCCGAAACTCCCCCAAGCCCCTTATCGACCGTCCCGTTCCGTCGCGACCCAGACTTTGTCGACCGTGGAACGCTACTTGATCAGATACATGAAAAAGGCTCTATACCGGGATCTCGGATCGCACTTATCGGCTTAGGTGGCGTTGGGTGAGTTCAGAAAGATAGCTGATTTACCAATGCTAATAGCTTAGAAGAAAATCGCAACTTGCTATCGAATACTGTTATCGAGTTCGAGATCAATCGCCCGACACATGGGTTTTCTGGGTCCACGCAAGTAACGCGACTCGGCTCGAGCAAAGTTTCCGGGATATCGCCGACCAGGCCAAAATTCTCGGGCGTCACGATCCCACAGTCAATATATTCCAGCTAGTTGAAAGCTGGCTCCAGGATGGCAAGAGAGGAAAGTGGTTACTGATTCTTGATAATGTTGATGATGATGGGTTCCTCCGCCAGCCCTTAGCGACAGTCCAGCAGGGACTGAAGATCGGCCAAACTAACGCCGCGACAAAGCCACTATTAGAATATCTCCCCCGAAGCCCGAACGGATCAATAATTATCACAAGTCGGAGCCAAGAGGTAGCGTTGAAAATTGTTGATCACCAGGACGTCCTTAAAATCGAACCAATGAATAGGTCGGAGGCGCTAGAGCTTCTCCAGCGAAAGCTCGGACTACCAGAGGAAACCCCTGATATTCTAAAGTTGGTGGAAGAGCTGGAGTTCATGCCACTAGCGATCATACAGGCGGCTGGGTATATCGTACATCGAGCGCCCCTCTGTTCGGTATCGCAGTACCTAGAAATGTTTCGGAAGAGTGATCGCGAAGCGACAAAGCTTCTTGATTATGGGGCTGGTCATCTCTATCGAGATTGGGAGGCAAAAAGTTCGATTCTGGTTACATGGCAAATATCCTTCGACCATATTCGACGAATAAGACCGTCCGCCGCTGATTTGCTCTCTCTCATGAGCTTTTTTGACCGACAGGGAGTCTTCAAGAATCTGCTCCGAATTCAAGGCGAGATAAAAAACGACAGTTCGAGCTCGGAAGAGATAAGGTTCAAGTACAATGACGAGGATATGGATAGCACGTCTGAATCTGACGCGGATCATGATTTTGGGGAGGATATTACAACACTAAGAGATTTTTCGTTTATTTCTATCAACAAGGACAGCACAGTGTTCACGATGCATCGGCTAGTGCAACTTACTGTGCGTGTGTGGCTGAAAGCTAATAGACAGCTGGAGCGATGGAAGGAGCAATTTGTCATGATCCTATGGGAAAGGTTTCCGACAGGTGAATATGAAAATTGGGCACGTTGCCAGTCGCTCTTTCCACATGTGAAATCAGCCATGTCACAACGACCAAAATCACAAGACTCTCTAGAAAAATGGGCTACCCTGCTTTATAAGGGGGCATGGTATGCACAGGAAAGCGGCAATATTGCGGAATCAAGGGATATGGCATATAATTCGCGGAAGCAAAGAGCCTTACTGTTTGGCTCAGAGGGCGAACAGACTCTTGATAGCACTGCGATGTTAGCAAACGCACACGGACTCGAGGGCAGGTGGAAAAGGGCGGAGCAGCTCGAGGTGCAGGTCATGGAGACTCGCAAGATGAAGCTCGGCGCCGATCATCCTGACACGCTGACGAGTATGGCAAATCTGGCGTCGACGTATGGGCACCAGGGCCGGTGGGAAGAGGCGGAGCAGCTCGAGGTGCAGGTCATGGAGACAAGCAAGACGAAGCTCGGCGCCGACCATCCTAACACACTAATAATTATAAGCAATCTGGCGTCGACGTATAGAAACCAGGGCCGGTGGGAAGAGGCGGAGCAGCTCGAGGTGCAGGTCATAGAGACTTATAAGACGAAGCTTGGCGCGGACCATCCTGACACGCTGATGAGTATAGGCAATCTGGCGTCGACGTTCTGGAACCAGGGCCGGTGGGAAGAGGCGGAGCAGCTCGACGTGCAGGTCATGGAAACTCGCAAGACGAAGCTTGGCGCGGACCATCCTGACACGCTGACGAGTATAGGCAATCTGGCGTCGACGTATAGAAACCAGGGCCGGTGGAAAGAGGCGGAGCAGCTCCAGGTGCAGGTCATGGAGATAAGCAAGACGAAGCTCGGCGCCGATCATCCTCACACACTGAGGGGAATGGCCAATCTGGCGTCGACGTATAGAAACCAGGGCCGGTGGGAAGAGACGGAGCAGCTCCTTGTGCAGGTCATAGAGATGAGTAAGACGAAGCTTGGCGCGGACCATCCTGACACGCTGATGAGTATGGGCAATCTGGCGTCGACGTTCTGGAACCAGGGCCGGTGGGAAGAGGCGGAGCAGCTCGACGTGCAGGTCATGGAAACTCGCAAGACGAAGCTTGGCGCGGACCATCCTGACACGCTGACGAGTATGGGCAATCTGGCGTCGACGTATAGAAACCAGGGCCGGTGGGAAGAGGCGGAGCAGCTCCAGGTGCAGGTCATGGAGATAAACAAGACGAAGCTCGGCGCCGATCATCCTGACACACTGAGGAGTATGGGCAATCTGGCGTCGACGTTCTGGAACCAGGGCCGGTTTGAAGAGGCAGAGCAGCTCAACGTGCAGGTCATAGAAACAAGCAAGACGAAGCTCGGCGCCGACCATCCTGACACGCTGAGGAGTATGGGCAATCTGGCGTTGACGTATGGAGACCAGGGCCGGTGGGAAGAGGCGGAGCAGCTCAACGTGCAGGTCATAGAAATAAGCAGACGAAGCTCGGCGCCGATTATCCTGACACACTGAGGAGTATAGGCAATCTGGCGTCGACGTATATAAACCAGGGCCGGTGGGAAGAGACGGAGCAGCTCCTTGTGCAGGTCATAGAGATGAGTAAGACGAAGCTCGGCGCCGACCATCCTCACACGCTGAGGAGTATGGGCAATCTGGCGTGGACGTATGGGAATCAGGGCCGGTGGGAAGAGACGGAGCAGCTCCTTGTGCAGGTCATGGAGACTTTTAAGACGAAGCTCGGCGCCGACCATCCTGACACGCTGAGGAGTATGGGCAATCTGGCGTCGACGTATGGGAAACCAGGGCCGGTGGGAAGAGACGGAGCAGCTCCTTGTGCAGGTCATGGAGACTTTTAAGACGAAGCTCGGCGCCGACCATCCTCACACACTGACGATTATGGCCAATCTAGCTCATACCCTTAGGTCATTGGGTCAAGACAAAGCCGCTTTGCAGTTAATGGCCAAATGCCTTCGACTTCGCGACCGAAAACTAGGCCCTGACCATCCGGATACTATGTCTTCCAAGTCTACTTTAAACGAATGGCGTGGGAAGTGTGACTCCCTATCTTCCTAATCCACCAAAGCGCCGACTGAAACAAAAGAGGACCAAATCCTAGCCGGTTCCACAGGAACCTCAAAGCGAGTTTCCACATCTGGCGGACATCGTAGGCGCACAATCTTCTCGCGCCTCTTCAGCAGAAAGTAGGACACTTCCCTCTTCAATTAGTACGGAAGGGAGCTTGTTCTGGTGATAGTGAAAAATAAGGAAATCAACAAATTCTGTCCTCGCAAAGATGACAAGCTCTGTTTCTTACAGTAATGCAATTAGATGATATAACATCCAGCAGTTAAGATTCCATCATGTTTGTGACGCATGGTTCGAGGAAAGGTCACGTGTGGTGAGCTAGTCCCGAAGGGGACACAGGGGTGGGGGGCGGCGGTTATTGTTTCGTAGTTGTTCTCTTTCCCTCTCTTTTCTCTTTCTTTCCTCAGTTTAGAACTTTTCTGAATGGCACACGAGTTCTCCCGTACTGGCCTGGGACAATGTTCACTAAAACCCATAGCTTCTGAATACATTAAGTATAGTAGTATTCAGGAAGTAGCTCGGATCTAATAAACTCATTAAATGTCTGTTGCAAGAGCCCTATCAGGAACAGCCCTTGGTTTGTATGGGAGTTTCCAGAAATTAAATTTTTTTTTCGAATAAACGGGTGGTAACTTGCGGGCCCGTATTACGTCCGATGTTCCGTACCATACGTCAAGACTGTTCAAAACAGGATGATCTGCAAACTAGCCGAATCTGGCCTAGGCAGTTTCATCATCGTCTTGGCGGTGGGGCTTGAGATAGTTTCTCTGTAAAACATGGAAGCCGATTTCGAATATTGCTGTATCGCATCTGCCAGCTCTACTTTGTAACTATCTTCGACAGATATAATGACCTTGGGTTGATCTTGATGCTTCATTCAGAATCAATTGATTGCTATAAAGGTCATGATTCTAAACCGGTCTCATATCTAACGACTCAAGTCACCGGCTATAGCTACGCCAATCCCATATCCTTATAGAAAGCATCAGTCTTAGGCGGACGACCCAAGAACTCCGTCAACGTCGTCATCTCATCCTGGGAACCACCCTTCTCAAGGACCTGGTAGCGGTACCGTCGACCCGCAGCCTTGTTCATGGGATCATCCTTGAACACCGTGTAGAACATGTCCGTCGAGTACACTTGCGAACTAAGGTACCCGTAGTAACCGGCATCATATCCACCGATCAAATGGCCAAAAGTAGCTTCACCGTGACCCCACTCGTTGCCGGCGCCAAGTGCCTCAAGACCGTCCATAAGGGTGATCTCCTGGCGAAGGGAATTGTACGTGCCTGAGATGGGAAGGGCTTGAATATCGGCGTGGCTGGCGGGTTCGTGCACGGTCATGTCGAAGATTCCAAAGTGAAGTTGGCGAAGGTTAAAGAGTGCGTCGTTGACGTGCTTTGTGCGAATAAGGTTGCCGATAACCTCGTCGGGGATCCGCTCTGAAGGAGGGGCGGTGGCTGTCTTGCCGCCGCTGCGCTTCTGGAACGCTTCTTGCCAGCCAGCAAGATATTCGGGGACAGGGTGGAGTAGTGACGGCTCAAGGCGCGAAGTTGGGAGGGAGTCCAGCACCAGTTCTCGAGCATTTGACTGGGTGCTTCGACAAAGTCCCGTACTGTGCTAGTGCCGTGGAAGCGGGAGTAAATCGTGCGGGAGACGAGGTCGTGGATACCGTGGCCCAATTCGTGGAAGAGGGTTACCACTTCGTCGTGCTTCAGAAGACTGGGCTTCTTGTCGGTGGGCTTGGTGAAGTTGCACACGAGAGCGGTGGCGGGGAAGCGGCGCTTGCCTTCGGCATCGATGAAGCCCTGGGAGATGTTAGACACGAGTAACGCCATGGAGTCTGGGATACATACCGGCTGCAGGTTGAAGTTGGCGGCGTGGCCATACTTGCCCTCACGGGGGAACAGGTCGAGATACAAGTATCCCACGAAATCACCACCCTCGCCCTCATCGTTCCACACGCTAAATACTTGCACATCCTCGTGCCAGACAATGTCATTGCCCTGACCCGTCGGGGCAACGGCAGCACGATCTTCACCAACAATCTCAACAAACTCGAGGCCAAAGAGCTCCTCGAAGATCTTCAGCATTCCCTCGATAGTAGTCTGCAGGGAAAGTATTCAGCAATGAGCTGCTGATCGAGCTGGTAGTCCCGCTCCAGCATCAAACGATCATAGAACCGATGATCCCACAGATAGTACCGACCATCCGACTTCGGGTCGTGCTCCTGCTTCAGCTTCATCAGGGTCTCAATCTCCTTCTTTCCACCGGCAGTCAACCGGCTACGGAGATCACCCAAAAATGTATCGACGGTCTCTGGAGTCTTGGCCATCTTGTCTTCAATGCGGAAGGCAGCGTGGTTGGGGTATCCCAGCAGGCGAGCCGCCTCATCACGTAGAATGATAGCCTCGCGGAAGAGAGGCACGTTCTGGTTGCACTTGTTCTCGTTGGCAACCATTACCTGCTTACGGGTTTCCGGGTTGGTAGCATACTTCATGGTGGGGAACAGATCCGGGTACTTGAAGGTCAGCCACAGCTTGCCGGCATTCTCTCCGTCGCCCTTCTTCAGCGAAGAGAGGACATCATCAGGCACACCGTCTAGCTGCTCCTCGGTGAACCAAATTCCGCCGTTCTCCTCGTTCAAGTTCTTCTGGAACTCAATGCTGATCTGACTCAGCCGCTTCTTAATCTCCTTGAACCGAGCCCGCTGCGGGCCAGCAGGCAAACCCAGTCCGTTTCTAATGAAATCCTTGTGTTCCTTCTCCAGGAGACGCTGGGACTCAGGGTCAAGAGACTCCTTTTTCTTCAGGGCAGCATCAACAAGCTTGTAGACATCCTCGCGCATCGCGGACTCGATGAAGAACTCATCCATAAGTTCCTCAGCCTTGGAGGATGCATCCCGAAGCTTCTGGTCTGTCGAGACAGCCTGATAGAAGCCCAGAATGTGGGCCTCAAGAGCCATGACGTTCTCATCTTGAGCAAGCGGCCGCAGCACGTTGGCAAATGTGGCGGCCTCGGGCTTGATCTCGGCGACGACCTTATCCTGGACAGAGCGGGATGTCTTGATGATTCGCTCGGCGTCGGAAACGAGGGTCTGAGGGGTGGCCGTGAAGATAGGCGGGGCCTGCGGCGGACGCCGGTGGTGAGCGGGGGCCATGCTGGAGGTTGTCAAGTATCGCGAATTCGTTCGGAGGTGACCCAGCACGGAAGAAAGGCGTGCGGGGAGACGGAGAAAAGGCGCCACGATGAGTGCGAGAAGGAGGATGAGGAGGGGTTGGCCAGCGGTGAAGGCTATAGTGGCGGGTTATGCGGTGTGTACTGCAGTGTGATTGTTGATACTCGAACCTACGTAACAGGATGGCATGCCGATGCCGGGGGTCATCTGAGTGCCTGAGGTGTCAATTGAGTCGCACGTGATGATTGTCCTGTTTCGTCGTGTTCCTTTTCGGGTATAGAGGCAAGCCACATGCGAACGAGATGAAGCTAAGCGATGGCTAGTCGACGCCAATGGTGTACATGAGACTATATTCACATGTCTGGTGGCTGTCCATAACAAAGTCAGGTGACCGAGCCCCCGCATCTGCAATTTTTTTTCCTTTTTCAGTATCAGTCTATCGAGTTTACCAGTCCTACGATCACATTGGAAAAGCATGTATATGGGTAATGAAAAGGTTCGTTTCTAGTTCATGACAAATTATCTATGTGACAGCCGTTTTTAGAAATAAAAAAACAAGAACGCCCGGAACACCAGCCCACCACTCAATGCAAGGCATGTAACATTCTGTTTAAGCAGCATCCGCAGTGGGGATGGGTTCGGGGATCTTGGTCACCTGCTGTCCAGCACGAATGACGCGCTGGCCTGACTCGTCGCGAACGTATTCGGTGTTCTCCTTGTGGGAACGCTTCCAGATCTCAACCTCGCAGCCACCGCGGATCACACCAACTCGCATGGTGGAGAGGAGGTTGTGAGCGGCGTTGGAGTGGTAGTAGATACCACCGTTGAACATGGCAGTGGCGTCCTTACCAATAGCAGAGCTGATCATGGCCTTGCCACCAGGGTGGTCCTTGATGAAGTCGGTCACGTCATGAACAACACCGGCGATGGCGACGAGACCACAGCCGTTCTTGCACTGCTCGACATAGTCGTCCCACTCAAGCACAGGGAGCTGATCCAGGGGAACACCCCAGTCAAGCTTCGCACGCTTCTGGTCAATCTTCTTCTGAAGCTGCTGGACGCGGCCCTTCTCGATCTCATTGGCACGGAACTGCTTGAGATCGTAGGCGAGACCAATCTGCTTCCAACACCAGATGGTCCACTTGGTGGGGTCATACTGGTGCCACTGAATGGCGTTGCGGTAGTCCGAAGGGAACTCGTGGTGGAAGTTGTGGTAACCCTCACCCAAAGTGACCAGAGCAGTGATAACGTGATCACGGGGAGAGTTGCGGTCATCGAAGGGCTGGTCACCAAGCCAGTGAGCGAGAGAGTTGACGCAGAAAGTGGCCTGCTGCACGAAGAAGATACGCAGAATACCGGCATAGATGAAACCACCAAGCCAGTCACCCCAGCCGAGACCGGCAACTACCATGGGAACGAGGAGACCCATGCAGAAGACAACCTTGAGGTAGTGGCGGTGCTGCCAAACAACGACGGGGTCCTCGTTGAGATCGGTGATGTCGGTACGGCCGATACGCTTGGGGTTCTGCTTCATGACCATCCAGCCAAGGTGGGAATACCAGAAGCCCTTGCGGACGGAGTAGGGGTCCTTGTCAGTGTCGGTGTAACGGTGGTGAGCGCGGTGGCCGCGAGCCCACCAGCGAATGGAGCCCTCAACGGCACCTCCACCAACGAGGGAGAGCCAGATACGCAGAGGCAAAGTGGCGGAGTAAGAGCAGTGAGCCCAAAGACGGTGGTAACCTGCAATGGTCAGCCTTTCATTCAATTGTCCCAAATTTTGATGTGATTGAATTTACTTACCAGCAGTGATGCCGAGACCGGTGAGGAAGTAGTAAAAAACGGCCCAGATAGCAGTCTTCAGCTGCAATGGCGTCCAGAAGGCCTGGATGCAGCCGATGGCCGGGATGCCGAGAATGAGGAAGACATTCAACCAGTTGACATGCTTGTACCAGTTGTTGCGAGTGATAGGCGTGTCGGCGATGTGCACCTTCTTGGTGTCGGGTGCCCGAGGGCGAGAAACCTCAGCCTTAGTCGACATGTTGATGATGTGGAGGAAAAAAGAAGGTATGAAAGGGTCGGGACAAGAGCTTTTTTATATGAGGGACCCACTTAGGACCAACGTTGGGGAGGAGTAGAGAAAGCAGGGATTGATCGCCAACGGATACGGGGAAGAACGCTTTTTTCCACCCGACTCGATCACAAGGGCCGAGGCTAGAAAGGTGAAGAGCGGCGCAGAGGAAGGAATGGGAGCAGATCAGTTATTCAATTCGACGAGTGGCGACATTCAGCGTTCCGAATGAAGTCGAATGTTGGGTCCGCCCCAACACTTTGTGGCCTGAGGCAGTACTTCTGTAATCACGTCTGTTTTCGGGCGACCTTTTCCTTATCAGACCACACATAACCTGTCGATGGACAGCTATGGTCTGGTCTGGTCTGGTCTGAGACTGTACAGGCGGCCGCGTGGGCTGATCTAATAACCTATGGGATGATGTTTGTTGATAATAGGAGCTGATGGTGGGTGGGACTCGAGCTGCTTGCATTCGAACTGCCATATGGCGACCGTTGTATAGCCTGTACTACAGCCTGAGGCATCTGCTGGTTTCATCGAGATGCATTGATGCATTGACTCATGCTGGGGCAAATCCAGACGGCTTTGTCCAGGCAACATATTTGTCTTCAGAAGACAAGGTGGTTGCAATTCCCACTCGTGAAAACATGACCCTTCATGACCCCTTTCTGACCCTTACTGGTGACATGCCATCGGACTGGCTGTCATTACTGGTCAAGGCACTTGCCACTTTTTGCAAATCATTCCCTTTCTCTCTGGTAGACCTCAATTCCCTTGGACCACCACCCAATCCACTCTTGATGATTTTGTTGACTTGTTGATGTTTCCGGTCTTACTTTGCCCATTTTCGAAGTTATTCGCACGGCCCCGGGTATTACCCGGACCTGCGTCAGGTCGGGTGGCGAGTCAACGAAAACTAACGAAATTTCACGAAAACTAAGAACCTTTCAGTGAAATGGGCGTCAATCATAACATCATATTGACGTGAGATTCGAGGCTATGCATCGGCCCCGAAATACGAAGAAGGTTCGAGCTTGTGTGCGCGCCGAGGCAGCTGAGTAACTCAGATGTCACCTTTGTTCAACCTGAGGAGGATGGGACGGCACACGTGACTCAAGTATTTCCCGAATGGGAGGGGGGCCCGGCTTACTAATCAGGGAGCTGAGACGGACTCGTCTTGGTACTTGAGATCGTACTTTGAAAGTCCCAATAGAGTGTGCATGTTTCAGGGTTACAAACCCAGGCGTTGAACTACCGACCTTAGGATAGACCTTCCTCCACGATAAGAATCGGCGCCTTCCACTGTCCACGGCAGTCTCCGCCCATGTCAAACCCTCTAGAAAGATAAACCCAAGATAAACCCCAGATATCCTTGATACGGGGGCGTCGAATGACCAGGGGAGATTCGGCTCCAGGGACCGCATGCCTAGCGCTAGCACCGCCCGGAACACCCGAGACGCATCTGTGCCCCGCCATGCGTGTTCAACTACACGGAGGAATATAGACGAGAAGGGTGAGCCACTTTAGTCGACGGCTTAACATTCCAGGGCTTATCTTGTGACTTCCCGAACGAGTCTAGATCGGACTGCTGATTGGCGAGGGGATGGGGGGTTCAAGGATCCACGGAAGATAAGTGTGTCCCCTGTCCGAGAAGAGTAAGTCGAGAGGTGAGATTTATGCGATGAGGTTGCTAATTGCGGGCCTGGACATCTTATCGGATCCACTCTCCACACTTTGGCCTCCGATCGTGGGTTTTTGTGGGAGAGATTTGTATATAGAGTCTCCGTGAGTCGCACGGTTCTATCCACTTCAAGCTCAATTCAAGTCCATTGAATTCATTAAATCCATCATGGATGGTCCAGATCAGATCGGGCCGGATCACAGGCCTCGGCGCTCCTTCAAAGACAACCTAAATCGTGCCGTAAAGAAGTTCACTACACGGTATGACTCAAAGGGATCATATTTCCATCTTAATATCCGACTAACTTGTCGCAAAGGGAGGGCCTCGTCGGTGACTACGACTACGCATATCTGTTTATTCCCCGCCTGCCGTTCACCAAGCGCCCCCGCAAATCCGCCCCATTCTTTGGTCTCGAAGACAGCGTCCCTGTTTGCCTTGCACTGATCCTGGGTCTGCAACATGCCCTCGCCATGTTGGCCGGTGTCATCTCACCACCTATTATCCTCTCCGGTACATTGGGTGCCAACTTCGGCAGTGAATACTCTCAGTATCTGGTCTCCACTTCCTTGGTGGTTTGTGGCATTTTGAGTGCCGTGCAAATGTGTCGGTTCCATGTGCGAGGAACAAAGTACTTCATTGGAACTGGCTTGCTATCCGTGGTTGGGACTTCCTTCTCGACAATTACTGTCGCCGAGGGAGCCTTCAGTCAGATGTACAAGTCGGGCTATTGTCCTACTGCGGCCGATGGGACCAAGTTGCCATGTCCGGATGGATATGGTGCCTTGCTCGGTACTTCTTGTCTCTGTGCGTTATTGGAGATCGGTCTGTCGTTCATGAGCAGCAAGGTCCTGGCGCGCGTCTTCCCCTCCGCTTGTTACTGGTCCTGACTGTTCTGTTGATCGGTGCTTCGCTCATCAAGTCCGCCATGCAGGACTGGGGCGGTGGTTCATCTTGTTATCCTAGCGGATCGACCAGGCCGATGTGTCCCAGTGCGGATGCGCCTCACGCTCTGCCCTGGGGAAGCCCCGAGTTCATTGGTCTCGGTTTCCTCGTGTTCGTAACGATCATTTTGTGTGAGCGCTTCGGCCCTCCTATCCTGAAGAGTTGCGCCGTCGTGGTCGGCTTGCTGGTCGGATCTGTTGTTGCGGCTGCCTGCAACTACTTCGAGAGGTCTGGCATTGACGTTGCTCCGGTGGCATCTTTTGCCTGGGTCCATACTTTCAAATTGAGCATTTACCCACCTCTGATTCTTCCACTACTAGCGCTCTACGTTGTCATTATGATGGAGTCGATCGGTGATATCACTGCAACCTGCGATGTCTCCCGCCTCCAGGTCGAGGGTGGTACCTTCGACTCCCGCATCCAGGGTGGTGTTCTTGGTAACGGACTCACCTGCCTCATTGCCGGCTTGATGACCATCAGTCCCATGTCTGTCTTCGCACAGAATAACGGTGTCATCGCTTTGACCAAGTGCGCTAACCGTACAGCCGGTTACTGCTGCTGCTTCTTCTTGATTGTCATGGGCATTTTCTCCAAATTTGCCGCTGCACTGGTCTCCATCCCCAGCGCCGTCCTCGGAGGCATGACTAGTTTCTTATTCAGTAGTGTTGCTGTCTCTGGTATTCGCATCATCGCGACCATCGACTTCAACCGCCGCAACCGCTTCATTATTACCGCCAGCTTCGCCCTGGGAATGGGTATCACCCTCGTCCCCGATTGGTGGTTCTATGTCTTCACTTACAGTGGAGATAACCACTCTTTGGAAGGTCTACTCAATGCCGTCGACCTTGTCATGGAGAATGGTTTCGCCGTGACTGCCATTGCTGGCGTCATCTTGAACTTGATTATACCCGAGGAAGACGATGATATTAGTCCCGTCCTCAATGCTAGCGAGTCCGATGAGTTGGAACCTACACCTGCTCCAGAGCCTGTCAAGGCCTGATTATGTCCTGTTATTTACCCATACCCCCATGATCTCATTTAGCTTTAGCCTTTTCACTTCAATCATACATTGTCATATATACATATGGTTCATTCTACATAATTCCCTTTCTTCATTTCCATCCTCTTCCCTTCGAAAAGTAATACATTTATATATTCAAACACCCTCAACAACCTCACCAGGCGCTAGCATCTTAATATATCGATGCTGCCCCCTCTCCAACACAGCAATTTCATCTCCACAAACGACTCTCCATCCCTGCAACGCCGGAACAAGCTGCATCCCAAGACACGCATTTGTCCTATCCCCCTCATCTATCCGTCTATAAGCCTTCAACGTCCGATCCGGCTCAACACCATGCCGCTCCCCAGACTCAGGATCCACATTCGGCAACCGACACCGTACAGTCCGACACGCAGCGTAGATCTCAACTCCGCCAATCTCTATCCGCTTCCAACTATCTTCTTCAAAGGCCCCGGGTCCTTGCGTAATTATATTCGCGCGAAATCGCCGGATACTTAGCTTTGGAATTGCGTGTGCACATTTCATCGCCACATCCCGATGACTGCTTAGGTTGAGTAGATGGATTGGATATGCGTCTGCGAATGCCGTGGTCGGTTGGAATCCTATCTCCTGCGCGCGGGGTGCGTTGCGATAAATCTGGCGTAAATGGATTGGGTTTGCGCGAAAAAGGGTTAACGGGGATTCAGATGAATTGAAGCCTAGATAGGTGTGTAATGATGGTGGGAGGAGAGAGCCGTAGTCCCAGGCTAAAGGCTTGTCTTTCCATATTTGGACTGGCAGGAGCGGGAATTTGGTGTCACTGGGTGGAACGAGGGGGACGCTGAATCTCTGCCGTGAATCGAGAAGTTTCAAGGCCATGGCTAGGTTCAAAATTACACCCGTATACCCTGTTGGTACGAGACGCGGATATGAGATTATCATCTCGCCTTGGATGGTTGAGTCGTAGCCTGGCGATGAAGGGTCTGGAACCCAGATCTCGGGATGGATCAGTGCGAGACGTTGGAAGCCTGCATTCCGTAGAGTACGACAGTTCCAGCCATCAGCTGTGTTCTCGGCAAACATGAATTGGCGGTCGAATTCTAGGCCTGTGGGCACGACATTGGAGGCTTGAAGCTCGATGCCGCCGCATGATTTAAGCGGGTAGGTGAAAAGTGCTTTGACGCGCCAGGTTGGGCGGCCTTGGACATCGTACTCATTTGGCACGCCTGTGTTGTATTTTGGGTCGAATTCATCGTCGAGATTGCTTGTCCCTTCTGGGAGGCCGAGTCGGCGACACCCTTTGGGATAGGACTGGCTGGGCGAGAACAGCACCAGTGCTGGAAGAATACAGATAATTATAACCAAGATTGAGGTCGCATCCCCTAGGGAATAGTCCCAGCTTATTGGGATTGACATAGGGTCATGAATGTGAATATAAGGTGATCGTATGGCTCCAGATTCTCGAGAGTCGCGTTTTCTGTCGAAATTGGACCCACCGATCGATCGATCCACTTTTCGACTACAGAACTGCGTCAGCGAACATTTAGTCCCTGGCGAGATGTGTCGGGCGGCGTGATTGAGATGTTCTACTACTCGGCTTAAATCAATGCGCCATGAGCATCAACAGAGAATTGGGTCTCGACAGCCAGGACTCGCGTAAGTTGCTCCGCGAACCGGACCCCACAGACACGCTGATAGCAGTAGTGCCCGTGGTCTCCATTTCGGCCTCACAGTCTCTCAACGCCTCAGCATCGTCCAGAACCCCCATCAGCACAGGACTGACGCGTCTGGACGAGGCCCTTGATGGTCTGGATCAAGGGCGCGGGGGCATCCTGCGCGGACAGGTGGCCGAGGCATTCGGGCCACCAGGCGCGGGCAAGACCTCATTTGCGTGAGTTTCTCTCTTGATACTAGCAAATTAAACTGATCCGGACTAGTCTCAATATTGCCGCGCAAGCAATTCGTGATGGTGGAAAGGTCGTTTGGATCGGTAAGCGACTCCTCCCAGTAGATGGCATCTAGCTCACTCTCCATCCAGACACGGGCTCGCCATTACCCGCCCACAGAATCCAGGCAATGACAGCCAGCCTGGACAGCGTGATTCATTTCCGAGCCCATACGCTCCCACATCTCTTAGCACTTTTGATGCGTCCACCCAAGGGGTTCCCGCCGGAAGAAACCTCCCTCATTGTCATCGACTCAGTCTCGTCTCTTTTCCCATCTTACTTTCCCAATGCCGCAGAGCTCAAGGAACGGCTGACCCAGGGCAAGATTGCCGATAAGGCCCAGCTGCAATGGCTTCTGAATCGGAAGTGGAATGTCGCTAGCGAGTTGGCTACTCATCTCGCACGTCTCGCAGCTCGCAATATTGCAGTGCTGGCTGTGAATCAGACTCATACTAAGATCAAAGGCCAGCCACGTGCGACGCTGTATCCTCTTGTAGCGGGCGGGGCCTGGGAGACTAATGTCCAGACGCGCATTGTTTTGTATCGTGATCTCCCAGACGCGAGGTTTGCCGAAGTTACCAAGCGGAGTGGGAAGACGTTACCAGTTCGAGTACCGGAGTTGATCGTCCAATTCCGGATCGAGTCGGTGGGTCCTTCGGGTCTCGAATCTACTGAGGTCTTACTGACATGTACAGAACGGCCTCCACGAGGTGGAAAGACAAAACGAAATCAAATCTCCCGACCCTACACCTAGTCGCAAGCGCAAAGCTGAGAATGAAATCGCCGAACAGTCAAGATGAAGACTCAGAAGGCGAATACGAATGGATGGAAGAGACTTTGCTCGACAAGGATTAGCTATTATGATTCCCGGACTCTACAAACGCCCTACTTTCCACAATCTCCCCATGGGGCTCCACCTCGGGCTGATCATCGTCTTGATCCGCCGTCTGATGCGTGAAAGAACATAATGGCAGCGTATCAGCAATAGCAATGGACATCGGATGTCTCGACCCCTGAATCAAATCCACCAGCTTGCCCAACACCGCAAACTCAAGCTTGAGTTTCAGCGAGTATATAAACCCCTTCAGCGTGATCTGCACTGCATAGAAATTGGCATACTCCAATCCTAGCAGGAGCAAATCCATGGCAATGATGGCGAAGTTGATCCCGATCAATTGATACATGATCGATCGTGTATCAGGACGCGTCGCCGACTCAGCACCGATCCGAAGCAATTTCACCGTCTCAATTACATACAGTGTCGAGATCAAACTCTCCTGAATCGTGAACCCGGTCAACTGAATCTTCTCCATAACATTATACCCCTGCACCCATGCAATCTCCCCACTATGGACGATGTTCGCCCCGTAGGTCAAGATCGTCGTGGGAACATGCAGTAAGAAGAAATTGGCAACAATCAACCATAATACTCGACGAAGGACTTTCTCATCCCGCAACACAAGGTGGAGCCGCGAGTATAATACGATGGATTGTCCGGTGACCATGGTCCACCACCCGATCGTGAGCACAGTAACTGATAAGACCGAGTCGGCGCGCGTGAAGAATTTCATCAGGAAGCCTATCGAGTACGGCACTACGCCTAGGCATCCCGATGCGAGGAGCGACCAGAAGTAGAGGCCTTGCCAGCGTCGGAATGTAGATGGCACGAGGACGACTAGTTCTGCGACGTTGTAGCATGATAATCCGATGAACGTCACTAGTGTCATTTGGAGGACGTCGCCTTCTGAAGCTAGTGCGCCAGATATCCCGTCTAGGAGGTCTTGGGATGGGTCGATCATGACTTCTATTTGGTCATGGTAGAGGGGTGTCGTGGGGGCAAGGCTTAATGAGAATGGGTCTAAAGGGGGGGCATTCTCCATGTCACACAGACTGGTTGCCTAGGCGCGTAAGTGACTGATTTGTAGCATGCTCAGATTGGAAATAATACTGGGGCATTCATCGACCTAGAATGTGATTTGTATGTCTGGGTTACAAGGAAGCTGCTATTGTCAATTCGCGCAGGTTGGGTTTGAGGTTAAGTAGGCGAAGCGGATTCCCTACTTGGAGATTTTACAAAGTCGCACCATTTTCCCTTGCTGCCTTACAGCTACGGTATGGGTAACAGGCCGTGCCATTTGTGGAATTATTATGCAAATATCCATCGGTGAGATAGGTCTGGCACTCTGCTTAATGGGAGGAATGCGAGCAGTCCAGTAAGAAAAATGATAGATCCACAGTGCAGTTCAATGTTTCGACCATTCAAGAATACGCGAAGAAATCATCGGATGAGTAGTCTTCATTTTGTGATAGGTGTTGTTTTCTACTTTGCTTATGTTGTCGCTGCATCCTGGGCTGTTTAAAGCTAGCAGTGAGTAAAGTAAGGTCTCTCTGTTTCTGTTTGGACGTACACCCCTACTCGTTGTAAAACTCGCTTGTATATGTTAAGGGATTGAAGGTGGAAGGTCTGCGCCAGGAATATAAAGATGCCAAGGAAAGAGCGAGAGAAGAGAATGTTAAACGATACAGCTTACGGGCAACTCTTGTTGTCCTTCAGAACGCAGATGCCGCCGAATACCGTGGTATGAGCTTGGGCGCTTACGACTAGAGACGGATCGTGAACATTTATGAATGTTTCTCATTTGCTAGGTCATTGCAACAAAGTCATTCCCATTGTAGCTGCTCACAGATTGGTCAAGTAGTCCTCAATCTGCTCCTTAGTCAACTTCCTGAATCGGGGTCCCTGAGCACCCTCAACACCCTCATAGCCCAACAGGTGGTCCGCCGGCGGGCCAACAATTCCTACTTCCGTCAGCCTTTATCATCGACCTCGCAAAACATACAACATACCGATCTCTATCGTGTCCCCGTTCATTTCGCCCTCAATCGTCTCCTTGAGCGTCAACAACGCAATGTGGATAGCATCCTCCAGCTCCAGACCCTCGGTGTACCGCTTCTCAAGGAAAGTCTTCGCGCTGGTAGCGTGCTTGCCGATGGCCGTCGCCTTCCAAGGATAGTAGCTGCCACTAGGATCAACCTGGTACAGACTAGGTCCGCCCTTGAGGATACCGCCAGTCTTGCCGCCCTGGCCTTCTTCAGGCTCGACACCTTCGTCCCAGCCTGCAACCAGCAGACTGACACCGTACGGCCGAACACCTCCGGACTGCGTGGCCTCTTGCACCACGCGCGCCACGTCCTGCACCAGTATCCGTGTGGGAGGGTACTCGTTGTAGATGCGCTTGTAGCCCGTGTGTGAAACCTTTCGCGCCTTGTCCACTAGGACCCGGTAGTCGGGACCCATGCCGGCGTACACCATTCCGATGTCTGGGGTGATCAGCGAGATTTTCGAGAGAGAAGGCGGATCGATCAAAGGCGAGGAGGATTTCTTTTCGGTGGCCAGGACAATTCCATTGGTAGCTGTCGTGGTCAGTGATGGAAAGGTAAGCGAAGTCATTGATTTGGCATGGTACCTTTGATGCCGAGGGCTGTGACACCCTGGTTGACAGCGTTCAAGGCATATTCTGTGAGTTCATTAATGCGTGCTCCTTAGATCTAATTTGTTGATCTTACCAATCTGCACCAGCTTGCCGCTATTCATGTTGTTAGTCGTCGTCAATCATTGGGCCAAGGGCACATACCTGGGCGAGAAGGTCGTCAGGGAGAAGGAGTATCGGTCAGCCATATTTTGATGTCTGATCAAAAAACACGGCGAGGGATGAATTAAAGAGGTGCAGGTGTAGGCAGACGAGGGTGACGTTTGGGGGAAGCTCAGGTGTGAGCTGCCAAGGCGGTGAGCTCCATCGGGTTAGGCCACTTCCCATAAATGCAGTGGAGCTTTTTCACACAAACTTCCCTCATCTTTCCCATGTCCGATGACGAGACAATACAGCCAGAGCCGGCTCAGGACTTTGAGTTTGCAGAGACTGCAGACTCGGCAGATCCGGCCTACCCTCCTCGAGTCTGTCGAATTTGCCTAGAATCCGTTTCGCCCACCCTCCAGCCCTCGGAATTTCTCCAGAGACCTCGCGTTGTGTATGAATCGGAAGACTCCGGCCGCTTGCTTAGCCCCTGCCAATGCAAAGGCTCCTCGAGATATGTGCACGAAAACTGCCTGCAGACATGGCGGCACGCGGACCCCCGATACGGCGCGAGGAACTACTGGCAGTGCCCGACCTGCGGCTTTCAGTATCGGCTACAACGTCTAACCTGGGCGAGGTGGATCAGTAGTGCTGGCACACAGCTCCTCCTCACCATCGCCATTTTAATGTTTACTGTTTTCATTCTTGGTTTTGTTGCTGACCCAATCCTTGATTTGTACCTCGGCCCCATTGACATCGATGTCTACGAGTTGGAAGAGGAGCTTAACACAGACGCGTCATGGATTGCCCATCTTGCCAAAGGAGTGGCTTCTCTCGGTCTTTTGTCTATTGCCAGGTCGATCTGGGTATTTTCTCCGTTCTGGAGCCCGCGCTCGGGGATATTGGCTGGCCGCACGACAGGACGAGACCGAGCTCGCTCTCTCAATTGGTTGGTCATTGTCGTCGGCGTTGGCACCTTTCTCTGGGTATGTACAACGCATCATGATCAACACTGGTCACTACTAACCTGCTCAGGCTGTTTACAAAGGTGTACGGTCCTGGAGTAAACGAACACTAGAAAAGGCGGGCGAAAGAGTGATGGATGTGTCTTTACCAGAGGACGATGTAAAAACCGAATGATCGCACTACTTAAAGTTGCCGTGCTTTACCAATGGCACGTTGATTAGTCGATGTGCGAAGAAACATGTTGTCTTCATTAACTCTACGTGCGTCTTGTCTGCGAGGCTTGTTGGCGTGACATTTGGAACGTTTTGTTCCTCGTCGCGCTCTTGCTTCTTTTTGTCAGGCAAACGTCGAGGGGAAGACATAGCCACTGCTTGATTCCATGGACACGTCCTTGTCTCACGACTGCCCTTACGACGGTTCGGATCGAGGAGTGGTAAACTCATTAGTCTAATTCTATTTTCTTTTCTTCATCTTTCATCCACCGGGTCTCTCCACCTTTCACCCTTACACCTCATCTCGGAATCACAATCTCATTATAAACATAATTCAATACATTTATAAAATTGATCATATGAGGATCTTCACCTCGTGTTTCACTTTGCCCGAGCTGAGTCCCAAATAACCCTTCTCGAGAACATCGAAGAACTGCTCTCAAGCCCAAAGCTGCGCAAGGAATCACATATTCTCTCTGTGAATATGACCAAAAAAGTTATAATATGAACTTTACCCTGTTTCGCCAGTCGGAGAATTGTCTCAATGCCGAGGATTCACGTGAGGCTAATGGAAACGCACTAGGCCTTCTGGAATAGATAGTGCTCGTCAACAATCAGATCCACGGGTCATTGAGCAAGTCTACGTTTGTCATCAAGATACTGGAACGAATTGACCAAGAGCAAGAACCCGGAAAAGCGCTTTCGTAGAATGGCACACGCTGTATCCGTGTGTGGCAAAGACCTTTTTATTCTGCTTTCAATCTTTACTGACCCTAGCAATGTGACCAAACACCGCTCTACAGGGCAGAGCTTCCTTGCCTGTTTTCCACTGAATTCATTCACCCCGAAACCCTTCGAGCGTATTAGTTAGACCATTTTTATAAATCTGACACAACTTTAACGGACCAAGTAGGATGTATTCACGAGGGTGAGTGTCATGCATGGAAGTACTTATGTTCGTAAAATCCGACAACCATACATACAACCCTAGATCCAACGTCCAAACCCCTCAAGCATTCCAATCCTTATAAGCCCCCAACTTAAACAACTTCTGCGCATTTCCCCTCCCAATCTTAACCTTGTCCACCTCATTCAAAGCCAACCCATCAAACCAAACACACCCATCCTCAAAAGTCTCAAACGGATAATCAATCGAGAACAAAATCCGATCCGCCCCAACCTCAGCCAAACAAAAATTCAATGTCGTAGTCGAGAAGTGCCCACTAGTAGTGATCCAAAGATTCTCCGCAAAATATTCCCGAATCGTCTTCTTACATGTCTCCTGCAATCCGAGCAACTTCTTCCGATCTTCGAACCAGTGATTGATTCTCCACATATCAAAAGGGATATGTTCGCCCAGATGGCCTAGAATTACTTGGAGTTTCGGGTGTCGGTCGAAGATCCCATTCGTTACCATTCCCAGGACGTGGAGGGAGACGCCCTGCGCGAAGGAGAGCGGCGGACCGACGAGCCATTTCCGGTCTGCCCAGAGCTTCTCGTAGATTGTTCCTGTTGGATTGCGCGGGTGCAGGTATAGGGGTACGTCGAGTTCGGTGCAGGTGGACCAGAAGATGTCCCAGGAGGGGTTGTCGTAGAAGATCATCTCGTCGCCGTCGGGACCAGCGCGTTGCGTGTCGTTTACTAGGGCGCCCAGGAAACCGTGCTGAGTTACGCAGCGGCGAAGTTCTTGAGCTGCTTCGTTGGGGTCGTGCATTGATAGCGTACTGGTTTTGTTAGGTGGATTGTGTCTATGAAGCGAGGGAGAAGGGGACATACGCAAATGCAGCGAACTGATCAGGATGCGCTTTCACTTTCTCCGCGATATAATCGTTGATCTCAACAGCCAGAGCTTGGGCATCCTTGGGATCCCAGATATCTTGCACGCCCGGCGCTGTGTATGAAAGAATTTGAAGGCCGACGCCGTGCTTCTCGGCGAAGTTTAACCGGATGGAATCGACGTCGTTGATCTCAGCGACATGCTTATCCACATCCGTCGCGAACAAGCCTGCCCACCAACGAGTCTTCTCCTTGAATCGAGGTAGCGCAAACGCTTCTTCGAGGGCGATCTTTCCAAGCATGATGGTGTGTAGGGAATGATCCTTGAAAGTGACGGGCGTCAGGGCGGATGGGAACCGCGGTTTATATGCTTGTCCAGATAGTCTCTCGTGCCCCGCACTTTCGGATCGATGTCCATCTTTTTGCTAAGGGTTGAAGGTACGTAAGTGAGCTTCGGAAGGAATTCATCGGCTCGTATCCGACGGCGTCGGTCCACCTCAAATGCCAGCTCCACCTCCGCATTTGGCGGGCGTTGGCGGCTCAGCACTGCGGGGCTGGTGTGCCATCCGACGGTCTTGCAGGTCTAGATGGTCAAGTTCTCGTCCTAGCTAGAGAGTAAAGCGATGCTACGGATCGACACATCGTTTGAAATATTAAGAATTGTCGGAAGATGCGTGCCGATGGTTATCTCTGGTCTCATGAAACTATTCATTTGATTCCCCGAGAATCCACGTTTTCTTGTACAACCAAACCCTATGGCATGTACAACCATTGGGTTATTATTGTATGCTTGCATAATGATGCGTCAACTAATTCGTACTTGTCATCAACAATCCGATCCCTGTGTATCCATCTAAATACAAAGATATAGCCCGGGAGATCATGAATCACGACCACCCAGACGAGGGACAATCAGCTTGCCAAGCTAAACCCCCTTGCGACCCGTTCGAATGTACAAGCGAAACCAACATCCCCAAAACAGCAAACTCAAGCTTCAACTTGATACTATACACCATGGCCTTGAGAATCACCTGCGTGAAATAATACCCCACATACTCCAGAACCACCAGGCTCGTGTCCATCAAGATAGCAGCCACGTTAATCGCAAGCAGCTCGTATAATATCTTATGTCGCTTCTTGTCGTCGTTGGGGCTCAGTCGGATCATTCGGACCGTGTCATAGATGTAGATTGTTGAGATCAGAGTTTCTTGTGCCGAGAACCAGGTGAGTTGGATTCGTTCCATCGCTTGAAAACCTCGGCTCCAGCTTGGCGTGAGCACATAGCTTGAGCCGATATTAAGGGTGATTGTTGGGACGAGAATGAAGAATAGGCTGGCCATTATCAACAACCGTACGGACCGGAGGACAATGCGACTCTGTGAGATGAGATGGAGGCGGGAGTAGAGGACGATGGATTGGTTCGGGACCATCATTACGAATCCGATATTGGATAGGACTAGTGACAGCCATAGTGGACCGATTGAGAAAAATTGAAATGCTGGACCTATCGTTCCTGGGACGACTCCCAGGACGGCGGAGGTGAGCAGTGCCCAGAAATATAGACTGTGATAACGGCGGAAACTGAGTGGGATGATAATTCCTAGCTCGACGGCATTATATAGTGCTATCGCCATGAACACGATAAGAGCAATCCCCAGCACTTGGTTGCCGGGCCCGGCTTGGAAGAGCGTCGCCGGCACCTGCTCGAGGTGCGACATATTGGACGCGGTGGGAGGGCGTGCCTGGGGGGCATGATGTTGTTGGGGTGTGGCAATGGAATTACGTTCTGGTTATACGGCTCGCGGAGAGGGGAAAAGGGAGAGTTTTGAGGCCAAGCTTAAAATGGCATGGCGACTCTGATAACCATGAATATTGTGAATGGAACTCCAATTATTCGATGCGGATGGTTGAGGAGGCGCGCGCCACGGATGGCGGTACGTCATGAAAAACGGGAAACCCAATGACTCGAACTGGAAGTGTTTCTCCCCAATTCGGAAGAATGGTTCTGGAAAAGAAGGCGTGGCCCTTCTAATTGCACTTTGGAAGAAATGGATGATGCTCGAATGAGTACTAATTATACACTACACTGTCATTTGCGCGAATCAACCTTCACCGATAGCGCCAGAACGGGGTCGCCGATCACCGTCATCTTCGTCATCATCTAGAGCTGGGAAAAAGCACAGGGTAACCATGGATGACATTTTGGTGAGAATTCTAAACTTGGGTCGAGTTAAACTGCGAACTTGCTCTCACTGAAAGTGTCTAGTAAAAGCGACTAGACCAACAACAATGAATGGGAAATTATACAGTGGCAAGCTGCTGATCCTATATGTGCTGGGCTGTACATAGGGACATTCAACATCGTCTAATTCATGCACAGCACCAAGAGCGTGATAGCGACGATCTCAGAGCGAAGCAGGACTGCTGGCGTACAAGCTATGCCATCTGCCCCACTTGTCCCAATCAACGTTGATTTCTGTCTGATGGTAGTCTGAAGACTTGGAAACACCACTTTCATCGACTTGTACTTCAGAGGTCTTGCAGGTACGTAAGGAAGTTATCAGAGAATACTTGGATTGGTAGCGGTAGTCAGAGTTTCGCATACGATGGCATTCTCTCTTGGTATTGTTGATCGATTTGAAAAGCCGTTGCAGAGTTGACACTGTGCATGAAGCACTCACCCCGGCAAGATATTCCTACCGCCCCTCGTTGCTGCGGCGAGGGAGGTTTTTATTGCTTTCCAATGATTCTTGATATTCCTGTCATTGAAAGGCCGAATCGCTCAAGCTTGGCACGCGCCTGGTAATATTGGACGTTCAATGTGAGGGCTGGCGATTCTGATTAGCATCGCTCTTGTAATGAGACTTCCCAATTACTGTTCAGAATTTGAGACCAAACAAGAAACTCATCTTCCCAGTTATCTACAAGATACGGGCACTGTCAACTCACCATTCCGAGACCGAGGAAACTTGAAGGCCGGATTGCAAAGGCACCAGCTGATACCTCTCTGTACAGATTTGTCCTGGCTGCTATGTCACGAGGCGGCAGATCCATCGCCGTACAATACAAGCTTATCATTTCCGGGCAAGATCTTATATCTCTCAGCAAAAGTCAGACATATCGGCCGAATGAGTAGGATCCATCAACCTGCTTCCGAATTCAAAATGCTGTCCCAGAAATTTTATCCGAGATCCAGTATTAGTTCCGCACGACCTCCTAAAGATGGAGTGCTCAGCTCACCCAGTTGATCAAGTCTGGATTCAGCCATTGAGCTCCATCAATCCAGTTATTGAACGTGGTGTCAATGTCAAAATCTCGCGAGCCGGAAGATTCGAAGCTGTCCGTGGAGACTAAGATTCTATTTCATGATGCATTAGTCTAGTTTGCATCGACGAACGGTATAGCAGAAGGAACAAACGCATACTGTAAATGTCGAAGAATAGGATAGGCCTTAGCGCAGATGAAGCTCTTGTTCTGGAGACTCTCAACACTTCGACTGCGAGGCAGACCGGAAGTATGGTTCATTCCGCTTACAGAACGGCCGATGTAAAAGGAGATAAAACTGGTGGGTATATATTTGTAGAACACACCAATGAGCGTAGCCTGCTGGGTGTAGCAAACTTGGAAATCCATCAAGAAGGAAAGTAGAGTCCCACTGACGCTGTTCCTCGGCAACTTCGCTATCCAGGAGGCGAAGGGTAGCTTTATTTGCCCTAGAGTCGCTGGAAAGATGGCGGCAAACCTTCGTGAAAAGTTGAAACAACCTAACTTTGAAATGCATCACAGACATGTCACGCATTGGGAAACTCCGGGCTCGTCCCCATGTCTTCCTTCTCGTACAAGATCTCCGGACTCACATTTCTCCGCAGAATATATCTCTTCAAAAAATAAGGGATCTGTCTCAACCCGTATCTCGCATGAAAACGAGTCGGCACAGAGAAAACTTGATCCAACTCCTCAAGAGTCTTATTCTTAGTCTCAGGCATAAAGAACAAAACAAGCCACCATCCAATGATATTCCAGCCGGCGTACCACGCAAATCCACCCTGCGCAGTAAACGCATTACGCAGAGATGGCCAAGTCACGCCGAGAACGAAATTGAAGAACCAGGTTGTCGCCGTCGCGAGTGCCATTCCGTAGGAGCGGACATAGAGAGGGTAAGCCTCTGCGGAGTAGGTAAAAGGGACCGGGCCTCCGCCTGGAGAATAGACTATGCCAAAGAGATAGGTTCCTAGGGCTATGCAGCCTGTTCGGGCGGCGTGGCGAGTTTCTGGGATCCAAAAGGAGAAGCCGGTAAAAAACATTGCTATGGACATTAAAGGGAACGTGGATAGGAGGAGGTTGCGGCGGCCGAAGGTGTCGATTGTGTAGATTGCGGGCATCGCGAAGAGCCAATTTATTACGCCCCAGCCGAGGGATGCGGCAAGGGCTGAGGCTGGTGAGAAGTTTGCTTCCTATTATGGGTTAACTGATGTATCTACATTTGGTGGGCGTGGGGTGATATACCAGGAATATTTCGCTCGAGTAGTACGCGATCACGTTGACACCGCAGAATTGCTGCATGAACATCACCAATTCCGAGGCGATCATCGCACGACGGTTGCGCGGAACAGTGATGAGCTCCAGTAACTTATTTTGACCGAGGACCATGCCCGATTCGGCTTCGAGAAGAACATGCATGTAGTACAAGTCACGCGCCGCTTGGATCTTATGGTGACGCAAGGTACAAATGGACTGATAAGCGCGAAAATATTGCTTCTTACTCATATACCAACGGGGCGACTCCGGACAGGTAAAGACGAAGCAGCAGACCACCAGAGCCGGGAACATGGCTGAAGCCATCATGAGACGCCAATTGAGGCCAACGATGCTCGGGGTATCGGAGACCTTGTAGAAGATCAGGTCCGCGGCATACCCTAGCATGATTCCGAAGGCCGTCCACATCTGCCACTGCATAACCAGAGCACCTCGAATAGCTGGTGGGGCTGTTTCAGCAGCGTACACGGGGACAGTCGCTGATTTCGGACCGATGCCAAACCCCAACGCGAAGCGCGCGATGAACATTCCCCACCATGTCGAGACAAAGCCCTGCCAGAGACAAGCAATGGCGGAGAAGCAGCATGTTATGAAGATTGTCCCTCGACGTCCGAACCAGTGATTGAATGGCACTGTGAGCCAGCACCCCACGAGGGCGCAGCAGAGATATGGCGCTGCGTTGACTAGACCCACCAGCCAGGCGCTTCTCGAGTCTTCGCCAGCGATACCGAATTGGTGTTTGTACCAGATCTGGGCACCGTTCACTACAGTTTCATCCTTCTTGTTGTTAGTACATAAGGTGTGTTGGACACAATGCAAATTGACTCACCATTCCCTGAACGGCCGCAGATAGTGAGCACAGCGCAATGACCACATACATTTTCCATGGCTGCGACCAACGATGCGCAAACTCATGATGCAGAATCTCCTTTTCCTGGCTCGTCAGTCCTGGTACGCGGTCATACTGTTCGGGACTTTGAGCAAGCACGGCGCCCAGCTCGAAAGCGCGGATATCAGTCTCATCGCCAATCTCATGATCGACCGCAAATCTGTGACCCTGTTTGCGCAGCTCGTCATGGCTGTATCCAGCCAACGGATTGGATAGTTTGGCATTGAGGTTTCGTCGAGCACGCTCAGCAGCGGTACCAAAGGTGCGCCGAGGCACGAAATTGGGTTCGGGGGACGTTCTCGTGCTCCTCGAACATGCCTCTGCCTGGTTTGGCAGACATGGTGGGCAGAGGGTATAAGGGGCGAGTTGCACGCAAAAGCAAACCTGAGGACTCGCTAGGTCACATCGAGTGGAACGAACACCTCATCTGAGATCGGCTAGTGCTGAGCAGATGCTGGGGGCCAGATCCAGATCTTCCCGCAGATGGGTTGATCCTGGTTGATTTCGATCCCAAACACCCTTTGTGACTGGTGTCGGATCAGGCATGCACTATTTCCCTTTTTGGCGAGTATCGGGGAACAGGATGATTTCGACGAGATTCTCAGAAGAAGTCCACCGAGGTGCGGAGTACCTGGGTGAGATGCTGACGGAGTCTGACACCGACCTCCACCGGGCGCGTCGATCCCCCAGACTCCGGACCCCACTCAGAATCGGCATCTGAAGAGAAGTTGCCTATCTCTAGCTCTTGATGCCATAAGTGCAGCTGGCTGGACTGCTTGAATAAGCACTGTTTATGAGATTACGAGGGCCCGTGGAAGCTACCTCACCGCTACATCCTATCTACCAAGCGCCAGCCCCTATTCTCATCCTACACGTATCGTGGTATAGCTTCCATTGTTGCCCAGCGTACGTCATCATCATGGAATGATAAAAGCCTGTCGGGATTTCACTCGTGGCTGAAATCCGGGTGAATGATGCTCGAGTGAATGACCGTCTTTGCAAGTGGATACATAGCCTTAGACATGAAAAAGCTGTCCCCGCGGCCTGCATAGCGGGTACATGAATGCTACACACCTTTCTATGTGATAATCCAGGCGGGAAAAGTGCGGAATGATCCAAATACAGTTACATACGATGCATTTCGCTTCCTACTTCCAATCCAGAATAGGACATACGCTGAACGCAACCCGATGACATCAATCCGAACATCCCAGTCCGTGTAAGTTAATAGAAGTGGGCACAATAAAGTAATTGCCGGGACAAGAACAACAAGTCGAGTCTGTGACAAATCCTAAACCAGATCGGTGTCGGGGGGTTCCCACGGACCTCACTTCACGAATAGCCGCCTAACCCGGGAATTCTCATCTTCCCACAAACTCGCCGAAGATACCAACATTTAGCACTACATGGCTGACACTGTATCCCTTGCCCAGGCTGGCTTTCGGGTCGAATACTACTTCTTCTACGGTAGCCTCATGGACCGCACTGTCTTGGCTAGAGTCCTGCAAAAACATCACAGACCCGAGATCTACCCCGCGAGTCTGAAAGGATGGCAACGCAAGATGTGGGGAGAATATCCAGCTCTTGACCACAGCCCAGGATACACCACAAAGGGAACGGCATATGAGGTCCGCTCTTCTCGGGAACGAGATCGTCTCATTGGATACGAGACGGATGCATACAAAGTACAACCCTGCCTCATCGACGTAGGGCATGGGCACTCTGTGCAGGGTAAAACGTTTGTCTGGGATGACGATCCAGAGCTTCTTCGATACGGCACATTCGATCTTAAGGATTGGCTACTGAAACAAAAGGAGTTCGAGATTCAACAATTTCACTAATCTAGTCAGGTTCTATCACTATGGCAGCTTCGGTCCCTATTCCTATGTCTGATGATCGTTAGCAATGATCAATCACATGGCTTGACAAATGCAAAATGGAGTTTTCTACAAGTCAGATAGCAGTTGGACATTGACATTTTGTCTTCAATATGATTCAGATCAGGTCTGTGAAATCATGCTTCATCATGAAAGGAAAGGGACTCGCACATGCAAAGAACGCAAAAGAACTCACCATTCCAACATTTCCCGCCGACTGAGAACAGTCGACGAGCCTCTGGATCGATGACATGGTACCCCTCTGATGACTGATGATCATTAGCGACGATCAAAGGTGAAAACACAGAACAGTTGAAGCTTCATCAGAAATTGTGATGTGTGGATTGTTATCCTCAAGATTATTCAGAACAGGTCTGTGAGAAATCGATATTTCATCATCGAAGCAAAAGAAAAAACAAAGGACTCACCATTCAAGCAGTCGACACGAGTTCGTCCATCGTTTGCCTTGCGCATTGCCTGGTAGTGTACATCCCATCCATCTCGAGATGGAGCGTGCTATCCACCGCCAGGATGGTGACCGACCATCCGATCAACGAAGGGCTTCCACCAAGCGGCGTCGGTGGTTGGTCCTTCATAAGCCAGGGTGGTTCCACATTCACTTGCAGGGCATTTGCCATCAGCAGCTCCTGTGGCGGCCCCCCTGGACGAATGTCGACTTCCATGACACCAGTATTGGACCAGACTGGGTGCATGTAGTCATCGGTACTCGCACTATCAGCCACATGGAACGACTGCGAGCCGAAGAGGTCCGCCAAACACGACCAAAGAACCTGCAAGATCATCCCATGTGCCACCAACCCAATGACCGCATCGCTGCTAGTAGTGCGATCGGCCATCAGCGGCAAGATCTGATCTCGCAGGAATCCATTGATTCGCAACTTCATCGAGGCAACCGACTCGGCTCGTAGCGGCGCATTTGGCATTGATCCGCATCCAAAACACCGCTCCCGTAACTTCGCGGTCTGAAAAGGCTCCAGCGGAGGACCACTGCGCAGCTGATGCCGACAGATGATCCGAGCAGTCTGGGTAGCACGACTGAGATCCGACGACAGAACACGGTTGAAGCGAATTGGACGATCGCGAAAATACCGAGCAAGCCGCATGGCCTGTTCGCACCCAAGGGGGTCAGGCCCGACTGGCCGGCGATTCTGGGTTGTCAGTTTAGGGTCTGGTGCTCTATCCGTGCACATACAATGCTTGGCCCACATTATGCTGGCATTCTGCATGGCGGATGAGGAACAGTCTCATCTTGGGTTAGGCAGGATTCTTGACAGGAACAGGCCTAGAGACCAAGTTGAGACTGGGAGCTAGTTGAAAATGATGTCCCTATGAACGCATGTCCGAAGGCAAAAGCCAATGGCTGGATATCCCAAAGCAGACACACCCATGGTCAAGTCATTGAGCCTGGAAGCTGGAGCTAGAGGATCTGCAATTTCAGATGGATTGAAGAGAAGAAAATAAAATGAGAAGCGAGAGCTAAATAGTCGGCGGTGGAGCAGCAGAAAAAATCTCCCCACTCATAAACAAACAGTGCAAACGCAAACAAAAAATATGGATAGAATCATCACCGGTGACACTGTTGCTTTTGCTTGAATTTTGCTTCTGTCAAGTGTGTGAGGTGATTGCAGTGTCAATTACAGTGAGCTCAATGCCTGGGAACAAGTTTTGTTTATCTGTGGGAGCTAACAAAGTCAAAGACTATGGCCGACGTTGAGATCCCCAAAGAGGAGGAGAGTGAGTAAAACTTTCTAGAATATTTCCAGCTCCCAGCTGACCATACAAAGCTCCTAGGACTCCTTATACTCCTAATCAGAATGTCCGTACCAATGGCCGTGCCTTCAATTCTGCCAATTGGCGTACCAAAGGCGATAGTCCCCAGGCTTCTCCTTCGCCGCGTACCATTACCTCTCGTTCCGCCTTCAGTCGCCCCGGTCCCCATGTGCCTCAAGCCATCTCGGAGGGTCGCCGTCTCTACGTGGGAAACATGCCATATACGGCCAAAACGGAGGATGTGGAGGCCCTGTTCACGGCGGCCCAGTATTCGGTGTAAGGAACAATGTGGTGCCAAATTTGTGCTTCACATGCTGAAATCGAATTCATAGCGAGCGTATTGATATTGCCATCGATCCTTTCACCGGCCGGAATCCCTCCTACTGCTTTGTCGACTTGCAGACCAAAGAAGCGGCTGAACGGGCCATGATCGAGTTGGACGGGCGTGACATGCAGGGTCGAGCTGTCAGGGTCAAGCCCGGTGTCACTAAGTCTGCTAGTGAACGAACTGATGACCGATCGGGAGAACGAACTGGCGAACAGAGCCGAGGAGCTTCCAATAACATCATCAATGCTCGCTGGCGTAGTCCGGCAACCGCCGTTACGCCTCCTCCTGATTCCAGCCAGCGTGTATATGTTGGAGGTTTGCCTCGAGTGGCTGAGCAGGAGACTGTGGAAAGTAACATGAAGAATTTCTTCTCAGAGTTCAGGGTGTATGATCAATCCCTCCTCCTTTCCTTCAGAAGTAAATTGACTGTTCAGTAGTGAGGCTATAAGCAAGCTTTTCGCTCCCCATCCCGCCAAGCGCTTTGATCCCGGTGATCACTACTACCTGTTCGTCGAATTGGACACTGCTGAGGAAGCGCAACGTGCCATGGATACCCTGAATGGCCAGACTGGTCCGTGGGGAGGTCCGCTTCGTGTGAATCGTGCGCGGGGACCTAGCCAAAGGCCTGGCGAGCGCAAAGAGGAGATCATTGCATGAACCGAATCACATTGAGGTTTTGATAGAATGATGCATCATGAATAATAGAAAATTTAGGAAGAACGAGAACCAGGTTTCTCCAGCAGATGCCGCCTGATTGAAGATTGCGGAATCGGATGACGTTTAGTGGAGTCGGAGAAATCCAGACTTTCTGCTTCACCGCTGCAAGATCCCTCCCTTTTCACCTGTTGCGGGCTTGTGCCTTTTACCTTTTACTTTTTTTTTTCATTTTTCTCTATTTTCTTTTTCCATCTTCCTTTTGAGGATCTCTCGGTTACCCTATTCGACCTAGTCGCGGTTTTGCATGTTGAGTAGACGACGACTACGACTACGATCTGCTTGTCCTAGGCCCGGAACCTCTCCCTAGTTTTCCCGAAACCACATTTAACAGACATGTCGACTGGAAGTGTGATCCGGAGTCAGCAGCAGCATAAGGTCTTTGTTGCTAGCGTAAGTGAATTCTTCAATTTCAATTCTACTTGGGCTCTCCTGGGGACTCTGGCCCCCCCCACGGATCTTCTCAGGAATATCCGCGGGGATCCCTGCGTTGCCCCTCCTTTTGCCTCGGCTGTGCCCTTAGATAGACATGATCTTAGTCTACCGCCCCGTGAATCATTCCGCGGTTTCTGTACTGGCGGGAATCAGCAAAGATGTATCGTCTGGAACACAGTTCAAATAATTGGTGTCAGGGAGTTCACGTGAGGCAGTGGTCAGGCAACGACAAGATCCCGATTCGGGCGTTGCCCGTGGACATCCCCGGGCCTTAGTATTGTCTGTCATTCTGCGCTCCGACTCTTTCTATGCTTTCTTTCCTTCGTGACTTCACGGTCATTATTCACCATGTATGCTAACGTGATCGCAAAGTCCGATGAGTCAAAGATATGTGTGGTCATGGTTGGTCTGCCGGCCCAGGCAAGAGCCTCATCGCCGGCAAAGGTACGCGTCCCGAGTCATAGAGAGGAATGAAGACTAACGAGATTGTAGCTATGAGATACTTGGCATGGGTCGGAATTCCCGCGCGCGTGTTCAATGTCGGCAGCTATCGTCGCCACGCCACGCCTCAGCCGGCAGCCACCTTCTTTGACCCTCACAATGAGGAAGGTGAGCGCATGCGTCGCGCTGCCGTAGAGGCGGCCATGTCCGACATGCTCAATTGGTTCAAGAAGGGCAAGGGTGTAGTAGCCATCTTAGATGCTACGAACTCAACCAAGGAGCGCCGAAAGTGGATTTACGAAAGTTGTCGGGATGCCGATATTGAGACTCTATTTGTTGAGTCTCTTTGTGATGACGAAGATCTGATCATGACCAACATTCTCGAAGTCAAGACCACGTCACCTGATTATAAGGGACAAGATCCTGAGCTGGCTGCTGTCGACTTCCGCAACCGCATTCGCAATTACGAGAAAGTATACGAGACTATCGACGACAATGAGAAGAAATACACATATGTCAAACTCATCAATGTTGGCTCCACCGTGATTATCAACCAGATCAAGGATTACCTGTCTAGTCGGCTCGTCTACTACATCCAGAACCTGCACATCAAGCCACGGTCCATTTGGCTGTCAAGAGTATGTCTGCCGTCTCCATCCATTCGAGACCACAAACTAATTGCGTCTGCAGCATGGTGAATCAGAGTTCAACTTGACTGGCAAAATTGGCGGGGACTCTAATATATCCGAACGTGGCGAGCTATACGCCCAGGCCCTACCCCGACTCATGCGCGAATCTGGAATTCCTGCCAACACCAAGATTGTCATCTGGACATCGACTCTCCGTCGCACAATCCAAACCGCCCGCCACCTAAAGGCTGAGACGGGCTTCGAAAAGCTGGAATGGAAGGCACTGGACGAGCTGGACTCGGGCGTTTGCGACGGCCTGACCTACGAGGAAATCGCTGAAAAGTACCCGGAAGACTTTGCAGCACGCGACGAGGACAAGTACAACTATCGCTACCGCGGCGGCGAGTCCTATCGCGATGTAGTCATCCGTCTTGAGCCCATTATTATGGAGCTAGAGCGCAGCGAGAACGTCATTATTGTCACTCACCAGGCTGTTCTCCGTTGCATCTATTCGTACTTCTTGAATGTGCCCCAGGAGAAAAGTCCCTGGATGGAAGTCCCTCTTCACACACTTATCAAACTGACTCCCCGCGCCTATGGTACCGAGGAGCAGCGCTTCAAGGCCGACATTCCTGCTGTCTCTACCTGGCGTGGCAAGGGCTCGCAGGCCAAGCATCAGGAGTTCCCCACGGAAAGCAAGGAGGCCCAGCACTAAGCATCGGAACGGCGTTTGTCATTCAAGGCGTCGGAGTACATATGAGATCCTGAGACGGAACACTATCAGATACCAATGAAAAAATGAAAATGTTATTCATAGATGACGAGACTCATTTTTCTGCAGTTGTAAAACGTTTCCTAGATGCAGGGAATTTGGATGTATCCCTTGGAAATAAGGCAGCAACATGAGTCAGCATAGACGTCACGGGCCTTGGCCGAGCTCCTGGAGCTGCGCAACAACCACTCGGACATGAATTGACCCCTCATCGGACTGCGATGTTATCCGCCTTCACCGCGCGGCCACTGGTCGAATTAAGGCCGCGCGATAAATCAAAGATTGACTCCGTCCTCGCCTACGGTGACCGTCTTCTCGCCGGCCTCAACAACGGCTCTCTCCGCATCTATCGTGTCACAGACGACAACGCGACCGAGCTACTCCGTGAATTGGAGAAGTTCTCCCGCTACCGTATTGAGCAGCTTGCGCTTGTGAAAGAAGTGGGTGTGCTGGTCTCGCTGGCCGGTGGCTATGTCTCGCTCCACGACTCTCAGACCTATGAGTTGAATGAACAGTTGGCTCAGACGAAGGGTGCTTCAGCGTTTGCTATTACCTCGAATGTGGTGAATGATCCGGATACGAATGTTCCAGCTATTGTATCGAGGTTGGTGGTCGCTGTCAAGCGGAAGATTTTCATGTGGGTTTGGCGTGACATGGAGCTTGAGCCGAACACTACGGAGCTGAGCTTGGTTAGTGCCGTCAAGACCATGACTTGGGTCTCTGCTACGAAGCTTGTTGTTGGCCTGAGCTCTAGCTATGTTATGGTTGATATCAAGAGTGGCCAGGTCTTTGAGCTTCCTGGCCCGGGAATATGGAGGAGTCAGGAAGATTTACAGGAGTTGGCGCTGCGAGTATGAGCTATATTGGCATGGGTGGTATGGTGCCGAGACCGCTTGCTACAAGATTGTGCGAGGGTCAGATCTTGCTAGCGAAGGATATCAACACGCTTTTTATTGACGTTGATGGCCAGCCTCTCGGTCGGAGGCAGATTCCCTGGAGCCATGCGCCTGTGGAAATTGGGTATTCATACCCATTCCTCTTGGCTCTTCATGACACTGCTAAGGGTGTGCTCGAAGTCCGGAACCCGGAAACTCTATCACTGCTTCAGTCTATTCCTCTGCCCTCGGCTAGCATTCTGCACATACCCCAGCCGAACATCAGTCTGGCTCATGCTGGCAAAGGCTTCCTAGTCGCTAGTGATCGGACTATCTGGAGAATGGAGGCTCTGAGCTACGACACCCAGATCGATGCGCTGGTAGAGAAGGGTTACTTGGATGAGGCAATCAGCATGCTCGGCATGCTTGAGGATGCTCTTCTACGAGACAAGGCCGGCCGACTACGCTCCACCCAGCTAGAGAAAGCTCAAAGCTTATTCGCATTGCGGAAGTATCGCGACTCTTTGGACCTCTTCACCGAGATTGCTGCTCCTCCCGAGATCGTCATTCGTCTTTACCCCCGCTTGATCGCCGGTGACCTCTCTGCTATTCCGGAGAAGAACGGATCCGATCAAGCAAACGACTCTCAATGTGACGAGTCATCCGAACTGGCTAAGGATGGGCCCCCAAATGGGCCCCCAAATGGACTCACGTCCCTTCACGCCCCCTCTGTTCAGTCTCTTTTGCGAAGGACCGAAGATGGCAGTGACGCCAGCAGTACCCGTGACGAAGAAAAGGACCTGAAATTATCTGTCCGTGAGCTCCAGGGATACCTGGCGGATGTCCGCCGACGGTTTCAGCGATACCTTGGCCCGGAGGGTACGTTGAGAACACCGGCACCTACCGAAGCTACAGATGAAGCGAGTGCCTCTGTGCTCAAACTTCTCGACTTCCCTACGCCCGAAAACTTTTTGGAAGTCATTCGTGCCAAGGCTCGGCTCGTAGACACTACGCTGTTCAGAGCACATATGTTTGCTACGCCATCTCTTGCAGGGTCTCTATTCAGAATTGCCAATTTCTGCGACCCTGATGTGGTGATGGAACGTCTCGAAGGGACAGGTCGATATAATGATTTGATCGACTTCCTCTACGGCAAGAATCTCCATCGCCAGGCTTTGGAATTGCTTTACAGATTGGGTCATGAGGAGTCAGGGTTACTTAGCGGACCAACTCGCACAGTCGCATACTTGCAGGATCTCCCACCTGAACACATCGATTTAATACTCGAGTTCGGAAAATGGCCACTTGAAGAGAACCATGACATGGGCATGGAAATCTTCCTTGCAGAGACCGAAAATGCCGAGACGTTACCAAGGCACCGTGTCCTAAGCTTTTTGGAGGGCATTGAGATCAAGCTTGCTATTCGGTATCTCGAACATGTCATTCAAGAATGGAATGATATGTCGCCTGACATGCATCAGCGGCTTCTGATGCTGTATCTTGATCGAATCTACGCTGACAAAAGCGACAAGGATTGCAAGGACAAGTTCCTGTCTATGCTCAGGGAAAGTGAACAATATTCACCAGCGAAGACTTTGGATCGACTGGATCGCGAGGGTATGTATCGCTAGCAGTCCGAACTATCGAATAAATTTAACATTTTACAGATCCAGACTTCTACGAGGCACGGGCTATCGTCTTTGGCAAGATGGGTCAGCATCGCCAGGTTCTGGAAATTTACGTTTTCAAGCTTCATGACCATGACAAAGCCGAGGAGTATGTTGAATCCATTCATTTCAGTCCACGCTAACCCCTACAGGTATTGCAACCAAGTGCATCTCACCGAGCCTCCATCCGAAGACGATGACGAGAAGACAATCTACCTCACTCTCCTGTCCCTCTACCTCGAGCCACCACACGGTTACCAACCCCAACATGGCCCCGCATTGGTTGTTCTCGCCAAACATGGATCCCGGCTACCGGCAGATGCAGCCCTTGGCTTGATCCCTGCAGCATTGCCTGTGCAGGAACTGGAGTTCTACTTCAAGGGTCGAATGCGCGCAGCCAATTCCGTCTTCAACGAGGCCCGCATTGTGGCGAGTTTGCGCAAGTCCCGCGACGTGCAGACTCAGGCTCAGCTCCTCCTCGGTGAAGGTGTACGGGGAGGCGGTACCCGGGCACGCCACGTCACTGTTACCGAAGAACGGATCTGTGGTGTGTGTCACAAGCGATTGGGAGGAAGTGTGATCAACGTCTTCCCTGAGTAAGTCCTCCCGCTTCCCCGCCATGCCTGATCATGTCTGACCCTTTCTTCAGCAACACTGTCGTCCATCTGGGCTGTGCGAGCCGCATTCCCAACTTTCGTTCCGGGTAGCAAGCATCTGCGGTTTTGATTTCGTTTCCAGCGTCGTTTTGATACCCAGTGTAGCATAGATATTTTGGACATTCATGCATCATCTCCAACCACTTCTTCGCCGTAATTTGCCTCCTCCTCGGCATCTTTCTCTGAGATCTTGCCCTTATCTTCCTCCATACGTGCGGTCAGGAAGACATTGACTTGCTCTTGTAGCTGTGGGACGAGGGTCTGCAGGGCTGCAAGGTGGGCTTGTTTCGCAGCGAGCGATTCGGCGTTGGAAGCGGGGATTTCATGCTCGAAAGTCTTAGTGGTATCAGGAGCAGAATATACAGCCTTGAGAGTGAGAGAGACCATATTTGCGGAGTAAACAAAAACGAGTGGTGTAATGAAGTGGGATAAACTGGAGGCAGAAAGATTCGGTGGGGGGGAGAAAGATCGGCGGCGGCGGAGCTAGACCGGAAGGGGGCAGCTTGCACCTTCAACTTGAGACCAAACACTGCCACTATTTCACGGACATGAAGCGCCATGAGCAATAACATGCGCTCTCCCGCCTCTCCAGGGCGTCCTCGGAGACTCCCGGTCTATAGACATGCTCATCCTCCATCAGACGAGGAGGAGGATTCCGACGACGAATTACATCGCCCCGGATCCTCCGGCAGCGATGCCTCTTCCAACGTAACCACGGTCTCAGCGGCTCCCATTACCCCAGTTACGACTCTGCCCCCGGCGGCGGGTTATTTTCCCCCCATCCACGCTCCACACCGGTCACTACGTCGCCTCAACACGCGTCTCGCACTATGCCAGACTCCAGCGGACGTCGACCTTCTGGTCGGGTCCCCCTCGATCGAATTACAGAGACATCGGTCTAGACACCATTCTCAAGGCTTTTTTGAACCGTCTCTGCCTACCGCTTCATCGGAAATGCCTGCGGTCTCGGCATCCCGCATCGCGGCCCAGGCGGCAATGCAGCAGAACAGACGATCTCCAAACGTACTCAGCCCCCGCGAAGGCCGCAGTCGTGCTGGCAGTGCCTCACCTCCGCTTATCCCCCCACCACTGCGTATCAATCAGCAGCCGTCTCCGTCTCTTCCTCCTCCAACAGCTCCCAGCGTTGCTACTACAGCTGCGAACGTGGTGTTCCCGCGGGCCGGGCAACCACTACCTGAACAACCGCCTGAGAAACAGAAGAAGAAGAATAAGCTATTCTCAAAACCGAAACATATCAATCTCAGCCGTGACAAAGATCCACGAGACCGTGGCCTCCCCTCACCAAGCAAAATTGCAGGTCTATCGCGTATGGTCAGCGTGTCTACCACGAGCCTCGCCGATCTCCCGTCCAACAACTCCTCCATGTACAATCTCTCGAATGCGTCCGTGAGCACAGTCGTGCCAGCCGATCGGTCCCCAGCTCCACCGGAAAAGGAGAAAGATAAGGACAAACATAAACACCATTTCCTGTCCAGACAGAAATTGAAGCTCAAAGACCGGAGTGACGACCACTATAACCTGCCCCTCTCCTCGGCTTCTAGCAACTCTCGTCCCGCTGATCCCAACGCCCCGCAATCTCTTTATTCATTCACCAGCCCGGCATCACCAGCACCAGGTGCAACATTTGGCAAATCAGTCAGTGGCTTGGATTTGCTACATGGCGGACGAGCACTACGAGAGAAGAAGAAGGAAGGGAAGGAAAAGGAAAAGGCACTTGCCGAGTCAGAGCAGATAGATTGGCTGGCCAATTCTACTGGTGCTTCGACGATCTCATTCCCTGGCCCTTCCTCGCTGAATAATTCCGGTGGTGTACTTGGCGAAGCCATGCTGCGAGAGACACTGCAGGGCTTTGGCTTAAATAACATGTCTCCCGAGGATGCATGGGACTTTCTCAAGGCTAAGCTTCTGGTTATCTTTGATGGTGAGGATGTGCGCATTGCTATTGAAGATCTCAACAAGCTTGTCCTTGTGCACTTGCAGCGCTGTGTGCACAAGAGGACGCCAGCAGCCATCATTATGGACCTCCAGGAACTGCTCGAAACGGGGTTTGCTACTTTGAACCACAGTTCTTTGGCTGGAGTGCCTGATGAGAAGCTTGTTCCGCACTTGGTGCAAATTTGGATGCTGGTTTTTGGAACGATCCTGCCGTTCATCCAAGCTGTTTTCCTTCCACTTGACCTGGAGTTCAAGGGTTGTGGATCGATCATGACTAGTCGCGAAGCACTTGACTTTTGGGGCCCTCCACCAGCTGGTGGAACCCTTGACGTTCGCAGCTTGGTGCTCATTGCATTTCGAGACTGTATCATTTTGAACCGCTACGAGGCTCTCAAAGCTACCTTTTCTCGTCTAAGTCTCGATAGCATCAATGCAGGGTTTCCAACACTCAGCGTCACAACCAAGAGTGCCGGAACAGGTGGCCGACCTGGCACCGCCGCTTCCCTTGACGCAGGCTTCGGCAGCTTTAACTCGCAGTCATCCACTCTGCTCAGCACCGGTGCTGCAGGTAGCTACTCCTCCGACCCGGTGAGCGCCCTTGCCAATCCCCGACCTTCAAGTAGCGACTCTCGCAGCCGTGCTGCGTCCAACACCTCATCCAACCCAGACCCAATGATCTTCTCCTCCGTGTCGTCTCCCCCAACATCGAACCAGCGCCCTACCATCATCCACCGTGTCGGCTCCGCCGACTCCTCGCACGTCATCACCGAAACCGTCGGCCGCATGCTCCAATGCGTCAGTGTACTCGCCAGCGTACAAACAGACGATCCTTCCCAAGAACGCATCGAGGTCCTCAGTAAAACTCTCAAGCACAATTGGCTAGGCCGCGGTCGCACAGGCCGCGACCGACGTGGCTTCGTCGGTGCCAAAATTCGGCCTGTCATGGTCGGTAGTACACCTACTCTGGATGACAATGATTCCTTGACGACGGCGGGAATCAGTATCGGAGCTAGCACGAGCACCGGGGGCTCTCGCAACCGCGGAGATTCCGACTCCTCGGAGTGGAGTGGACCTGGTACGAGTCTGCGCAGTGGTCCAAGGCGCGAATTGAGTGTACTTTGATTTGTTATGATTCATGATGGTGGTATAGGTATCCTAGGCTTAGGATGGTTGGCGTTGGGTAATTTTTTTGAGCATATGTAGAATCCGAGATAGGAATCAATTTATCCAGCATGTTGCTGCTGCTGGACCACCAAATGTGTCCACATGAAAACTTTACTCGTCGTAAGTCTTCACGTCTTTAGGAAAACGCATACTAGGCTTCACCTACGTTATGAATAAAATCAATCTGTCCCATTGAATGGTACACAATTCCTCAATCATTGGGTTCTTTCCATTAATCCACATGCCCACGAGACACCAATCTAATTATTCCCCGTCAAACCCATGTACCATGACTCCATCAGGAAGACATACTAGAATCCAGATCCCATATTCTCTCAGGCGGATCTCCAAGAGTGGAATGGATTTTAGTCCACCGATTCGAGATTGTGCTCGACGCATACCTCAACCCGCTGATGTTGTTCCATTCTGCTGTGATCTCAGCCCAGGTTCCCCCGTACTCTTTCAGTTTGAAGAGAAGTATATCCTCAGCAGTTGCTAATTCCCAGCTTTGGGGAATCGGGATTCCTTTGCGTCTTTTGTGTTCACTTCCGGGCGAGGTAGCAGGTGTCTCTTGTCTTGCGTGCTTTGTGGGTGTTGTTGCGCCTGGGCAGGTTTGTTCGTTAGGTGGGAGGTCATCGGTGATTGTGGTTCTGAGGCGTCTCTTGAGTGGTGTTGCTAGTTGGGGCTGATCTTGTTCCTTGACTGGGATTGTGGTTGCTGGATTGCTCAGCTTGGGTGGCTTTGGCTTGTAGATCTCCATGATGGGAGCGGTCACAGTGCTTTTTGAGAGCCTCGAGACGACGAGCGTGGAGTCTTGTGAGATGGGAACGATGGCTCGAGGAGAGTCTCGCTGTTCCATTTCATCCATGAGATCGCCCACATCATCGACGGTGAGCGGATCCATCAGGGCCAGCTCGTCTGGTCGGGTGAGCATCAATGAGTACCTGGACTTCCTGGATACCATAAATAATATGATGGGAAATGTAAACTTGGAGTATTGGAGATGTTGGAGGGAGTTCGAGGTGAGGGAAGTGATTGAAGTCCAGGTCAGTAGTGAACACGACACAATGAGGGATCAAGTGGGATATTGAGATACTCATTTCAAGTGTTGAAATGATGAAGTTATCTGGGATGAACGTTGCCTATCAATTCTCCTCTTATAAACCTCATCGTCCACATTCCACCTTGTCTTAGGTAGCTTCAAGATGTAAGTGATTCAGGACTATCTGTCGAGTGGTCTTTTTAATTCAATAACCCGAGCTTTATTAGTACTTATAACATCATAGAGCTTGGCTTACCTACTCTATGAATTGAGTGTAGAAACTTGGGAAGGGGCGTGGGTTGGAGAAGATGTAGAAATATACACAGCATGATGGCCCTATATGATATACTCGATGGTAATGCGCTTCGTCTATGGTAGAAGGACATGGATCTCATGTGATAATCTATAGATGACAATTCAATGTTCAATCCCTGAGCTACATGTGTAGGATAATGAACGGTAGCATCATAGATGTTATATTTCTTGATGTCCAGAAGTATAGCACAAATGAAATCGATATTCTTTACCGTATGGCTGCTTCACATATGTTCTCCTTCATTCGGAACCTCCATTCTGCTGAGCCCAGCGTTGAACCCAAGTTGCTTGATCAAATTCGTATTGCACAGCTGTTGACGGTCAGTCATCTTAAATTCCCGATTTACGCGGGGAGACTTCTTTGGCCTCGGCAAGTGGAGAGAGAGAGAGTACTTGAGCCTCGACGCAACAACAACTTCACTCTTTCAGCAACGCAACATGACTGACTCGCCAGCACAGTCAGGTACAAAGCGGAAGCGACTCTCCTATGCGTGTAATGACTGCCGGGAGAAAAAGACTCGGCGCGATGAGGAGCAGCCATGCCGGAATTGTCGTCTCGCTGGAGTCCAATGTGTGACCACCGACAAAAGACGTGATAACGCACCAGTTTCTCATCGGCGGCGTCACAACTCGGCTTTAGCAAGAGCTGAAATCGCGGAATGGTTGGTCAATTCACTCTGCCGATGGCTCAGGACACCAGAGTGCACAGCTCCAAGCGGGGGCATCTCCGCTTGGCCGCGCCACGCCCAGGACACCAGAGTCCAGTCTGTCCTCTATTGCTCCTGCTCCTCAGGACCAACTCAGACTTTGGAGCCAATGCTGGGGCAAAGAGGGGATGGAGAACGGGTCGCCTTCCCATGATGCCGTGCTTCGTCGGATCCAGCACAGTGGAGTTGCTAGGTGAATGGCTTAACATGGCTCTTTATCGTCTGAACATCCCAAAGTCACATATGGCTCCTCCTATTATCAATGGTGATTTTGCGTCTTTGATTCTTGAACGTTCGCCTGATCTTCCACCACCACCAGAGAGACGCCGAGCCATCGACACCTTTCGGAAAACTCTCTACCAACTCTTCCCGTTTCTAAGTCATGATGATGGTGACATTATCTCAAAAGAAGGTTTCACGGCTCAGAACTTACTACTGCGTAAAGCCTCAGATGCGCCCGGCAATGGATTGACATATTTGATCATCACCGCGGGCCTCTTAGCCACACCATCCTCTGAAGAGACCAGAACACTTGTTTCATCTTACCTGAGTTGTTGTAACTCCCTACTTGGATACACGCTGGCTACGCGCTCATTGAAGTCAGTGCAGTTCGTACTCTTGTTTTCAATCGTTCTACAGAGCTGCGACAAGCTCGCATGGGCATGGGATGTCCTCTCCATGGGCGTGTCTCTTGCCCAGTCGATCGGAATATATCGATCTTCGGCCAGTGCGATTGGTGATCAATCAAACAGATCTACCTCGGAGGGGAATACATGGTGATGCATGTACGTCTTTGAAAAGATATTAACTTTTGAGCTAGGTCGATCATCCATGATATGGGACCGCAACATCTTCAGCTGGGCATGATATTCTGACTGACCCCAAGGAACAATTTCAGTGTGCAGCTATCAGCTTAGCTAATATGTTGCATGAGATGCAAGAGCGTTCTGCTAGAGCCTGGAGACGTGAGGAGTGTCTGCCTCAGTCTGTGGTGACCAGGCTATCGAGGAAAAGATCCAGACTGGAGCTGGTCACCTTGCTTGACGATTGAAAAAAAAAGTCGTCCATCAGAGTTGAGGTTATTTTTGTCTTCGAAATGGAGGTGATTGCTGGTCTAGCTAACAAATGAGGCTCGGGTATACCGCCAATCCAAATCTTGCTAGTTCGCCGCAAGCTGCTTTTCTCTCGTTTTATTACAATCTTGGGTGAGTTTTTCGGATGTTTCGATACCAAAATTTGCTAACGCTGAAAGATTCATTCTGATCAATCCTTCCACACTGCTCATAGCGGAAACTGAATTGCAGACGATGGTCGACAGATATGCATCAGGAAAACCATGGCATCAACGGCTTCTCAACGGTCCTGTAATGGTCACCGAGGCTTCTCGTGATTTGATCCAGTTGTTTGTCTCGCTGGTGGATTCTGGGATACCGAGTCTCCTCCCCACGATGACATCGCCATTAGCGGCAGTCTGTGCTATAGCGATATGGATCTTACGGCAGAGGACTTCTCTTTTGGCTCGGGCTGATTTTGAAGTAACTATGATCATATTCTTGAGAATCTCTTGGTTACTGATTTTATTTTTTTTCATTAGCTCATGAGAGCGGGCATACAGATTACAAAACAGCACTATCATCGGCATGGAACCGCTAACAACATCGAGATCTTGCTTGACTTGGAACGCTACACTTTACAATGTCTAGAAGGCTCATCAACCACCCAAGTGGAAGAGCCGGGTGAGGCCCTTGGATTCTCACTGACTGAGCATGTCGCTGCTGATTTCGCAGCGTCTCTAGGTCTAGACCAAAGCTGGGGACCATCAGCTCTTGACTGGGCTGGATGGGATTGGAATAATCTAAGTCATCTGTTTCAATATTGCGAGGGATCATGAATTTCCAGAATCGTCTGAAGAAAAAAAAATACATCCTGCTCCGAGATCTCCATCACATTCTGCTCACGCCATGGTCTCCAGATACGGGATACCAGTCAATTTGTATCCTCTTTCAGACAGTTGAACAGGCTTCCGAGGGCTCGTGCGCTGGTATGGATCAGGTTCTCCATTGCGCGTTACAGGGAGTTCAACTACATGCTTTGCATTCGGCCAGTGAGTAGTCATCTTGGTCTCCTCGAAGGCTTTCTTCTTGACCTCCAATTCCTCCTTGGTTGCATCAGCGACAGGCATGTAGCATGTATACACGGCGAATCGGTTCTGATTGGACTCAGAGGAGACGTGTGCGAATCCCCTATTCATCGTTAGCCATGGAACTAGTATATCGATATGACACGATACATACACAGAAGCAGGTCCCCGGGCTCAGCCTCGACCTTGACCCATTCACAGCCCTTTGCCTTGAGCCAGTTCATGTTGGCTGTCGTGAGACCATACCAGTGTCGTGTCCCGATATTGTTAATATGAAGACTTTCTGGAAAGCCGGGCTTCACATATTATGTCCAGACTTTCTCTTCTTCATCCTTGAAGACCTCGTGTAGCTCCCCGCTCAACCGGTGGGCACCCTTGCACACAATCAAACCTCCGTCCTTGGGCCCATTGACAAGTAGGTTCACCAGTCCCTGCAAGCAGCGGAAGCCCGGCTCCTGGGGGTCTTGATCCTGCCGCGGCCAGGGCTTGTTGGGCTGAACGTCCTTGCGGTTCGGGAACCCTATGTTGACCGAATCGAAACTGCTGATCAGGTCTTCGGTATCGTAGACTTTCTCAAAAGCCTTGATGACCTCTGGCTCTTGACGCACTGCCCATGTGAAGGATTCATGGGCGATAGCATATCCTAGACACATTCCCTTCTCATTAATATCGGGGAGATGGTCTTTTTGTATAGTCGATGAGTCGTCTCGCTTGAAGCCCAGGTTGTTATACAATTGCGTCAGTGACTATACTATGTGGCTATGACCGTTGATACGTACAAGTCTTCCAGCCACTGATAGATCTCGTCCGCGTATTTCAGAGCCCGTTCGCGGGGAACGGCGCCCTTGACCACTGCATATCCATCTCGGAGCAGGTCATCGCGGAAGTCACCATATTTAAAATCCGGGCGCGTTGAGTGTAGTGGTGGTCTCGGTGATTGTGGCCATTGTAGTTGCAAGTACTGATTTTTGAAGATGCTTGCTGAGTATGGAAAGATCACTACTACCTGGATGTTTTTATATTTACTTCGACTGCTCGAATGTTGCCAAATAAGTGCTGCGTTCGGGCCAAACGCAAGGTTGACTCCGGTTCGGTTCGGCTCGGTTGACCACCGGCTGAGGACTGTGTCAACTGGCGCCAACCTCGGGCCTCTACGCTCTACTCATCAATATAAGCGATTGTATCTCTTTTGTTCGTTTCTATTTGAATCTCGGCAAGCCCGCATTCCGATGGTCAGTGAGATTCTTGCCTGGAACCTGCATTCTCGGGATTGCAACACCCCAATTTGTGAGACTCACATATTAACGCAACACGATGCACCTCTAACAACCAGCCCATCGACAAGATGTGGTATCCCGTCTGTTTTGATGGTTTGGGTTATAAGCACGGTGTTTTTATATTGTCGACGCATCTTGTGAGTCAGAAAACTGACATTCTGTTTCCGTGGAGATGCAAGATTCGATAAGGATACTTACACGCTCTGGAAAACTTGAGAAGATCCCATTAAAAAAATGGCGTGTAATGATGCAAATGGGAGACATGAACCTGGGATAAGTTGGTTTGTGAACCAATCGTGTTACGATAGAAAGGATCTACACTATTAGCTGACCAGCCAAGATTGACAAGGACTTTGAACTGGATATTTGACTGACGGGCCAGAAGAATGACCATGCTCCAAAACTCATGACTGCGATTCTACAAGCGATTCCCAGGCGTGTTTGATGATTTAGCTCCGCCTGTCATTGTCTGCTGAGCCATTTGTACCAAGACGATCTTCTCTACCGGCTTGAAGCCGCTGAGTATGTAGAAAGTCTTTTTGATGGCAGTCTGTTAAGGCATTGTACTCATCTGCCAGACTTGGTACGGGCATCAGACTAGATGATCATAAGACAACTGACATTCAATAAAGTTTTAAATACTCTCAGTCAACCTTTACCCTTCGCCCTGCTCAACGTGACAAAACCTCCTCAGAGACTCTCGGATTTTAGGCCCGAAGAAAAAACATGGGAATGGCAAGAAGCGCCAACACCGCACAATGACCTCCTCCACAATCATCCGTACCATCGTAACCCAAGGTTTCAATAGCCGGCAGAGTAGCATAGCTCAGTCCAAAGGAGATAAATCCTCTTCCGGCACAAATCACCACAAGAAAGGACGCCGCCCGAAATGGGAAGCTGTCAACTGCGTAGGTAATACCGACAATGTTTGCGCCCAAGAACGCAAAGAAAATAGCATTGTAACCTACCACAACAGAAGCCACGCTCCATTGGCGAGGGTTAGCACCGGCTTGGCCGTATATAATCCCGCAGACGATTCCCACAATCGCGGGGATTGCAATCATGGGAAGACGGTACTCGGGCTTGTATAGGCCATTGTTGTGTTTCGTGAAGAGACGAATGATCAGGTCGCCTCCATACCCCAGTAGTGGGAGGAAAATTAGGCAGCATACGATTTGACCGGCCTGCACGTACCCGAGAGATTCAAAGGCGAAGCTGTATGGTGGCGCCATTAGGATGTTGGCGAATGTGGAGGCTTCGAAGACATAGACGCCTAGGTGAGCTCCGTTCAATAGAAGGAGCCATAGTGTGGTAGGAATCAGGAGCCCTTGGAGGGCTTGTTTGTAGAAAGTTGGAATCTCGTGAAGACGTGGAGACATCACGACTGGTTTGAGATCATCTTTCCAGCGACGAGGGGGGTATTCAATGTCTGCGTCGGTGGAATTCGAGCATGGCTCGCCTGCCATTGCCTCCTCTGGTCGGTCGAAGTGGGACTCCGATACGAAATTTATCGACAGGATGAAAATCACGGCATTGAGGATGCTGAAGAAGCCGTGCCACCATCGCCAGCCCCATGCATTGACCATGTATGTTGAGATGACAAAGAACACACCGGCGGTGATGTTCTGAATGAACACGGACCAACCAATCTTTCGGCCTCGTTCATGAAGGAAATGAATCTCTTGAATGATCAGTGGTGAAAGCGCCTCGCTTTAACCAGCGGCGAGAGCCATGATGTTCCGCCCGGCAATATGGCTTCCCAAGCTTGTCGAGCACTGGCACCAAACTTCCCCAGCAATCAAGAGGATTATCGAGGCAAGAAAGATGGGGACCGGTGGTATAAGCCCATGGCATGCTGATGAGATTTCCAATTCTCATGAACAGTGTTGGGTATGTCATCAAATCGTTGGCGTGGGCTTCTTGGCCGGGGTAAGATGCCGCCACCACTGAGAAGATGGATCCCATTACAGAGGCCAGAACCACGGCTGTACAGCTGTATGCTGATACTATGATAAGCAAAGCCCATTTGCGTTATGCAGGGAGATTCCGTGGATCTGAAGTTCGTCAAAATAGGATCCAAGAGGAAGTGATTGGGATGAACTACCTCTAGGGTCAGGCGAAGGTGTGGGAATCAAGACCACTTGGTGACCCTTGTACAGAGCAACGAGACCGGCGGGCGTTGATGATGGCTTCTCATCACATGCAAGCTCCACATGGGAGATATCTGCCTTGTCCATGATTGTACTCTGTGGTGCAGAAAGAGCCGAGGAAACGGAAGAAGCACTCTTCAAAATCTCCGCGAGGAAGACCACTTGGCTAAATGCAGTGGCATTATATACCCCGGCTTCCACTCATCACCAATTGGAAAGTTCCTAGTTCGTTCATGCTAGCAAAGTACCCCGTGTTTGCGGGGAGATGTCCCCCATATTACCTGGACCAAGGTCCATTTCGGGCCCACCACCCGAACCGCGAAGCGTACCGAACCGAGCCGGGCATGATTCTGCTCATGTGTCTGCATACATAGCTTCTCAAAGAGCCACATTTTACTGAAAATCATTGATCAACTTTGCAAAGGACAATCATGAAGTTTGACTTCAACATGGAAATTCCTTGGGTCGAACTCCAAGCGCCGGAAAAAGGTCATGGAGGCTACCAAGGCCTTAACCCCCTCTCGGAAACTTTGCGAAAAGGTACCAGAACTGCGCCTGGCCGAAAATCTCTCTCTTGTGATATTCTCGTTGAGCACGATGTCGCAATTGTCGTTTCAGATGGCTGTACTCTTCACGCCGACATTTATCGACCACCGTCTGCACCAGACCGTTCATTTCCGGCCATTCTCTGTTGGAGTCCATTCGGGAAGAAGTTCAACGGGATCGACTCTCTTAAGCTGATGACACCCTGGAATCTGGGAATTCCTGATGGAACACTTAGTGGTCTGGAGAAATTCGAGGCTCCGGATCCTGCTGATTTCGTGGGTCGTGGATACGCCATCATCAATGTCGATTCCCGTGGAGCTTGTGATTCTGAGGGTCGAATGACAATCATGGGATCTCGGGAAGCGCAAGATGGGTACGATGTTATTGAATGGATCGCCAAACAGCCTTGGTGTAATGGTTCTGTCGGGATGGGCGGGAACAGTCACCTAGCCATTATTCAATGGTTTGTCGCTGCTCTCAACCCCCCGTCTCTCAAGTGCATCGCTCCATTTGAGGGCTGTGGAGACCTCTATCGAGAGAAATTTGCCCGTGGAGGAATTTATGGTGGCGATCTCTTTGACCATCTCATCCAAAAGTATATGCTGCGCGGGAGGAATGGTATCGAGAGTTTCAGAAAGATGTTTCAGGAGCAGCCGCTTGCGAACGAGTGGTGGAATGATAAGCGACCAGATATGACCAAAATCAAAATTCCAACATACATCACTGGGACATGGTCGAATACGATGCATGGAATGGGTGCTATTCGAGGCTGGTTGGAGGTTGACTCGCCGCATAAATGGCTTCGCTTCCATCCGTGGCAGGAGTGGTTTGATCTGTGGGGAACCCTCAGGCCAAATCCGAGCTGTTCTCTTTCTTCGATCGGTATTTGAAGGGTGTTCAAAACGACTGGGAAGATACCCCGCATGTGTGAATGGCTATGCTGAAGTTTGGCGAGAAGGCACCACTCGAGAATGTTCTCGAGGAGGATCTTCCCTTGCCTCGTACTGAGTACCGGAAGGCTTACCTGACCACTGATGGACTGAGCATGGACCAGCCTGCCTCTACCGCGGGTACTGTGTCGTACAACTCGGAAGATCCTGAGGATGCGGCAAAGTTCAGATACACTTTCACGGAGCGCACTCGGTTGTTTGGGATCCCCAAGGCTGTGCTATACATGCACTGTGATGATCTCAATTATATGGATGTCTTCCTCATCTTGACGAAAATCTCAGCCTCCGGAGAAATGCTGTTAGCCTTGAACATCCCATGGAAGAATCTCCCCGTCTCCTCTCTATTGCCGCGATCCCGGAAGATCTTCGAACCGAGGTGATTCTCTATCAGGGTCCAACTGGGATATTGCGGGCGTCGAACCGGGCCATTGATACTTCCCGGTCCATGCATCCGAACTAGCCCTTTTATACTCACGAGAAAGAAGAAAAGGTGGTCCCAGGGACGATTGTGCGTCTAGAGATCGGTATTTGGGCCATGGGGGTGGAGTATGAAGCTGGGGAAAGCATTGAGAGGAGGGTTGGTGGTCGTTATCAGGGGATTTCAAATTTCGGTACCAGTGACCACGTGAGGAACAAAGGACTGCACTGGATTCATGTGGGCGGGGAATATGATAGCCACTTGGTACTGCCATTTGTGTAAATTAGAAGCAAGAATCATTATTCGAAGTGTTATTTCGAAAGATGGAACAAGCAAGGTAGAAAGCTTGTCTGCAGAGGTGCGCCGTGCGAACCGTTAACTAAGGATTGACGGCTACAATGCTCCTTTCATTATACCTTTCCGTGTCTTGAGATTGTCGTGAAAGACCTTGTTGAGACCGCAGGCATTGTCAGATGTCTACCCGCCATAAGGGAGGAGAAAGGCCGGACGGACCAGGATGTTTGAACGGTAAATAGAAAGACATTCCCAGCTACGTCTGCAAGCTAAAGGGAGTTAAGAAGTAGAATCGTGGAAGTAAATTGAGATATCATTAAAATTGACGCATTAATTCATATATTCAAGGTCATATCCTTCAATCATTGAATCACCGTATAAAAAATAAAAAATTCATAGTCCCTCATAACTTTACAGGGACTTTAGCAGACCTTCGATCAGAGGTAGGAAACCCGAGACATCTCCAATAAGAGTCTGCGTCTGATTGACGAACTTAGCCGAGAGAAGATCCTCGGCATTATGCAACAACGACACGATGCCGTTGATCGAATCTGGCTCCAACAGAGTCTCGATCTGTGGCATCGATTTGTTGACGTTGCTGAGGATCTTCTTGAGGTAGTCGACTGTCTGTTCGTCGAGGAGAGAGCCGGCCTCGTCGACGAGGCTGCTTGTCTCTTCGACGAATTTGGGTGTGAGGAGGCTTGTGCCGTTGCCCAAGAGGTAACCCAAGTTGTGAAGAGTTGTGGCGTTGAGGAATTCGCTCTTGATGTCGGGGACGACGGGGACGAGGCCAGTGAGAAGCTCCTCAAGACCGCCAAGGACATAAGGAGTAAGGAGGTGGCCGGCGCCATCCACGAGATCGCTCGTCTCTTCGACGAATTTGGGTGTGAGAAGGTCTGTGCCGTTGCCCAGAAGGTATCCCAAGTTGTGAAGGGTGGTAGTGTTGAGGAACTCGCTCTTGATGTCGGGGACGACGGGAACGAGGCCGGTGAGAAGCTCCGCAAGACCCCCGATGACGTAAGGGGTAAGGAGATCGCCGGCGCCATCGATGAGGGAGCGGGTCTCGTTGACAAAGCTGGGAGTGAGCAGGTCGTTCGCATTCGAGAGAAGAGAACTGATGCCGTCGATGGTGGCGGGGGTGAGCAGCTTCTTGATCTCGGGGAGCAGAGGGGTGACCTGGTTCAAGATGGTCTTGAGACCCTTGACGAGGTCGGGTGTCAGCAGCTCGTCTGCGTTGTTGACGAGGCTCTTAGTCTGGTTCGCGAACTCGGGTGTCAATAGCATAGAGCCCGATGACAGGAGAGTCTCGAGCTCGTCGAAGGTCGCAGGCTTCAAGAAAGCGGTCAGCTCGGGCATAAGAGGAGTGAGAGCCGTGAGCAGCTTCTTGAGGCTGTCGACAGTGGATGTGGTGAGCAGAGATGAAGCGCCAGAAATAAGACCCTTTGTCTCGCTGACGAAAGAGTCGGTGAGCAAATCGTTGCCGTGAGACAGCAGACCAGAAAGCTCCGTGAAGGTCTCGTTGGTCAAGAAGCCCTGGAGCTCGGGCGTTAGAGGAACGATAGCATCCAGAAGAGTCTTGAGCGCGTTGACCGTCGAGGTGGACAACAATGAGTTGGCGTTTGTGAGAAGCGTCTGGATGTCGGTAATAGTAGCCTTGGTCAGCAAAGTCTTCAGCTCGGGCATCAGAGGAACGATTGCGTTCAGAAGCTGCTTGAGCGCGTTGACCGTCGAGGTCGACAACAGAGAGTTGGCGTTTGTGAGAAGCGTCTGGATGTCGGTAATAGTAGCCTTGGTCAGCAAAGTCTTCAGCTCGGGCATCAGAGGCACAATTGCGTTCAGAAGCTGCTTGAGCGCATTCACGGTCGAGGTCGACAACAGAGAGTTGGCGTTCGTGAGAAGCGTCTGGATGTCGGTAATAGTAGCCTTGGTCAGCAAAGACTTCAGCTCTGGCATCAGAGGAACAATGGCGTTCAGAAGAGTCTCCAGGGCGTTGACAGTCGACTTGGTCAATAGTGATCCCGCGGCGTCGATCAAAGACTGGGTCTTCGTCACGAACGATGGCGTGAGGAGAGCGTTGCCGTTCTGAAGCAGGCCAGAAAGCTCGGTGAAAGTTTCCTTGGTCAAGAATCCCTTGAGTTCGGGCATCAAAGGAACAAGAGCATCGAGAAGAGTCTTGAGCGCGTTGACAGTCGAAGTCGAGAGCAGGTTGTTGGCGTTGGTGAGAAGCGTCTGGATGTCGGAGATGGTAGCTTTGGTCAGGAGACTCTTCAACTCCGGCATCAACGGTACAACAGCGTCCAAGAGTGACTTCAGGGCGTTCACGGTAGACTCGGTCAACAAAGAACCAGCCGAATTGATGAGCGACTGGGTCTTCGACACGAATGAAGGCGTGAGGAGAGCGTTGCCGTTCTGAAGCAGACCCGAAATCTCGGTGAAAGTGTCTTTGGTAAGGAAGGACTTGAGCTCGGGAAGAAGAGGAACAACAGCGTTGAGAATCTCATTGAGCGCGTTGGTGGTGCTCGCGGTCAAGAGTTGGCCGGCAGAGTCGATCAAAGAGGATGTCTTCTTGACGAAGTCGGGAGTCAAGAGGGTAGCGCCATTGTCGACGAGAGTCTCAATATTGTCAACGTTCTTGGTGGAAAGCAGACTGTCGGCCTTCTCAACCAGATCATTAACCTTGTCAATATTGTTGAGCAAGGACTCAATGCCGTTAAGGTTCTTGTCAGATAGGAAGCTATCGGCCTTGGAAAGGATGTTGCTCAGGGTGGCGGTGTTCTGGTCACTCAACAGCTTGTTGGCATTGGTCAACAGGTTGCCAATGGAAGCAGTATTGGCGTCACTGAGCAGAACACGGATGTTGTTATCGACCGGAGGAGCCAAGCTAGTGGAAAGATATTTGAAGGTGTTCTCAATCTCACTGAGCAGGTTGGGGTTCAGCAGACCAGCGATACCCTTGAGCAGGCTCTCGAGATCAGTACCAATAGACTCGAGACCGCTGAGACCGGAGCCAGAAGAGCCCCCAAGAAGACTGCTAAGTGTTGACTCAATGCCAGACAGACCAGAGTCGGTGGCAGTCGAATCGGTAGACTTGGTGCTGCTCGCAGTTGAGGCAGCGGTGGCCTGAGCAGAGCTCGAGGTGTCAGCCACGGCAGTGCTCGGAGTTACCACCGAGAACACCGCCGAGGAGATTATCGGAGCTGGCAGTCGATGCACCTGCCGTGTTGGCCTGGGCCGTATTCGCCTCAGCAGTGTTTGCCGAAGCGGTGTTTGCCGCAGCAGCAGTGTTCACAGTTACAGTATTGGCATTTGCCGTGGCGGCATTCGCAGTATTGGCGGATGCAGCATTGGCAGCAGCGGCCGTATCCTGCTCCTGACTGTTCGCTTGGGCAGTAGGAGCGGCCTGCGTTGTAGCGGCAGCCTGAGCTGCATTCTGCTGAGCAGTGTTTGCAGAGGCAGTTTCAGCTTCTACATTGTTTTGGGCAGCTGGAACTGCCGCTGCAGTTGAAGCCGAAGCTGCAGCTGCGGGTGAGGCTCCCCCCACATTACTGGCGGCGAGCAAAGCAGTTGCGAGAACGGGAATGAAACGCATGGTGGCTGGGTATCTTGTGTGCGTTCAACCCGCAATCACAATGGGCTTCTCTGGAGAAATCGAGAACGAACAGCCTGGGCAAATCCGAGTACTGGGTTGCGCCAGGTCTTTATTTTGGCGACCCCGGTGATCGCCATTGGGGAATATCAATTTGGGAAGAAACCCTCCACCGGGCTATGACACTAGGGCATCGTGGACCGAGATGTGGATCGACACCGAGGCAGGAGGCCGAGACGAATGCCATGTGATGAATAGTGTCCGTACTTCCCGTCACCTCTTGTGCTGTATTCGGCGAGCTTGACATCAGAGATTGTCCGGGGGTGGGCTCGAGAGCGGGCTTGGTAGGGGAAGTCTGGGGAGGCTTCCCGAGGCATCAGGGCCCAACTCGGTGGACGAACTCTGATTCAGGGGATGGGTTCGCTCTTCACATGCCCCTATCTGGATCCATCAATCGAATGTGGTGCTTTCGGGCAGTTTGGGGGTCGTTGCGCAGGTCGAAAAGAAGGGGCGGACAGGGGAACTAAGCTGAAAAGGGGAAGGTGGGCGGGGGAGTGCCTTGAGCCTTTCTCCACGGGGCTTGGGTTTAGCGGCGCAAAGGCCTGGGTTGAACCTGAATCCATCTTGGGTCCAAAATGAGGGGTTCTCGGCCTACCTCCAATTTAGGATAAGCTTACCCCAGAGTCTCGGGTTGGCCCAGTCATTATTGGCTCCGTGAGGAGTGGCTAGCTTTACGACCGGTGCAACTCGCTGATCATTACTTGCGCACGAGCTTGACCGAGTATTGGTGCAGACCAGAGGCTAGCCAAATGGGAGTCTCGCCAGGCACCAGATCCTGCGCACTTCTCGTACCATCGTCCTATGAGTGTAGTGTTCTGGTTTTTCCCATTGTGCGTCATGCTCTTCTCCCATTGTACCCCGAACGAGCCCAATTGATCGGCTAGAGATCTCCGCTCCAGCACTACAGTAGTCACTACGACTGTCCCGTCTGAATTCAAGACATTTGGCGCATTCTGGATCTCCCCTGGGGAATAATCAGGCGTCTATTGGTTCGCTTATTCCCCGCCCTGCCGCTCGCGCAGAGTAATTCACCTGCGCATCTTTATTTCGTTTTTCCTATTCCGTGTCTACGTCACTTCCTAGCTCGTCGAAGCCGATCATATCCGATCATGGAATGACACTGTACGACAGTTCAATCACTAGCTTGAGCAAGATCCTGCAAATGCAAAAATGGGTAGACGTTTCAGGGGCAGGGCCAAAATTAAGGTATAGACCGTTTTGGGTGACATCCGGAAAAAGAGGCAAAAGGTGTTGTGACCCGCGATTCTCCTGGGCTGTGCATTGACCGTATTTCGCAATCGCGCGACTTTGATAATTCCCGGTCTCCGCTTCGCTTCGCCTCCCTTCTCTTTACATCCTGCGGTACACTCGGACAGGATTACTCTCCGGCTTGAAGAAGCAGAATCCCGTCTGGCTTGGTCGATCTCTTTTTGGACTCTTGTGTAGATCTCTGGGTCTTTCAGAATGTAGTAGAGTCGTGGATAGGTAGATGGCCGTGGTGTCGCCGCCGCCGAAGAAGGCCGACCAGGCTTCCGTCTTGACATCGTCGATATCAAAGTCGACTTTCGGGCCTTTCTCGCGGTAGATCTGCAACACCTTGGTAATAAAATCTGATCGCTCGGATTTGACCTCACTCTGACCAGGCTGGACGCGCTCGGCGACCACCCGGTTAGACGCGTCGGTCAATGTGCCTACCGCTCTAAATGCTTTGCGGAGGCTGGGGAACAGCATTCCTGTGAGCATAAAAACGGGCCGAAGATAGATTGGCATCAAAGCAGCCAGTGTCATCACGGGAATCAGGTAATCTGCAGATGCCATGAATCCGAGATGATCATGTCGGCTCCTCAGAGATCCGAAAGTCTTGCTGAAGAATAACTCCCCAATTGTATCATAGGCAAAGAAGCGACTCCATTCATGCAGATCAATGCATTGTTTCTTGTCGGCACTGTCCGAAAGTTGCTCCAATAGAACGTCGATACAACCATCCACATACTGCTCGGCTTCTAGTACATTGTGAAGAGAGTACACTGGGTTGACAATCCGACGTCGCTCGGCATGAATTTGCTGGTTATCAGAAGAGAAGTGATCTGGGAAGCGACCCACTGGAGCGCGAAAGGCATGATAGAAATCACTCTATTGAGATCAGTTTCACGTCAAGATGTTTTGACTCTTCGAAGAACCTTAAAACGCACCTTGGTAAAGCCCGAGTTCACGCCGTAGATAGACTTGATCGCCTCAGGATCACTGAAAATGAGTTCATTGGGAGCAAGGCGCACGATTGGACCTGGGTAGATGGACAGTCTGGACGGGTCAGACACTCAGCATATTGATCATGAAGTTTCTTCTGAACTCGTTCGGGATGTCCACCACAGACCTGACGGATTCACCAAGCGCGCGAGACTGTGGCCCAAAATGGACCTGGGAATTTTGCCAATGGATGGAAGGTTCTTGCATAGATAATTCAAGCCACACAATACACTATGGATGCGGCCGCAATGTATATTCCGAGTTGTTTCGCGTGGATCTTCATGGTTGGAGTATTGAAGCTGTTTAACCTCGCTTTTCTCGGTTGTTGACAATACCCAAGCTCCGAAAACCAGAGGTGGACTGTAGTGACTCCTCAAGGGCCATTTGCGGTGTTGCGATCGCGGGGTCATTTGAAAGGTATCTTTGATATCACTATTCTCTTGGCACTTCTGGTTGTGCGCGGCTCAAACTGTCAAACGTTGCTCAACATGGCCCAGCCGTTGTGCAACATGCAAGCCTTTGTATGTGTGACTTATCTTTTTGAACATTATTGGCTGCATTCCTGAATCGTCACACATCGGGTATGCGGGAGATGCATGACAAGCCTTCTGGCTCCAATAACATCCTTCGAAGGTGCTCTAGGCTCTGAACAAGGCTGTCGATTACGTGCCTCACTTAAGAATATATTCCTGCTGGCTATCGAGGTTTTGTCAAAGTCAAAATGGTATTTATCTCATGAATGCGAATGATGCTTTTGTTACTCAGCAGTTAGAAGACTGCCTTTCTCCTGCAGCACTTGACATATCGGAAATGTGCAGTGAAGATTCGGCGAAACCTCGGGACGCGTTTGGTCCCCAGTACCACTCCGCCTAGGCTTCAGGACTCCCAAGGTGCCGACAGCCGTGCCTCCGGTAGATCTGTCTGGACCTGCTCCATACTCAGGGACAGTCTTGGTGGACGTCAGCCTACATCAGCATCTATTTATATTTTTCCAATGGCCTCACTCGAGGACCACTCCATTATCTTTCAACGAGGGTCATGTAAATATAGTGGACCATGGACGGTGGACATAAAGAGTAATACAAGCTGGAAACTTTCTTTGGAAGTATTCATACCTTTCTCCACTAGCTAGGTAGATTCATCTTTCTTTATCACGGCACCGACAGTCACTGAAATTCGATGAAACGTGGCGTCGTAAGATGGATATCTACTATAGGCTTCCTGCTCTTCCGGGCTCAACAATATGCTGATGCTTTGAATCACATCCGTGTCCTTCTGGTACGGACTCGTGGCAAATTAATTTTTCATGACTTTGCGTAACAATGACTGGTGATGAAACTGATTGTGACATAGGCAACAATTACAAGCCCAGAACGTCGAGAGATTTTGTCATAATGCAGGCAATGAAGATGTCGCATGGTGCCCGAGGCTTTTTGAGAATTCATGTTGCTCAACTCTAAACCACCAAATTAGATATCAAGCCCAGTAATATGAGAAACTAGTTCATATTGTGAAAGAAGGGCCGGCACTTTTAACGCATAGAATAGATTTCAAGATGCTTGATCATGATCATCGTTTCCGGTTCAGTCACTCTTTAGAGACTTGCGGCCACTTAAACATTTGAATCACTTTCCCGTATGTCCGATATCAATAGATTCAGACGTTGCTCGAGGATCGGAGCTGTTCTCAACTGCCGGGCTTGCTAGTGAAGACTTATAAGTCATCGGTGATAGAAAGGCTTCTCATCCTTCATTGGATTGGGCGAACACAGAAAATAGACAGGCCTCCAGTGGTCAAATGTTGCCTCTTCGGTCCAGACCAAATTTACTACACGGTGAGGCATTGTCATATTCAGCGGCAGTGTTCATTGGATCGAGTCAAGAAGAGTACGTTTAGACAAAGAAGAAATATAACGGAAACTTTCGTCGTAGGCGAAAGTTTTCAATTCAGGTATTGAGGGAAAATGATGAAGAGATCTTTGGAGTCTTGTCGCAAGTGCCTTTTGATATGATAAATGCCTCACAAAAGAGCTGCCTCACAAAAGAGCTGCCTCACAAAAGAGCTGCCTCACAAAAGAGCTGCCTCACAAAAGAGCTGCCTCACAAAAGAGCTGCCTCACAAAAGAGCTCGGAGAAATATGGACACAACCCAGTGAGTTTAGAAGTCAATGAGTTTCGGCGAGCTGTCATGAAAGCAACCAAAAACACACGACTTTCAAAGAGCAACGGCTGCTGTCAGAGCCCTGGCATCAGATTGGTGGTTGCAAAAACGAGGTGATTGCACGTTTCCTAGTGGTGCGAAATGCTTATATCCAGTATCCTGATAGAAGAGTACTTCTAAGTCTTTTTAATTACACAATATTGAAATGTACAAGAATATGCAACCCTGTGAGGCTCAACCCTCCGTAGTCTCGGGTGCGCCAAATACCTTCGAAGACTCAGGTGCGCCAAATACCTCAACTTCATAATTCCCACAAAGCTCTTCCCACCCAAGCCAACCTCCATCTATATCAGCCCAGGCTCCAGCAGCCTGAGTACCTTCGATACCGGTAGAATTTGGAGCAAGCTTGTGAGCAGATACCCATGTACGATCATCCGCGACACCAATGGGTTGGCCGGCCTTCATCGCTGCAACTGCTGCATTAAATAGCGGTCGCACGTAAGGGTAAAACCACATTTTCTGCCACAGGGTGTCCATGTCATCTTTGTCCCCTGTCCAATGGTACATGCCGTAGATGTTGCTGGTTACGATGTTTGTTCCAAGGCGGAGTTCGCTAACGCTGGGGATGGGATCCACGGCATGAGCGATCGATTTGAATAATGCAGTAATCGATCTGGCCACGTTGGCAGGTAGTTGGATCTTGAAGGGTGTGAAGTTTGGGGCTTCGCTGATGTTGCGAGTTACCCTTGCTGCCGAGGTGGTATTGCTGGCCCCGGTCTCGTTGTAGGTGAGAAATTCGACGACATGTTCCGAGCCGGCGTTGGTCTGAAAGAGACCAGATCGATAATCAACTCCAACGTGCAGCTCTTTGGATTGATCTCGCGCGTAAGGAGGGACCACTTTGTTAGGCCCGCCGGGCGGCACAACGTGCTTTGGATCAACATCGCCGTGGAAGAAAAGCTCAAATTCTTTCACCGATCGATAATATTCTTGCACACCCATACATCGCTCATATACTTCTGGTCAGAGTCGCTGAAATCCTGATTCGGGTCATAGAACTCCTTGATACGATCCAGGGTCGCTGCGAAGAGGCGACGCATATCCCCCACGGGTCCCATGATAGTGCCAGAATTGAGCCATCGGGGCAAGTTGTGGCTGAGCTGCCCGTCATCGGGTCCGAAGGCACCGTTGGGAATGCCGATGTTTTGGGTATTTGCCCAGCATCCTACCCGAGCCCAGTCGGTGGGATAGCAGACTTTCTCGGGGCCAAAAAGAATCGTTTGTCGAGGTGCGTCAGCGGGCGAAAGACTCTCGATATATTCATTACCAAATCGCGCCGCTATTTGCGCGCTTGCCGCCTTGTTGATGGCGAAGTATCGCTCGATCAAGACATCTGGGGGTAGCTGGAAGGTAACATCGAGACCATCGATCATGAGGACCAGATCATCGTCGGAAGAGGCTGGGAGACTCTCTAAGTAGAGCATGACATTGCGAACTTTGGCTAAATGAGTCTTGGACGCGTCCAGATCGCCCTCTTTCTTCCAGCCGTTGAAAACGGGTACAGGATACCCAAGAATGGTAGCGGAAGCAACAGTTCGGCATAGTTGATGGTTAGACCCGGTAGCTGGTATCAAAAGATGGAATCGCGATGTGCCAGGCGATGCTTTTGCTGAGTCTAAGGTTATTGTCGAATTCTCAACCGCGGCCGTTGCGTTGAAGTCAAGAGATACTGGAATCGGTTGCCGGGCGACCGGCAATCCATATTGAATCAAGGCGATAAAAGCAATTATAAGAAATCCAGCAAGGCCGGCCCATTGCCAGCGCCTCGGTGATTGCATACTGCCTTTCACTCCGAGCGCAAAAGAGTTTCCAGATTTCTCTGCCACCTTTGGGAGCTAGGAGGGAAGAGACTGTGCAATTTCCGGATCGACGAGTCACGCTATGCGTGTCGGGTTGCACCGCCTGGACCCTGCGTCTAGGGTCGCGGTATTCCAATATCTGGCTGTCAGGGCCGTAATTGAATAGCAGGCTAAAGACCTCGCCCTTTTGGCTGTCTGATTGTCGTGTGCAATGTTTCCTTTGGCGCTACGTGACCGTGATTAGGCCGGCTCTCGGACGCCACGGGCGTTCGGGCGTTCGGTATTGGGTCCAAACTAAAGCTAGTGGCGCGATCATTACATTAAATGGCATTTGCTGACGGACTGCCAAGTGATTGGGCTATCTATTTTTGAGATTTTTCGCAACTCGGTGGGTCCCGTACGATTACGACCGATGCAAAACGACCTGTATTATTTATGTCACTTGTGCGCTGGCGCGTATTTTTCTCATGTGTCTTGTGCAGGTTAAAGATCTGTCCTGGCGGTCAAATCGGTGGTTAATACTTTTAGGCCTTTGGATCCTTCTCTCATTACCCCCTACCTCGCACCTCGTGCGCCACAGATCAGATCGATTATAGACTCCCCAGAATGAGTCGCAGGAGTGAAGAACGGGAAGAATCAGAGCTTGCTCTGCTCAGCAATGATGACGCGCAATCTACCAGCGAGATCGATGATCTCGAGGCCAATACGAAAGTTAATCAAACCAACAAAGATGTCGAACCCGAATACCAAACGCCCACCACATTGAAGGCCATCTGGCTCACGGCGTACTTTGGACTCAGCATGGCCCTGACTATCTATAATAAATTTATTTTAGGATCGGTGAGAATTGACTCAAAAAGCTTCAAGCTTGCTTCTGCTAATAATGTGAATAGTTCAAAGCTCCATGGCTCCTAACCTCCCTCCACACATCTGTCTCCGCACTTGGGACACCCGTCATGTTGAAAATGGGGTACTTTAAGCTCTCAAAACTCAGTCTGAGGGAGCACCTCATTCTGGGTGCATTTTCTGTGCTCTTCACATCGAACATTGCCATGTCAAATTTATCATTGTATGACGCCATTCCATCTCACATATTGGAGTTGAGCCTTTACTCACATTTTCAGGTCGCTTGTTTCCTTAGCATTCTTCCAGATTATCCGCAACACCGTGCCACTATTCACCGTTCTGATCTACCGAATTTGGTTTTCTCGATCCTATGCCACGGCAACGTATCTATCTTTGGTTCCGATCGTGGTTGGTGCTGGAATGTGTACCGCGGGCGACTATAATTACACAATCCTCGGTCTATTGGTCACAATTGGAGGTGTTATATTGGCGGCAGTCAAGGTAGGGCTACTGGGTGTTGTGATGACGTATGCCGAAACTAATATGTATGTAGACTGTGACCACCAATCGTCTAATGACCGGCTCTCTTGCCCTTCCCTCCATGGAGCTACTTTTCCGAATGTCGCCCCTTGCAGCGGTTCAGTCGTTCGTCTTCGCGGTTATTGCTGGGGAGCTTCCGTTGGTCTCCAAGGCCATGGCTGAGCGGACGGAGAATGCCTCCGCTTTTGCGATCATTGCGACTGTTCTCTTCGTTCTTGGCAACGGTTGTCTTGCATTTGTGCTGAACGTCTCGAGTTTCCAGACGAACCGACTCGCTGGAGCTCTTACCATTACCGTTTGTGGCAATCTCAAACAAGCTGTCACGCTTGCGCTGGGTATTGTGATTTTCGGTGATTTTTCCATTAACATTCTGAATGGGCTCGGTATATCCTTGGTGTTGGCTGGTTGTGCATTCTTCAGCAAAGTGGAGTTGGATTCCAAGAAGCGGGTAGCTTCGGCGTAGTCTTAATGCTTGTAACATATAGTAATAGATTTCATCCACACGTCATTTTACCGTGCAAGCCTCTACTGGTGTCTTACATTAATTTCAAATAGTCCAGAAGGGGGTCAAATCATCTAGTTTATCTAGCGCTAGAATGAAATGGATACCCAAATTGGATGACGGATCCGGTTGTATCCTAATCAAGATCCATCGTATCTTTCACTCATATTTCAGTATTTTTTACACATTCCTGCGGGCTCCTTCGGGGCAGTCTTAGCTGTCGTATACGCCATGTTGCCTACAGCTTGCCAAGAATTCCCACTAGGCTGCCAATTTCTTTGAACACGTCTTTCCGAACAATACTGCAAGGCTTCGGTTTCGCAGAGAAAACGAGCGGATCACCATCATAGCCGAAGTGGAGCTGTCAGCATACGGAGATAGTCTGTGCTTTCCACCCCTTCAGCACCCGAATAGATAGGTCCCGGCCACAGGAATGTGGTGGGGTGGCTGAGACACCACTTCAAAACTGGTTTCAGGAAGGGGGCCATTGACCAGTCCTGCTAATTCATTCGCAATAAAGCAACAGTGGGGTCAGAGGCTACTATGGTGCAATTCCACCCTCCACCCAAGATATCGTCAAAGCCGGAGCTTCCGGTTATAAATTAAAGTGGATCCAAATCTGGGGGAGACTGAAGGGGCCTTGTCTCAGGTTCTTAAGGACGGTATGTCTGTAAATAGTCATAACCGCCCAGATGCAAGTTCCCGAGGGGGAGGGGGGGGGGGAGAGCATCAAAGACTAGGCGTCGGGCAAGGCTTGCCCCCCCCCACCACTGGACTGTAGGGCTGATCGACACTCGCCTGACCACTTGCTCTGAATATTCGGGGGCCAAAAACTTACCGATGAATCGCGACTGAACCCCTGCGCCAATCGTAGGTTTAGTCTGCGCCTCGTGCATCCTCCTAAGAAACCCCATTTTCAGGCCCCCCTTTCCAGAGCTCAGACTCTTTGCCCCAGCCTCAGCCGCTCAGGGTTGCAGTGTATGGCAACTCGACTGGTTGAAATGTGGCTTGGCAGCGCTAGTGTCAGCGCGGTCAACAACGCGTCCATGCGCCAAGTGCGGATTCAAGATTGATAAGACGTTAGCGAGGGGGCCAAAAATTGTATTGGAACCCCCATATATGCCACAGCAACTTTTTACCTAGAGACGGCCGCGTAAGGATGGTTGCTTCTATAGTCCAAGTGTAGAGGTGTAGAAGTGAGGTTTGCCGATCGCATGAACTCGGATGGCCGGGATCGGCTGGAACGATCCGAGCGAAGATCAGGGAAAAGTAAATTACGACTGCAAAATCTTGGGACCGTTCAAAAGCAGAACGCACGAGGACCCCCTTTTCTTATCCACGGATACATACGAGTACGACTCGGGTTCGGGCGGGACGGTACCTGTTCGGGAGATGGTACGGACATCACTCAACAATGCGTATTCGTTTACAGCTTGCATACATGACATCCGCGATGCCACTCACTGGTCGATTAAAGACCGTCAGACACGATATTCGCGAAAGGTCAGGCATAAATGATAGAACTGATGTTGTCCACTTCTGAACTGAGTGATAAATTCTCTGATTGCGAGATTGACAAGGGTGGTCAGCAGAAACGACGTCAGTTCGTGAATTCTCCCATACATCCAATACATCATTACATAGGGACATTGCCGACTGTGAGCATGCCCCACTAAGCCAAGTCGCATGGATAATACAGGTCTGTATTTCCAAGTCGTGAAATCAGGCTTGAATCAATTTAAGCTGATTTTTGTTATGTCGACCGGCGGTTTCGCCGAGCTTGGGTTGCATTAAATTTCATTGATTATCCTCGATATTCTCCAAATCTCTCAATGGTCCGAATTCGTGTGGCGTTCAGATAAATCAAGTTCGATAATACGCAATCTCCCCCTCGGAGGCTTGAGGCTGCGGAGTACTCATATTAGAACTCCGCATTTCGACTTTTAGTTTCACTTATTTATCTTGTCAATCTTTTTTTTTCCCTCAGGGGCTCACTCCAGAAACAGAATGTCCTTGTCTAGCTATGCAGCTGACTCGGTATCGAATGTCCCAGGAGACATCTCGACTGTGCCAACCACACCAGACAGAAGTCGATCTGGTAGCCCAGGTCTTGACGATAGCAACGATGAAGCAGACAAATCATCCGAGAAGGTCTCCCCCATGATGGACAGAGATACCACACATAGGGTGCCTGCGAAAGCCATTCGAAGCATCTGTGTTGTTGGTGCTGGGTATGTAGGTGGACCAACCGCTGCCATCGTCGCATACAAGAACCCACACGTCAAGGTCACGGTGGTCGATAGAGATGACCGTCGGATCAGAAGATGGAACTCGCGCCATCTTCCCATCTACGAACCGGGCCTCAGCGAGATTGTTCGTATCGCGCGCGATGGTTTACACGGTCCGGATGACAAGAAACCTGTCGAAGCTCAAGACACGTCAGACCTTGGGGCACGATCGCCAAATCTTTTCTTTTCCACTGATGTATCTCAGTGCATCCAAGACTCCGATGTCGTGTTTATTGCAGTAAACACCCCGACAAAAATGCGCGGCACAGGCAAAGGTAGCGCAACTGATATGACATCCTTTGAAGCCGTAGCAGCGGAAGTCGTTCGTCATGCAAAGAACAACACGATTATTGTCGAGAAGTCAACGGTACCTTGTAGAACAGCACAGATGATCCAAGAGATGGTATGTTGTCTGCACTCGTTCTAAATTCCATCGAAGCTCATGATCGGCAGATCTCTCTCCAAAGACCCGGCGAACAGTTCGAAATCCTCTCAAACCCCGAATTCCTCGCAGCAGGAACAGCCGTTCAAGATCTGCTCCATCCAGACCGAATCATTATTGGTTCTGCTCCCACACCTGAAGGTCGCGCCGCAGCAGAGTCTCTGGCAGGCGTGTACTCTTCTTGGATCGACCGATCGCGCATTCTCACAACCAACGTTTGGTCGTCGGAATTGGCAAAACTTGTCGCCAACTCGATGCTCGCTCAGCGCCTGAGCAGTATCAACAGCATTTCGGCAATCTGTGAAGCTACAGGTGCCGAAGTGAACGAGGTTTCTGCCGCCATCGGAATGGATACACGTCTAGGCAAGTCCTTCCTGCGAGCGGGTATTGGATTCGGTGGGTCTTGCTTCAAGAAGGATATTGCCAGTCTGGCCTATATCGCCGAGTCCCTGGGTCTGGATGAAGTCGCACATTACTGGCGCCAAGTCAACGTGATGAACGAATACCAGAGGGATCGCTTTGCTGCTCGAGTTATCCGCCACCTGAATAGCACACTCGTCACTAAGAAGATTTGTATCCTGGGCTATGCATTCAAGCCCAACACGTCGGACACACGAGAAGCGCCAGCCCTCGAAATTATCAAGACGCTTTTAGACGAAAACCCGCGCGAGATTGCGATCTTTGACCCTTGCTGCAACCGTCTTGTCATTGAGAATGAGATTCGAGCCCTTCAGCCCTATGGCTCCCCTGTTCTCAGCGAGGATGGGGGCTGTGTGAAGGTCTACTCTGATGTCTATGAGGCTTGTGCTGACTCAAACGCGGTCTTGATTGTGACCGATTTCCCTGAATTCAAGAATTCCCCTGTGATCGCCAGCCCGCCGACCCTCCAGGCAAAGGTCACTCAGAAACCGCAAAAAGCCACCCCATCAAACACATCTTCTCCCCTCAGAGTGTTATCTCACGAACGTTTCAAGGCCGAACCGGATTGCTCTGCCGATTGTCCGGACTGTCAATCAGGGATCACATACGGTGAATCAAATCTTGGTGTGGACAAAGATGTTCCAAAACAGCAAGTCAACTGGAAGAAAATTGCCGGAGAGATGAGATCGCCCAAGTGGCTATTCGATGGAAGATGTATCATCAATATTCCAGAAATGACCAAGCTTGGCATCCGTGTTGAGAGCATCGGGTCTGCTGGTCTGGCGGTTTGATCTTTCGGGTCGTCAAGCCTTCCATTATTTACGTTGTGTACGGGTTACAGGCGAAGTTCATACCATCGATGTGTACTTTTAATCCTCCTAGGTGCAGACTCAGGCCTTTGAGTCCTACATAATCATGCTATTTCGATAGGATCTCCCATTTCTTTCGCATAATTAATCTATACGTGGTCAAATCATACAAAGAAAGTAATTTAGCCGAGATTCCATGTCCTGCAACCCAACATAGCAATTTACCCGAGATGATAAGGCGGCCATTAAAGTGCTCCGCTGTTATCTGGTGGAGTAGTGCTGTGCACGTGCGGGGACGAGGGGATCGTAACAGATTTTTTCCCATTTCCACAGAGACCCCTCGGTCTACAGAATAATATATTTGGATCTTTCTTCTTGTTGTTCGAATTTACCTGGATCTCATTCCTCTGTATTCCTCTGTCTGTTAGTTGGGGCTGTCTTGTTGTGTTCTTTGTGCGCTCCGAAAGTCGAAGACGAGATCGAATAATCACAACATTCAGGTCTTGGCACCGGCTAATCTCTACAATGGCCCTCAATCACTTCAAGAAACCACCCCCATATGTTTTAGCGAGCATGCTATGCTCTGCAAACGGCATCTTATTTGGAATGGATACGGGTGTAATCGGCCCAGTCACCGATATGAAGGATTTCAAGGCTTCATTTGGGGGGAGCCAGAATGCGACCATTCACGGACTTATTGTTTCCTCGATCTTGATTCCTGCTGCTCTCTCTTCATTTTTTGCTGGTCATCTTGCAGACAAGCTTGGTCGACCAAAGGGCATTAGTATTGGTGTTTTCATCTTTGGGATTGGAGCTGCTATTGAAGCGGCTGCTATCTCACTTGGGATGTTCATTGCTGGAAGGGTCATAGAAGGGGTGGGAGAAGGGTTCTTTTTAGGTACGTATATCAAAGCCAGATTTGCAGATTAGGCTGATACTTCAGAAGGCACGCTTGTGGTCTATATCGCGGAAATTTCACCTACGAGCACGCGAGGCATGCTGACAACGGGCCCGCAATTGTTGATTACTGCGGGAATCATGACTGGGTACTTCACTTGCTACGGATGTTCGGGTATCAAATCATCTCTTTCGTGGCGTACACCATTTATTCTTCTTGCTTCGCTCTCCATGGCTCTATGCGCTGCAACTTCTTTTCTCCTGCCTCCGTCTCCAAGGTGGTTGATCTTGCATGGTCGTCGACAAGAGGCTGAGCAAGCATGGGATAAGCTGGGTGTGAGCAATGCTGAACGTGAAAAGGTCGAATTACAGTCAGAACGAGTAGAGGTTGCTGCGCCCACGAACACGTCGCAGATCAGGGAGACGGTCCGGGAAACGACCGAAGTTTCCAAGCCGAACGTCATTGACAAACTGCTCGATATTTTCTCCAAGGATGTTCGGTCGCGCACGGCTCTTGTTGTATTCATGATGGGAATGCAGCAGCTCAGTGGTATTGATGGCGTGCTTTACGTATGTTCGCATTCCCCACTTCTCCGTACAAACTTCTGACACTCCATCTACATCTAGTATGCCCCGCTGCTTTTCCAGCAGGCCGGACTTGCCTCGTCAGAAGCGAGCTTCTTTGCCTCTGGTATCTCAGCACTCGTGATTTTCTGCGTGACTATTCCTGGACTGCTTTTCGCGGACAAATGGGGCCGTCGCGGCAGTGTTATTTATGGCGGTGTTGGATTGGGCACCGTCATGTTCTTGATTGGCGGTCTGTACGCTGGAAACGCCGTCCATGGAACGTCTGGAGCTGGTCGTTGGATGGTGATTGTTGCCATTTATATTTTTGCCGTCATCTACTCGATGACATGGGCAGTCAGCATCAAGATCTACGTGCCTGAGATTCATCCGAGTCGGACCCGTGCATCGGCAACGACCCTAGGTCATTCTTCAAACTGGATCGCTAACTTTTTAGTCGCCCTCACGACACCTATTCTACTGGCCAAGAGCTCTTTTGGAGCTTACTTTCTGTTTGGTGGCTGTTCAATCCTCACGGCTGCCGTCTGTGCGGCTTTCATGCACGAAACTAAAGGAAGGTCCCTGAATGAAATCGAGGAGGCATTCAAGCACAATGCTTCTGGACGAAAGAACCCTTTCAGTTTATTGCGACGACAAATCGTGCAGTCGACGGCCTAGACGAACTTCCGCCCCATAGGAAAATGATATGAATATTGAATGACAACCTACGAACGTACTAGACGGGTATGATATGCACAGCAAATGGCACAGCCTGAATTAGATTGGATGATCACTGTATACTGATACATACTGAATGGATTTGACACTGATCTCTTCCAATCATGATTGATTGTCAAAGATGGAGAGAGATGGAGAGAGAGAATATATGACTATATCCGTGGAAGCTTGGAACATCCTGTTCTTGAATTTCCCGCAGAGCCACTCCACCTCATACATCTTCAGTGAGTCTGCTCACTTGCCAGTTTGCATGCCTGCGTACAAAATTTGGTTCAAGGAAGTATGCGTCAGAAGGGCTAGATGTATCGAAGTGGATTTACGGCTCGTCAATCAAAGATTTGAGGGAAATGAAAAGTGATAAAGCATATAACAACTCATATCAGAGTGGTATCAACAGGGGCGTAGGCCATAGGCAGACCCGTCGACCTGTTCCTTGAACTCAGGATAAATTATCGTGTAGTTTGGCTGAAAGCGACCTTCAACATTCCTGCTTGATAGTCGACCAAGATACAAGAATGGGGGCAATTTCATCGATATTGTGTACTATCTTGATGAAAGCTTAGAACAATGTGATGCTAAGTACAAAAGATTGACAGTCTCCCGTCTAGCGAGTTTCAGGGGATAGGTGGCGCGCCACCTCAAATAAAGTGATAATATTGCATTTCTTGCTCAATTTCAATCATTATCCGGCCCCTATTGACATTGTTAATCTCTCGATTATTTCCAAATGTGCAATGCTTATGCAGATGTGTATCAGGCCGTAATTGAATCAAGACTAAGGCTTAATGCTCAGTGGAAGTTGGCAGATCCAGTTCAATCGCATTTCTTGGTTCGTCTCATGGACTTCCACTCCACGAGTCCAGCTCCGATGAAGGAAAGTGCGGCGGTAGCTACAGACACAAAGAAAGTCTGAGTGACGGCGATGTTGTATGCGTAGAGAACTGTTGGGAGAATATCTGTCGGAAGTCGATCAGCCAGGTTCGCTGCCCCAGCTTGAATGATGGCCGCCGGATTGACATTAGGCGCGACTTGTCTCAAATTGGCGACAAGTCGATTTTGAAAGACATTTTGAGCGATTGATATGAACAGCGCCCGCTCAGACTCTGAGCGAAGGTGATAATTGCGATGCCGACTGGGATGTCGTGTAATGGTAGCACAGTTTGTAGAGCATTGATGCACTGTTGGAATCCGACTCCTGCGCCCATGCCTATTACTATCTGATATGCAATCCATAGACCGCTCCCAGTATTGACTTTGAAAGTGGTGCAAAGTCCTGATCCAATCGTCAAAAGGGCGCTTCCGAAGAACATTAGGGGTGTGTAATATCCAATGAGATTCACGAGCAATCCACCGACTGCTGAGCAGACAATCATTGATATGACCATGGGAAGGTTGTTGACTCCGGACTCTGATGCCGAGTCCTCTTTGATAGCTTGAAACCAGATGGGAAGCTATCTTATCAGTGCCTGAAAAGCTTGAAGGATAATGCAGACTCACATAGTAACCGAATACAAAGAATGACCCTCCCAGGAACATGGCATGAATTACGGCGCCAAGAACATTGCGATTCTTGAGAAGTCGAGGCGGAACCGTTGCTTCTTCCTGTTTCCAGATTTGAACGGCGCACCATGTAGACCCGAAGACACCAAAAAGCACAAACAGTGCGATGATTCGCGCGTTGGACCATTCGTATCTAGTGCCTCCCCACTGAAGAGCCAGCAGGATGCAAATAATGGCCGGAATGAACGTGATAATTCCAATTGGGTCCATCCTCTTTAGTTTGTTCAATTTACCGGGCTCGGGTTTGGTTTGAGTAGGCGAGTCTTTGAAGAAAAGCATAATAAAAGTCGCAGTGATCGCGCCGAGAGGAAGATTAACGTAAAAGCACCATCTCCAGCTGACCTTGTCAGTCAAAAGTCCACCCAATCTATAACGGCATCAGCAAAGTTACTTCACTATTGAAAAGATGGGCTTTACAATGGTCCTGTCACCGTCGCAATTCCACTAGTACTGCCAATAATTCCAAAGTATAGTGCCCGTCGGTGAAGTGGCAAGCTGTTGGCCAACACTAACAAAGCGCCTGGGGACAACCCACCCGATCCGATTCCAGCAATGGCCCTTCCCAATATCAGACCCTTCGAGCTGGGTGTCACAGCACATGTCAATGACCCTATCTCGAAAAGCGCAAGGGCGATCATATACGTCCATTTGGTCGAGTAGTAGGTGTAAATTTTGCCGAAGGGAAGAGTCACTGCACATGTCGTCAATAGATACGCGCTCGCATACCAAGAAAGGTCCTTGAGGGAATTGAACTGCTCAGTGATTTTCGGTACTGCCGTTGCGAGGATGGTGTTATCCTTGAAGGTCAGCTCGCACAGCATCACTTTTCTCGATCGAACTCACCAGTGCGATACAAAAAGACTGAAAGCACAAACCTATGAGAATAGGAATCAACTTTGCTGTGGGTGGATATTCCTTCTCGTCATCTGCGATGTCATCGGACCCAGTCTCTTTCAATCGAATGTCATCTCGGTTTTCAATATATCCATCATGGTCATCGTGTGTCTCTGAGTAATCGGCCATGAATTAACGAGCTGTTTTTGCAGCCTATTCCCGTAGACTGTCAAAAAGTTTCAATGTCGAGTGTGTTGGAGCATTCGGATAATTTGAGAGCAAATGAGTCGTAGGTCGCCACGCTACCACCCAGAGTCCAAGATTTAGCTCTGGTAGAGCTGCAACCTTACTAGCAAGTGTAACACATTGTTTCACGCAAGGGGTTACAGAGCTTGTACGCGCCAGAGCTGTTCTACACATTCCACGTCGCACGCCTGGTATGTCCGCCCCGTCACAACGCGAACCTAACACAACTAAACGATTCCTGTCCAATGTATTTGTCTTCGCGGTCTTGTGGGAATAATCATCAAATGTAAGCTACAATTCGGAGTCAGAGTACGCATTAACGTGCGGCGTGCTCTTTTTTTATCGTCCGGGTTGTCGGCGCGATCCGTGTCCCTGCATTCCAATCGAAATGTGCTCGGTCTCATTTAATTCGTGTGTTTTACCTGCGTAACAAAAGATCCGCGATACGGAGATTTTTCCAACGTGATTGGGTCATTAGTCCTTATCATCTCAACGTGCTGCGTAATAAGGGGTCTTCCTGAGTCTCCACGATATTGAACCCCGTTAAAAGTGTCCAATAAAATTCCACGATCCATAGAAGATCAATCGATAGGCTGAACGGCTACACTATCCGTTAGATTGTCCTTTTGTTGCTTTGTTCTTTCAAAGCATTCATAAATCATCGGAAAACCCCCCCTGTCGGATACTGGTATCACTCCACGGGTGCCACCGTTGAAGGACTAGATCTGCAACGGCACCATTACACTGTTATCGGCCATCCCCCGCGGTAGATTGAAACTGTACACAAGACTTCGGCGGGTAGATGCCGATGTGCAAGCGTTGAAATTCAAAATGATACGATACGACTGGGTGTTAATATGAAGTACCGGCTCAATGCTAAGCTGAGGCCGACACATATGGAGGCCTCTAAACAGGCGACCTGAGTAATTCCATTGAGAGCGGGTATCAGATTAAAACTGGCTAGGCCCATGAGTTATCTAGCACCTTTTGTCCATGCTGGTACTTGCTCTGCGGAAGTCAAGTCACCAAGTCAACGTTAGCACCGAGTCAAATTGACATCATGCCCAATGAAGCCTCTACATTGGAAACGTCCTCGATTCAAAATTGTGGGCTTGAGCGAACGCTAAATCATTACGGGTCCACGAGTCATCTCGACCCAAAGCCCTGGATTTGTGGTTCTTGTGCATTCGACTAGGCCAGGGATAGAAGAAGGGGCATCATGAGTGCGTGAAGTCAGCGGCACAAGCAAGCAGATCACAAAGGGGTCTCACTCGTGTGGGCCAGCGCGATGCCAAGGAATGCACTAGGGGGATTTTCGGGTCGCGAACATGCTGCCACGCTTGCTTCAATTACCTGTGAGTTTGTTTCTCTCAATTGAAGGCGTTTACAGCACTTGAGGATTGCAGTAGATGGGGTGGATCTCGCTTGAGCTGGGCACTCGCGGGTCAGTGTTTGAAAAGCGTCGTTCTTACTTTGAGCGAATGCATGACCCCAAAACTCACGCGTATGCTCGTGCTTCCTCGCTAGCGTATGCTCGTGCTTCCTCGCTAGCGTATGCGCAAATATATTGCTGCTGTTCGGGTAACAAACATCGAACAAGACCTCAAAGATGATCGAAAATCACCAGGGAGAATCTAAACATGTGACCGTGGTACTATGATTGTAGATTTAGATATACGGTATGTGACTCGAGAGCCCATCATATGCAACGTGTCTTAAAGTTTTGAGGTTTGACAATGTTGCAAAGGCTGAGCAGACTACGGTCACTGGAATGAAATCAACCATCTATTGCATGCTATACAGGATGATGCATCTGCCACGAATGTGCCCGTTTCCCTATGCTTATCTTACACTGATAATTGCTCAGAATGCGACTCGAAATTCCACCCCACGTGCAAAGAAACACCTGCAAGCCATTTGAATTCTAGAAAAGCCTTTCCAGTTGTGAAAAACAACCGACCATCCATAGAGGATGACGTTCTGTCGATCAATATCGACTTCAGAGCCGCAGTCTTGCTCCTACACAGGCGGCTCTATTGCCAATGGAACCAGCTTGTTACCTGCGTACAACTGCGACGAAAGTGGCGATCGCGATCGTGGCAAGAAACCCACAGACCAGCATGAGGAGCTGCAAAATGTGAAACCCCAAACAGATCTTCGATCGGCGATATTTACAGATACAGTACTTCCGGAAATCGGTGTCACCACCTGCACTCTTTCATTGTTTCTCGGACCCTAATACCAAGAAGAGCTAATCTACTTTTGGCCTAGTCCTAAAACACCCCTGGGTTCAAGGCCTTGTATCGTAGAATACCGGATTATTGTATGAGGTGAATCTTTGTTGATACCTGTCATACCAAGACAGCGGCTACCTCGATGCCCCCACGACCAACGTTCCCACCACACGTCTTCCTCGACAACTGACCATAATAGTGGCGCAATGAACTATGGCACCGAATCTTGCTAAATCTACGCTTCAGCTTATCCATGACATGATCTGCAGTGGTGAACTAACCACTTCCCAAATGGCTGAAGCTGCTGGCTGCAGCAAACGCGCAATCCTCAGGATCCGGTCGAATCTGCGGCTTTTCGGTATCATCAAAGCTCCCCCCATCAAAGCCGGACGGCCGCGAAGTATCACACCGGTTATGTTAGAGGCCTTGTGCGACTATCTGCTTGAGAGACCGGATTCAGACCTTTCTGAGATAGAACTGTTCTTCTTAGATGAATTCGACACGTCCTTACCTAAATCCATGATCAGTGACGCCCTGCATCGAAAAGGGTGGTCAAAGAAGACCGCTCGAAAAAAAGCCAAAGAGCGGAACGCGGATTTGCGTGATGATTAGAGTTATCTTATTTCAGAGTTTTCCTTATACTACCTGGTCTACGTGGATGAATCTGGGTGCGATAAGCGGATAGGGTTCAGACGAACTAGCTGGTCTCCTCTTGGTACGACGCCGGTCCAAGTGTCTAAATTCTATCGTGATCAGCGATATCAGATACTTCCTGTATATGCCCAAGATAGTATCATGCTCTCTCGAGTGTTCTAGGGCTCCACTGATGCATCCGTCTTCGAGGATTTTATTGAGCAGCTTCTCCAGCATTGCAGGAAGTGGCCAGAGCCGAAGTCTGTAATACTTATGGATAACGCATCCTTTCATCACTCCGAACGGATCGAGCAGATGTGTTCAGAAGCGGGTGTGAAGCTAGTGTTTTTGCCTCCGTATTCTCCAGACTTGAATCCGATCGAGGAGTTCTTTGCTGAGCTGAAAGCCTTTATTCGCCGGAATTGGCAGTCTTACGAAGATAACCCGGACCAGGGATTTGACACCTTCCTCGAATGGTGTGTTGACATGGTTGGTGCAAGAGCTGTGAGCGCAGAGGGACACTTCCGGCACGTGGGTCTGACCGTGGAGGATATATAGCATAGGTACCAAAGCAAAGTTTAAGATCCTGTCGATCAACTTGGACGACTATTCTAAATCGCTTTATGCTTTGTTCTTGACAGCATTTAAAGAAGATAGTTTTTGTATAGCTGATCTTGGTATGATCTTGGTATGGACAATCGCCGTAGACTCTGACTACTAAAGAAAAAGAACTCTGGATTCCCTAGTCTATGTGACGCATGATTATCGTGAGGCCTGAGCGAGGCCTGAGGGGAACGTGATCTGGAAGGAGCCGTTGGTCTAACCCAATTTGGGATAGAAGTGGTTTTGTTTCGTAGATGCTCGTTTCCCTCTTTCTCTTCTTCTTCTTCTTCTTCTTCTTCTCCAGTTTAGTTGCTCTGTTAATGATACGCGAATTCCTTCTCGCCTTGGTCGGTAACAGTCTATCTGGTTCATCTAGAGAATCGTTTACAAAAACAACAAACCAAGGATTTCATTCGTGGAAACAGGCGATACTGTAATTTAAGAGCAGTCTATGTGATTTGGTCTGCATACTGCATCATATCCTCAGTCGGTCATGTATTCCTGGTTCTCCGGAACAGAGGATGCTTGTTTTGTTGGGGGTCGGCCAGGTGTCCGAACCTATCAGCCATCGAAGGATGAACGATGACTAAGCTAGACCGACGCAGGGCAGGCGGTGCGGGAAGTCCGTACATTCCGACATTTTCCGCCTGGCGCGGATTAACCTAATGGGTCTTGGTTCCAAGACCAAACTTGGTGGTTTCACCTGGACAACCAAATATGTAAGGACCGAAAGTGCGCAAACATAAATAAATGGTGTTCTACTGACTTTAGTCCCCAAGAGTCTCTATTCATATGAAAAGAAGGGGTTACAAGTTCAGCATGGTCCAGCATGGCCACGCTGTCCACAAGGAGAGTGGATACTCGGAGACCCCTGCATCTTCCAATGATGTAGTAAAGATGGCTATGACTAGTGGGCAGCAAGCAGGCAAATCCTGGTCCTTACACCCCGACAGCCTCTTATTTCTTCCAACCAAAAACCGAAAGTCAGCCATCTGGAAATCCTTCTTTTTTGAAGATGTCCAAACGTCTGAAAAACTTGATTCCTTCATTTCACAGGCACAAGAAGATTGGGAAAGCGGAAGCCCAGAACAATCAAGCGGAAGACCAAAACGACACCACGAAAAATGCTAGACCGTCGACTTATAGCCAGCCAGCAATCCAACCACTTCGGTCAATCGAAACCTTCCAGCCAAAAGACCTGTGGCAAACTGCCTATGACCAGCTCGACGAGAAGCAACAGCATATTTTGTCACGCACACAAAGCTCTTGTGAGTCGAAGAATAAGAAAGCTAGCTCGAGAGAGCTGATCGACGAGATCATCCAGGTGACAAAACAACAATACGAGGCATACCAACAGAGGTCAGATAAGACACTTCGTAAAACTTCGCGGAAGATCATCGATGCGGTACTTTCCTATAAGGAAATTATTAGTGCGGTTGCTGGACTTGACCCCACACAACATGCAGCCAGTGCTTGGGCAGTCGTGTCGCTTGGTTTGAAAGTATGTATTGCCAGAAAGTCAAGACAGGCCAGTTGTTTATCGTCTGGCTGGTATCGTAGATTCCTCAAAACCATCATGACGCACGAAATGCCTTGTTTGAATCATCGGAGTACCTGGCCGATGTCATTACACAATGCGCCTTCGTTGAACAGAGATCTTACCGTCACGGCGATTCAGATATTCGAGGTCATGTGGAAACCGCAATGATTAAACTCTATAAGGCTATTCTGCGCTATTCAGGACAGATTCGGAATGCCCAAAAGCCTGGCGTCGGAAGAAACCTCTCGGACTGTTTCACTGCCATTACTGGGCATCCACTTACGGAGCTTAAGACCTCAGTCGAAAAAGAAAGGGATAATTTGCGCCGGTGGATCGAGCTTGGTGGATACCTGCATCGTGAGAAGGAGGCGGAACACATTCTTCTCAAAATCGATGAGCTTGGCGAATCCCTGAAGCTTCTTCTTGAACAGTCTAGCCTTATGCATCTCCATGTTGTGGAGGGAGCATTATATGACTGTCATGTTCACGAACATGAGGACTTTTGCCTTCCAGGGACCAGAACCGAGCTTCTTTCCCGTATCACGGACTGGGCGAAGTCCGATGATAAATTCATTTTTTGGTTGAATGGGATGGCAGGAACCGGGAAATCTACCATTGCACGCACAGTTGCACAAGGGTTCAAAGAACGGGGACTGCTTGGTGCCAGCTTTTTTTTCAAGCGGGGCGAAGCCGACCGTGGTACTGCAGCATACTTAATAACCAGTATCGCAGGACAGCTGGTAACTAGACACAGACAACTGGTGCCTGAAGTCTTGAACGCCATTAAGACGGATCCGAAAATTACATCAAAGTTTCTGAGAGATCAATTTGACCAGCTTCTCTATCGGCCTCTTCTCAAGCTGCGACCAGAGCAATCTACCACGGTTGTGATCGTTATTGACGCCTTGGACGAATGCGAAGGGGACAAAGAGATAAAACTCATACTTCATCTCTTGTTCAAATTACAAGAAATTCAGTCGGTGCGCTTGCGAGTAGTCTTGACAAGCAGACCTGAACTTCCGATCCGTCTGGGTTTCCAGAATGAAGACAACTATCAGGACCTAGTTCTCCATGAACTTCCTGCTCCAGTAATCGAACGCGATATTCGTCTGTTCCTGGAATACAAGTTTCTAGAAATACAACGCGAACACTCGCTTCCCTCCGACTGGCCTGGGAATAAAAAACTTAAGCAACTGGTGCAGATGGCTATACCTTTGTTCATCTTTGCAGCCACTCTTTGCCGCTTTGTTGGGGATGAAGACTGGCTTCCGGAGGAGCGTCTTACGGCCGTTCTTGAAGATAAAGCAACAACATCGACATCCGACATGGACTGGACATATCTACCAGTACTGAACCAACTCCTTGCCGCGAAAAATAAGAAGGAATTTGAGCAACTCTTACAAGAGTTTCAGAATATCGTCGGCGTGATTGTTCTTTTGGCTACCCTCTTTCAGTTGTTACTCTTGCGCAATTGACCGGGATACCTGAGAATAAAATTATCAATCGGTTAGAGAGGTTTCACTCTGTCCTTAGTGTACCAGCGGATCTCGAAGCACCGATTCGCATTCTGCATCTTTCATTTCGAGACTTCTTAATTCAGACAGAAGGTGACTTTCGTATTAATGAACAGAATACACATCGACAAATAGCATTACACTGTCTCCGCGTCATAGACACTCGGCTCAGGCACAATATCTGTGATCTGGCAAGTTACGGAATACAGTGCAAGGATATCGATCCTCAGATGATCCAGCAGTGTCTCCCGGCTGATTTGCAATACTCCTGCTATTACTGGGTGTACCATCTGAAGCAGAGTCAGGGTGGTATCTCTGAATCTGAAATTCTCTCTTTTCTTCAGAAGCGGTTCCTTCACTGGTTGGAAGCGCTAGCTTTAATGGGGAAAATATCTGAGGCGACAGGAATGATAGAGACATTAGAGTCAAGAACATGGGTAAGTATCAAAAATTTATATTTAGATGACTGCTGATAGATATCACAGAGGAAAGCCGATCCTACTCTTTTGGGGTTTCTATATGATGCAAGAAGATTTACTCTTCAAAATGCTTATATGGCTGGCATTGCTCCACTGCAACTCTACTGTTCCGGGCTAGCGTTTGCACCAGCGCAAAGTGTCATCAAGGGGACTTTTCTTAGCGAAATACCAGAACAGATGCAGAGGCTGCCAGCTGTAATAGATTCCTGGAGCACAACTCTACAGACGCTAGAGGGCCATTCAGATACGGTTAACTCAGTGGCCTTCTCTCCCGATGGGCTCACGCTGGCATCAGGCTCGGATGACTATACCATTAAGCTCTGGGATACGGCGACTGGCACACAGCGGCAAACGTTAGAGGGCCATTTAGGTTGGGTTAGTTCAGTGGCCTCCTCTCCCGATGGGCTTACGCTAGCATCGGGCTCGGATGACTACACTATTAAGCTCTGGGATATAGCGACCGGCACGCAGTGGCAGACGCTAGAGGGCCATTCAGAATCGGTTACTTCAGTGGCCTTCTCTCCCGATGGGCTTACGCTAGCATCAGGCTCAGATGACTGCACTATTAAGCTCTGGGATACGGCAACTGGCGCGCAGCGGCAGACGCTAGAGGGCCATTTACATTCGGTTAGATCAGTGACCTTCTCTCCCCGATGGGCTTACGCTAGCATCGGGCTCGGGCGACTGCAGTATTAAGCTCTGGGATATAGCGACCGGCACGCAGCGGCAGACATTAGTGGGCCATTTACATTCGGTTAGATCAGTGGCCTTCTCTCCCGATAGGCTCACGCTGGCATCGGGCTCGGATGACTGCACTATTAAGCTCTGGGATACGGCGACCGGCACGCAGCGGCAGATATTAGAGGGCCACTCAGATTTGGTTAGTTCAGTGGCCTTCTCTCCCGATAGGCTCACGCTGGCATCGGGCTCGGATGACTGCACTATTAAGCTCTGGGATACGGCGACCGGCACGCAGCGGCAGATATTAGAGGGCCATTTATCTTTGGTTAGTTCAGTGGCCTTCTCTCCCGATGGGCTTACGCTAGCATCGGGCTCTGGCGACTGCACTATTAAGCTCTGGGATACGGCGACTGGCACGCAGCGACAGACGCTAGAGGGCCATTTATATTTAGTTAGTTCAGTGGCCTTCTCTCCTGATGGGCTCACGCTAGCATCGGGCTCCGGCGACTGCACCATTAAGCTCTGGGATACGGCAACTGGCACGCAGCGACAGACGCTTGAGGGCCATTTAGGTTGGGTTAGTTCAGTGGCCTTCTCTCCCGATAGGCTTACGCTAGCATCGGGCTCCGGCGACTGCACCATTAAGCTCTGGGATACGGCAACTGGCACGCAGCGACAGACGCTAGAGGGCCATTTAGGTCGGGTTAATTCAGTGGCCTTCTCTCCCCGATGGGCTCACGCTAGCATCGGGCTCGAGCGACTGCAGTATCAAGCTCTGGGATACGGCGACCGGCACGCAGCGGCAGCATTTACATTCGGTTAATTCAGTGGTCTTCTCTCCCGATGGGCTCACACTGGCAGAGGGCCATTCAGATTGGGTTAATTCAGTGGCCTTCTCTCCGGATGGGCTCACGCTGGCATCAGGCTCGGATGACTGCACCATCAAGCTCTGGGATACGGCGACCGGCACGCAGCGGCAGACGTTAGAGGGCCATTCAGATTCGTTTAGATCAATGGCCTTCTCTCCCGATAGGCTCACAACGGCTCTCGAGAAAGCTCCTGGCAATTTCCAGATATCATTATCGAGTAACTGGGTTGCTTTGGGAGGTGAGAATTTACTATGGCTCCCAACTGAGTATCGTTCATTTCAATGCCAGGCTGTCAAGGATGCCACACTTGCACTCGGGTATAGGGATGGGCGGGTTTTATTGATAGGCTTCCATACGCATACAGTATAAATTATGTTATTTGTGTTCTTCCAGTTAAGTCTCTTATTTTCGAATCTCTTTGCGAGGGGGACAGCTGAGGTTTATATACCATTGCTTTTCTGTTGATGAGAGATTTTCAAGGATTTCTAGATGATTCATAACTGTTGCCACCTTGCCTTTTATTCCCTGTCCAGATATTCCCATGCTATGTGACAAAGGCCTGGATTGGTGAAAACGTCACGTCATCGTGGGAATATTACTTGTCGTCATACCAAAAACTCTGTCGCGGGAATTGTTTCTCCTCTCCAATTTTGCATCCAATTTCGCTTCTCTTCACCACGAGGCTACTGAAGCAATCGAGGAGTATATCGAAGTGGTGAGAGTAGTATTCGTAGACTCGAGACATTGTCGAAGTGCGCTTTGACCTTAACACTGGAAGACCTATTTCTAGCTATTTTAAGCGTATATTGCGAGTAGCGGAAGGCCATATTTCATTACTGCTATCCAGCTCGTATATGATGAAAAGTGACATCATTGTCTGTGTTGTATAAATCAGCAGATTTATATAGCTAGGACCGAGTATGCCTCTGAGTAGGTTATTAGTTCAGCATGAGACCCACTCCAGCTCTTTGTGTTTGATCTAACTAATTGCAATTCAATGGATAATTCTAGCTACAATACCCATACAGATACAAGACATGATATTCTCGGCTAGGCGGAGTAAAATACTGTGTAGATCAAAATACAGGACTATCTATTTTCCGACTCTATTCTTGATCTAGTCTAGTTGGTCTTGGCATCAGGGTTACAGAAAGTATGAAAGAGTGCAGGTGGTGATACCGATTTCCGGAAGTATTGTACAATCAAGCAACGGCGCTCATGTGTAACACTCCGATTCCGAAGACAATGTGCATCCAGCAAATCCCTTAGCGAGCCTAGCGAGTCAACAGCACTAGCGCTAATTTACAATCACCCACCCATTCTCGCTTTTCTAGCATAACGGTCCTGTTGCGCCTCTCGCGACACACGGCATACGGCACACGGCATACGACACGGCCAAAGCGTTTCGAGAAGCCCCTTCTTTGCGATCTACACGCCATGGCTGAGCCATAATCAACAGCGATGCCCTAAGGCACGGATGACCTCAGTGGCTGGCGGGAGGCGCCATTGCAACCATCGCGTCATGAGCCGCCCCCCACCCCGCTTCCTCCGCGCCATTCTAGAAACGCGCGGAGGGGGCTGAGAATAAGCCATCATGGCATCAGGCCATGCGTAGGCGGGCCAGATGAAATTTGATCAAACCGGAACTGCCTATCCGGGTAAGTCGTACTGCGTATCCCCCAGGATTCGAACGCAACCACCGCGGGGGCCTACAGTCCACCGGATGTGATGGTCCACAATGGCCAATGAGTTTGGAAGTGGAGTTGTTTTAGTCCGTCTCTTTTGAGCTGCCAGAGGCTACGACACGAAAGGAAAATTGCAACCCGACATCAATGGTTATAGCGAGGTCCGTTGTCTTGCCAAGACAAAAAAATCCATTGGACGAGTGATCAGCTGCGATGGACTTCCTTGGAACCGGTCGGGACATAAATTTGGGTCCATGGGTAGACGGGGTCAATGGGGTAAACGGGTTCGGGAGACTTCCGGTGCCTTGTCGGGCGTTTTACTGCGAGGTCAACCGTAGCATGTCGCAACTGGGTTTAAGAAAAGCCTCCAGGTCAGTGGCTTGTCGTAGCTTGTTCTATCTTGACTTGGACTTGGCCACTTGGTCGCTTGGCTTTTTGACCGGGTTATCTGGCTAGGCGCCAAGTCGCACTTTGCTCCTTTCGCCAATTCCTTTCTCGGCTAACTTGAGAAACATATACGGCTCAATCATTTTTACGCAATATCAGACGCAACTAGGGCCTTTGCGAACGGAAAAAGGCCATTTCATGGTTTTCATGGTTTATGTTTCCCCTTTGAGACTCGAGAAGATCCGCCCGTGTGTAGGTTTGGAGGATTTTTTTAGACATGTCAGAATGAATGAGATCACATGTAGGCGTCCATAGTCCAAATTGGCTTGACTCGCATGGCCTCTAAGTCTTAAGGACCCCCGGCTTTGAGCGCATTGCCCCTGGATCATACCTGGGGGACCCAATGTTCCATGGTACGGAGGGTATGACCCCACAAATCCGTGAAACCTGACAGGCTCACAGATCGGCGGACAGGCTTCCGGACCTGGGGTGAGAGGCCCAAACCGAAACTAACCGAACCTGGTGAAGCCGAGCCCATCGCCCGATTCAATCTCCCGTGCTATTGGCAGACCTCGCGTGGCCCGGACTCTCAACTTAGATCCAAACGGATTGAGATCGGTGTAGTTGAGGTCTCTTCCTAGCCCGACCTGTCCGTGCTAGTCTTCGTAAACCAACCACCATTCGCGTTTCCGTGGTTATGGAGCTTCAAAGGAGTGTGGACCCGCGTTGATGCCACTCAAATCACATCTGCGTCTGGTCCGGCTCGGCTGCTACAAGGACAGGACCTATGAGTCTCCCCTCCCCCCAGTCATGACCCAGTCATGACTGGGGTCATTGCCGCATGCACCTGTTCTTCGAGGCTGTTTAAAATTCCGTCAGCGTCCCCGTTAAACTTATAACTTTTTCTCAACTCATTTTTGCGTCTCTCTTGCCGGCTGGTTCGGTTTATCAACTACATTGACCTGTAAAACAGATTGGACAGAACAAAGACGAGACCTTTCACCATTCCGCCCAGGATGCCTTCCAAACGATTCCTGGGCCTCAATGGCACCAGACTTCAGGTTGCTATCGGCGTTTTAGCCGGTATGGATTTCCTGCTTTTCGGTTACGATCAGGGCGTCACGGGTGGTTTGCTCACTCTCAAATCCTTTGTGAAGTATTTCCCGACTATCGATACCACCACGGATGATTCAAGTGCGCAATCCACGCGTCAGGGTATCACCGTCGCTGCGTATAACTTGGGATGTTTTGCGGGTTCTATCCCGACGATCTGGCTTGGTAACATGCTCGGTCGCCGCAAAGCCATTTTCCTCGGTTCTTTCATCATGGTGATTGGGGCTATCCTGCAGTGTACCTCGTACGAGCTTGCTCAACTCGTCGTTGGCCGTCTGGTTACTGGATTCGGAAATGGTATCAACACTTCGACTGTTCCAACATGGCAATCCGAGTGCTGCAAGTCTCACCGTCGTGGTCAGCTGGTCATGATCGAGGGCGCGATGATTACCTGCGGTATCACGATTAGTTACTGGATTGACTTTGGTCTGTTGTTCGCCGATCCGAACGAAGTCGCTTGGCGATTCCCGCTTGCATTCCAGATTTTCTTCGCCGCGATCATCTTGGGCTTCGTTATGTTCCTTCCCGAGTCACCCCGTTGGCTCATTCTCAAGGGTCGTGAGGAGGAGGCTCGTGAAGTTTTGACCTGTCTGATGGGTGACGAGACTGATGAGGTCTTTATCGACACCGAGTTCACTGCTATTAAGGCAACCGTTCTGGAGATGTCCAAGGGATCATTCCGCGACATGTTCACTATGGGCGAGGACCGTCACTTCCACCGTGTTGTGCTGGCCTATGTCAACCAGATGTTCCAGCAGATCTCTGGTATTAACCTGATCACCTACTATATCCCTACTCTGCTCGAGAACAATATTGGCATGAGTGCCACTATGTCTCGTCTGATTGCTGCGCTAAACGGTACCGAGTATTTCCTTGCTTCTTGGGTGGCTGTGTTCACGGTGGAGAGATTTGGGCGTCGCTCTCTGATGCTCTTTGGCGCCGTCGGCATGTCACTTTCCATGGTCATCCTCGCCATTACCGACAATATCTCCTCAACCCACAGCATACCCCGAAGGGAACCAGTGCTGGTATTGCCCAGACTGTGTTCCTTTTCGTCTTCAACACGTTCTTTGCCATCGGCTGGCTTGGCATGACATGGCTGTACCCGGCTGAGATCGTACCTTTGAAAATTCGTGCTCCAGCCAACGCCCTCTCCACGTCCGGCAACTGGATCTGGAACTTCATGGTCGTCATGATCACCCCGGTCGCTTTTGCCAACATTGGCTATCAGACATATGTCATTTTTGCTGTCATGTACGTTTTCTCCCTCTCCATCAACTCGACTTTGGTGCTGACTTTGCCTTTCTCAGTAACGCCGCCATCGTCCCTACGGTCTACTTCTTCTTCCCTGAGACTACCTGTCGCTCCTTGGAAGAGATGGACCGTATCTTCCACAAGACCACCAATGTTTTCAACGTCGTCAGTCTCGCTAGAAATGAGCCCCACATGTACGGTCGTAACGGCGAGCTTCTTCGAACTCTTGATGACATCGAAGACGAGGCCGTTCGCCGTGCTAGTGCCCTTAGCAACCCTGCTAAGGCTGCCGAGCGTGTGCATCGCGAGCACGTCGAGCATAACGAGAAGGCCAGTGATAGCAACTCTAGTGAGGAGAAATAGACCCCCAGTCATACCCTTCTGTCTGGGACTGGTATGCCGTGACGATTTCCCACGACCCGCCCTCGGTTCACCGATATCTTTCTTTTTGTGTTTCCTGTTCAGAACGGTCCAATACCCTTGTTAGACCGGTTTTGTTAATTTTAATTGAATACCCTTTTGAAATTCACCGAACTCAGTAAAATCATGACTTTACATTAAGTTGGCACTTGGCGTGGAATCCGGATGGCAAGGATCGGTTTCTGAATCCAATCAACTGACTGTTCGCGAGAACCTAGACTCTGAGATTCATTGAAGAAAAGGTCTAATATTGACCGACTGATCTACAAGACCTAGCAGAAGGCAGGGCCCAAGGTCAGAGACACAAGATACCATGCTTTTACTGGGGAGTGCTGGAGGGCGCGGCTCAGATGTAGCTTTCCAAAAGACCCCCCTCCCCGGTTTCGAAATCTCGTTGCATATACATTTCACTCAGGCGAATACCTTCAATAGATAGTAGCATCATTGAGATTCATTCATCATCTAATTCATTCTACATTCAAAAAAAAAACCTGGTCTTTTTACAGCCCTTAAATATGGATATCAAACAACCTCCTCGTGAACAGCATCCACTTCCTTGATCTTCCCCTCCTTCTTCTTCTCAATCTCCGCCCCAAATGTATCCTCAATCTGATTGGTCTTCCAAGGCTTGACAGTCGAGTCGAAGACCATATCAATCTCCTCCAGAGACCGACCCACAGTCTCGGGGTACATGAAGAAAACGTGGAAGGTCATTACGCAGCAGAATACACCGAAAATTATGTATGTCTTCCACTGGATGTTGTGGAATGCCGGGGCTACGAAGTAGGCCAGGGCAAAATTGAAGATCCAATTTGCGGAGGCTGAGAGACCAACGCCCTTAGCACGGTACTTGAGAGGGAAGACTTCTGAGGCGTAGATCCATCCCGTTGGGGCCTGTTCGCGTTAGTGGAGTCTTGAAGCAATGGCGGGAGTCGACTTACCCAGGTGAACCCATAGATACCGGTGAAAATGTAAGAGAAGGCGATGACTGCCATGCCTGCACTACCCTGGATCTCCCAGGTAAGATTGGTGTTGCCGTTCACATTTGAGACGGCGTGGCCGTGACTAGCCATGACACCTGCGATGATAAAGTGCACGATCATACAGAGAACAGAGCCTGTCAAAAGCAAGGTTCGTCGACCAACGCGATCGATAAAGGGCAGCATGACACCAGTCGTGACCAAGAAGATAACATATTGGATAGCCGAGGACCAGAGAGTAGTGTTTCCAGTCTGTATTTAAGAGTCAGTAACCAGAGTCCAAGATTGGTGTGACAAACATACCATTCCAGCCATCTCAAAGATGTACACAACGTAGTACATAGCCACATTACCACCTAGCAATTGCTGCCACATTTGAACACTCATACCACAGGCAGTTCGCTTCCAGATCCGAGGTCCGAATAACGCAAGGAAAGAAACATCCTTGGCCTGGTGGGCAATTCTTGCCGCCTCCTGAACTTCTTCGAATTCCACTTGCACCACAGGATCATTGCGGTTCCCCTTCCCATGGATATCAGCCAACACATCCAACGCTTCTTCCCAACGCTCCTTACTCGCTAGCCAACGTGGTGACTCCGGAAAGAAGAACAGCGCAATAAACAGGATCACTCCAGGAACAGCTTGAATTCCCCAGCAGATCCGGAACGCGGCTGTACCTGAGACACCGACCACGCAGCCATAGGCAATCAGGTACATGATCAGGATACCCCATTCAATAGCCCATTGTTGAATTCCGACAACACGGCCTCGAATACGTGCCGGTGCAAGCTCGGATAGGTAGACGCAAGTCTGTGACGACGTTACTCCAACGGCGAGTCCGCTGACCACACGCCCGGCGACGAGGTGTGTGACATTTTGGGCGCTACATTGCACCATGGCCCCGACGACCCATACCAAGGCGGCAATCATCAATGAGCCTCGGCGGCCGAGATAATCTGATAGCCAACCTGCTGCAATGGAGCCGGCGAAGGAGCCGGCCGACATGGAGGCCGTAATCTTGATTTGATGTCAGCTAAGGGATGCTTAGATAGTGTTGTTATAAAATATCAACTGACTCCTCCTGAAGATCAGAATTGGGGTTTCCGAAATAATCGTTATAGGTGTCAACGCCAATCCAGGCACTCATCGAGCTATTGTCTGTTAGTTTTAATCTACTGGTCGTGGGGTATTCTTCCGTACCTCACATCGAAGCCGAATAGCGCTCCGCCGATGGTGCCGAACGCGGCGAGCACTGTTATCCATTAGTATGAATCGTTGCCAATTCTCATAGGCACGCACCGTAGATATTTGAGATACGATACATGATTGCAGGCTACCTCATCTCACTGTGAAAAAAACAGGGGCGAAGCAGCTTTTAAGTCAGTACAATCGGATACACGGGCCAACGCGCGCCGGGGTGGCTTCGGGGTGGCTTTCGAGAGCAACATGACAGTAGCGTAGCGCATGGCACCACTCGCTGCAGTCCTGGGCCCGGGCATGACGCCCAGATCAGAAAGGATCGACCGGATAGAATGCGGAGAGTCGACTGGAGAGACCGGGAAGACAAGGCGGGGAAACAACCTGCGTCATTGGCGGAGCCATGTCGGTTCGGTTGAAATGCTTTTTTAACCGATGGCTTTTATCCGCGATGAAAGCCAGGTTTTCAACCGATCACTGCCCCTTTGTGATGGGTTCCCCAATGTAGTGTGAGCGTATTAGGCTTCGGTCTGGGTGACTCTAAGTATTCTTGTGGCGCTTGTGCCGGTTTTCGGTCTTTTCATTCTGGTTTATAGCTGCGGACGCGTACAGTGTCATCCGGCCCGCTGTTCATGGACACCCGATCGGCATGCCGACGTCATGCCACTAGCAGCGATTATGACATTCTGGCAAAATTGAACCCTGGAGACATTGAACCCTAGAAGTCGTCATCGGAGCCGGGGGGGGGGGGATTGTCTAGGATGAGTTTTCCGAGACCCTGAACATGATGCCGAGCATTGGCGCAGGAACCACGCGTGTTAGTGGTTGGCACATCCGATTTCAGGTTTCTTGCTACAGGTCAACCGGAAACTTGCCTCGAGGTACTGATTGGCTTGAGAGGATCGAATCGCTATCTACCACTCTATACTGTTTGAAATGATTGCGTGAAAAACGTGCTCGAATTTGTATATGGGCGGCTTGCAAAAGATGACTACTTTGAAGCAACTCTTTATAGATGACTTCTCTCATGAGTGACACTGGGCGAAGACACTGGGCGAAGAAATGCGAAACAAGCCATCTCTGTCGCATCGAAGGGTCTGGACTTCGGTCCAGAAAATAGTGGTCAAATTCTCGGTTATTTTCCGCGGCTCCATGAAGGCCTTGTTTCTGGGGTACGGGGCCCCATACCTGGAACCCTGACCCAAAGATGATGACTTTCACAATTTGACTCTCGCTCAAGTCAAATGCAAAATCTATATCAAGTTCCGGCCAATCTACGGCCCGCTCCCCCATCAACGCCATGGCGGCGCCACTGGGAGCCATGCGGGGGGGCTTCTTGCCTGATCTTACCGGTTGCGTATTGGTACAGTCGTGGCGGTCTGAATGATCGAGGCTCGATTTGACATTCTCATTTCACAAGCTTCTCGCCTCGGTGAACTATGTATGTTGGTCCAGACCACTTATGAGAGGGAGAAAAGTTACTGCCGGGGTATTTCCACTTTTGACCTGACCCCGATCCTTGGATCTTGGCTGAAGTCAAGTTGTTTGCGTCTTTTCCTGGTTTTATGCCTTAGAGGCTTTCTTCCTGGGAGTCTCTTTTCCAATCGAGGCCTGTGATGAATATTTTGCTAGACTTCCCAGTCCCAGCACTGCTGCACAAGTGGCGATGTGTTGATCGTGACGGGAGTCATCACATTACACCGAAGAGAAACAGGACGCCCACATCAAGATCAGACATGACGACCGATTATTTCAAGACCGAAGAATATATACCAATCCGTTGACGTAGATGGAGGTGCCTCTGTGGGTAACCCAACGTCGAAAATGCTTAGTGATCCGGTACAGAGCGTGAAGTGTTGATATTGTTCGCAACTGTGGAGACGCCAATGCTAGCACCCAGTTAATCGTTCCTTTATATTGCAGTTTTCTTTTCGCTCATCACCAAGCCCTGCCGGGCTAGCTCAATCGGTAGAGCGTGAGACTCTTAATCTCAAGGTTGCGGGTTCGACCCCCGCGTTCGGCTATTCCTAGAAAAAACCTGAGATATTCTTTTTTGCCCCGTGAGACAAGCCAAGTGCGCCATGTGAAATTTTTGACTAAGAATGGCTTGGTTTCGCTTCTCGCGGTACCGCATTTCCTTTCCTCTGAGCTAACTGTCATCACAAGCCCAAGGGTAATTTTTGTGCCCTAGAGTCAATACCTGGCCGTGCTAGTAGGGCTGGGCTTGGATATGAAATTGTGTAATCTCTCCTGGTGCTCTTGTAGTTCTCATTTCTGTCGCCGCATGGAAGGCGAGGCTCAATGATACAGACTAACCAGAATCAGGATCAAAAATCACGAGAAGCCTTATCAGATGCAGCAATATTGATGGCTCGGCATAGTGTCCAAAGAAATTCATCACACGAGGCAGTGATAGATTGATACCTTGCCATGATGTTCACTCACTCAGCAATGAAAAAAAACATACAACAGCAGGGATTCGCTGGTGGTCACCCACCCAACTACTAACCTGCCGGCGTGTGGCTTAAGTACGGCTGAGCGGACGGGAAGCCCTGTTCTCCACACCCTATGGTCGTATATGCTTGGATATGCTAAAGTGATTTACAAGTATTACTCAATATGGCCAAGCGCTGTGTCCAGGGTGAGAGCCGCTTAAGCGTCGCGCGACCGGGGCTGAGAAGGGTGAGTGCGCAATAGACAGGGTGAGAATCCTGCGGGCCAGTACGACCACTGCACAGACCTTCCCAGCTGAGCAAACGTAGAACATCATTGGCTACGATCCTCCAGTGGAAACAGCCCCCTCTTGGCATCTGCACATGGCCCCTCGGTGGTTGGCTTTCGACCAGGGGGTTGATTTTCGAATATGAGTTTTCGTAAATGTTGAGCCTCTCCTCTCTTGCAAACCACGATAGCGAAATCTTCCAGAGTCAACAAATTCAAAAGCTCTCGTTTCGCACTCTACTGATTTCCTGACAAGAGTAGATATGTCAGACCCGGCAAATTACGTCGTGGGCTGGATCTGTGCCATAGCCGCCGAATATGTTGCAGCACAAGTGTTTCTCATGAAAAGCATGAAAGCCCAGTTTTTGTGTCGCCAAACGATACAAATCACTATACATTGGGAAAAGTTGGTGAACATAACGTCGTCATTGCCGCCTTGCCGGATGGTGAATATGGAACAGCTTCCGCTGCCAGCGTAGCGACGAACATGCTAAACAGCTTCCCTAATGTCAGAATCGGCCTGATGGTCGGGATCGGTGGCGGTGTACCTAGCGAGGAGCATGACGTTCGTCTGGGCGATGTTGTGGTCAGTGCTTCTCGCGACGGCTATGGTGGTGTCTTCCAGTATGACTTCGGCAAATCGATACAGGGCCAGGGCTTTCAAAATACGCGTTTCTTGAATCAGCCCCCAACTTCACTACGCACCGCAATGATAGGGATTCAGACGGAGTACGAAATCAATGGGCACCGGCTCGAGGAGGCTATCAATAACATTCTTGACAAGAACGCGAGGCTACGCCGGAAATACGAGCGGCCGGAGCCTATCACAGATAGGCTGTTTCAGCCCGAAAGCGTCCATAATTCAATATGCGGAGATGTGTTCTGTGCGTATGATTCCACTTATTCGGTACCTCGAAAACGAGCGGACCGAGCACGAGGATAACCCTGCTATCCATTACGGCCTGATTGCTTCAGGTAATAAGTTGATGAAAGATGCATCGATTCGGAGCACCCTTGCGGCCGTAAGAGACGTGCTCTGCTTTGAAATGGAGGCCGCAGAACTGATGAACCACTTCCCCTGTTACCGACCAGGACGAAGAAGAATTCGTGTATCATTAACAAAGGCAACTAAACTGGAGAAGAAGAAGAGAAGAGAAAGAGGGAAACGAGCATCTACGAAACAAAACCACTTCTATCCCAAAGTGGGTTAGACCCACGGCTCCTTCCAGATCACGTTCCCCCTCAGGCCTCCCTCAGGCCTCAAGACAGTCATGCCTCACAGTATCCATGAAGATAGATTATGAGAAATGTCAACCTTCCAAATATCCTCCCCGCATATAGTTGCCTGGGCCGCGCGAAGCAGTCGAGAACCCTGTTTGAGCTAAAATGGAGAATGTTCTTTGCGCAAAAGTGACAAGACCACCACACAGATGCCGTGATTGCAATTTGTGCTGTACTACAGACAAAAGTCCTCACATAAAGGCAACTTAACGAACTGAAGTGTGAAGGCTTGCCATCTGTTACACATAGCATAAATGCCCAATAGGACGAACATTGATTTGACATAGGGCGTGCAGATCATCGCCGCTATGGGCCTACTTCGCGGAAGACAAAGTTTGACTCGAACACTGAGAATGATGGCTACAATGGACGATCGAACTGGACAGCATAATTTATTGCGTCTTTTTTTGTTGCAATACGTCTACCTCCCAAGCTTGGAGGGCCTTTTCACAATCACGTAAGACATCATTTCCAAGCGTTTGTCGTTGTCTGAAAGACGAAAACCAAGTCCAGTCGCTCTTGCGTGTAACACCTGCGTAACGAAGAGCAAAATCTCTAATAATCTGGAGAATCCCATCATCAATATGGAAGAGCTGTCGGTTCATGGCAGCTCCGCGAACATTTCGTGTTGTTTGCGCCTTACGAATCTGTTCGTAGAGCTTCAGCACAGAGGCTACTAAAGAGGAGTCATTGCTCAAACTTCGATCCTGTAGGAAGCCGAGAAGCTTTCCGATAACTGCACCATCCTCAACTGCCATGGCTGCTCCCTGGGCTTGATAGGGAGAGTGGGATGACAGGCATCGCCCAGAAGGGCAACCGCGCCCTAGTCATAGATACAATTAGTAAAGTCAGAGAAAGTAAAGAATTCAACCAACCTTCGTCCATGTATCAAGCTCGGCAAGACTCGTCAACTTCCACTTGTATACGGTCGGCACACAGGATATCAGCTTCTTTAATCTGTTGTGAAAGTGAGAATATTAGTGATGCCCTTACTCCAGGCTTGAAATGGTGCTTACGTCTCATCCCAGTCCGCGTAGCTTTCTCTCATCTCTTCGACATCACCTTCAACTCTGCGAGTCCCTGCTGCCAGGTTATCTGGTCTCAACAGGACGAGATTAAACTCCTGTCCACCACGAACAGGGTAAAAAATAGTATGTTTTTTGGGACCCAGCCAGCTTGTCACAGAAACCTTTTGAATGAGCTCATTAACCTTGTCATCACCCAGAGACTCCAGTTGCCCTCGGGTAAAAGTTGCTCGATAGGCCAAATCGCCGGTCTCAACTGGGGACATGGGCGTTCTAAGAACGGCTTTTCTAATCGTGGACCATTGGCCTGGTTCCGATTACATGAGACTAAGACGAAGAAAGCAATCGAGGTGAAAGTGAGCAACATACCATCTGCACCAATCAAAACATCCGCAGACAGTTTTCTCCCGTCCGTGAGAATGACCTCTGGCGCTTCCACAGAAACATTCTCCACCTCAGCTCCCAACATGAGGACAGCCCCAAGGCGGATTGCTTCGTCAAGAAGTATTCGATGGTAGTCTATTCGGTGAATCAGTCTGACCCGGAGTTGGCATAGTTAGCACATAATAAATTCTGTCTCCAGAAACAGATCAGCCAACCTACACCCACGGAGCCCCAAAATCTTGCGTAATATCATCACCAAACGGCATAGATCGCAAAATCCGACCATCCTTGTATCGTCGGAAGTCCACATCTTGGACCTGACTTCCCTTCTTGAGCAACTGAGGCAAAAGGCCTAAATCACGCATGACACGAGTCCCGTTAGGGGGGATCTGGATACCGGCCCCAACCTCTCGGACCTCAGGCGACCGCTCAAGAATGACCACATCAATACCCTGCTGGCGACTAGAAATCGCACAAGTCAGACCGCCCAGCCCAGCACCGACAATAATGGCCCTCATGGTGGCTGTCCCTCTGGCGAGGAGAAGCGAAAGCTATTGACGGGGGTTAAGCTGAAGGTCATGAAGCCACGACAGAGTCGCGAGCTGTCGCTACTGGTGCTAAGACTATATCTTGAATAGCATCAGAGCCTGACAAAAGTGCTCGCTGTATAACGATGATACGCGTGGTGTTTATTCCAAGACGCCCGGTCGGCTCAATCTCCGTCGAGCTGCACCTGCGCCGGAGACGGGAGCGATCGGCAGATCCACCAGCGCCGTCATGTATATAGTGTTTGGCGATCTTACCACCGATTGCCTCCCATCCCGACAAAGTATACTGATGTATTGTCATGTTGTCATGTCTTTGAGACAGGAGATGCCTAGTAGCATGGGAGCCTTAATGTCCCACTCAAGATGGCCGTGGCTCTGATTGTACCGTGATCGCTGAGATTTCTCGAGCTCGTTGTAAAGGTCTTATATAGATGCGGTTTGGAACACCCGAGACTTTGTCCAGTAGCTAGTATCCTGTAACACTCAAGGGGATGCTCTCTATTCCCGGTGTCGATTTGGCGAGAAAATCAACATGTTGACTGTGATTCTCCCGAAATCAAGGACGATCAAGTACCAGCCACCTGCCACAGGACTCGTTCCCCACCTCCCAGCCTCATGGATTCCCTACGCGTATGGAAAGACCCGGCAGATTTCGAGCTCTCTACATTCCCTGTCTTTTTGGAGTCGAATCTGCTACTTCCACAAGCCCTGTGCCATTTGTCCTCATCATTGATCGCCAATAAGACTATTGCATTGCTTCTCTGCTGTCTTCGAGCCCGCGGACCGAAATGTACATGGAATAACACAGCGAACAGAGAATTTGACATGAAGGTAGTCCGGCGCATACGCGATCTCCGAGATGTGCCGGTCACATTGGAATGAATGTTCCCTTAACATCACTCGCGAGGGCATTCAGCCCCAGGAACTTCGAGAGTGCGTATTGTAAAGGACATTCAGGTCGGAGAAAGCCACCTTTTCGCCTGTAGAGGAGATGCTTCGGTTGATTGTGACCCACAATGTGGTGTGTCGAAGGCCACCTAATCCGGACTAGCGCGACCGCCGCCGATTTCAAGCCAAATCCACGTCCTGCCGCTTCCATGGGTTGAAGACCAACTCAACACAACACAGCATGTCCTGGCCACGATACCAGCTCCTAGAAATTGGAGACCAATCCTGGTGTCCTTCTTGGCTTCATCACCACGAGCAGTTATCTTTAACGAAGCTTTGGAATCTGAAGGTCCCGTTTTGGAGCCGGGGGAGCCTCGCGATACAAGCGTGTGAGGTATTCAAAGAGCACTTAGAGGATCCCTCGTCATATACGGTGCTTGACATATGCGCTGGGTCGGGAGGCCCTACCCCAATTCTCGAATCTGAGCTCAACAGAGGACTTGAAGCCCATGGGAAAGATCCTGTCCATTTCATCTTATCCGATCTTTATCCACACGTCGAAGCGTGGCAGCGAATCTCGAAGAAACAACAAAACATATCATATATTGAGACTCCAGTCGATGCCCGAGCTGTTTCCAGACTCGGAAAGAAGAAGGAATGCCGTGTATTCAATATTTGTTTCCATCACTTCAGTGATGAAGACGCCGCTGGTATTTTGAAAAGCGCAGTGGAGTCGGCAGATGCGTTCGTGTAAGTGAGCTGAACAGTGGTTCAAGCAGAAGCAAGATCTAATATTTATTCAGCATATTTGAAATGACATCTCGTGAAGTCGGCACCTGTCTTTGCTCCCCTCTGGTGTTCTTCTGGGCCTTCTTTGTGACCCTGGGTTGGTTTTGGAACTCACCCGTCCATCTTTTCTTTACTTATATCCTGCCCGTGGCTCCGTTGACTATCTGGATCGATGGCTTCATTTCTTGCCTCAGAACCCGCACGAACAATGAGATCAGAGGTCTCTTGGACCAGCCAGGACTGGATCTAAGCAAATGGACCTTTCATAGCGGAAGAAGGAACGTACAATGGCCTCTCATCAGCTTGCATTACTATGTCGGCGTCAAGTCCGGCTAGAATGCTCTATTGCTGAGAAATTGCTTTTTTCTCATAAGATTTTGAGAAGAACATTCGCTGATAATTTGGTTTATCATACGCTTGCATCTATCGTTCAATCAACCAAAAAGATCCGTTCGCCGACTCTTCGCGTGTAAAGGCACTCTTTACCCGACAGCGCTTGTTGTTTATCTTCTACTAGTCTTTGGGTGGCGCTATTTTCACTTTGGTCGGGGAAAGCGTGTTCATCAATGGTCTTGTCGATGGGCTCCATGATATCGCACCCACACTTGATGCTACTCGGCTCCTGAACACAGATGTCACTGATCTGGCTAAAATTCTTTCCCCGGGCATGCTACCTCGTGTTCAAGAGGCTCATAACTCGTCTTTGACTGATACCTGGTTTGCCTTGTTTGTACTTTCCTTGCTCTCCGTTATTGGGGCTCCGGAAATGGAGTACAAGAAAGTTTGACAGGATGCAGCTTTTACTGCTGCGCTGTTTTATTTGAAAAAAAAAAAAGGATCGAAAAGAGGATAGCAAGGGTAGTGGGGAAAATCTGCTGATGTTTTATTCAGCGTCATAGTATCTGTTTGTTCACAAGTATCCAAGGCTGTGCTTGTTACCGACCAAGACGAGAAAGAATTCGTGTATCATTTACAGAGCAAGTAAACTGGAGAGAAGAAGAAGAGAGAAAGGAGGAAACGAGCAACTACGAAACAAAACCACTTCTATCCCAAATCGGGTTAGCCCAACGCCTCCTTCCAGATCACGTTTACCCTCAGTCCTCAAGATAGTCATGCGTCACGTGCTAATCAACAATCTTTCAAAATGTGTGCATATATATTGCGCAACTCGGTTTTCCAACATGAACCACCATGCATCGTCTCGGGCTTAGCGTCAAGCTTGTTTCGATATTTTCGGTGAAACTTATAATATTTCCTCCATTCCAATCCCGTAGACTGAACACATATTGACCCAGAATTCGAATTTCAATCGCAAAAAGCCCGTTGGTCCCCGCTAAGTTTGAGAGCGGAACACTCATGGTGATAGCCACCAGCTACCTCCATTTCATTGACTGTCCCGCGGTACATCGAAACAAATGACGGATTGCTAGGAATGACTGAAACAAGGTAAGTAGGATGGCCAATCTACAATGATGCATCCGAGGCCTTAGCACCTTAGACAGCGAGATATAGCCATAGTGTTACCATATTCTTCCATTGGTACACCTGTCTCCCAAGTTTTCCTAGCAAAAGCTTATCATGATCTTGACTGAAGTGGATTTTCTGGTTTCGAGTACATGTAAGCATATAGACAACCTCCACGTACAACAAGTCAGACGCTTACCAGCGAGAAACATTAACCTTAATTAGCAGACCATGATAATTTTGAATTAGCTCTGTAATGAGGACAAGCTCTACAAAAAGCATTATACTTCGATGTCTACGGCAGAGCCATCAGTGTTAGTTATGTGGTGAAGTGACAAACTAATTTTTGGCCTTGGGGGTGACCGAAATATATATTTCACATAAATTTTACCAGTCTCATCCAACACTTTTCTAGAAAGCGCTTGACACTATAAAGAACACAGAATAGTCTTGAAATGTATAGAGAGACAAGATATCCTTCAAAACTCTCTTGTTATATCAAGCAGAAAAAATGGCGACTCCATTTACCCGTGATGGTAGTGGTGGGTCCAGGGCTGTATAATTATGTTAGTTGCCGACGAACATCACAGCGGGTTGTGTAGTGTAATGGTCATCACTGCGGATTCTGATTCCGCCGATCCCGGTTCGATCCCGGGCACGACCTTTGAAGATTTATCTTTTGGCGTTCAAAATTTCTTCTCGACAATAGCAGTGCAACAGATGGCCTGATCTTTTGATTGCTAAAACTTGCTTTTTTTTTCTCTGTGGCGTTACACTGTAACAATGGAGTCCTGCTCCGACCAGAAACTAATTTTTCCCCTTGACGGAGAAAGTGGATTGGACAGGGACAGTGTGATTCAAAGAAGGAAGAAAAAGGGGTTGAACTTCGTAGTTTTGAACAAGTCTAGGAGATCTATTTATCTCTAGTGTCTAACCAAAGCCGAGCGCATGTAAGTACATCAATATAAAGAATACAGTTGATCGGGAATCAGAAAAGAAGATAGCATAACTCTTTACAGCTTGCTCTTGGGAGGCTGGTTCTTAAGAAGTGCCTCGTTCCAAGGATAGGGGTCGAACACCAGGTCGTTGACCGGGTTTTCCTGGCTAGCGCGACGGAACAAGTCCTCATAGACCTTGCCGTCCGATCGACCAAGACTGCTGTCTAGCTGCCAATCGGGAATGGCCCAGGCGTCCACAAGGCTGATGGCGTGGGGACGGATCTCGTCCAAGAGCTTCATCACGGCCGTGGTGCGAGTGAGCGTAATCTGGCGCACGGTGACGGCGCCGGAGGAGAAGAATTCAGCAGCTTCGCGTTCAAGGGTGTGCAGGGCGTAGAGGCGGAAGAGGGCATGCATGAGTGTCTTGGTCTCGGGATCCAAGGCCTGGGAGAGTTGGGGGGAGGATACGGCCTCGTAGAAGTTGCGGACCACCATATACTGGGAGTGGGCGGTGGAAAGACGCCAGAAGTCGACCAGCAGGCTGTTCCATGAGCGCTTCTCAGCATCACGGTGCTTCAACGCTTCGAAAGTCAGGTGGGCTGTGCGCCATGCGAAGGCATCTACAATATCTTTGTCTTCCTCGAGCACATCGAAGGAAGCACCCTTGTCTCGGCGGTCGAGGTAGGACTTGAGGATACGGGCGGTGTCGTTGTCCGCAGACTTGCCAGAAAGCACGGCGCGGGCGGACTTGAGCAGGTAGCGAGCGACCTGCTGGGTCAACATGTAGTTGTCACCCTCCCAGGTGAGAGTGGGCAGGTAGTCAGCGTAGTAGGATCCAATACCACTGTAGCTGCTGTAGCCGTGGCCACCGCAAGCGCGACGGCAGACCTCGAGACCTTCGCCGGCAGTGGTACTAGCAAGGGCTTTGAGACCGCAAGAGGTGGCGTGCAAGTCTGCTAGCAGGTCGGCACCGGCGCGGAGCTCCTCGGGGCCAGGGCCACGTGAGCTCTGTCCAGGAGAAGCAGCCGCCTTCATACGATCCTGATTCTCCTGGTACAACTGCATCATACCGCGACCAGTAAAGTGCAAGGCGTACATGGAGGCCAAAAGGGGCAAAAGACGGACCTGCACCATCTTGTAGTTCAAGACCTGATTCTCACCAGCGCTGGGCTCCGCGTCGCGGTCTTGGAACTGTCTGCGGACAGCAGCATAACGAGTAGCAATGGTAACACCGCGGGCTAGGACACCACCGGACTGCAGGACGATGTTCGAGCGCACCCAGGTCAAGGTGCCGTAGACCAAAGACGGCAGCGCGGGGCGAATGTACTTGCCAGTCTCCTTTTCAATACGGGAGAAGCGGGCCAGCATATTAATGTGAGGAATCTTGACATTGTTGAACAGCAGGAAGCCGTTGTCCATGGTGTTGTAGCCGAACTTGGGACCAATATCACCGACATAGACATTCTCCAAGGGCTGGTGAGTCTCGAGGTCGCGGACCTGCACGACGAAGGGGTGGGGACCGAAGTTCTTGCCGCCGATGAATAGTTGAGCCATCACCACGGCGTGATTGGCAGTGCGACCAAGAGAGCCAATCCACCACTTGGAGGCAGTCAATGTAGGGGAGTTGATGGTGAAGGTCTGGTCTTCCTGATTCCAGGTGGCAGTAGTCTCAAGACCACGGACATTGGAGCCATGGCCCAATTCAGTCTGGGCGTAACAGCCAATAATCTCATATTTCTCGGCGCGTTCGAGGAAGACCTTGTGTTGTTCGGGGGAGCCCTGTTCACGTAGAGTCACCTGAGAGACAGAACGGTTAGCCGCGGACTTCAGGGTGGTTTCCAATTATTGAAATACATACCAGGAACATGCTTGCGTGCAATCCATAAGGAGTAGGCTCTCCGATTAGCTCATTGGCAGCGTGAAGCTCTTCCATTGACCACTTGTTCTGCTCGGCCAGCTGTTGCAGACGTTTGGCCTTAGCAAGCGACCGTTGCAGGCGCTCGACGCGACCGAGAGTATGGTTCTGAGACTTGTCGAACACCTTCTCAGGCTCGAGCAAGGTAAGAAGCTTCTTCTGTCGGTCCAAAGCCTCCCTAGTGTGTAGCAATTCGGACAGCTTGTCGATGTTGATGTTAGACTGCGCGCGCTCTGCAGCGAGCAGTTCGGAGCCCTGCGGGCCCGAGGGCTTGAGGGCCTTGACCCAGTCAGGAGGAGGGGAAGGCATAATGTGGAGGGTATGGATTGGGAGGAATGGAGAAAGGAATTAACGTGGGGGGGTGAGATTATAATAGACTCTATGTTTCTGGGGTCCCCGGTGACGTTCTCCAGGCCTCGGGCCAAAGTAGTCGCCGAAAAAGGAAAGAGCCGAGGCCCAGTTGAGTTCGCCCAATCGGGAAAGTGCGACTGGCCGACAAACGCCGAAGTCGCTCTGTAAAGCCATTTGCTTTAGAGAAGAATAACATAAGGGAGACATATATCCCCGCTTGAGGCTCCTCCATTTGCTCTGCTCTATTTGCGATTTATTGACTTGTTTACTGGTGTCGGAAGGACAAGTCCCGAAGTCAGCCAACATACAAACTCGGGTTTAGTGGGATCGTCGCCGACAGTGGCGATCAGCGCTTTTGTGCTATGCGGCGGCTTCCGGCCAGTTTGCCATGTTGGATTCGTCCGCGAGTTTAGGGGAAAAAGTGACCTCGGTATGTGTTCTTAGGTTCACCCATCATCACTACTGTCTCTACCGCGTGGCTACCTATGCCTGCCTATCCTATACGTACCCCTGATCTCTGTCATATCTCCCCTATGCCTTTCCGAAAGTCGGGAATCACCGTCGTACCCAAAGAGATCAAGTTTACGCGCAATTAAGGGAAGCATGGCTTATGTGAGCATCAATTTCCGTTTCAAATTGACTCCTTTTCATTTTACAGCATGTGAATCGGAGGACATGCGACGAGAGATGTAGGGTCATCGGAGGCGCAGTTCGGGAGTTTAAATGCAACTCGGATCAGATAAGAAGATCGATCCCGATCTTCACATGTTAGATCCTTGACGCGGACGCTTGTGAAAGGCACGAGCTAGAAAATTATCTCGATCTGGCAACACACTTCAACCTATTCATTCCGTCGCACTTTCGACACCCGCGGTAATCCCAGCCACGCGAGGAAGATGGCTCCTGATAGAGCAATAATGAACGGCTGCAACACGCTGACTCCTTTGGCTTGTGCCAACGCTCCTACGGCAAAGGGTAGAATGGCTGCTCCGCTGCCTCCAAATGCGGCAGTGAAACCGATCGAACTGACGTGGAGGTGTCGCGGAAGAAGCTTCGTAATCATCACGACTGCGCCTGGGAACAGAGGGCCCAGGAAGAAACCCTGCAGGGAGACGGCCACGGCAGACGCGTAGAATTGAGGCACCAGCCACAGTACTAGACCGAACGCCATGGACAGCACAATATAAGCCTACAGACGTGGCGGTTAGCTTCGTCTCCGAATCGCCTCGCAATGGCCTTACTGCGATCGCTATCTTCTCGCCCACTCGTGGGGTGACGAATCCCAAAGTGACTCGACCGACAGTTATACCCAGCCAGAAACCGGTGGCCGTCATGCCACTAGCGAATAGAGCCCCGTGTCGAACCCGGATCATATAGGTGACAATCCAACCACCCAGTGCAACCTCCACTCCAACATAACCCAGCAGAAACAGAGCACATAACCAGGTGACACGGGCCGATGGGCGCTTGAATAGGGCGTTTTTAAGGCTGCCTTTGTTATTATCTCCGACTGAGTGGGAGTTGGCTGCACGGAATACTGCGCCCGTAGACTCCCAGAAGAAAGTACCACACACCACAAGCTCGACGACAGCGCATCCAACCTGGAAAAAGGGACTCAAAAAACATTCACCTGAGATGAAAATAGAAGGGCTCACCATGACATAATAGAAATTGTACCAGGGTAGGTTCGCTCTGGTGATCATGGAAGTGGCGATCAATGGACTCAGGACCGCACCAGCACCATATACACCATGCAAAAGCCCGAGCAACTCGTTGGCATTAGCCATGTTACCTATCCAGGCATTCCATGCGGCATCTTCGAGACCATTTCCAAAGCCAGCGAAAATGAATGCGACCACGAGTACAGGGTACGGTGGATGTGTGCAATTCACGACGTAGGCGATCAGATGGCAACAAGGTCCTATAAAGGCCACGCCACGCTGACCTAAGCTGGTGTGAATTCGGTGATTCAGAAAGGCTGCAAGGGTATATCCAACCAGAGGTGATAGGAATACAAGTGATACGATCGTATATGACAGATTGTAGTACGTTTCGAGCTGGGTACTCGTCAACTGGAAGATTATTTTTTTTCAGGCAAGGAGAACTTACATATGGAATTAAAGCCTTTAAACATGAAAAGAAAACCCCGTTTAGCAAGCCTGGATCGCATCGTCAAGAAGTAGCACTTACACCATACGCCGCATCATTCGCCCCCATAACCAGGAAACTCCAAAAGGTTGAGAAAGAGCGATAGACATTTATACGAGGATGATTCCACTTTTCCAGTGCTAGGAAGCTATGTGAGTCACCAGCAAAAGATTCTGCGCCTGGAGTCTCTCGAGGAAGAGCCTCAAGAGTGATGTTTGTATCGTGCGACTGTTCCTGTTGTATACAGGTTGAGGCCATATTAAATGTTAGTTACCAGCGAAAGAGGGGTCTTCCCGAGGGCAAAACGCGAGCACACAAGGATGAGGTTTCTGCAGCCTTGAATTGAAACCTGACTCGAACTTGTTCGATTGAGTCAAGGGCCACTTGTCCATGCGGAGATGCTTGGCATCGGAGGGTTTGCCGTGGGTCGAGACCCTGGCCATCACGTGCGGACGCGGGGTTCCTAGCGAGATTCGTAGCGAGATTCGTAGCGATTCAAATATTCAGAATACCTTATCTGACCTGGGAGTTCTTGAATTGAATCAAGGCTAGTGTAGTGGGTAAATGAAAGAGCGCACTGGATGTTGAGGAGCAAAGTCGAGTGAATCTAAAATTGGACACTCTTAAGCCTCCGTTTTCGGAGTCTACTCATCTAAAGTGACCAAAAAGCATGTTTGAACGCAGCTGCCTTCTTTATGAACGTACTCAAACAGATCTGGCCTGTTACAAACATGCAAGAACCTAATTCATCGCGCGCCTTTCATTCGAATGTAGCTTTGACCTAATCTTCCTTTTCAAACTCGGACATGAACTAATTATCCACCAATTATCCACCAATCAAACTGCTTAACCCCCATAATTCCGCAGTTTCTCCGCATTTAAGAACCTGCACGATCTGATCAGAAAGTGAAATTGTATGAACACTCAAGACAAGATTATGAGTTTCACGAACCCCATCATCCCTGGGTTCAACCCAGACCCTTCTATTATCAGAGTAGATTGTGATTTTTTCCTCGTGACTTCAACATTCGAATACTTCCCCGGCGCTCCGATATACCATAGCCATGATCTTATTCAATGGAATTTAATCGGTCATGCATTTACGAGACCCTCGCAGCTTCAAATCCATACGCCAGAGCCTGGAGGTGGTGTGTGGGCTACGACTATTCGGTACCATCAGGGTGTTTTCTACATTGTTGCTGCTAGTTTTCAGCGGTACAGACCACAACAGGATGATCGGGTTTGGCCACAAGGATTCTATATCAGGACGACTAATATCTGGGATGAGGATTCGTGGTCAGATCCCGTATACTTTGATCAGGTTGGGTTTGATCAGGATGTAAGTTTTTTCCTTCCGCAGAATCATGAATTGGAAGTAACTCGAACAGCTCTTTTGGGATGACGATGGGACGGTTTATTTATCGTCCACTTATCGTAAACTCGAACCAACGCCCGGAGCTAGGCTCAAAGATTTTGCCATCCATGTCTGTACCGTGGATCTGCATACCGGACGTTCGACCTCGGAGCCGAAGCTAATTCGCGAGTCATCTTCTGGTGTTGCAGAAGGGTCGCATATCTTCAAGCGTGGTCGTTACTGGTACTTGTTCACGGCAGAAGGAGGCACTGAGAGTGGACACAGCGAATGGGTGTGTCGCAGTGAGAGTGGACCTTTTGGACCCTGGGAAGTTGGTCCAAAAAATCCGCTCTGGCACAATGGTGTGGAAGATGAAGTGCAAAATACTGGCCATGCTGATTTGGTCGAAGACGTCAACGGGCAGTGGTGGGCAGTGCTTTTGGGTGTGCGACCTATGCATCGAGACGGAGAATGGGAAGAATCCGTGCTAGGTTGGTGACTTCTGACTTCTCATCCTTACCAGATCCCACTAACTCGATCAGGGCGTGAGACTTTCCTCGTTACAGTTGAGTGGGACAATGACTGGCCAGTTTTGAATCGCGGCCATAAGATCGCACTCCAGTCGGTCGGGCCAGGTCTTTACCAACATATAAAGCCCGTCTCTTGGAGAGATGATTTCACCAGCCCCAAAATGCAACTTGGATGGTATCGGAAGAGTAAGGTGATCGGAGCTGTACTCACATCATGGCTGATCTCAATGCAGATACGCCTTTCACGGTCGACTATTCACTCACAGAGCGACCTAACAATCTCCGCCTTTATGGTGGACCTTACAACCTTTCTATCCCTGCTTGTCCCACCTTGTTTTTACGCAAACAAACCCACCGCTACTGTACTTGGGAAATTGAGTTAACCTTTGAGCCGATTTCTGATTACACAGAAGCGGGTACGGTTTGCTGGTGGAATTATTTCACCTATAGCAGTATCGGCATTCGAAAACGAGGGAACAACCGAGTGATTCATTTTCGACCATCGGAAGGGGATAAAGTAGAGCGGAAGTTGAACTCGTCAACTGTTGTACTTGTGGTGGAATGCGGCAACGAGTATCGTTTTGGATATCGTGAATCGACAAACCACGTCGAATGGATTGGCAGTGTGTCGAATCAAGCTGCAACTAGAGCGCCACCAGTCGGTGCTTCCTTTACGGGTAACGTCATGTCGGAAAAAGGCTGAGGCTGCATACTAACAAGTAGATAGGAATGATGCTGGGGCTTTACGCTTTCGGGGAGCGGCAAAAGTGCTTGACTCCCGCCGACTTTGCATATGCACAATTTCGAGAGCTCGAGCAATGAGATAGATCTATAGCATCAATTAAGCCCATAATGAGAATCGTGAAATCGATCTAGCCAAGCGAGTAGAACCCAGCAAACTGGTTCTGATCACGTGTTTGTTGCGTTGCCCCGTAAGCGCGACTCCGATCGTCTGGGATTTCCTTTCATTTCTCTCCTAGGACGAATGATGCTGCTGTCGACGGTAGTCAGCCATGAGTACACCCCCAGATGTCGAGGATGGCGAAACGTCCCCCGAGCAACTAGGCTCCGGCCTCGGTTCGGACCTCCTGACTCGTCCCGCCGAGCCCGCTCCACCCATATACCTGCAGCTGGCCGAAAGTGACAGCGACTCAGCGTATGGTGACGATCCAATTCTACCCGATGATACTCAAAGTCTATCGGATCACATGATCGCCTATAGATTCGAGTTTGGACGACGGTACCACGCTTTTCGAGACGGTGCTTACTGGGTGCGTGGGGTCCCGAGTTTCGATCTACTGGCCCGCTTTGAATTGACAGGTACAGGGACCCAATGATGATAGTGCAAACGAGCAGCAGAACCTCGCGCATGATATGTATTTAATTACTCTGGATGGGAAATTACATCTAGCACCCTTGCGACAACCACAGGTATTTTTGCCCTGCATGAAAACTATCTGTTCGCCTTCTGATTGGACAGGAAATCCTCGATGTCGGTACTGGAACGGGAATATGGGCCATGTATGTGAAACACGTTTACTTTTCTTCCCTGGAAAAGACTGATATCATTTACCTTATAGTGACATGGCCGATGAATACCCGAGCGCCCAGGTGACTGGCGTGGATCTTTCCCCAATTCAACCGAATTTCGTACCGCCGAACTGTACATTTGAAGTTGATGACATGACATTGCCATGGACGTACGGACCAGCAAAGTTCGACTTCATTCATATTCGGGAGTTATTTGGCTGTATACCCGATTGGGATCAATTCTTCCAGGAATGTATGAACGCGCTAAAGCCCGGGGGCTACATCGAAGTCGTCGAACATTCTGTCACACCCGTGGCCGATGATGCAACCATGGACTCTGACCATTTCTTTCACGTGTGGGGAGAAACAGTCCTTCAGGCTGGACAGAAGTTCGGCAAGAGCTTCACGATATGGGAAGAGAGTGCCGATCGGTTACGGAATCTTGGCTTTGAAGAAGTCGTGGAGCACCGGTATAAATGGCCGATGAATGGGTAAGTATTCTATCCACATGTGATGACTCGGAGAAAATTGACACAAGTAGCAGTTGGAGCGACGACCCGAAATTGCATGCGTTGGGACTATTTAATCAATTTCGAGTCGATAGTGGGATCGAAGGCTTCATGCTTCGGCTGCTCACCACGGTACTGGAATGGTCTTATGTACAGGCCCAAGTACATCTCAGCAAAGATGCGCTCCAGTATCCGTGACTATCAGACCCATGCTTATCTCCCGGTCACTGTGGTAACTGCTCGAAAACCTTTGCATGCCGTGGACCCTGGCCCAAACCCTGGTCCAGCTCCACAATCATAGATCCGGAAACAACTATGCGTTGTGATGCATGATGCCTTGAGCTTAACTTTCCCACTGTTTTTTCACATTCGTATACCCCGTTTGAATGACTGATGTATGGCCTCAAGCTGGTCTTTCTGCACATAGTTAAGCGAAAAGCTCGAGCCAACCAGCGTGTCACAATTTGGATCGATTGAGATGCTAAACCTACACCTTCGTCATTGCCAAGCTGAAACAAGATTTGTGATGTCTCACACTACGACAAAAATCTCATTTTCTAGGTCTTCTGTAGAGATCTCTTGACCCGTGGATTCAGCTGTAAGGTAAATCAAAATGAAGTACAATACCAAACCGGATTATCTAAGTCCGTACGCTTCTCTGCCAAGACGCAGATATCATTGGTTGGCGACGTAACGGGGATTGGCGTCACGGCCCGCATAAAGGAACTCGCCTCCCATCTTCAGCTTTCTCGGACTTGCTGACGCCGTACTCCCCCAGCGACATCTTTAGTGAATCTAGTGCTGACAATCATGGTCCCTCCACCTCAGATTGAGCAGGCGATCCCTGCGCCCGCCGATGACGTCATTGACGATTGGACGGGCCTGACAGACCCCGCTGAGAGGCGAAGACGCCAGAATCGGATTAATCAGCGGGCCCGTCGTATGTTCCTCTGTGTCTCCGATACTCTGTCGACAAGTGATGCTCATGCTTGTTAGGTCGGCGCCAGCGTCAGGCAAGAAAGGATGGGGAATCTAATAATGCGGTCGACTCTCCGTCCACTACGGTCGTGCGCTCTGGGTCCCGTTCCTCTGAAGGAAGTGCCTCTGCAAGCTCGCCGTCAGACACAAAAGGCAATAGCTGTCTACCACCGGGGCTTGTACGAATGCTTTTCATTCGATTTGCTGAGAAAGCATATCAGAGCTATATGCTCGGAGATCCCGCCTCCGATCAACTTTTGACGCTCACAAAGGTCAATGTCTTCCGAGCGTGTGGACATAATTTAAAAAGCATCGGATTCAATATGGATGATATGACCGATGACACGATTTCACCTTTCAATCTTGCCACAAGCCAGGAAGCATTATTATCAATCGACATTACCGATATGCCACTTAGCCTTCGACCGACCAAGATTCAACGAACGGTACCACATCATCCTTGGCTCGATTTCTTCCCATTACCGAAAATGCGCGACAATCTGATCCAAGCGGGCGATGGTTGGGATGATGAAGAGCTTTGTCATGATATTATGGGTTTCTGGAATTCTCCCGAGGCTGGCGATGCCGGGCTGCTGGTGTGGGGAGAGCCATGGGATGTGAAGAATTGGGAGCTCACAGAGGCATTCCTCAAGAAATGGCAGTGGGTGGTGAGAGGGTGCCCTGAGCTGATGAATTCTACCAACGCATGGCGAACGAAGCGTGGTGAAAAATTGATATTCCGATATATCTAAGACAATTGAATGCATGATACAGTAGCTTGCAAAATCGCCTTGCGTTTTTGCTTTCACTCTTTTTTTGTCAAACCCCACTGCCAAGATATCACTAGCCGTATACGGTTAATTCATCATCTATTTCTGGATCGGTGTATTACATGGTATTGAAACAAACCGTCACATTCATTGTTCCAGGCTTACTCAACTACCGCTGTATTATTTCTTGTAAATGCTGCCACAAGGCATAAAGAACAATAAGATGATACTGTTTGAGGAGAACTCGAACAGCAGACTTGTTCAGGGAAGAGCTTTGATCGACTGGTTTGCGCCTTGAAGCGCGCACTGAGACGCCAGTCGAGAGGGATGCTCTTCGTCAAGCGTTCTCTTGCACCGCGACCACATGCTCAAGTAGCTCCATAGCCTGTTTGATCTGCCCGTTGGATTGATATGCCCATGCGAGCGTATGCTGAGACGCCAGTCGAGAGGGATGCTCTTCATCAAGCGTTCTCTCTTCCACCGCGACCACATGCTCAAGTAGCTCCACAGCCTGTTTGATCTGCCCGTTGGATTGATATGCCCGTGCGAGTTCGTGCTGAGACGCCAGTCGAGAGGGATGCTCTTCATCAAGCGTTCTCTCTCGCACCGCGACCACATGCTTAAGTAGCTCCACAGCCTGTTTGATCTGCCCGTTAGATTGGTATGCCCCTGCGAGTACGTGCTGAGACGCCAGTCGAGAGGGATGCTCTTCATCAAGCGTTCTCTCTCGCACCGCGACCACATGCTCAAGTAGCTCCACAGCCTGTTTGATCTGCCCGTTAGATTGGTATGCCCGTGCGAGTTCGTGCTGAGACGCCAGTCGAGAGGGATGCTCTTCATCAAGCGTTCTCTCTCGCACCGCGACCACATGCTCAAGTAGCTCCATAGCCTGTTTGATCTGCCCGTTGGATTGATATGCCCGTGCGAGCGTATGCTGAGACGCCAGTCGAGAGGGATGCTCTTCATCAAGCGTTCTCTCTTGCACCGCGACCACATGCTCAAGTAGCTCCACAGCCTGTTTGATCTGCCCGTTGGATTGATATGCCCGTGCGAGCGTATGCTGAGACGCCAGTCGATCAGGATGCTCTTCATCAAGCGTTCTCTCTCGTACCGCGACCACATGCTCAAGTAGCTCCACAGCCTGTTTGATCTGCCCGTTAGATTGGTATGCCCCTGCGAGCGTATGCTGAGACGTCAGTCGATCAGGATGCTCTTCGTCAAGCGTTCTCTCTTCCACCGCGACCACATGCTCAAGTAGCTCCACAGCCTGTTTGATCTGCCCGTTGGATTGATATGCCCGTGCGAGCGTATGCTGAGACGCCAGTCGATCAGGATGCTCTTCATCAAGCGTTCTCTCTCGCACCGCGACCACATGCTCAAGTAGCTCCACAGCCTGTTTGATCTGCCCGTTAGATTGGTATGCCCCTGCGAGCGTATGCTGAGACGTCAGTCGATCAGGATGCTCTTCGTCAAGCGTTCTCTCTTGCACCGCGACCACATGCTCAAGTAGCTCCACAGCCTGTTTGATCTGCCCGTTGGATTGATATGCCCCTGCGAGTTCGTGCTGAGACGCCAGTCGAGAGGGATGCTCTTCATCAAGCGTTCTCTCTTGCACCGCGACCATATGCTCAAGTAGCTCCACAGCCTGTTTGATCTGCCCGTTAGATTGGTATGCCCCTGCGAGTACGTGCTGAGACGCCAGTCGAGAGGGATGCTCTTCATCAAGCGTTCTCTCTTGCACCGCGACCACATGCTCAAGTAGCTCGACAGCCTGTTTGATCTGCCCGTTGGATTGATATGCCCGTGCGAGTTCGTGCTGAGACGCCAGTCGAGAGGGATGCTCTTCATCAAGCGTTCTCTCTCGCACCGCGACCACATGCTCAAGTAGCTCCATAGCCTGTTTGATCTGCCCGTTGGATTGATATGCCCGTGCGAGCGTATGCTGAGACGCCAGTCGAGAGGGATGCTCTTCATCAAGCGTTCTCTCTTGCACCGCGACCACATGCTCAAGTAGCTCGACAGCCTGTTTGATCTGCCCGTTGGATTGATATGCCCGTGCGAGTTCGTGCTGAGACGCCAGTCGAGAGGGATGCTCTTTATCAAGCGTTCTCTCTCGCACCGCGACCACATGCTCAAGTAGCTCCATAGCCTGTTTAATCTGCCCGTTGGATTGATATGCCCGTGCGAGCGTATGCTGAGACGCCAGTCGAGAGGGATGCTCTTCATCAAGCGTTCTCTCTCGCACCGCGACCACATGCTCAAGTAGCTCCACAGCCTGTTTGATCTGCCCGTTAGATTGGTATGCCCCTGCGAGTACGTGCTGAGACGCCAGTCGAGAGGGATGCTCTTCATCAAGCGTTCTCTCTTGCACCGCGACCACATGCTCAAGTAGCTCCACAGCCTGTTTGATCTGCCCGTTGGATTGATATGCCCATGCGAGCGTATGCTGAGACGCCAGTCGATCAGGATGCTCTTCATCAAGCGTTCTCTCTCGCACCGCGACCACATGCTCAAGTAGCTCCACAGCCTGTTTGATCTGCCCGTTAGATTGGTATGCCCCTGCGAGCGTATGCTGAGACGTCAGTCGATCAGGATGCTCTTCGTCAAGCGTTCTCTCTTCCACCGCGACCACATGCTCAAGTAGCTCCACAGCCTGTTTGATCTGCCCGTTGGATTGATATGCCCCTGCGAGCGTATGCTGAGACGTCAGTCGATCAGGATGCTCTTCATCAAGCGTTCTCTCTTGCACCGCGACCACATGCTCAAGTAGCTCCACAGCCTGTTTGATCTGCCCGTTGGATTGATATGCCCGTGCGAGCGTATGCTGAGACGTCAGTCGATCAGGATGCTCTTCACCATAGTTGCTTTCATTCCATACACACACATCGTGAAAAAAGGTGATGGATTCTTTCGCTCGTCCATCAGCTAGAACACAATCTCCAACCTTGGAAAGTAGGCTGTACCTCTCACTCAAATCTTTACTTTCCTCTCTCTTGAGAATTTCAAGGGCATGTGGTAAGTATTCCCTCCATGTCTCACGATTCGTGTATTCGTTTGTTGGAAAACACTCGTCTAGATGTTGCGTCGTAGTCGTGATAATCTGTTGTGTCTTCTGTGCCTCTGCCATCCACACTCGTGTTGATAACTGTACAAGGCTATGCATATCGAACATACCCTTATTATCTCTCCTGGTCAGAAATCCATAGCCGCACAGTGTGCCAATTGAGAAATCCATCTCCTCTTCTGAAGTAAGCGTAGGAAGAATAGATCGTGGGATTGACTTTGGCTCAAGGAAAGACATAAACTCCAGCAAATCAGCAGCAGAGGGATCAGAGCTCTTGATCTGATTGAATGAGATAAGCCACGTGGCAGTCACCGCGTTTGGCATTTTTCGGTAGCGAGTGTTATCCCGGAAGTCCCTACTCGCTAGACGCATCCGGTCTTTTTCGGTTTTATGCATAAGCTCGAGATAGCGCGTGGTCGTTATATTATTCCGAGAAATATAGTAAGCGGCCTGTGCGATAGCTAGAGGTAGTAAGTTCAGCTCCTCTACTAATCGCATAGCGGATTCTTGGCCACATAGTGAATCTTCTCCGACAATCTTAGTAAGAAAAGCAATCCCTTCCTCTGCTGTCATCTTTTGGAGCTCAACGATATCCTTTCTTGCGAAAGACATCGCCACCTCGCGAGAACGAGTAGTGAGCAAAGTTACACCTTTCTTGCTAGAAGGAAAATACTGATCAAGGTCATCGAAAACCAAGCCTATGTCATCAGCGTTATCGATAATCAAAAGCCACTTTCCGGCCTTATCAGAGCTAAGATGCTCCTGTACTAATTCCATCACATTTTCATCGTTTGCGTTCTGATGGATTTGGAGCTCGTTCGCAATTTGCCAATAAACTTGCTTGAAACTCTCGAGGCTGAGAGCAGGAGCCCAAAAAATCGAGCAGTCTGGTATATACGCTTTCACCCAGCGGGCAAGCTGAAGTGCAACTTGGGTTTTTCCGATGCCACCTAGTCCGAATAAGGCTAATTTTTCAGTATTGGCTTGGATAAAAAGCTTCTGTTTGAGCTCCTCTAGCGTGGATTCACGGCCAGTAAAGTGACGATTTTCCAAGGAAGGGATTATATAACGGGGTTGAGATTGATCAACTTAGAAGAAATTAGTGAGTCTGATGTCTCATGTAGGGTTTTAGTTGACTTGCAAGGCGTGGTTTTTATCTCTTTATTTTCTTTAAGGGGCATATGGACGTGGTAAGTAACCGAGCCGTGGTTCACACCCATCTGGAACCCCGAATTTGAACGCTCAAACGATGTGGACGCCATACTCGCTGCGGGGATCGGCTTCATATCTTTAATAGGCATGTCGAAAATTGTCTGGCGTAAGATGCCACTACCGTGGCTGCGATATCAAGGGTAATCAGGCAGGAATATCAATCTATCGCCGGGTATAAGAGTGATCGAATGCTGAGTACTCAAGTCATTCAACAGAGGGGGCGGGGGGCTAACGAGGAGTGGTTGCCACCGCAGAAACGCCTTGCTCTCAGCCTAAGGCATCAGCCTAAGTCATCAGCAAAAGCAACCCGGCGAGTCATGTGCCTTAGTGGATATCAAACTGCCTGATGTACTTCGTGCTATTGGACACCAGCAGCCTGCAAGGTGGGGCTCAAAGGAGTCGTATTGCCGAACTTGCTGTCCCCAATCCACGTGAATCTAAACAGCCTCATTCTTATGCTGGTACACGTAAATGCTGCCTAAAGTAAGGGCTTGTTATTAAATACTCTAGAAAAACAAAAGAAGAACTCTACAGAGTGAAATGGGAGCCGACATTATTGACTGAATGTATATGTATGAGCTCTATGTGTTTACTCAGGTCAATCAACAGTGTTCAATTGTTAGACCTGCATGGCGAAAATGCCCTTCGGCACTCTCTCCTCTTGCACCAACCACATCTACGGACCACTCCAGAAATTCTTGAAAATCTCCATCCGGATTATCTTCAAACGACTGCCAGTTGCGTTTGATGAAAGCTTTCAGCTCCGCGAAAAATTCCTCAATGGGATTTAGATCAGGAGAATACGGTGGAAGATACACCAGCTTGACTCCTGCTTCGAAACACATACGTTGTATCCGCTCAGAGTGGTGGAAAGACGCATTATCCATCACTAATACCGATTTAGGCTCCGGCCATCTGCCACAATGATGAAGAAGCTGTTCGATGAAGTCTTCGAATATCAGAGCATCAGTCGAGCCGCGGAAGACGCGGGAAAGAAGAACACCATCTTGGCAATATGCCGGCAAGATCTGGTATCGCTGACCACGATGGAACTTGGCCACTTGGACCGGGGTGACCCCGAGCGGGGCCCAACCTGTTCGCCGATACCCTATCCGCTTGTCACACCCGAATTCGTCTATGAAGACCAAGTGATACGACTCAAACTCCGATAGATTATGGAGGTAGTAATCTCGTAAATCCGCGTTTCGCTCCTTCGCTTGATTCCGGGTTGTCTTCTTGGACCAGCCTTTCGCGGCCAAAGCTCGACTGATAGTGGAGTTGGCCACGCAGACATCAAAATGCTCCCGAAGGTAAAGCGCCATTTCGTCGAGGTATAATCCAGGGTTTTCGGAAAGGTGTCCACAGAGAGCCTCAACCATAAGGGGGCCGATACTCTTGGGTCGGCCGGAGGGGATTAAGGGTGCCTTCGGACTGCCGAACAACCGTAGGTTAGAACGAATATATCTAACAGACTGTTTACTGCATCCTGCTGTATTAGCGATATTAGTATTTGTTAGATAGCTCTCGATCATATCACAAATCAGTTGTCGCTTCGATGGGGATAAGTTTGGAGCCATTTTTGTGTGTTAAACGAGGGGTGGTGAGGAGTGGGAAGACGATGAACAGCAGGAGCAACAGAAAACGAGGGGTACCCGGGGTCGCACACGTGTTGTTATCGTCTTGTTCCTTACCATACCATTCAAAAGGTTTTAGCCAGGGGTCGTTTTGAGTCTAACTCATTAGGAATAAGTTGGTCTTGGCAAGTGGGATTGGGAAAGAAGGAGAGTGTGCAAAAGCGCAAGGCGATTTTGCAAGCTACTGTATGAACGACTCTAAACTCCGGTCCTATTTCTTATTTGCGGCTTGAGTGGGTATCTGGGTAGCGCTAATGCAAGTTGCTGACACCGTATAATTGGCTAAGTGGGGTTCTGATGATACAGGCCAATCATGGGAGGAGGGACTTGCTTTTCGTGACGCTGATTACGCCCCAAGATTGTACTGTATTGTATATACGACCGTAACACTCGCTGTCCCGAAAGATAAGCTGTTGGACTAAATCGAGAGGGAACTTTGTAGTATTTCTTAAGATAGCATAGAACATGATCGAACCAAGATATTGTTCGATGCCTCACACTCTGTTCTGTCTCCACAATACTCATATCCGTCCAGTTACTTAAAGAACATGCTCCTTCTCTTCCTCCTTGGGAATTCTCACCCAAAACAAAGTAATAAGAGCCGCAATGATTTCCGCTGCCAGCCCAAACCACCAGATGGCTCGCAAACCCTCCAAGCCAATATCGCCCGAGGGCGTCTTATCCACTTTGTTTCCAATCGCATCTGCTAGAGATGTCATAACAGCTGTGCTCAGGTTCTGCACAGTCACAAGCAGGCTGCCTGCGCTTCCTTGGTAGGATCGGCGCACATTACTGGTGATGTAGATCGATGCGGCTGCGAAGGAGAGATCTGGCCCGAAGGTGACGAGTGCGACGCCTGGGAATGATAGTGCCCAGTACGTAGTTCCTGACGTCTGGGGTGGGAAGAATACCGGGCCGAGTGCGAAGGCGAGCATCGCTGTGAGGTAGATGTAGTGTCCCGGTAGCACGTGTAAGGTCTTACTCACGACCCATGTGGCTAATACGCCGACAATGGCATTTGGAAGTAGGTAAAAGGCCACTGTGAGCGGTGCGGTATGTTGAATTCTTAGCCAGAACTGGACGGCGTAGAATTGCCAGGCTCCGGAAAAGGCACCAAATCCTAGGAAATAAGCCACCATGAGTGGTGTAAAGCCTTTCGTCTTCCAGAGCCGGTTAGGTATCAGTGGACGTTCAACCCAATGCTCGGCGAAGAAGAATGCCACGATCAGCAGAATGCCGGCTATCACTAAGGCGTAAGTAAAGGGTGACCACTCCTCCACTGATCCTTGGGTGAGACCGAACAGAAGGCAGACACAACCGGAGACTGCAAGCGATGCTCCGATAAAGTCGAATTGTCGGATCGTCGGTGCTTCGGTACCTGCAATGTCTGCAACGGGCTTCAACGCAGGAATAGTCACATAGGCTGCGATTAGACACATCCCCGATAGTATCGCATTGCTGCCAAAGATCCAGGCGAGATGGGCTTTTAGAGCGCCACCTTGAATGGCCCCAAGCCAAAAGCCAAAGGGCGAAGTGGCGGCCATAGCAGAGAAAACCTGATTTTTTCGACGCCCTGGATTGTAGACCCGACCTAAGATACTCATCGATCCGGAAACAAGGATTCCCACTGATAGTCCCTGCATGGCGCGAACGATGTAGAAGAGAATGACCATGCTGGGCTTGACAGAGAAAACGCCGATTATGTTCCAAATGGTCATCCAGGCAAAGGCCCCGACCATCAACATTCGCGGCGGCGTCAAGTCACTCAGGGAGCCCGAAATCACAACAGAGAGACTTAAAGGAAGGGTATACGCTCCAAGAAGCCAAGGAAGCTCACTATTGGTAAGGTTCAGAGCTCCTTTTAACTCCTCTTGATTGACAGTAATGTCACCCGCTAGGAAAGCGAACATTAAAAGACCGACAGAGCATACCGATACAAATAAAACCTCTGAAGTAAAACTGCCAATCTCTGGAGGAACACCTTGATACATTGTTCGAGTCGGAGAGCCTGCCTCTTCCTCAAGATCGGGCATTCGCTCTGGCTCTGGAGAAAGATCACAGACTAAATCCCGCGCGGCACTTCTTTCACTGCGTCGGGAGGGAAACAATTCGAGTTCAACAAGGCTTTGTGGAGGCTGCTCGACTGCAGACATGGTACTTGCGAGGTTCTCTAGGGCCTCGCCCATGTGTACATCGTGCCGCATTCTGGATGTGGGAACTTTGTATAGTTCAGTGACATCCTGCGATGCTCGTGGGTGCACTGTTATGTCGTCGGATGCTCTTCTGATGCCGTCTAATGTTGTTGCTGGAGAAAGAGATGACATGGCAGAGGAGCCGCGATTAGTGTAGTGAATCTGTGGGCCGGATTTGGCGCCGCTGCCGTCGCCTGTAGGTGGTGTCAAAGTTTGAAACACCGTCAACGCGATGTTTCTGCGTCAATAACCTTAGCCGAAGGTCGGGAATTTGGTTCGGTTGAGTTTGGTTTAAAGTGATAATGTGAAACCGTACCCTCATATATTGTCAAGTTATACGCTATTTTGAGCATTATAAAGAAAGGAAATGAAGATCGCTACCCCGCGACGAACGCCTTAAAGAGTCCGGGTGGAGACTCGGATGTCGGACCCTGTAGAGAGGTTTATCGGAATCCAGAATCCGGGCATCTGCCATTTTTGCATTTAGAGGTAGGAAACTTTACCCCACTCAGGCTATTCCTTCCTCAATTGCTAAAACACTTTATGCTGCATGCAGAAGCTGCACTTGCTTATCGGTGGCGAGTCTAGATCCAGTCGAATTGATCTCCCAAATATTGATGAGCCCGAGCGTCGCCAGAACGTGCATGACCTTCAAAATTCTCTGCCCTAGCTGCTCTGCCACATAGTCGACCCAGTTCTCCACTTTCCTGCGGTGAGGTCACTTCCTGGTAAGTCACTGTCTTCAAATACTTGCCCACCCACAGTCCACCGGTATACCTAGCGGCCCCTCGAGTCGGAAGGACGTGGTTGGTGCCGATGCACTTGTCACCGTAAGAGACACAGGTCTTGTCGCCAAGGAATAGAGCGCCATAGTTGGACATCTTCTCCAATGCGTCCCGTGGCTTTTGTGTGAGGATCTGCACATGTTCGTAGGCGTACTCATCGGCGAGTTTGTATGCTTCGTCCAGGTCTGACACAATGATGACTTCTCCCAAACGATCCCAAGAAACTCCCGCAATGTCGGCGGTTGGAAGAACCTTCAGTAATCGGTTGACCTCGTCGATTGTCTTTTCCCCCACGCTTTGAGAGTTTGTGATCAGGACTGCAGGGGAGTCAGGGCCATGTTCGGCCTGTGACAGAAGATCAGTGGCAACAATGAAAGGGTCGGCGTGTTCATCTGCGACGATCAGGACCTCTGTAGGTCCCGCTGGGAGATCAATGCCGATCTCTTCGCCGAATAGCTGGCGCTTGGCCTCGGCGACGAAGGCATTTCCCGGTCCAGCAATGAAATCGACCTTTTTTATTGTCTCGGTGCCCACCGCCATAGCTGCAACCGCCTGTACCCCTCCGAGGATATAGATGTCGTCCGCACCGGCGTAATGCATGGCTGCAACTGTATTGGCTGGGATCTTTCCGGCAATTGGAGGTGTACACGCGGTGACATGAGGGACACCTGCGCACTTGGCTGTGAGAATCGTCATGTGGCTTGAGGCCAGCAGAGGATAGCGACCGCCGGGAATGTATCTAGAATCACATTAGGGCTTGACTCCATACAAACTTGGAGTCTCCTAGAACTTACGCGCCAACCGAATTGATCGGAATGTTCTTCTGACCCAAATGCACCCCGGGACGAATCTCCATTTCGAAGTCCTTGATCGATGCCTTCTGAGCCATGGCAAAGGTTCGAATATTCTCCTGCACTTGCTTGATATCATCTAGGATGTGCTGCGGAACAGACGAAATAATCTTCGTTATGTCATCTTGCGAGAGCCTGAAGCTTGCAGGACTCCATTTGTCGAACTTCTCGGAATAAGCTCGAGCCGACTGATCACCATTGGCGCGAATGTCGTTAATGACTGTACGCACAATTTCGGCCGTGTCTGTCACAGGTGCGGAGCCTGTATTTGGCAGATTTCGCTGCTTCAACTTCAAAACCATCGTGATAGAAATTTGTGGGTTCTGCGAGCGAGATTCTCTTGATGATCCTGGACAACGCGTACACTTCCGCATTATATAGCAAATTTTTGAAAAAAAAAAATCATTCAACACGAAGATCGCCAAAGCTTGACTATCGGCCTCGGTGCCGACTCCGAGCTCAATGTTTCCCCGCATTCGGGAGAAGCGTGGAGAGCTCGCGTCTCGGAATGTGGGCGGAACCGGTTCTATTAAACATCTGAATTAAATCACCTCTCACCTTGCGGAGGACTAATAATCAGTGGCTTAGACAAATGCCGGGGTACCTCATTTCGATCGCGTTCCAGCTGGCCCATGCCTCGAGGACTCCCAGGACGAGTGTTCATGTTGTCTGGCCCTGTGCACAGACAGCTCCATCGTCGCGTCCTACTTGGACTACTGAGGCCTAATAGTAGCATATAGCGCAGTAGGTAGATGTTCCATGGCACATGTTAATAAGGAACGAGGAACCTCCCTTTTCTAGGTGACTTAGGGGGAATCTCATTCTTACACTATGATGACTCGCTTGGACACACCAGCCAAAGTCTTGCTGCTGCGAAACTTTTGCGGGCGCCTCTTGTGACGTAGTGATATCGATCGTCGATATTGCAGGAGCCGATATCAAAGATTGCATCTTAACTACCATACGGGCAGACGAGTAAATGTGTCATCGGCTGGACGGACATGTGATTGTGTGCCAATTTTTCTTAGTCACATCTTGTCCGAGCCGTCAATGGTAAGGCATTGTCTTATTTATCAATAGGTTGGAGAGACATGTGGGTGAGACTGGAAATTTGACATCACATAGCTCGGTAAATGAGTACGATTCCGCAGTAGCCAGCCGCGGCCCAGAATGGGGGCATATGGGGGGTCCAATAGACAGTTCATTCTGCGAGGAATATACACCTATGGAGTTCTCCTCTTCAGAAAATGGTTCTGGTCATGCAGGCCTCAAGGAGCTCGCTTTCGGCGGGCTTCAAGAATGTGTTCAGACGGTGGATGATATTTTTCAGCTTTCAACGAGTCAATGGGCTTCTTCAATGGTCACTCCTCTAATGAGCTCTCCCGAGTACTCGAGACTTGGCAGTTGCATACTCCTCAACGAGTTGGCGTCAGGAAATTGCCATTATTTGTCTCTTCCAAAGGAACGATTGACATTTACAGGTCTTCCACCTACTGTCCTAGTTCGTCGAGAACAGTCGCTCATTTCGATATTTGCCGTCACCCAGTGTTATTGAGTATGCTGGGGCATGGAAAGATAAGAGTCAAAACTTGGGTATCACATTCAGTCGCCTATAATTACAATCACCCCTTTTCCCCACCCCCCCAAAGTCTCAAGTCCCTCCATAAACACAATGTCCCAAATCCCCCATAAGTTGAGCCAGACTCTGAACCAGCGGTGGTGTTCTCTCAGAAATATCAGGCTTCAGTACCTCTTGAACGGCCTGCATCGTCATTCCTGGGTCCGCAAGAAAAATTGCTCCAGCTCGTCCTTGTAGTGCGGGGGAACCGCATCCCAGAGTCACAAATTTGGAGACGTTGGCGACCTCATCCGCATCAAGAAATACAGTCGGGCCTTGAGTGGATAGAGGGGCGGGACTCACGGTGAGCTGAGTGCTCTTGGCTTTGGATACGACGCCATAGGACCAGAAAGCTAGACTTGCGTAGTAAACCCCGATTGCAAGGAAGCCGGTCAATGAGCCGGGGGGCCATGTTTCGAGCCGCTCGCACCGTTTGTCCAGCATGCCAGATGGCCCGTCTTGAATCGGAGCTTGTGATCCATTCCAGAGCTGAGTGGTAGACTCGACGGGCTTCTTGTTTATCTTCCTTTCCAGCAAATAATTGCAGCTCTTCAAGAGACATGTGGAGAAGCATCGAGACCACTTCGCACACTAATGTGATTTCGGGACGGCATTGAACTCGAAGTTCTGAGCAAACCATTCGGAAATGCTGAAGTGCTTGGTTAAGCTCTTGTTGACGAGAGTTTGTCACGAGAGCATGCCAATGTTTGGAGTTGCTGGTAGAGATGAATTTCAGCCGGTGGTATTCATTGATTAACGCCGAAAGACCGTGGAGCAAAACTAGAGCCGCCAGCTGTGTATCAATGCGGTCTTGGAATGCCGATAGCTGGGACATATCGCGAAGAAGATCGGCAAGGGAAGGGATGCGTGCCGTAGGAATCGCAGAATAAAGTTCCTTCCATTCGGTGGCTGTCTTCGCTTCCCATAACGAACGGGCGGCGGGGAGTGGGAGTTCGAGATCTGCATAAGAGATCAAAGGATTGGCGTTGTGAGTTATTGCTGTCTGTGAGTCATGGAGAAAGACATGATAGACAAGCCTTGAATCTATTAGCACAGTTGGAAGTCATTGTGCGCCCAGTGTACTTGCCTCTTGAAAGACTCTTGTTCTATCCAGCCACGCCATTTTCGTTCCAGCACATCTCCCGTATCTTCGACCAGGGGCTCGATGGCCGTATAGACCGACCGGCGAAAGCGCAGGGCTCGTCGAAGCATTGTTATCAATGGTTGGGAAAAGCTCTCTGCGATCTCGGTCTTTCTTCGATTGCCACTCCAAATACCAATATCCAGATTCAAAGCGTAGGTCTGTGAGGTTCGCAAATCTCGCGTGGTACTGTTGTCACTTTCATACTAGGTGTTGTGAGCGTTTTGAGTCAATTGTGAAGAGATATTCCACGTACTTTAATAGGCATATACAGGCGAACAATCTCAAGCAAAGCGTAGCCCAGCTTTCTGATCGTAGGTATTGGCGAGCGCACGGCCCCAGCAGCAGCCAGAGCTGCAAGAATACTGGCATGTTCACTATTCAGACGGAAAGTCGGTCCATGGATAAAAGAATCCACGTTGTGGCTTTGATATTCAAAAAATTGCTGAATCAATCCATCCAGCAGCTCCGTGCTCGGAAACGACTTCATAATTCGACTCAGGTTGGCTTCGCGGCTGATCTCCAAAACGAGACCGAAGATGAGATCTCGGCTACTGGATGAAAGACGCTCACTTAAGATCTGTCGGTCGTGGGTGGCATTGACTTCGGGACTATCGACTGCTTGCGGTACGGACAGATTCTCGTGGTCGTCGAATGCGTGGTCTTGCCGAGCGGGCTTCCACGCAGACAATGACGATCGGTGGTAGGCTTCGGTGCCAATTCCAATGCCGCTATCAGCGTCGAAACGATCGTGTGTTTCAGCCCCGGGGACATCTGGAGGGAAACTCCGGGCATTGTACATGTCAATCAGGCCAAAATCGCCATCTGTTAAATTGAAATCGTAGGCCTGATACTCCAATGCACCGTAATGTGTGAACTCAGGGATCAAACTGGAAGGATCGAACGGATCGTGATATCGACTCAATGAAGAGATCAACGAGTCAGGAATGAAATTTGGGAAGAACGTGCCATCGACGCTGAAAATGCCGCTTTCGTGATCGGTAGGTGACACTATCGGCTTTTGTTAGAATTTCTCAGTCTCGATGAGAGTAGAAAGCAGTCGTACCGCTGTATTCAATTGTCATCTGCTCATTTGCGGCTGACAACTCTGGCGAAATGTCCTGCTCTTGGGGGGGAAGACGTGGCGTCATCATGATATTGCTGGACGGTGGAAAGTCGTCCATTGGTGTTGGCATCGGGGAGAAGGCGACCGTGGCTGTCGCGCCGAGAGGTTGATCGCCGGCATCATAGGTATCGGCTGTACTCTGCTGCGGCTCGGAGATGAGTCCTGCACGACATCCTGCCAGTCGCAATGAAGATTTCGTTCACGGCATCGCCGACAGGGCTTCTCTTCGTCGCATTTTAACTTCGAGGAGGCACATGTCTTGCAAGCTTGCGACACGCGGCTTTGCTTTGCGACGGACGAGCTTCTTTTGCGCTTGCGGTCTTTGTCATGAGCATGCCCTGTGGCATGGCGCTTCAAGAGGTCACTTAGGGGGTATTAGTGGCGTGACGGTGAGTCAACAGGCGAGGATACTGACGGCCGCGCAAATCCTTTGTCGCATACATCGCACACATAAGGCTTCTCACGAGTATGCGATCGAACATGACGGATTAGATGATCCGCACGATTATAGTGGCGTTTACAGAAGCCGCATTGAAAATAGCCACCATCCTTGTCCTTGGGTTTGACCGGAGAGGAGGGAAGAAGCTGGTCGGGTGAATCACTGAGCATGGTAGCATTTGCAGGAGTATCTGGTGAATGGAAAGGAGAGAGAGAAGAGGCGCCCAAATTGAGGGGAAGTCGCAGGCGAGAATCTGGGGAAGTCAGGGACTCTGTGACCATCGCGCAGAAACATCCGTTGACACCAAGTCTCCACCAACCTTTGGGATTCTGCAGCTCAAAGGAGAGCCAACCTTCGTTCGCTAGGCAAATTAAAATGATCTGTACAGAGGCAGCAAATATTACGCCTCAACTTCCTATCAGAAGCTAACAAAGATGTGTCATGTCTAGTGTTGAAATGATCCGCATGTCCCCAATGTGCGCGATGGCCGCCGTAGGTCCCACACCACTCCGCAATTCCCCAGATTTGGAAAATGGGATGCCGATGAAGGGGAGTGTCACGTCGCGATTCGTCAATTTCCCCGGTCAGTGACCTTTAAAAAGGGGCAAGTGACCCATGGGACCCTAAGAGACTTACGCATGCCTCGAGTCGAATGGATTGAATGGGGTTTCGTTTCGACCATCGGGATGTGGGGGACAACTACCGATACCGGTCCAAGGTTGTCAGGCATAGTTCCGAGGGTCCCATATATGCTACGGACTGCCCTTCAGAGCCATTTTCGCGATTCGTCCCATCTGCGTCAGAACTGTCAAGATGGGTTAGTTGTCGTGCCCCTTTTTAAGCAACTCCAACTAACGAGAAATCAGTCTCACACCGGTGCACTTCTTCTCCCATGGGTCGACCATGATGCTTGGAGAGGAGTCCGAAAGCGCCGATTATTGGAAAAAATGCGGCGATGAAGCTCTTGCGCGGAACATCAAGGGCGTGATAATCATGGTTCGCATTGTCGACGCACAACTGTATGAATTTGGGCTGATCATTGGTAGGGTGCTCACTGGGACTGCATGGGGGATAGAATCGAATTATCAACAAACCCCAGCCCCGGAAAGAGTCCTGTCGCCTATGTTCACCCCGACAAATACGTCAACTACAAGCTCGTTCCTGACCTTGCCACCACGCACCGATGCATCGATATGCTGGCCCGCGAGGGATTCAACGTTGGCGGTAATCAGACTTTTGAATGGATTCATGACGTTTATCTTATTTTGATACGCATGTTCCCCGGTGGCTGCCCGCCTACGACATTGATCTCAGCGAACGCCCGCTACGATCCTCATTTTCATATGAAAATCGGCGCGACCCTGCGTCCATTGCGAAAGGAGAACTATCTGTTCATCGGCACGGGAGGTGCGGTACACAATCTATACCGGAATAGGTGGGCACCTATGCTGCGCTTCCGAGATAACTTTGCTTTGGAGACTCCACCCGAGGACTGGGCGATGGAGTTTCGACAGGCTGTCGAGGATGTGATCACCAAGACGTCTGGTCCCCAGCTTCGTCGAGCTATGACTCGGTTGATGAAGCACCCTCGCTTCCGCGATGCACATGCCACTGACGACCATTTCATGGCTGCTCTATTTGTGGCTGGCGCTGCAGGAGACGCTGAAGATGAGAACGCGCCTGCTACGATGGGCGCCGAGAGTTGGGAGCTGACCAACATGTGTAATTCGCAATTCACTTTGGGACGATGGCCAAAGGAAATTGTAGTGTAATCATAGTTCATTGAATTCAAGGCATGGCTTCATTTTGAAAGCATCAATATTATAGTGTAGCTCCATCGCCCCATGCCGCGGGCCGGTCGTCAACACTGTAATGCGTAATCACATCACCTTTTCTAAAGATTTGTCCAGCCCAGGAACGAAACCGACACTTGAAAGCTGGTAGCAGCCTTCTTAAGTTTCGTATTTTGGTTCAAGAATGCCGGAAGCAATGGTGGAGCAGACCTTGCGTGAAACGGCCCGCACAGCTCGACTACCAGGAGAGTCAATCGGGGCTGAACGAGGGATGAACAATCTCGGTGAAACATCTTCCGACAACGTTCTGCGAGACCGCGCCATGTAAAAAAGGCAATTGTACATGCTTGGCTGCGGCCAGGGAAGAAACAGCCGAGAACACGTCTCTCAGACATCTATGGATGGCTTTGGGGATTTCCCAATCGGCGTGAAACTAGCAGATGACCTACTGTTCTCTCGAAGAATCCAGATTCTTCATTCCGATTAGACTTTTTGGGTGCAATCTGATGAGTCTTGGGCGTGAAGTGTTTTGTGACTTTCTATGCCTAGGAGGCCATGGAGCACTAAAATATCAAGAACATGTTTTTGAATACGTTCATTAAGCCACTCCCGCTATGGTGCAGGGTATAGCCATAGATCCGGTGCGTTTGAGGTGCGTATATACACAGACAGGCCCGGTTCCAGGGAATCAAAGGCCGAGAAAGTAAGAAACAGGATGAAACGTGAAGCAAAGCAAGAACCAAACCCGGGTAGGATTCCGCCACGCCGATTAAATGCTGTATGGATGATCAACAAAACATCCTTGAGGGAAAACTCGCAAGGAAGACTCGTGAAAGTCCAAGCCCATGCTCATGGCTCATCTCTTCGTGCAGAACAATTCGTAGGAACGCCGCCCACCAGACCAAGGAAATATGAAAAAAAGGAAAAAAAAAGAAAATCAAGAACACCGATTGGGATATTTCCAACGCCTGCCAACCCCAGAATGAACAAAACCAAAAATTAAGCGAACCTAGATGACAACCACATCGCCCTCGGCATCCGCAGGGTCGGAAGCCATCATATCTCCGTATTTACCCACCGCAATCATCATGGGATCATCTCCCAAATCGATTGCGCTGTCGTCGTTGTTAGGGGGATTGAAACCCCGCTTCCACAAGAGCCAGCTCCTTCTCATCGGAGGCGTGTTTCAAATCAGATTCACCATCGCCGGCTCGGCGATGAGCTTGGTTGATGTCCACGGAAGGGATTCTATTGGACTTGGCTTGGACGTGCGCAACACCTTCAACATTCCGCTTGAGGTTATAACTGCCCAGGCCGGGCTGTTCAGCCCCGAAGGTCATGCTTTGGAGCGAATTGGCAGTACTGCGCATGAAGCCTCCCTTCTCAGCTTGCCAGACCATCATCTCGTGGAAGAAAACTTTGGTCATCCACCAGGCACTGAAGCTAGCTGCTCCACCCAGAGTGAGACGGTGAAGAACACAGTCCCAAAGAGCGTCGACCTTCTCGACGATACATTGGGAGCGGTGGTGGGCAAAGACCGCCGGGAGATTGAGAATAAAGCACACCCATTTGTCGGGAAAGTTATAGTCTTCACCAGAAGCGGTGTCAACAGGCAGGAGATGGGCCTCCAGATCCTCCGCAAGGTCCGGCTTGGCGAAGAAAGGAAGGCCCGGCGTATTGTCGGCATCGGACAAAGGTGTAAGAAGAGCACGAACATCGTGCTTGAGGATCTGCTCCGTAGCCTTTTGGCTGCAAGCGGGGATGTTGGCTTTGGTGATCATTTCCTTCGGCTCCACCAGGGTCTTGAAGTCATACCACATTTGATTGCGGTTATCAGGGTGGCAGAGCCATGCGGCCGCAGCGTTGGCTGCTTGATTCACATCGAGCATATGCTTGAGAAGATTAGAAAAGATGTGAGCGGGAATAAGTCGTGCAATTGAGACATGCGAAGGATGAGCCTTGAATGTCTCGGCGATGTGGGCGCAGAGCTTATGAGAGATGGAGCTGAAGGCGTCCAAAACTACCTTGGGCACAACTTGCGTGGTGAGAGGAGCGACAAAGGCAATCATTTTTTGGTACATCAACCAATCGCATTCCTTGATCCACGGTGCCAGGTTTGGATGGGTCAATAGCTTCTGGACTGGGACAGTCAGAGTGCCGTGGAAGGCGGAGAAATACTTGAGAAGGTTGCGTTCCTTGCAGAATCGGAAGCTGTCAATGACTGAAATGCAGTGGGACCGGTAGAGGGCAGCGAGCGCTTCGGCAACCTTCGGGTCCGTGTTCAAAGGCAGGTAACCGCGGATATCTGGCAAGACGAGGGCGTCGTTGTCGACGGCAGGAACTTCGTCTGTGGGGAATTGAAGCATCTGGTGGATCATTTTACCTGCCTGCTGACCGACATTATCGGAAGTGATCAGGGCCTCGGCAGCAGAGGGTGATTGACCTTGGCAGCTACATCCTGTGGGTGTTGGGTTGGCAGAGAATCGAGGTGCGAAGGAAGTGGTAGGGGACGGGAACACAGCAGTGTCGGCTGTAGGTGGAGGGAGGCTGACGCTGTAGCGTTCATCAGCGCTGCCTGGAGGAACCGACGGCGATTGCTCATAACCTCGCGAGCGCATCGCACTGGCGGGCCTCTCAGGAACGCCGGCAGGGCCATGAGAATTAGGAGCGACCTGAGGCACCGGCTTCTGTTGCTTTTCCTCAATGACGGACAAATCGACATAATGATATTTGGACTCGCCACGGACACCAAGTCGCCGAGTCTGTACATTGGGGAAGATAATGCGGACAAGTTTACCAAACGATGCGGGATTCAGAACCGACACTCGCTCAGTCCCACACTTTTCGGCATAACAGCAATACACCCGATCTCTTCGTACAGAGCCATTGCTTTTACGGCAGTTTTCACGCAGCCTAAAAATAAGTCAGAGAACAATGATCCAAGAAAGTGAGGACGAAGTCAACTTACCAGATCATGGCGAATACCTGCTTCACCTTCTCTGCCTTGCCACCTGCTCCTTCGTGCTTCATGACCTCCGCAGCCATCTGTTGCAAGCTGTACGCTTCATATTGACGAAGCAGCTTCCGCAGCTCATTGTTGTTTGCAAGGGTCGATGTGGAACCCCTCTTCTTTTGGGCACCAGGCTCAGATGCTTCTTGATCCTCCATCATATGCTCCGGGATGTGGTTTTCGATTCCGCTGTCGTATATGGCTTGGTATTGAGGGACAGGAACAGGATGACCATTTGATGCCATATCCGGTAGCAGTCCGTGGTGCGAAAGACCGTGTCCGTGCATGGCATGGCCCGGATAGTCATCTGGACGCGCAGCCATGGAATGGGAGTCACGCATGTGTTGCTCCAACGAGGCGCCATTTGACTGCTGACCCAGCTGGTTTCCAAAACGCATGATCATGTCTTCTGGGTTGGTTCCAAACATAGCTTGTCCCGCACCAACCTGAGACGGTAAAAATTGAGGGAATCCGTCGAGGTGCTGGTCTTGGGTCTGCTGAGTCGTACTCGAATGAATGCTCGCAGTTGAGCCGCGAGACCTCGGGCGACGACCGGCCCGCGAGATTGTTTCGGATCGTGCTCGCATAGGGTCAGCGGTGCCAGGGCGGCTGAGAGGACCCATGTGTTGTGTGGTCTGCGATACAACGCTTCCTTGCGATGGCGCGCGTACTGTGGATGGAATATCATGAGAAACAAGTTCTCGTCTGTAGCTAGGGGGAGTCTGACCTAATTCCGGAGGCATTCTTCCAATCTGGCAAGTGGAGGAAGCCCGTCACCAGGGAGATGACCAGAGCCTGCACGAATCGTGTTATTTTTCCAGAGCTGAAACCACGGCGACAAGGCTCATTCAGGTAACACAGCAACGCCAAACGACAGTCGTTCAGAACAATCAACAAGAAGCCAAACGAAAATCGTCCCAAATTCGCAGGGCTAGCGGTCGCCGCGTGGTGCAAGTCGAGTCGAGGATGATAAACAGAGGAAGCCGTTCCTCAGACAACGTTGTTTAGCTCTGTCACGTGGCTGAGGTAAGCATTCCACCCAAACAAACAACGGATGGGAAATGTTTGAAGCCACAACTATGTCCTCCGTGAAAGAAAGAAAGAAAGAAAGAAAGAAAGAGTAATTGCGCTTTCTGGAATTATCCATTCTAGTAAATTACTGACTATGATCTCCATCGAGAAGAATCGCCCTGTTCGCGAGATACAGGGCTCGAAAGAGATGCGAAAGAGATGTGACCGTGCCGGTAAGAGGGACTTGATCGCAACTAAATGGAAATTCCAAAGGAAAAGCAGAAGAGAATGAAGTCAGAAAGACCGAAGGTCCAGCTATAGTCTCCTTTTGTTTGAGCTTATATTCGATGATAGCATTTTGAAAATTGTCCACTGGTGTTGTATTGCACTGTTGCTGGCCTCAGGCCCCAATGCACTTCGCGAACTCCTCCGTCATCCGTCAGACAACCTTTTCGAGGTTCCAAACTTGCTTTCCTCCCCTCTTAGCATTGAATATCTTATAGAATTCATCCCTAGATATGAAATGACTCATTGCATCCTGTACAATTGTGCCTGGGTCGAGTTGCCCGCATGATATGCCGGCTACGCTCCCAAAATATATGTCTCTCCACCGCTGATCCAAATTGAACCCCACCACTCCCTGAACCAGTAACCTATCTGTCGGTCTGAAGACATCGGTGGATATCGGTCTACCAATGCAAAGCCATAAAGTATAGGGCGAAGGTCGCTTACTCCATTGAGTAGATGTAGTAACTGCCCACATGTGCATGTTCCACGATCATCTCTCACTCGGCGCTCGCGGCCCACGGATCTAGGTGGATCCCATCCCCTCCCACGCGGCTCAGAAACACAGGAAATTGTGCTCGAAAACGGGCCCTGCACCATGAACGCTCCATGGTCTGATGTCAGTGGTCAACAGTCGATTGGCGCCAAGTGTCTCACGCCGACAATCCCCATTTAGTTCTCGTAGGGGCCGTAGGGCTGCTAGTGATGTCACCGCTTGGGATTTAATTTCGGCGGGTTTGATCGGGCTTAGAGGGGGAGAGGGGAAAAGTGAGGGCGGCTTTGGGATGGCCTTTCCCCCTCCTTTCTCCATCTCCCCCGGACTCCGCGTAACTATGCAGAAATTCAAGGAAAAGTTCGAGAACAAGGTCGAGAACCTGGAGGAGTCATTCCGAGGTCGGCCCTGAGTTTATCGCCAACCGCGAAACCCTGAACCCCGTGCTCAGACTAACAAATGATTCCAGACCACGGTCTCCATGACACTAAAGCCAAGGCTACGCATCTGAAGCATAAGGTTGGTAAATTCTTCAATATCGTCAACCCGAATCATCGTCACGATGAGGAACATGAGCAAATTACAGATGCGAAACGCACTAAAATTGCCGAGTCACATCGTTTTGGCTCTTTCGCACCCATCCGTGAGGGAACAACCTCAAATGGTATGTCGATGCTCTCGATTACCTCTGGGCGGTCTCCGAAGCTCTCGAAAACGCGACCGAGACTATTTACATCGCCGATTGGTGGCTCTCACCGGAATTATTCATGCGTCGCCCGCCGGCGGAGCACCAAGAATGGCGTCTGGATCACATCTTGAAACGTCGCGCAGAAGCGGGCGTCAAGATCTTTGTCATTGTTTACAAGGAAGTCAATCAGGCTTTGACCTGCAATTCGGCCCACACCAAGCATGCATTGCAGAATCTTTGTCCCGAGGGCACCCCCGGTCATGGCAACATTCGAGTCTTGCGCCATCCGGACCACAACGTCTTCGAAAACGCTGCAGACATGACTCTATACTGGGTATGTTTTCAAAAAAGGTGAGCTTCCGCGCGTGATTAACATGATACAGGCCCACCACGAGAAATTCATCGTGATTGACTACGCCATGGCATTCATTGGAGGCATTGATCTTTGCTTTGGTCGTTGGGACGCTAATCAGCACCCTCTCGCGGATGTCCATCCCGGTGGCTTGAAAGATGACATCTTTCCAGGCCAGGACTTCAACAACAACCGTATCATGGACTTCCAGAGCGTCGACGACTGGCAGAGTAATGAGCTGAGTAAGGCGGACTTCGGCCGAATGCCGTGGCACGATGTGGCCATGGGTTTGATCGGTGACTGTGTTTACGATATTGCAGAGCACTTTGTACTCCGTTGGAACTTTGTCAAGCGTGACAAGTACAAGCGCAGTGATGATGTGGATTGGCTCTTGATGGAGGGCCGCACTGGAGATGACGAGGATATCATTGCTGTGCAGCGACCCAAGTATCCTTGTGGACAGTATGTTCAACACCCCCCTGACGCCGCTTTCTGGAAAGCCCCGCGGACAGCAGGGTACTGTTCGGGCGCAGGTTGTGCGAAGCAGCGATGACTGGAGCAGCGGTATTTTGAACGAACATAGTATCCAGAATGCATACTGCGAGACTATCCGTAACGCTGAGCACTTTGTCTACATCGAAAATCAGTTCTTCAGTGAGTTCACTCGCAGGACGAAGGATGTGAAATTCAATGGCTGACACAATTTTAGTCACTGCCACCGGCGACGACCAGCATCCGATATACAACCAGATCGGCCGGGCTATCGTTGATGCCTGCGTTCGTGCCGGCAAGGAGGGGCGCAAGTTCCGTGTCATCATCGTGATTCCTGCCATTCCCGGATTCGCCGGTGACCTACGTGACAATGCGGCGACAGGCACCCGCGCCATTATGGATTACCAGTACAAGTCCATCTGCCGTGGCGAGAACTCCATCATGGGTCAGATCAAGAAAGCGGGAGTTGACCCCACACGTACGTGTCGGATCTGTGGCATATTTCATCAGTGATACTGACGGTCGTAATAGAACAAATCTTCGTTTTCGCTCTGCGTGCCTATGACAGAATCAACAAAACTCCCGCTCTTGAAGAGCTTGAGAAGAAGGCTGGTGTTAACTACCAAGATATCCAGCGTGGTATCGCCGAGTCTATCATGGGTGAGAGTGTCCACCCGTCTGTTGGCAAGGAGGGCGACCGTCATGAGAAGGACTACGAAACCGACTCCGCCGCGAAGCAAGAAAACCTGCGCAAATTGGAGAAGTTCGAGGAACAGGTCGAGCAGCGCAAGGCGCAGCAGGGCGATGCAAGCTGCGACTCGGTAGCTCACATGACTATGCTCAACGGTGGCAAGATGGTGGATGAGGTCTGGGAAGGTGATCCCGAGGCTGAGAAAGGCAATATTGTCCAGGAAGAGCTCTATGTACACGGCAAGGTGTGCATTGTCGACGATCGTGTGGTGATTTGCGGTAGTGCCAATATCAATGATCGGGTAGGTCGACTCCCACCACCACGATGTGACTCGGCTGATTTGTGGCGGTATAGTCCCAGCTTGGCTCACATGATAGCGAACTCGCGATTGTGATGGAAGATCAAGATTTTATCGAGAGTCAAATGGATGGCAAGCCATACCGTGCAGCCCGCCATGCAGCGACTCTTCGTCGTCAGCTTTGGCGCGAGCATCTAGGCCTACTACCCGCACAGGACTACGATGCTTCCGGCCACCCGAACGCGCGACCTCCCAATGTCTGTCCTAACCAGATCTTAGAAGGCGCCGAGAACGAGTTTGTCACGGATCCGCTGAGCGATGCGGTCTGGAACACTTGGACGGAGCAGGCTAGCGTCAACACGGAGACGTATCGGATCCTCTTCCGTGCGGACCCAGATGAGAATATTAGGACATTTGAGGACTACGATAACTTCTGCCCGCGTGGGACGAAGCAGGGCCACCTGTTCGATCCATATATCCCGGCAGCTGAGGTACGCCAGAAATTAGATCGTATCAAGGGCCACCTGGTATGGCTTCCTCTGGATTTCCTGTGCGATGCAGAGATGGCCGAGCCTGGGCTGGCTGTGAATCAGATTACTGAGGTGAGTTTTTCTGTCGATCTTCAGCTAAAGAATCGGTGTGGGGTTTCTAAATTCAGTGCTAATGTATCCGCCAGAGCATTTACACCTAGTGTTTGTTTTATTAGCCCCCCCCCCTTGGTGCGAAGCTATCACTTATTTTTCCTTGATGATTCCCTTTCCAGATTGTTTCTATTCTCGTACCCGAGATCTGACCAACCGCCCGGGTCCCGAATTTACACTTGTACTTTGCAGGATCACCATCTCCAGAACCATGTCCCTGGATCCCCTGGGAACGCAGCTAGGGGAACAAAATTTCTCGCAACACGCTACGGGCATAGTCTAAACCTACAGTCCCTGTGCAGACCGTACTTTTGCTCGACCCCACCAACGCCTCCACATTCCCAGTACCAGCAGCTGGTCCTTGCGTGGTGCTTTTGGGAAGTGGGGGCGCTGGAGACAATAGAGTTAGCAGACCCAAACCCCTGGAAATCCTTATTATGCCATTTGTTCCTATGGAGACTTGTCGCTTCCGGTGCAGCTGAGCCCGCACCAGCCGTAGCGCCGTACACGGAGTAAACGATGAACAGATTGACCGCTAGGGACGTGCACACGCGAGAGTCCAAATTTGTACGTCCCTCGCCCGCAGTTCCAATCTCTCGGCACCGCCACCACTGCCAACGGAAAATGGTCTTCCGTGTGATAGGGACCGGTTGCGAGGGTCTATTGTCAGCCTCTCTGTGGCGGCATTGTAATTGCCTGAACACCCAGCTGGCTGAAATCGGCGGCGCAGAAACATGGGCCGGCAAGACAAATCGAGTGATTTGAGGTTCTCAGGGGATGCGCAGATGCTATCTCGGCATAGCTAGGCCGGGCCCGCCCCACGACATTCCGTCAAGTCAAGGGAGGAAAAGAGACCCTGCATCCCACCTTCCAATGTAAGGGCACGATCGGCCTGGCTCTTACTGCCATTGCGTAGCCATTGCGACCACACGTGACTAGCCGTCTCGGATCAAAGAAGTGTCAGTGCTCGATACTATTCACTCGACGAAAGATCCTATTGTATGAAGATCAAAAGCATCCCAGTCTAGCCTAAATATTTCTACGTGGCAGAAGTTGGGATATCACAAGGAATTGCGGTCTCTGAGTGTTGGATTCTCCAATTCCCCTAATTGTAACCTTGACTTGAGATAGAATGTCTCGGACCCCACGACCATGACTTTCAAGGCACAAGATATGCAAGTCCACGAAAACAGTAAACAGTAACACCCATCTAGACTCGATATTGAACAAGTGACAAGAAAGATTTGATAACTCCATTCCAGATGCAAGACCAGAACCCATTGAAAAAACTTTTAATAGCCAACCGTTTTGGGGGGCGTTTGTTTTTTTTTTTATCGGTTCCAATGCGCACACGTCGCCAAACGCAGCTAGAAAAAACGAGAAGCAGAGAACAAGGCGGGCTGAATGAGGATTTGTGGGATTGCGTGGATGGCATACCCTTGCTCGGGTTCATGCAAGAGGTTAAGGGCCAATGCGAGCTACTGAACGACGGTTAGCGAGCGAACCAACAATGCCGTTGTTAGAATTGAGTTGGGTCCACCGCTATCAAAATCAGATACTTACGGAGAGCATCGTTCACGCCTTGGCATTGTGGCAAGCATTGCACCGACAGTGGCCGCAGATCTTACAGCGCCAAATGGCCACAAAGGGGCCCGAGTTGCAGTCGGAGCACCGCCAGGTCAGGATGTTGCCGTTCGTCGCTTGCACGATGGCGAAGACATGCCCGGAGCATTGGTTGGCCATGGTGGACTGGAAGGTGGCGATTGAGCTGGGTCAGAGTTAATGAGAGCTTCATATCATATTCGACTCGACATTCTGTCACTGACCAGATGAGGCAAACGATAGAAGGCCTGAGTGGTTTGACGGACCGTGTTGATCACCGGAGAAGTAATCCTAGGGTCTAAATTGGAGCCGGAGTCAAGGAAACTAAAGATTCCAAGTCGAGTCGAGTGATAGACAAATTCAATGGCCAAGAAGCTCAATGGGCCCACGGTCACTCGAAAGTGTAGGATGGGATAGAAAATGGCGAAGAGGAATGAAAGATAGAGAACCTTCAAGAGCCGCCGGACCAGGCCATTATATACTCTTCTCTATCACCTTTTCGATTCAAAGTGGAGGGAACACAAGAGAGGACAGCAGCCCACAGAACGAAGATTGATCCTGGCCCAAGCCAGTCCACGACCGAAGAAAGCTCTGAATGGTCTGTAAACTGCCGATGACGCACCTACCCGGCGTGATTGGTGAGATTCTTCAGGGTCAATAGAAAATGGAGTGGAAAAAGAAAGGAAGAATGGAGGAAAAAAAACCACGACAAATAAATAGTATTTCGACAAATTGAGAGTCGAAGAGGTCTAGGGCCGATGCAGAACGGAAATCCGACAAGGATGAAGGACCCAGGAAGTAGATCTCCCCCGAAGCTCATCTTGTATGACAGGGGCTGCATCCTATGACAATGTAGGCGCATGCGGGTCGAAAGACCCGGTAGATCGTAGTTCGCATCCTAGTGGCATTTAAACGAAGGTAAGGATCGCGATCACGAGGTATCGTGGGGATGCCATTGGCCTGGATCGATTCGTACTAAGAAAATAACCTTGGTTGGGGGGGGGGGGGATGGATGCGCCGTAAACTGATTTTTCCCAAAGATCGACTCGTGTACGTCGAAGGGGGGGGGGGAGAGACAAGACTAAGTGGATCCAGAGTCCAAGCTAGGGTGTCTGTGGCAGAGCCGAGTAGGGAAGGGACAGGTCCCAGTAGGGTTTGGTATGAGAAATTAGCATAGTTAGTCAGAACCGTCGGCGCGCTGGGCCCAACGCACATCGCACCGGGACCTGGAAATCGGAATGGATCGTCGACGCGCCTGCGACGTCCACCCATCTCGCAGCCAATATCAAGCAGCAAAGACACTTCCGCAGATCTGAGTCGATCGCGGGCCAATGCATCCCAGCAATTCGGGTTGGGTCCGATCCCTAGTGTGTGCAATTGTCCTATGGGAAAAGAAAAGAACGCCCCAATAACAAAAGTACCAGTGACAAGTAGATTCCCCGGCTATTTTTGACTTTGGCTCTGCCCCCTGTTGCTCATGACGCTGAATACAATTGATCTATCAACCTCTCGACGCTTGGACCAGGGTCTAGCTCGTCGATTCTCCACATGGCATTGACCAAAAGTCCCTAAGCCTCTCTTTTCGACCCGTTCGGATTTTGGTTTCTGTCTCTTTTATTTTTATCTTTGTTTTTGTTTTTGTTTTTATTTTTTAAATTTATCCCTCTCTCTCTCTCTCTCTCTCTTTTTTTTTTCCTCCTATATTTCCTTGTGTTTCAAACCAGCAGGAGCCCAAAAAATGAGTGGCAAGTGACAAGTGACAAGTGATGAGTCCCGCAATCCCTGCTCAGAGGACGATCCCGGAAGCGCAGGCCCGGCATTAGTCTCGGTCTGTCGATTTTTTTGGGTCCAATTGTAGGAAAGAGTCGACCGACCAATTCTTCCAACAGGGCATGGAATGGAATTGTTCTCGACGTATAACAATCGCGATGGACGGAGTCATCGCTGCACCGGCGGGTTCCTGGCTTAGGGTCTATCTTAGTCACAGGCAACCCATTGCCTGGATCGGGAATGAGGTGCCTCTTTCGGAGGAACTCGGTTACTAGACACAACACCCCACCCCCAAACAACTATGGACCGGACACTACGCGTCGCAGTGGTGTTGCGTTTGTAGCTACTAGATGGGGCACCGGTGGTGGATCCTTTGCTTCGTCGCACAAAGTACCCGGGCTATCCAACGATCCGTCCCGATTAGACAGCTGTCAGAACGAGGACCACTCGCGTCCCGGTTGAAACCCGCCCAGCCGAAGGCTGATTCAACGGAGCTGATGAATGACACAGTATGGCTCCACCGAACGGGGCAATTGAGCTGATGACCTGCGAGGTGTCAATAGCGGGTGAAACGGGACCTGACCGACTCGGCAATGCCGCCACGCTCGAAGCTTTGCACCTTCCGGGCGTCTAGACCAGTTGAAAATCTTCACACATTGGGCTTCTAGAACGCAAACCGGACTGTCGGGGAAGAGGCGGCGAGCCGCATGGTTCGGTGCGTCAATATGTTGTCAAAGATGGAAAAGATATGCGGGGCGGGACGGCGATTGCCACTGAATTCATCAATTTTGGTTGAGTAGACTGTTTGCTATGATCTAGGTATGTTCGAGGGGTTCTCGAGCACCGGATTCACCGCCAGAAGCTGTGTGGGTGGAACCCTTCAGAAACCGGTGCCTTCGATTCTCGTCGGGTCTCGTGTCCTTCAATTTGTTTGCTCAAAAGAGCAAAAGAAAAATAAGAATATAGACACAAGACTCGGGTGTCTAATCTGCCAACGCTCCGTTAAGAACACCTCGTGGGGCACGAGATACTCCTGCAGAACCCAGAGTGGACTGCATCGCTGGGTGATACTTCATTTTCTACGCGATCGTCTGCGGGAAAGCAAACTTCATGAGGTAATGGTGTCCATTTGGTTCAGAAGATAAGAGGTATCATGTGAGATCTTGTGAAAGCAGAGGATGGGAGTCTGCAAGATCAATAGCAACGCCGCCCTAATAATGTAAACCGATTTTTTTTTCTTTCTGGTCAAATTCGTCACGAGCCGCCGGCCATCATTCAGTCATTAAGGTGGAAGAGGGCCGAGACGCTATTGGGATTAGTTAGCATGATCCATCAGAGGATAGTGCAGGTAGAACCCACCTTTCACCGTAGTGGTGACGCCGGATGCTCTCCGCGAGGAGGGTGGATACGTCGATGACGACCAATTTCTTTGACCGCCGCAACATGGACGGCTCGATCGGGAAGGTGTTGGTCACGACAATGTGGTCAATAGAGGGGCAAGCCTCCATCTGGTCAAGTGAATCAGTTCCGAAAAGACCGTGGGTCGCAATGCAGTACACCTTGCGAGCACCGCCGCGCTTGACAACAGTCTCGGCGGCGGCGATCCACGATCCGCTCTTGTCGATCATGTCATCAACAATGAACACGGGACGATTGCGGACCTCGCCAACCAGTGTAATGGTCTTCTCGTGATGCTCGTACCCCACCACGCTAGCCTCATCATCATCGGACTCAGCCGCGTCAAAGGACCCACCGAGCGCATGGTCAGGTGGCAGCGAGGAGGCATTCGAGATCATCGAGTTGACCATGGCATCGGGTAACACCTCGTTATCGGCGCTGCCGCTGCCACTAGCGCCTGGAGTGGTGCCGCCGGACTGGGAGCCGGACTCGGGATGATAATCATCATCGACCAACTGACCTTGGACAAGACGACCGGTGATGACATCTTGAACCCGCAAATCAGTGTACTCGTGCTGGGCCTCAAGCTCGGATGGACGGCGAGCTGCCGAGGGAGTCTCGGGGCGCAAAAGGCCCTGCGCAACATCAACCATTTCGGATTCTTCGGGGATGGGAGAGGTAGCCTGGGATCTCTGCATGTGAAGCTCAAACGGCCTCAGTTCCTTGGGAGATCGAGCCTCGTCATCGACAGCGTCGAAGAAAACGGTACTATCAGACATAGTGACAGGGACCTTGGGGCGGCGCCGGTCGGTAGTCACGATACCGAAGTTTAGTTTCAAAGTATCGGCCAGCGATGTCACACGCTTTGTACCGCCGGCATTCTTGCTCACCACCACGGCATCCTTCCAACCCTCCACGTTCATCCGAATCCAGCGGGCAATGAAGGGCTCGGCGAAGAGGTTGTCGACAGGTTTGCCGAAGAAGCCTTGCATCTGAGATGCCTGGGAAACGTACTTCTATCAACACATGCTCGAAACGATATGTGCGGGGTAACGTACGTGCAGGTCCATGGTAATGACATGGTCCACGCCGGCGATGGAGAGGAGATTGGCGAGCATCCGGGCGGTAATGGCACCGCGATGGCTCTTCTTCTTGGATTGACGCGAGTAGGGGAAGTACCTCGTCTGGGTCAGCATGCAACTGTGATTGAATCAAACAAGACGGGCAGCATACGGCATGACCGCTTCGGAAAGAGATGGTCAGCGTTTGGATTCATCTGGGTGAAGTGGACGGCTAGTAGCTTACCAGTAATGGACTTGGCCGAGCCACCCTTGCACGCGGAGATCATGATGAGAAGCTCCATGACGCTGTCATTGATCTTGCTGCTGCCACTCTGCAGGATATAGACATCCTGATTCCGGACGGAGACACCGATGTTGACGCTGGTCTCACCATTGGCGAACTTGCCCAGGTCAGCTTTGGCTGGGGAAGCACCCAGGCGCTCACAGATGGTATCTGCGAGGCCGGGATGCGAAGTCCCCGAAAAGATCTGCACGCCCCGCATGGCAGTTCAATGGTTGCAGAAGAAGGAGAAAGGGAAGAAAAAATGAAGAAAAAGTTCGGGAAAAGCAAAGTGCGCGGGCGGTGTGTTCGGTCCGCCGTATGCTGCCCCACGCTTATCATTATCGTGACCTTTCCTTTTCCCGGTTACTCCTCCTCTTCAGATGAATTGAGAATGTCGAAATTTCCCGAGATTCAAGGCGGCGGCTCGTTAATTCTGGCCTGGCAGGTCAAGAACAAGCATGTCGTAGTGATTGGCGGTGGCGAGGTCGGTCCACCTTCCCTGTGCAACTATACAGCTAACTAACCTGAGCTTAGGTCGCAGCCGGGCGCATTGTGCACGCGCTTAACGCCGATGCCAAAGTCACAGTCGTCAGTCCGTCCTCCGGTCTGAACGAGGAAGTTGCTTTCCGAATCGCCGAAAAGCAGGTCAGCCATGTCGACCGCAACTTCGAACCCTGCGACCTCGACAACGCCGACATGGTCCTCTGCGCCATTGACGATCCCGAAGCGTCGACTCAAGTGTGGAAGCTCTGCAAGGAGAAGCGTATCGCAGCAAATATTGCAGATGTACCGCCTGAGTGTGATTTCTACTTCGGGAGTGTTCACCGCGATGGACCCTTGCAGGTGATGGTCAGTACCAATGGCAATGGGCCCAAGCTCGCCAGCATCGTGCGCAAAAAGATCGCCGAGACATTACCGGACAACATGGGAGCCGCCATTGAGAATGTTGGCAAGTTGCGCAGGAAGCTGCGCGAGGTTGCACCAGATGTCAACGAGGGCCCGAAGAGAATGAAGTGGATGTCTGCCGTCTGTGAATCATGGACTCTGGATCAGCTTGTGAAGATGTCTGAGGATGACATGGACGGATTACTGTCTCACTACGCATCTGGCAATGTCCCTCTCTTCGAGGAAGTATGAACTGGGAAAGAAGCAATGCTTTATCATATGAGTACAGCTATGCATTTTGAGAAAACTATGGGGGTAACAAAATAATTTGAATGCCTATGGGAACAATAGAGAGCTCAAATAAAGGAAACGCCGATCACCCGTAAATCACAGAGCCAGGTGAGTATATCCCAAAATACAAACCGCCAAATGAATCAAGATGAAAGCTGGCTATCGCGGCGCGACCCCTTTTGCGATACGGAACTCCGCGGGCTGATCGGAGCATCCAGCGGGTTGGGCGAAGAGACACCTAGGCGGACTTCGCCGATACGACGCAGCAGAGACTGCAGTGCAACGCGGATCTCCGGGTTGAGGTCGCGGCTGAGAAGCTCCACCCCCAATGGGTAGAAAGTCTCGATGTGTTTGTCGAAGCCGTTCTCGGGGAAGTTGTTATATCCGTCGATAACATCCACTACGACCGGTCGCCAGGCCACAATGTTGCGGTTCTGGGTCTCCTCGTCGAGACGGACAAAGCTGCGAATGATATCCGCACAGAGGCTAGCAGTTTAGGGTCAGTATGAGACATCGATTGGTGAGGAAAGGGGCAGAACTAACGGAATGAGAGCTGCCTCAGTTTCGGCACGGCTGCTCTGTCGCTCTTCTCGCTCATCGTGGTACATGCGGAAGAGAATGTGCACGTAGGTGGCAGCACTGCCGCTCTCCTGCTTGAGCAGGTTAGGAGGCTGCTTCATGAAGCCCTGGCGCCACAGCTGCATGCGCAGGTCCTTGTCTTCGTTGAATTTCTTAGCAAACTGATAGCTCTTCTTCAAAAGTCCCATCAGGCGCAGGAGCTCGTGACTAGGAATCTGCGCATAAACGTTGTCATTGGAGAAAAGTTCATGGACAGTCTCGATCATCAAAAGTTGCAGAACGCAGTTGGTGATGATGCGATTGAAGAACCGACGTCGGGCCACTGTGACTGCAGCGGGCTGTTGCTGAGCATCGGCCTGGGGACGGTAGTCCTCGAGCTCCGCACGGGCTTCACTCTGTGCTGGCGGGTCACCGCCGTCCGCGAGTGTGGTGGTGCTGTGCGATCCATTGGGCTGCAAGGCCTCAGGCAACTCGGCTGAGATTTCGGTGGCAGCTTCAGAAGCCTGGGCGATATCCCCATTGGTAGACACGGCGTCGGTCAACTTGTTGACCGAGGCGGCTGCCGTGAATAGTTCGTACGCCGTGGTCCTGCTGAAGAGCTCCACAAAGGCTCCGACAATCTGGGTCCAGTGCTCCTCACGGAACTTAGAGACATTCTGCAAGATCAGCTGCTGCAAGCAGTTGCTACCGATCCGTGCGATTGTGTCGTTCTCCTGGCAGATGCAGAGAGTAAGCAGCTCCAGGAAGCGGCCCAGCATGTACTCCAGTGCATCGAAGTAGTGGGTAAAAAGGGTGATCATGTTCCGCAAAGCCTGAATCATGGTGGTCGACAGCCAGACCGAAAGATCCTCATGATTTGGGACCTTGGACATTTCGGACTTGGACTGCAGAACCACAAAGATGGGGCAGAGCAATTGACGCCAAAGTACATCCCAAAAGTCTCGCGGGAAGTCCCCACCATGGCGGATCAGGGTGTCGAAGAGGTATGTGAGGGCCCTGGCTTAACGTTAGCAGCAACAACAGTAATTTCAGCAACGAGAAACATACCGAGACCGAACTTCCAAATCATCACCAGTCATCAGCACATCTTGGAAAGCGATAAGAATCGGATACCAGAATTGCTCCTCCTTTGACTGGCGGGTGAGTTGCTTCGCCAGATTTGTTCCTTCTTCAGGAAGCTTGGGCGCAGAATCGCCCCGGTGGGAGAGCGGGCATTCTGGAGTGCGCAGCATCTTAGTGACGGTTGACTTAAGGAGCTCAATGGCCTGCAAAGACTTCTTCTGGAATTTGGAGTTCTTGGAGAACTCGGTCAGACAGACAATGAGATCAGCAAAAGCACCCTGGGTGATCACGACACCAAATCGCTCGTTATAGATTTTTGTGACATGGTCGAACGCCATGTTCACGATGCCCTCTGCTCGAAAGGTTAGCCCCAATTCCATAGGACAGCTGAATACTAATGAGTGAAAACCTACCATACGGCTCCCGAGCTGCCACCGTGAAGACACCAAACATGGTCTTCCATCCAGATCGAATGTTGTCACCGCGAGCCTGGACCATCTGAATGAGACAACGAAGAATCATGTCCTTGACAGCAGCAGTGGTACTGTTCGCCATGACGTGCTCGAATGGCTTAAGGAAGTCTTTTTGGAATTTGAAGCCGGGCAATTCACCAATCTCCATGAAACGCATGGACAGCTGTCGGAGCGAGTCCAAGGCAAAGAACACCACGGTAGTGTTGGAGTGACAGCCAACCTGGTTGAAGTGCTGACCCAGGACCTCCCAGATCTTCGACCACTCGATACGGACACGAGTCATGTTGTAGTAACTTATTTCGACCAACTTCTGCAGACTATACGTCCGCGAAGAGTCACTGTGTCCAGAGGACTGAATCTCCTGCCAGCTGACTTCGCTCAGTGCCCGCACAAAGTCAATAATGGCCTCATGCGACAAGTTTGCAGTATTGGTGAAGATCCGATCCACACCTCGAACCATATCGGCGGACCGGCTTTCCTGGGCAACTTCTGCACGGAAGGCCGTCGGGCCATTCACCGAGCGAGGGCGAGATCGGCGGGTGCTTTGCATGGACTTTCGAGGGGAATCAAGTGTCGAGGGAGCGCGTGAGACATCGGGCAGCGAGCCTTCATCAACGCCGTCGCTCAAAAGCTGCAAACGGTCAAGCTGGCTGACACAAGTCAAGATCTCACGCCATGAGGTGCGAAGATGATTACCCTCAGTGAGCGCAACATCAAGCAGCGACTTCAGAGCCTCAAAGTTCTTGGTCTGCATTTCCCGGACGTTTCCAAGATTTGTGAATTTGGCAAGGGCCGTAACGAATGCGACCCGGGGAGTCTCCAAATCAAATGCACAGCTGATGCGAATCGATAACTTCAAGCCCTCCATGCAAAGTCGAATAGTCTCGATATTTTGTGTGTCTCGCATTGGAGCAGACAATCCTGACAAGAAGGACATCCAAGTAACATTGAACATCGAGCCAACGTGCCGGACGGAGGTGGCAGGAATGAAACGGGAGAGAGCATCGCGAACTGCCGTCTTGCGCTGGGCCCGAATAAGAGAGCGGTAGAGTTGCTCCGTCTTGTTGGCCATTTCTTCGGATGCCTGGGCGTACTTCTCACCCTGAATGTCACGACCAACGGTCGCAAACACTTGTCCGGCACGAGTAGCCAGTCCGGTGGAGGTGGAGGGTTGAAGACCAATATTCGCAGCATGTTCCCGCTCCGTGTCCAAGACGATCTCGTTGTTTGCGATTTCATCGAATATGGACACAAGGTACTCGGATGGCAGATCCTGACTATCGTTGATACCACGGTTGTTCTTGATGAAATCTTCCTTGGTCATGCGAGGACCCTTGATCTTAGCACTGTGCTGATCAGTATTCAGCATAATTACTGAATACGCAAGGACGTAGGCGGTATCCGCATTGGCGAAGGCATTGGGATTCTGAGTTGTGTATCGCTCTGCAAACTTGAGCATGAACCGATCGATCTTTTGAGCTTCTCCGGGCAGTCGGAAGTGCTGCAGGAATGAGCGAAGAGATTCAACGAAGCGTCGCTTGGTGAAGTCCATAGCATCTACAAAGGAGTGCATGATGGCGATATTCTCAGGCTCACCCTCACCCAGGTATTCACCAAGCATGGCCTTGTCTAGACGATCATTACGCAGTAAGAAGGCAGCAATATCGTCAGGAGCATCCGATCGGATAAATCCCTCCTGAAGGAAGAGCTTGATACCACGCTTGGGCTTGAAGTTGAACTGCTGAGTGGCGTTCATCAGGGCAATTTTCCGCTGTTTGACCTTTTCCATCTGGTTGGGATCATCATCAGGAAGAGGAGTGGACCGGCCCGTATCCAGGGCTTCTGAACGCGGCGAGGCAATGATATTGGTATCCAGAGACTCGCGCGAGTTGTCCATTGACTTAGATGGATCCGCTGGCTGCATAGGCTGGTCGTCACGCTGTGCACCCCAGTTGTCCAAGGAGCGTAAAACCTCCACGAGTGACTCCAAAGCCTGCTGTTTCAGGATATAATCAGGGGGGGATAGTTGGCGCGGCCGGTTGAGGATGGGGCGTGATATTAGCGGTCGTCAGCGAAGGAGGAAGTGTCCCACGATGATGCCATTCAGCCCCAATGCTGGACATCTTGGCATGATGCTCGAGGAAGTGATGTTGCTGGGATGACGAGGTTACAACCGGGACGCTTGCATAGCGCGAGAGTTGTTCAATGATATTTTGGAAGATGTTCTCCAAGGCAGTTCGGTCACAATCGTAGTTAAGATAAATTTCGACCAATGCACGTGGATCGCTACCCAGTCTCTCCAGGACCTCCATAAAATACTGCTTCTGGAACGAGGGGGGCAGCTCGCTTTTCGAGAATTGCGAGGTATATCTCCTTCATAAAAACTTCCAGCTCTTTCTTCATCATAACTCGCATGTCCTTGAGCATCAGCCAAAAGATCTCACAGCAGACCTTGAATACTTGAGGCACTGCGCTCGAGCCATTGCGACTCAAACTCAGACAGAGATGAGGTCGCACGGCCTGAAGAAGTGTCATTGCCTCGGTGCTGGTCGAGCTATTCTTGATCGCTGCGAGCGGAGAAGTGAAGGTGTTGATGTGGTTATTGATGAGATAGTGAATGAGGTGCAGCGACAGCACTTTAGACCGCATGTTTTGAGATTTAATATCCTGCTGCTGATCATGGCCGAGAACCTTGTGGCTCAGCTTGCAAAGAGCCCGGAAGACCAAGAATGAGTCCTTGACGTAAATCTCATCCACCTCATCCTCAGCTGAGCTGTCATCGTCCCTCTCTTCCGGGATGCCGGACATTGAGCGAGTGTTGCGCGATAACTTGGCCCGAGTAACAGTGGTCGGCACATTGTCATTGACAGCTGTAACCTCCTTAGGGGACTCAAAGCTTTGCAGGGTGAGCTTTTCACTGTTGGGCTCCTTGGTAACTGGCTGATCGGCGACAGACACAGAGGCAGCCTCCGACATTTGACCCACATCACTGGCAGATGCATCCAGACCAGAGCCAGGTTTCTCAACTTCACGAGTCCGAAGTTCTTTGAGGTCCAGCCGAACCCGAACGCGGTCAAACACCGTGCTCACCATCTGGGTGAGGGAGCCCTGGGCAATCTGCTGGTTCTGGCTCGACTTAGAGTATATGAAGATATTGTAGATCTGGCGAACGGCTTTCAGGAGGCCAGCTCCATGCACCACGACCCGGTCATTTAACACTGCTGCCAGCAGGGATTTGATGATCTGCTGCTGGATTTCATTGGGGGTGGCTTCGTTCTCAAAACAATCGCAAATCGCATCGATGGCACGCTCGATTAACGGCGGCTTTTCGGGGGTCGCTTCGTTTGCTGACTCGGCGGATGGGAAGGCAAAATATGAGTATGTAATCAATTTGCCAATACAGTCCAACGCGGTCACCTGAAGCGGAACACTGAGAGTCTTGCTGGCCAGGTGTAGGGGGCGAAAGATGAGCTCAGGGTCAATCGGTTGCCCGTCCGTAGACCTGACATTTGAAAGCGCCACTTGTACCGCATCTTCCAGCTCTTTACTCTTCCGCGCCTCCCGCGAGGCCCCAATGGTATCGAGTGCGGTCACGATAAAAACAGTCGAGCTAACTGCGCCGGACCGTTGCGTAGTGAAGGTGGCCGTCGTGGATCGCGAGTCGGATCGCATTCGACTCTCTTGCCCAGTGTCTTCTGTACGCTCCGGTTCCTGGATAGTAGGTGGAGCACCTGCCTTTTGTTGTTCGTGCTCGTCGCGGGTTGGCTCCCCATCGTCTTTTGGCGGGACCTCGGGCTTGTTTTCATTCTCTCCTTCGATATTGGGCGAAGCCTGTTCTTCCTGTTTCTCCACAGCCTCTTCCATTACCTCCTGCCATTCTGTCTGTTCGGTCAAGACTGGCTTGTCGTCTGGCAAAACCGGGGGAGCTTCGGCGGAGGCATCAACGGGGGCCTTCTCGGGGTCGGGCGAGTCGGCATGATGATTCGGCTCGGAGCCGTGATCCACGTCCGCCATTGTCACAGCAGACGAGGGACGCAACGAGCAATCTAGAGCATCGATCGGCACCTGCGGTGTTGTATACAAAAGACGAATGCGTGTCTTTCTCCAAATCGGGACTACGGGCGCTGAGTCAGCATGTGCCGCTTGAGGTCACCTGACTCGGAAGATGGCGCTCACCGGGAACCGCAGAAGCTCAACAGAAAAGTTCCTGACTTGTTAAAGACAGTATCCTTACTCAACAACACCTTTCTCGGTTCCTTCATCCTCCACCCTCGTGTTGGATCTCATTGAGCTTCTGTCTTTGTGTTGAGGGCTGTTTTAAGTACTATACACAGGAGCAATCCCTTTCATCATGGTTGCTTCCGCCGTCCGGATGCGCACCCCGAGTGCCATGTTCCTCTCCCGGGGTGCTGCCTCTATGCGCCGCCCCCAGGTCTCCTACAAGTTCCAGGAGGTCTTGAAGTACGCGTCACCGATTCGGATGTGTCTGATCCAATGATGCTGATGTATTCCTTTCGCGCAGATCCCAGATGCCCGCGATCTCCGCTATCTCCCGCTTCTATGCCTCCAAGTGTATGGCTCCAATTGAATCCAATTCGATGCTCGATTTCACCTGATTCTAACACACCCGTCTCTACAGCCTTTCCCCCTCACACCATCATTTGCATGCCGGCCCTTTCCCCGACAATGACCGCGGGAAACGTCGGCGCATGGCAGAAGAAGGCCGGTGACACCCTTGCTCCTGGTGACGTCCTTGTCGAGATCGAGACCGATAAGGCGCAGATGGATTTTGAATTCCAGGAAGAGGGTGTCCTCGCCAAGGTCCTGAAGGAGACCGGTGAGAAAGACGTTGCTGTTGGCTCGGTAAGAATTTTCCCGATCTTCATGGGTTCTCCGCGGCCACTTTCCCTCGAGCTAACTTCGAACGAATTAGCCCATTGCCGTCCTTGTTGAGGAGGGTGCCGACGTCTCTCCCTTTGAGTCTTTCACCTTGGCTGATGCAGGTGGTGACAAGGCTGCCCTGCCGAGAAGGAGGCTCCTAAGAGCGCTGAGCCCTCCGCTCCCACCCCTGCCCCGGAGCCCGCCGCTGAGGAGCCTGAAACCTCTGGTGAAAAGCTGCAGCCCAGCTTGGACCGTGAGCCCAACATCAGCTACGCTGCCAAGGCTCTGGCTCTCGAGAAGGGTGTTCCCCTCAAGGCCATCAAGGGTACCGGCAAGGGTGGCCAGATCACCAAGGAGGACGTGCAGAAATACCAGCCCGCCGCTACCTCCGCCGCTACCTTCGAGGATCTCCCCGTCTCCTCGATGCGCAAGACCATCGCCAACCGCTTGAAGCAGTCGATGGCCGAGAACCCCCACTACTTTGTCTCTGCCACCCTCTCGGTCACCAAGCTTCTCAAGCTGCGCCAGGCTCTGAACGCCTCCGCTGACGGCAAGTATAAGTTGTCTGTCAACGACTTCCTGGTCAAGGCTTGTGCTGCCGCCCTCATGAAGGTGCCCCAGGTTAACTCCAGCTGGATTGAGGAGAACGGCCAGGCTGTCATCCGCCAGCACAACACCGTTGACATCAGCGTTGCTGTCTCCACCCCCACCGGCCTGATCACCCCTGTTGTTAAGGGTGTCCAGGGTCTCGGTCTGTCCAGCATCTCCAACCAGGTCCGCGACCTGGGCAAGCGTGCTCGTGACAACAAGCTGAAGCCCGAGGAGTACCAGGCGGTACCTTCACCATCAGCAACATGGGCATGAACCCCGCGGTTGAGCGCTTCACTGCCGTCATCAACCCCCCCTCAGGCCGGTATCCTGGCCGTTGGCACCGTCCCGCAAGGTCGCTGTCCCCGTCGAGACCGCCGAGGGCACCGTCACCGAGTGGGATGAGCAGATCGTTGTCACTGGTAGCTTCGACCACAAGGTCGTTGATGGTGCCGTCGGTGGTGAGTGGATCAAGGAGTTGAAGAAGGTGGTCGAGAACCCTCTGGAGCTTCTGCTGTAAATGCAGCCGCGTCGAGGAATCTAGAGCCGTTTGACACTGTAATTTGTATTAAAACGTGTGACCTTTAGACCCATCATAGGTCCATTTTCTTGTTTGGTTTTAGCAACTTCAATCTCATTTCCTAAGTAACAGATTTCCACTCCCACTTCTTTACTTTCCTCTTCCGGATTAGCGCTAGGTCCTTGCCGCTTTTTGCTCACTGAGTAAACCTGAGCACGCCCCTGAGCGCACTGATCTGCTCACTGAGCATCACCTGATGCTCACCTGAGCGGTCTGATCCACTCGCTGATGCTGATCTGAGCGCCCTGATTTGCTCACTGAGTCTGAACCGAGCCTAAGGGGTGAGCGGGCCTGAGTAAGCTACATCAATAAAATGCAACACGCTAGTTTTATCACGTGTAGCCCTCCTCTTTAGATTGCCCCTATCGTCCCATCATAAAAGGCCTGGCATCAGCAATGTAGCCATGCATCCTGGTGATCTGACTGCACTTAATTACGCCACGATGGATTCTGCTATTTCAGACCACCCAATCAGCATTACCATCGTATGCTACATGCTCCTAGGAATACTTCATCTACTAGTCCCACCATCTCTTTTTAGGACTACCGGTGCCAGTAAATGTGGATGAGTCTACTCGCAGATTTCTAATTGGCTATAGTACGAATATGATTAAAATAGAAATATTTTGCGGGATGTGACGACAAGTCACATCTCTTACCAATAAGCTCATGCTTCTCAGGAGCAATCGTCATCTCCTTATGAAGCTCCAAACTTTTTGCTCCTAGGAGCCGGCCACGTAGTCCAGATAGCCAGTCAGACCCAGAATAGTCATCAAACGTGTGTTAATAAGTTCTTAAAGGGCCTACTGCTATTCGCTAATAGTTACTCGGATTCCTAGGAACTCGGGCCATTCACCAACCCCTAAGATAATTGACTGCCTGGCGTGCCGGGATTAAGGTGTGTCACTCCGATTAGGATATATAGTTGATTTTTCCTTCCTTCCATAAAAAAATTATACCCACCACTCCCAATCATAGAGCCACACTTTGCTACTACAGTGAGTTCTCTCGGATTTTCTTAATCTAAGAAGTGACAACTAATCTTGATTTTAGTCTGCTTGCTTACAATGACCAACCCAACTAGCAATAACACGCTCACTGCACAATGCGCGAAAGCGGCGCGGCGCAGCGTCATTGCCCTTCTAGAAAAAATCAAAACAGCAGAATTTACAACTGAGGCTGTGAAGGACCTTTCCCATCTACTATGTTCCACCGAAAAGGCACTAGAGAGGGTTACATCGTTGTTCGACCACCCACAGTCATGCATCATCAAAGTTGGAGATTAACATCACCTCCGCATGGCAATTTGGAGCAATCAAGGTGCCTGTGAAAGATATCAGAACAATTTCACAGAGTGGAAAAGTCACTCCAATGACGACTCTCTGCGCGATTCGGATAGGAGTTTCTTTGATATCTTCAAAGATATAGAATCGCGACTTTTTAACGAAAGGCTACGACTCTTTAAAGATACCATAGATAAGGTGATGCAAACCTCCGCACTGTATGTTGATCTTGCATCCCCTACTCTTCTAATTGCTAGCTCACTAGGGTTTTATTTTAGACTTACTACCTTTTCCGCTTCGGAAAACATATCTGATGAAGAGTGGGACTCGATACTGGCAAAAGAGAGCTCCCTGCTCTCGGCGATTATCGAAGCAAACAAAAGTCATCTTGCACATCGCCTCGTAGAAAAGGCTGCAGAACGCATTACTTACGAAATCAATGGATATGGCATTGCAATGCAACACCATCGAAAAGTTCTGGATGGACTTGTGGTCGAGTTTCGCCAGCTACAAGGGGGGCAAAGAACTGATTCTTGGAACCAAGATCAGCGTTTCCTAAATGCTATTAGTCATTTGCCCGATGAAAGCCAATTCACCTGTTAGATGGGGGTCATTTGTAGAAATGGAATCGTGATAGCTAGGTCTTAGAGCATATCTGACGATTTCGAGCTCCATACGCTCTTATGGTTCATCCCGAACTTTAGATAGCTGACTGAATATGGTGGTGATTTAACCAATGATGCCTAGTAAGTATTCAATATAGTGTGGGTTCTTCATGCATGTTAACGCAATATTAAAGCAGCTAAATGGGCTCTCAAGATCAATCCAGAAGCCCGAATGACTCTGGCTCTGTGCATCATTTTTCTAGCAGAGAGCTTCTTGTCAAGTATAGTTTCTCGTATAGCTAGATCCACCGCCCCTTATACACCTCAGCAGGTCTTATTATTCTCATATTGGGACTTCTCAATTCCCCCTTGGCAAGTCGGCCTGCTAGCTTTGATATTCCAAGCCTTGTCAAAGTTTAGACGCTGTAGAACGATTTAGACCTCCTTCAGATGTTATCTTGAGCATTCGACTACATAGTGAAGAGGGGAACGCTCGTTGGCAGCACACTTGGAGATGTGCGGGTCGATTCAGCAAGACAAGACAACAACCACCACAACCGTAGGTTATACGAGAGACCCTCGGGCTACTGCCCTGTACGTGTATATGAGAGAGGTGTAGAAGCGTGCTATTCAATACTATCCTAGAGCTGCAAGATATACTATCCGGACCCGGCATCCCGGTGTACTGTAAAACTGCGGTTCCGATATAGGCCGGAAAAACCTCATCCGAGCTGCTCTGTAATATCGAGTAACAAGGGGGTTCCCCACTACAATAGTTAATCGGTAATGTTTTACACATATTTCGGGAGTGTGGTAAGGCCCTGCCGTATGTAAGGTAATTTACCTGGTATATTTCTTCGCACCGCCACGATACATTACGCTAAGCCACAGCTCTAGAAATTTATTGATTATTTTGTCGGCTTGGATTACTGGTTAATCTAATTGAGTAATCTCTGCTATTCAATTATGAATATATCGAGCGTTGATACGGTATATCGAATCAAAATAATTAAAAAATTGAGCAAGTGATATTAAAAGGGAGAGTGATGAATTGGGAGAGTGATGAATTGGGAGAGTGATGAATTGGGAGAGTGATGAATTGGGAGAGTGATGAATTGGGAGAGTGATGAATTGGGAGAGTGATGAATTGGGAGAGTGATGAATTGGGAGAGTGATGAATTGGAAGGGGTCAGAAACATTGGTCAAAAAGATGGCCTCCACTGCATTTCACTCTATTTATGAATGGAGAAGACAGCTAGAGAAGACAGCTACTTACTCAACAATTATCAAGGCTTTTTCACAAGGCCGGAAAAAAGACAATCCCACAAGTAAGAGGCCAAATTGACAGTTTTCTGTAGCCTCGTTCTTTCATGCCCACCATGGAGGACATTCAATGCCCCACTACTCTTACTACAGTAGTATTCGAAATTAGAGTTACCTCTACACTCTTAGACTTTCATTCCTGAACCCTAGCCTGAAACATGCTAATCTGGATATAGTAATTTCGTCGATCCTCTGATTCTCAAAATAGGAACTGTATTTTACATAACGCGCCGGGACCTGCCTTAGTGTAATTTACACGAAACTCTTATACGTGTGATACCACCCTACCGCATTCTCTCCTAGTAATAAGGATCTTCCTTTATGCACGACCCTTAACCGCGCACCCTAGAGCTTGCAATATGGCCCTAAGACTTCTCCCCTTAAAGCTGCATCTTATCAGCGATATGATAGAGAGCCAGTCACTAAACACTAGTTAAATAGCCGAATAGGCCGAATGTAGTAAGGTCACGGTTATAAATATCCGCAGAAACTTGCGGTAGTTCGGCAGCGTCTACGCACCCCTAACTCGTATAGGACGGAAACCTACCGTAACACCGCTAATGATCGACGCGCTCTACGACCACCTGTCGGAAAAGCCGGGCCTATACCTCGATGAGATGGCTATCTTCCTCTAGGATAAGTTCCACACTATAATTATAACCTCTAGCATTAGGAGAGCCCTTGTCGCTAAAGGTTGGTCTAAAAAGATAGTTCGGCAATATAAAAAGGAGCGTAATGCCGATTTGCGAGAAATATATCTCTTTAATTTATTAGATTTTTAATCGTACTGTATCATCTAGTTTACGTTAGTAAATCTAGTTACGATAAGAGGGCTAGGTTTAGGCGCACAGGCTGGTCACCACTTAGCGGGGCCATATTGTAAGTATCACAGTTCCATCGCGACCAGCGATATTAGATACTACCCGCGTACTCTTAGGATGGAATCGTCCTCTTACGTGTATTCCGCGGTTCAACCGATGCCACTATGTTCGAAGACTTTTTAGCTCAGCTCCTTCAGCACTATGGACGATGGCCTAAACCTAAATTAGTCATGGTTATGGATAATGCGTCATTTCATCATTTAGAGCGGGTTTCGCAGATGTGTGCGGACGCGGGGGTGAAATTAGTGTATCTGCCGCCTTACTCACTAGACTTAAATCCGATCGAGGGGTTTTTTGCTAAGCTAAAAAGCTTTATTAAACGTAACTAGAGTTACTATGAAGTGGATCCCAATCAAGGGTTTGATGTATTTCTCACATGGTGTATTGACACGGTCGGTGCAAAAAAAGAAAGTGCTGGAGGTCACTTTCGACACTCAGGCTTGAAGATAGAAGTTTACGGAGCTTGAACGTAATTTTTGGCTGGCATAGAAGAAGAACTGCTTATCTACCATTATCGCCATGGCCACCGCTATTCCCCGTACTACTGTTACCGACCAAGACGAAGAAGAATTCGTGTATCATTACCAGAAGCAACTAAACCGGAGAAGAAGAAGAAGAGAGAAAGAGGGAAACGAGCATCTACGAAACAAACCCACTTCTATCCCGAATCGGGTTGGACCCACGGCTCCTTCCAGATCACGTTCCCCCTCAGGCCTCTCTCAGGCCACAAGACATTCATGCGTCACCACAAGACATTCATGCGTCACAGACGTCTCTCTCAGTCAGTATAGTCAGCTCTACGAGCACATAGCTGGCGGACCAGTGGGCTGAAATAATGCAGCTAGAGAATGATATCGAAAGTACCGAGGACTATTCAATTCTGTTCGGGGGCATAATATCCAGCTGATCAGCCATAGCAAACATGGGTAAACGGACATAGGACATGCCCTCGGTTGAATGAAAGACTCCACCGCTTACGTCAATTTCCTCAACTCTTGTTTGGAACATTTCTGAGTGTTTATTGAATAGGCAGGGGGACTTTCGTCCCTTCGTTGCGAATTCGTCTTTGGAAAGGAAAGACCTTCAGGAAAGCTTCCAAGTGCCTGAAATGAGTTTTTGCCGGCTGATACATCCTGGGCCATGGTTGGATATTGGCCATCGATTATTTCCTCTGAATTTTCCTTAGCAATGACATTGCGGAAATGATTGCATCCTTCGAGATTTGCTGCTGACACAGAGGGAGCTTTTGCCACTGTTTGCGCCTCGCGCCGGGACGACGATACCCCTTGGTTATCCTTCGGGGCAATTGATCACGTGGTATGTTCCGAAAGGCTGATTCTCACCGCTTTTACGGGGGTGGGCTTGGGCTATGTGAGACGGATCATCACCCACCCACGGCCTTTCTTAAAAGCATTTGGCTTTCGGCCTGAACGCACAACGAACCTCTATCCTTATTGGCCCCATGCCTATTACTCCCCGAATGACTTCTATCCCAATGCCTGAAAACCCGAAACCGAGCATATTCACTTATGCCGACTTTGACCTTCATAGAGCTAGTTGAGAAAGAGGGAAAATGAGCCCAACAATCCGGGAAACTCCTGCGCTCAGTTTACTGATGCATCATACTCATCATATAGGTCTTTCCAGAACATCATACTCTGAAGCTGTTCCTCACTCAGATTTGCATTCACAAAATGCTCTCGCTGTGGGGTTCTGATGCGACGGTGGACCTCTCCAGCAGTCTTCCAGCCAAAGAAACCAGCCATTTCCCAATCTACCAGCCCCACCACTGCGCCGTTGTCCACTATACAGTTTGACTCAGTCAAATCGTTGTGCATAAAGCTCATATCTGGATCACAATTGGTGCTCGAAAAGAGGATGGCCCCTTCTAACGGATTTATCCGACCGTTGATCAGTATGTTGGGGTCCGGTACGACGTGAGTGCGACTTTGAAGTTTATCTGTTGGCTTGATGGTGTGAAGTTGATGGAGAATCTTCCTGGCTTGTTTTTTGTAGGACTTCCTTTGTTCTGTTGAGAGGTAAGGCCATGCGACAGACAGTCCAACACCTGGAAGCCTTTCTTGGACGAGTACTTGACGACCATTGATCTGAGTGGACGTGAGCTACTGAGCTGATAAAGGGGTAGCAGAAGTAAATACCTTGCCAGCAAAGTAGATTTCTGGAACCTTAACGTCCTTCAAGACGGTCTTTGCCAGAGCGATTGCCCGAATCTCATTAGAATCAGCGTATGAGAAGTCAATCTCCGTGCATTGAGCCCCATCTCGGGCGTGGAGATGGCTAGACTTCACGATCACGCTACCTAGAGCAAATACGTCGCGGCCGCCTTCTTCAGCCGGATAAATTCGGATCTCCTCAGTACAGAATTCAACGACTGAAGCCCAGTATTTCACTGACTCTGTGGTCTGGGAGTAGACATGCTGGAAGTCGACGCGAAAGTCATTAGCTTTCGGGTAGTATCGACCATAAAAGGGCACATCCGCGTACATATCAGTTACGGGTATTTTTTCCGGGTCCGCTTCATACGGGTTCATCATAATGGAGAAGATGGGGGGAAGGAGAGAGGCAGAGGTCGGTACGGAAGATTTGAGGGGTTGTTTTGCCTCGTCTCACGTTTGTGTGCGGAGGGAAGAGCCGCAACGGGCAAACTGCTAGGTTTGCCTACTGTATCTATCAGTGGCTGCCTAAGTTACAGTATTATGCTTAGTAAAGATATGGTCAACCAATGGAACAAAGATATTATTAATTGTGCCGCTTGTACATCCGCACGTATCACATCCGAGCCGCGTGACGACGGGGGAAGGGCCGAGCGGAATCCAACAGCCTTACACTTGAGTCATGCATTGACATTCTATAGGCTGCTCGATCGTGACGGGGCGCAAGCGTAGCGTGCGACGTAACGCCTGTCAGAGTTCGGCTGTTCTAAGCGAATCAGACGTTCTTGTCATGAGGGGTTGGTTGATAACCGGAAAGCATGGCCCTACTTATGTGCGTGATTGAGCCGTTGACTTAATTCTAAAGTGAAGTGTCCCTCATCGTCTACAAGAAGGGCATATCTGCGTCCATTTTGCTTTAAATTTTCTATTATCGGAATCCAGAAACCACGCGAACGCTTTGACCAAAGCACACTCTTTCGAAACTTCAACATACACAAGCATCATGGCTGTTCGATGCTCTGCCTGCGGTCAATGGATCAAGACGACTGGTGGCGCTCATAATTGTCCTGGCGGTGGCAAGGCCAACGAAGACCTACCTGCTCTTCTCAACAAGAAGCAGAATGAAGCCTTCAGAAATATCGGCGACGCTGACCCTAACTGTCCCAACAATGCGCCTCCGCTTCATTCTATTGTATCCATTTCGGCCACTTACGAGGAGATGAACTGTGAGTCCTCTGGTCGCCAGTTGTCTTGCACTCATCACGATGCCGAAACAGCGTGAAAGGAGCAGGTAATACGACGATATTAACCGGGAGTTCTTTGTCCATTCGTATCGCTGTATGCTCTCGTGTGGATTTATTTGATAGGGATACAATATGAGACTAAAGGGCCAACTTTACAATAAACGCATGAGATATAGTGTGGTGACGTATCCTCGATACGTACCCATAAGGGCTGTATTGTCAAATATGTCGCCCTCCGCAACAAAATAGCCCGTCGATCAAAAAATGATTCTGAAAACGCTCGATATACATGTCGATAGCCCCATGTCGGCAAGCGCAGAACGTCGTAGAAGGCAATTATTTTTATTTGCATGTGAGGAACTAAGTAACTTGTCCTAATCTGTATTTTCGAAGGCTTAATGCGAATAACCTCATAATGCCTCAGTTCTTCGCAATTTTTCTTTTTTACCCCCTAGAAAAAAAGAGGCCATTGTAGTCCCACCTCGGGCTGGGGGCCAATCGTATTGTAGGGACTATTTTGTGACTCACGCACGTGAGAATTGTTTGTGTAATTTTTTCTTAGGCTACTCAATCTTTGCGACATAGTCATTGCCCTATCGCATGTGAATAGTCACATAACCATTAGGCCCTCAACCACGGCTTTGTGGAAAGTCTATCTCTTTGGAATGATCCAAGGAACGGTCTAGAATAGAAATACCTGCACAGTCAAATAACGAGATAAACACTTGACAACCAAGATACGGTGGTAGGTACAGTAATCGGTGATCTTAGTGAGGTTGAACTGATAGAATTTGCTGGAAGAGATCTAATGGCGGCAAGTAGAAGAAACAATCCGATAGCCAGAGCATAGCGCTTCAGGGAGGCCTCGAATGTTGCCAGGAAGGCAGTAATATGTCTCGAAGAATATGATTAACTTCAATTCATGACGGACAGATGAGTGCGGGAGAAAAAGGATTTGAATTGAGGGAGAGTGGTGAATTGGGAGAGAGTGGTGAATTGGGAGAGAGTGGTGAATTGGGAGAGAGTGGTGAATTGGGAGAGAGTGGTGAATTGGGAGAGAGTGGTGAATTGGGAGAGAGTGGTGAATTGGGAGAGAGTGGTGAATTGGGAGAGAGTGGTGAATTGGGAGAGAGTGGTGAATTGGGAGAGAGTGGTGAATTGGGAGAGAGTGGTGAATTGGGAGAGAGTGATGAACTGAGGGAGAGTGATACATTGAGGGAGAGTTAATTAATTGAGTGAGAGTGATGATTGATCATTAATGGTGCTTGATAAACCGACTCCGATGGTACTTCAGTGATGTTTAAATACTAGTTCATTTCTCTACTTCTTGATACTGGACGGACACAATATTCGCGATGAATTGAAGCAGAGTGATAATCGAAGCAGAGTGATGACTGAGAAAAAGCTAAGCATCTCATCCGGTTAATAGAGTCTGATAAGAAGCTACAGTTGAACGAGCCTCTGCGGTTGCCTCTTGTGCAAACTCGTTGCCTGGCAGTACAGTATCCTTAGCCAATACGGTAACCGAATTATCAGAATATTCGATCATCAAGTCGTGAAATGGGGCCCGGATGTGACCAAAGAAGAATTCGAAACTCAGAGGCTAGCGAATGAACTTATGGACAAACGCAAAGTTCATATCCCATGCGTGTATGATTTTTTTTGTGATGAGCGAGGTTGGGGGTTTTTGTGATGGAGTTTATAGATGGAAAGGTCATCAATCCACTGGAGGACGTTAACTCCATACGGAGGGTTGCGAGCGGAATAAGAGTTCATTCTGTGAGATTTCCGGAAATGGCGAACAGCTAATAGATCTGGTAAGATGCGCTTCTACAGGGTTGACAATAGCCATCATTATAGCCATGCCCCCAAAGCACGGGCCCCAAAGACGAGTGGGAGCAGTCACCGACCAGTCGACCAGTGCCATTGGAAACCGCCGCGTGGCACAATGAAGAATAAGTCAGCGATGAAAGTTCAACAGCCACCGGGAAAGCACTCTCTATATAAGTATCACGAAAAATTGCCGTCAGTGTCGCTGGAATGGAGGTAGAATGGAGGCCCTTGAACTTTCTTTCACTGGCAGTAGGCCCTCCTGCACGTCACACCACACCCTCTTTCAGTTCAATGGCTGTCGATCTTTGATTAATTCGCTGCTTATCGTTACTCATGCCGCAAGGGAAGATTAAATTTGCACATTATAAAGATTTCTCGAATTTGCATGTTCACTCGTCAATGATACATGCCATGGGAAGCTTAGATCTGAAGCCATGAACATTTACCAGAAATCTGAGTCGCACTATCTATGGGTTTATCGAGTTGTCCCGAGACGGTGACTCCATCTCCAACTGAGATTCGAACATCATTTGGACCAATTACCCCCTCAAAATATATTTTTCGGCCAGTCAACTCAGCCACGGCATTATAGGCAATAGAGACAGCCGAGCCGTGGAAGGAAGGAGCTGCCTGTGATACGGTACCACTGAGAATGCCGTCAATATAGAATGATGCCTTTATTCGACGGTCCTGGTGTCGGAGCACCCCTTTCCCGGAAAACATCTTGAATGAGGCTATCAGCTTAGAATAACCGAATAATAGGCGGCAGATTTATTGCTGTCTGTTTGACTCACTTTGTATCAGCAGAGGGGTGAATTTGGCAAATTCTCAGCTGTGCAGAGGGGTAAGGAAGAAAAGAGGTGCGGTAACTGGTGCCCTTAAATAATACAATGCCCTCATGAATCTCTCGTGTGTTAAAGAGTACACGATTTAGTTCACATTTGATTCACCATTCTCAATTCACCGCTCTCTCAACTGTGGAAATTCACCTCTAACTTGGGCAAATTAACTGTACAGTATCATCCAGAAAAGATCCCTCTTCCATAAACTAGATTGGTGGATATCACTAAGCAAAATACCGAGAACAAAAAGGTGATATTGTGATGGTTTGAAGGCGAGTGGTGAATTGAGGGCGAGTGATGAATTGAGGGCGAGTGATGAATTGAGGGCAAGTGATGAATTGAGGGAGAGCTGAGTACTGCACCCGGTTAACAATCTGGTCGAAAACCAATATAAGGTTTTTTTACTTTGATTTCTCCTGCTATTGTTCACTTTCTGTTTACCGCGAAATATTAAATAGTTACAGTCACGTTCGAGATTGGCTTGATTAAGGGTGCGTAGTCCCATCGGCCAGAGCCTAATCTACTCAATTATCATTTGAAGTTGAGAATCTTTAACATGTTAATGCTTGTTAATTGTATCTTAATTTCTCTCGAACTTGCAGGATCTGCTCGGCTTCTAATTTACCAGACCCCAAATCATTGAAACTTCGATATACCCAGACTTAATTAGCCTAGTTAAAGCAAATCAACAAATACCGAGTTATGTAATTCGACCTTCCACGCTACTATGGTGCCCCAGTACGTGATCCATTCTAAGGAGTTCCGCGATATCTCCTCCACCTGCCAGAACCATCAAATCTGGACCTTGGCTTTGCCTATAAAGTAAACCCCTTTCTCAATATCTCTAGTTCAATTATCAAGTCAATAAACTCTGTCAACTCGACATCTTTGACACCTCCAGCATCTTCATCCATACCATCTGAGCCATGGGTCATATCAAGGTTCACCAGTCCAATGAAAGCCACACTGAGAAAGATTCGTCAAGGACATCTGCAATATGCGAACTCGAAGCTGGATCCGGTAACGAGGATGTGCTGGATGATCAAGACATCTGCAAATGGGAAGCTGACCCGACGAATCCCTACAATTGGTCGGCAAAGTGGAAAGCTCATCAGGTGCTGATGATTGCCTCAGCAGCTTTCACTACGTGAGCCAAGTCATTCTCAATTAATGTAACATTCATGCGGACTAACAAAGTACCTAGCTCACTTGGCGTATCTATCCTGTCCCCAGCTCATTCCCAATTCATGGAGGAGTTTGAGGTTGGAAGTACGGTCGCGATTCTTCCCTTGTCGCTTTACGTCTTTGCCCTGGCCCTGGGATCAATACTAGGAGGACCACTTTCCGAGACCGTTGGGAGATATCCCGTTTATATAGGCTCCGTGTTACTTGGAAGTCTATTCACCCTTGGCGTTGGTCTCAGTAACACGTTCACGGCAGTCTGTGTCTTGCGATTCCTCGCAGGGCTTTGTTTCGCACCTCCTTTGGCAATTGCTGCAGGAACCATCAATGAAACGTTTAAGCCGGCCGCTCGGGCTATACCATCGACTATATTTATCCTGACTCCTTTCCTCGGCCCCGGTCTTGGGGTGAGTTCGAGATCTCCTTATAATGACGCAGAACACCACTGATGTAAGTAGACCTGTGATTGGTAGTTTCTTAGTTAATCGGAAGGGCTGGCGATGGACGCAATGGACTATGCTACTTCTTGCCGTGTGTACGATTATCGCAACATCCATGGCAAGAGAGACATTCCATCCAGTGCTCAAAAGCCGACGCTCGAAGATCTCTAGCTCGACTTTGCCCCCTCCATCACCACTTTCTTCAAAAATCCGACTTTTCGCAACTATCGCTCTTCTCCGTCCAGCCCAAATGATGGCGACGGAACCAATTGTTGCTTTAATCTGCCTTTATGTGGCATGTGAATTCGCAACACTGTTCTCATTCTTTGCTGCTTTCCCTATGGTCTTTCAGGGTATCTACGGCTTTGATATCGAGAATACCGGTCTTGTTTTTCTCTCAATAGTTGTTGGATGCTTGTTCGGTGCCATTACCGTATTGTTATGCGACATATCTCTCTACCGCCCCAAGGCCGTAGTCTATCACGGACGATCAGTACCACCTGAGTTTCGACTTTATCCCTCTTTGATTGGCAGCATTGGGTTACCAATTAGCCTCTTCTGGTTTGGCTGGACCGCTCGAGCTGATACTCCATGGATAGCTCCTGTGACTGCAATCATGTTATTCGCCTGGGGGAATATTTGCGTCTTCGTTAGTACAGCCCAGTATATTGTCGATACCTACCATGGCTCAACAGTGGCAAGCGCCATGAGTGCCAACAGCTTAGCTAGGTACGGCCTTGCCGCTGCATTTCCGCTGTTCACGGTTCAAGCGAGTGCATCAATACGGACACCATCCGGACACCATCTCAAACGTCTTTGGTGAGCAATTGTATTTCCGAGATCGCCTAAACACGCTCATAGACGAAACAAGCGTCCAACAGGTACTTCCTGCCTTTCAATACAATATCCCGTTTTATTTTCTAGGCACGAAGTGATGCGTTGAGCACGATATCTACAAATGATATCTCTTTATGACCAAAATATCAGCGAAACCTAGTTTGTAGTAGATGGCGCTGGGCTAGGTCAGGTCTGGAAATATCAAGACAAGATCAAGATGCGACTATTTGCTTGGTTCCGGGTCTTGTATCATCTTATTAGGAATGAGTATGACCAGGTGAACGGGAATCATAGCTATTCAATCACTGGGCCAACACCTTGACCTCATCTGACACTACATGTAACCGGCCCCATAGGCGGACAAACGGCCCTTCGCACATTGTTCCTGACGCTGTAGACGTTGACATCTGTCCAAGTTTCCCGCGATGTTGAACCAAGTCCCAGCACATCCCTCAAAAAGCCTCCAAGTGAGTGACGGAAACTCATATGTTCTTTGCCTTGGGGCACATAATGGCCGCCGAAGAATTGGTAAAACCACGGAGATAAGCAATCCAGTGCCAACGTCTCCGTCTGAGCTGGAGTTATTGTTGCATCCAACTCGCCGAAGGAATGGGACAATAGGAGTCGAAATTCGTGGAGAATAGAAGGCTTCATAGCACTGATTCCTCAGTTTGAACCCACTCAAGCATATTGCAAATCTCAACTGCGGATGATATGTCTTAAAAAAATAATCAGATTATGTTCACGAAAATCAATCAAGGGCATTTCGATCACCTTCCATGGGATATCGCAAATTGTTTTTCTCTTCTCCAGCATTGAGGTGACAATGGCAGTCATGGCGGCACCCGAGGAGAATCCAATCATCCCACTAAAGGGACCCTTTTGGTCAAGAGCATCAAGTAACGTAATCCACAAGCCATCCGCCACCACAACCCATCCGCCACCCCACCCACTTATTCTTCTATTCATGAAGCCTTTAAACTACCACAATGCATTTATATTCAACTTAATCTCTATCTGGACACATATTAGCCCTATGGCCAGGCCTTCTGCATACGCTGCATGCATATTGACGTCTATTGGTTGACTCAACGGTCGCTGAAGCTCTCCGGGTGGGTGTTGTAGAGACCACCCCACCACCTTCTATGCCCCCTGGTAGACCAATGCCTTGCCTATGGGCTTCATGAACGAATAAGCCCTCATCGCGCTGTATTTGCCGTTTAGGCAATGCCTTTTTTTTCATCTTTTTATAGTTTGCAGCACGTAGATCTGTCACTTCTTGCTCCAATAGAAGGATACGCTTTATGACTTGTTCGCATGCCTTGTAAGCCTGATTAAACACCTCTTTTGTAGGCGTCGGTGGGCTATCTGACCGATACTTAATAAGACGCTTTGCTGATGCCCTATGCTTTGAAAGCTGTTTGATATTACTTAGTGTTTCGGGGCAATAAATGCTTGATCGGCTTGATGGTCGGTCTGATGGTGTAGGCAGACGAAGCTAAATATTGAGCTTATCAAGGACTTCTGCCGCATTCAACGGTATTAAATCGGTCGCTTTGAATGCATCTGAATACTTCTAGCCTGAAAGGCGTCTTCGCGTGCGCGTGGGTAGGCTGTAAGGAAATCAAGCTTGTCGATATGATTTATCCCCATGCGTGTCTGTTGGTCCACTAAGCGACCGTATGATCGTTTTAGCACTGCGAAACAGCCTACATCTAGCGGCTGCCATAGATGTGAGCTATGCGGTGGCATATATATAGGTATGACGTCGTTTTTAGTATATAGACGATCAAATTCAGGCGTAAGGTAGCTTCCATAACCATCAAGAATCAATAGCCTATACCGACCACGTATGCGGTTTGCGGTCAAAGGAATAAATAGCTTTTAAAGCCATCGAAGCCCAATTGCGTCAGATATCCACCCATTTGGGCTTACCTCGAAGCGCCAGTCCTTTAGGGTATCATAGAACCATATTTCAATATAGCGCTTGCCTTTGAATATAATCAACGGTGGTAAAGCCCAGCCTAAAGCATTAACTGTCTCCACTGCGGTCACCCATTCACGATTACCTGGCTATAAGACAGATCTCCGGCCATAGTATTCAGCTCTAGTGACCACTTTTGCGGTAGAAACGAGGCCCATTGCGAAGCCTGTTTCATCGAAGTTATAGATATCATCAGGCGGGATACCATAGCGCGTAATAGTCTCCCTAACTAGCTGAAACCAGTCATTTAATACCCGGGGATCCTCTTGCTCTGCACGCTGATAGTTATATCGTCGCGAGAAACGTGTTTGGATAGACGGTGTACGTTTGATATAGTTCCCAACCCAATTCACGCCGACTGTAGTGGAACCGGTAGCCCCAAGAAGAATATTAGCTATATTGCGTACCATTGCATGCCGAGGGGATGCACCGCGATCATCCATAGATAGAATCCACTTGGTAAGCGTATCATTATCTAGCTGGGTCATTTTATGGCCATTGGCGCGTGTAGTAGCCTTTGAAAGATGACCATTGATGCGGTCGCGCAGCGTAGATCGCGGTATGCTATAGACGCGCGCAGCAGCCGTGATAGTCGGAATATCCTTATTTTTAAAAGCCTGGATTGCAAGTTCAATCCTACCCTCTTAATGGATAGCATCTTGGCTTGTTTCGGAACGAATTGGTGGCATAATAAATGATTTAAAGTGGTGGGAGATATACGGAGACGCGAAATTGGATGGGGTGGCGGATGGGTTGTGGTGGCGGATGGCTTGTGGATTACGTTATATGTTTGATGGATCTGTCTAAGCCTTTGATCCTGTCCTTTTCCGGTTCCCCATAACCCCAAACCCTTTGATCCTGAGGGTCATCTGCATCTGGGTAGGCCGGTAAGACACCAGATAGATATTCAAACTCAAAATTTATATCTTCTGACAGAGTGCGGAACACTTTCTCTCACGTAGCGTGTTTTCGGCTTGATAATCTCAGCAGATTGCCCATGACCTGGAATCGTTAGCTTTCCATTTGAACTTGTGTTCATGATAACCTACCGTGCAGGATTAGGATTTTGCAAGCTTTGGAAGCCATCCGAATTGCAGGAGTCAAGAAATGGTGAACTGGAATGACTGATATGGAAGAACCCTCAGATATGACGGTTATGGATCTTTATAGACTCGGCCCTTGTTCTGCATCTGGTATTACTTAATTCGGTGGGGAAAGTGTTTGTAGATTATCCCGGCATTGGTCTGCGAAAACGATAATTTAGATTCAACATACGGAATAATTGGCGAATCGCAAAAAAGAGACTTTTGAATTTAGCTATGATCAACATAGCGGAAGATTATGAAGTCATAGACTAGTTTCGCGAGAAATGGATGGTCAATTAATCGTTGTAAATACCCAGCACTATCGGATCTCATCTGTCTGAGCCATGGATACCGCAAGGTAGCGCATGAGAAGCAGGACAGACCTGGCCGATACGTTTCGATCCTCTTACAGTCAAAGCCGCAGGAAGTCTATCGCAGCCATGTAATGCTACAGTACTTCATTTCGTTGCTAATTTTTCTGACTGAAGGTATATTAACGTGATTTCTTCCTCCCATTGGAGCTACTAAGATCCAATGGTCACGGATGATGGGTTTTATGTCTTCAAGCCGTTAATGTTAAAGATAATGAATCGCACGGACCAGAGTCAACTTAAGACTTAATCATACAAGCAAGATCTAGTAATTGAGTATAAGCGGTCTGATGGCCGTGATTGACTGCAACGATGAAATGGCATGACAAACACCCAGAACCAACAATTATGAATGTGATTATTCAAAAAACTAAATACAATCATTTGAGGGTTTTGCCACGTATAGACCGTAGAACTCTGAATAGACAAATCTCCAGGCCGAACTGTGCGTCGTTCCCCCGTGACAAAGATCAGTTCTGTCGCTCCCAGAATCTGGACTACGAAGTCCACCTCCACAGTCCGAAGCAAATCAACTTCGGAATCGGGGTGTGTCTCGATGTACCACACATTTGTACCACCTATCTGTATCACTAGCTGATGTGGCTTGTGCTTTGGAGGGATATAGAGATTCAAAGTGGAATCTCTTTTGAGCTTAAAATGGCCTGCGATGCATTGCAATCTCAATGCGTCACAGCTCTTCTCTCTGGCATTGGGTAGCGGTTCATCGGAGCCTGCTAATGCAGGATTTGGTGAGATCTCGTCGTCGTCGCTATTGCCAGAAAGTTGTAGCTGGAGATTGAAGAGCGGGCTATCGGCTATGATGGAATTGAGAGCAAAGGTAGAGGCGGGGGAAGGGAGGTGGGACAAATGCGGTAGATTTTGAGGGAGAGATGCAACCCGTATATGGAGGCAGATCAGCCATATATCCCAAGACGCAATTCCAAATCCGGAGCGAACAGTAATAAAAGTTTATGACACTTGGATTGTAAATTGAAAATGATGCTTTTTGGAAGTCTGAAGTCCACTATCTCGTGAGTCAAGGATTGCACAGATCAGTATTTTCGCCATCATTTTTTTACCACCCAGATTGGAGGCTGGTTTTAGATGAGCCAGTAGCTAATTGATGGAAGTGGTAAATTGAGGGAGAGTGCTGAATTGGGAGAGAGCTGAGCGCCAAATCCCCTTATAATCTGATCAGGAGCGAAATCTTTCTAATTATACGAGCTTTTCGCACGTCTCTCTTACAGACTACTCATACTGGGTGTGTGTGTGTGTGTGTGTGTGTATGTGAAATCATTTACCCTGACCCCTCGCGAGCGATACGACAACTATATATATCCATGTACTTACAGATAGAGTGATCCACTTCCTGACATTAACTTAGTGCCTCGTCACGGCCTATCGTGGCCCATTGCCGTTCCCGTTGTTAGGCTGTCCTTATGACGCACGACTGCGAAACCTCTGTGACGTCTCGGCGAAATCCAGTACAGCTCGTACTGTCTTGGCTCGCGAGACGGTGTCTGGTTTACCTTTCTCACCTCACCTTCTTTTGAGCCTCCCAGCAGACTCGATACGCTGTTGAGCGCGTCCTCAACCTGTCTCCTCAATTCTATTCGCGGCTCTCTTAGCCTCGGGCATTCCATCAAGACGTGGGCGACTGTCTCCTGCGCGCCGCACTCGCACCGGTCATCATCATTGTAGCCAATCTTCTTTCGGATACTCATACAGGGAGGATCGAAATCAGTTTCACCACGTGCACAGAAATTCTTTCTCGAACCCTGTCCCGAAACACGCTATACCGGTTACGGTTACTCTGCCCCTGAGCCCCATTCTTAAAAGTATTTTATTACGCTCGTAAATAACATTTAAACATAGCCTCTGTATTCGACTCGTCAGTTCTTCAGGCGGTCTAGACTGTCGATCCAGCAAAGAAGCTAGACAAACGGATGCCTGCTCATTTGGAGATATGGCAGGACAAAGAGCAACCAGTCTAGATTTGAACATCACCCCTAGTACATGCAGACCTTTACTATAATTAAGCACGAGTGGTCACACCTGAATGGTGCCTCGTTTAACCCCTTCGAAGCACCAGATTATGCATGACATCGTCGGCAGCGTAACACTATCTGTATCGCAAATGGCGCAGGCTGCTTGCCGCAGCAAGTGTGCCATCCTGAGTTTTCCGAATGATGAATCATTAGTTAGCGTCGCAATATCCATCAAACAGGCTGAGATGATTAGTGCCTGGGTGGCTGGGGGACCTTGTCCAATTAAAGTACGCGCCACTGCCAAGACGGATGGAAGCATTCAATCATATGCCTCCAAGTCAAGGCTGGGCCGAGATTGTGCTGCCGGAGATCTTTGTTTGCTACTGAGACTACAAGCGTTGAGACCGGGATCGGGAATGTGCATAGGAATGGTCTCAATAATGGTCACGGATTTCGGTCTGTTTATCTCAAAGAAGCCGCCAAGGTGGTTCTTTGCCTAGCAAACAAAGAGGTCCGGCACTGCGAGGAAACCATTTAATTCCGTCAAATCACCCACCTCTTGACTATGGACATCTACAATGAATGATTGTCTCGAAACTTTATGAGTCCCGATCACTAGCCATGACAAAAAAAGCCTCCTTGCGGCCGCTGCGGCCGTTAGAGAAAGGTTCATCCTCCCAACCAGACACCACGTCCATCGGTTGAAAAGCAACAGAAAGTCCCTCTCGCTTGCACAGAGTGTCGCCAGAAGAAAACCAGGTTTAGAACCTAACAAATCTTTCATATCCATGTTCTGACAGGATCTAGTGTTCTGGTACGACTCCATGTGCGAAATAAGTACCACGAAAGGTTGTCAATGCATCTATGGCAGTGATCGCAGGCGCAAATCTCATAGCATAGAAACTTCTATGTTGCATCGGGCATTGCTCTACACTGTGGCTAGACTTCGCTCTAGGAACCTAGACAACGTGAAATCATTCATTTTACAGATCCGGGGATTGCGAAGCGACCAAGATGGAGAGACTTTTCTTCTTCGTGAAGCAGGCTGGGATGCGAATCTGCCTAATCTCAGATAATAGCTGGACAAAGGGTGAAAGGAAGATGAATGTTGGGCAACGTACCGGAACCAAGGCCGGTGGAAGGAGGCCAAGCAGCTCGAGGTGCAGGCGATGGGGACTCGTAAGACGAAGTTCGGCGAGGGCCATCCTGACACATTGACGAGCATGGCCAATCTGGCCTTCACCCGGAAATCCTCAGATCATGCAACCTAAGCTCTTGAATTACTGCGAGATTGCGTGACCAAGCAGAAGCTAATATTGGGGCTCAATTACCACCAAACCTTGTCTAATCTTGAAACCTTGCTGGAATGGGAAACGGAAAAGTTGCATTCAAAGACGTAGATGAGTCATTTGCTTGAATCCAATACTTTACCAGGCAGAAAGCTCTCCTTCACACTGTAATTTGCTAGTATAATCTTCCGACTATAGAAAGAATTTATGCGTTTCACGGAAGGGCCTACCTTATCATTCTGGCGAGCCTTGCTGCGAAGAGAGTGAGGGCAGTTGCGCACGGAAAGAGGGTAACATGATGAAAGTATTCAGGGTAAGAATATATCCTATTAAATACAGAACTTAGTTCACGTGGTTTTATCTTCCAATACGATTCAACTCTTCATTTTGAGCTAAGCCAAGTGCAGATTAGTGTGTTTCGAAGGAGGGCTCGAGAGAGAATCTCTGTGATTCAAGCGGCGAAACTGTTTTCGATCCATCCTGTACATATCTCGATAGTGGGAATTGCTCTATCGCTTGGAACTGGATCTCTGCTGAGCAAGACACCTTGCAACTTTGGCTACCCAGCGCCATCAATCAAATATCAAGGAAAGCTATATCTAAAGAATACCGTAAACAGACTGGCCAGTACCGATGATCAAACTCGCTGCGATGGGATTACCTCCATTTGTATAAAGGCCTTTGCCTGGGGCGAGTGTTAGACAGCTGAGCACTTGACTTTCCTCATCTGAGGATGACAGCCTCACAACTCGGCGCATATTGAGTCCTGATACATAGGGGGGTCAAAAGTCTGTTTACATATCTGAATTTATACCCACCCCCTCTTTTCCAATTAAACTTCACCACCCCATATCTCCACCACTATGAGGTCTTTCGGCATCGAAATTAGTGGTAATCGGCCGCGTGGAGCTGAGCTTTCAGAAACCACTCGTGCTGCTATTGTTTATGCCCTTGAACTGGGTGGAAAACCCACCCAAATTGCAAAAGATCTACATGTGTCGCGTCAAACTATCTACAACACCAAAAACCACTTCCAAAAGCATGCACACGTCAAAACAAACCCCCGATCAGGCCGCCCACTGAAGCTTACCCCCTCTGAGCGTCGATATGTGTTCCGTCTAGTACGCCGCAGCCCTACAATGAGCTATAAAGCCCTTTTGATTGATACCGACTTTAAAGTATCAAAATCAACATTGAAACGCGTCCTAAAGCGCTGCAATATCCGCAAATGGGTTAGCAAGAAGCGTATCTTTCTTAAAAAGCATGATGCACAAATTCGACGCGCCTTTTGCCGAAAATGGGGTAGTGTGCTACATTTTGATGATGTGATCTTTTCCGATGAATGTTCCGTCCAACGCAAGTCAAATTCTATCCACCAATACGTATTCTCATTTAAGAATGAGCGATACAGGAAGGATCTTGTGAACCTTGTGAATCATGGCAAAGATATCCGGCAGATGGTTTAGGGATCTATCTGGCTTGGTGGTCGCTCAAAGTTGATGATTATGGAACGCGATGCTTTTTCGAAAAAGAACGGCTACACCACGAATTCATATCTTGATACCCTGGAGGAAGCGCTCCTACCTATGTACGAGCCTAGCACAATATTCCAGCAAGATAATGCGCGTATCCACGTGGCAGAAATTGCAAAAGAATGGTTCGAAGAGCATGGGATATGGGTAATGGAATGGCCGCCGCATTCGCCTGATTTAAATCCTATTGAGAATGTCTGGAACTTGCTAAAATTAAAGCTATTCGAGCTTTATCCACAGCTTGCCCAGCGTGGGCGTTCTAAGATGGATTGGAATGAATTCCGCAAAGCCCTAGTCATCGCATGGGATAGCATTGATCAGGCTAAAATTGATAATTTTATCAGATCTATGCCTCGCCGCATTGCCGCGGTACAAAAGGCAAAGGGCTGGTATACGAAATACTAGATAGTTATCATATGCATCCAGTTTGAATTGAATATCTTTTAAAATGGTGGAGAAATTAAAGAAAATAAAATGGGAAGATAGAGGCGAAATTGGTGTGTACACAGACTTTTGACCCCCTATGTAGTTTCTCTAGATTTATCCCATATAGATGATAATAAAGTAGGTGAGAAGCTGCCAATGGAAGACACAGAAAGACTTGACGTTCAAGCTTGATTCGAAGAGCTTCGGAAAATTGGGTGCCAAATATCACATGTATTGTTATATAGATGCAATACTGTAAGCCGGGCTTTAGAGGCGTCTATTTTGCACAGCGGGGATCCGTAGAGAGCAAAGTCCTTCCTAATGGCCTAACAAGTAAATTAATCTGGAATAGTTTACCCCGCTCCACTCAAACAGCATCTAACTTACCCAGTATTATAAGCCACGCGCCATAGAAACAGATCTACTTATACAGGGTTGCACGTCACCTGGTACGATCCATAGCGTCGTGTCGTCGGTGCCTGGCAGAATTCCACACCGGTCGAAAGATCGACCATGCCAGAAGACTCGCTCTGCTCGCACATGGTGTTCTCAAACAATTCCATCTTTGCACCCCTGTGCGACCGTTTTCAGCCGGTAAGCCGAGAGTACAGTTTTCAGGTCGGCACGGCAGCCGGTGCTGCCCATGCCGGAGTGAAAGTCGCCATCACCCTCGCATTGGGTGCTTTGATACAGGTGGAAGGACCACCGATTGCCGTGATTCATGAAGGGAAAGATGGTGGCCAGGTTGACCACGAAGAAGGCGGCAGCGAAGTGGATGGCGAAGGTCATTGAAAAGAGGAGTTAGGCAGCGTGTGAAAGGGGAGGATGCTTCGCGTTCTGGGCGAGAGTCAATATCTGATAGTCGCTCGATAAGGCGTATAATGTACACACATACTATGCTGATGCATTACACAGGCAAAGAATGGATAAGCAGAGGATAAAGTGGAAAGTTGGCAGCGGCCCATGCACTAAACTTTTGGCTCCAATGCGGCCTGGAAATGAAAAAATTTCAACAATGCGAAACAAAATTGCATCTCTCATCTAGATCTTTGGTATGGTCCAGACACGTGTAAGGCAGTCAATCCACTGCGGAATCCCGTAAAAGGGACACAGCCGCTCAAATAGGCCATGCAATGCTGTAGATTGACTTTAAGGTGCCAACAGATTTGCATCTTTCAAGCCAATAACGTTCTTTTGGCAGATGACAAGAAGCGCTATCTTGACAGTTAATAAACATGTTTGGACATTACAAAAGAAACCGCATTGCTGACCCAATGCCGCAAATTATGATTCCGCCTACCTGGTGTAGAACACTTGCAAATAAGAGCGGGCTGTTAAGAGTTATTCAAGGGGAAGATATATCTAAGTCGTGAGCAACTCATCCCGATGAACAATTCAAGGGAGACTTCTCGAGCAAAAAAGAGACAGCAATGAGACCAATCTCAGTCATTTTCAACCACTGGGGAATACGAGAGACAATAGAACGGCTGGAGGTTCATAATTAGGATGTAGGAAACTGAGGAAGACGTGCGTGTGAAGAGCTGCTGATGCATGCCAAATAAGTCGTCGTCCAAATGCTTCATCCGCGAGTTAATGCAGCATATGTGAGGCGGGATCGACCAAGCATAGGGCTTACATATGAATTTCGGTGTCAAGGAGAAATATAAGCATCTCTTCCTGCACATTGAACCACCCCGTCGCTTTCCCTAGCCTTTTTCATTCAGCATCTGGGTAGGATGCCTCCTAAAAAGCCTATTCAGAAGGCAACTGTCATCAAGGCTGCTTGCGGCCATCAAACTCAGACGACAACTCGAGCCGACAAAATTGTTTTAGACAAAATCCAGAAATGTCTGAACCGGGCTTATCACGCCAACGCATCAGAAGCCGAAGCCAAAACCGCGCTCTTTATATCTCAGAAACTAATGAGTGAGCATAATGTGGCTCAAATAGACCTCATGGCCAATGGTGATAGAAGCAATAAAGCGAGATATGGTGGGCGGAGCATCATTCGCATCGAGAAAGTCTCGGGCTTATCGCGGAGAGTTATGAAGAGGCTTTTGTTGAGAGAGTGGCGAAAGCAATGTGCACCTTTTTTGACTGCAAAAGCTTTTCGACAGATTTTGGTATCTCTGTGGAATGGTCATTTTTTGGTATTGCTAGCAACACAGTTGCTGCCGCAACAGCTTTCGAGATGGCACACAATTTAATCTTAGAATGGGCATGTCACTACAAAGGGGGAGCAGCCACTTTTAGCTACCGTCTTGGAGTGTCAGACGGGCTCAGGACTATGGCCAATCGTGAAAAACAAAAAGAGCTTGCAGAAGTTCAGCGCAAGGAGCCGAATTCGATTACAGCTAAAAATCTCAAAAAAGCAACAGAGAGCCAGCGAGGATTGGACAGGGCAGCAGCACTGTGTACCGAAGCCATCAGTGCATCAGTCTATGATGACGAGGATACAAGTTCAATGAAACTTGAATCTGACGAGGAGTCCGAGAGCGACCCCAAGGATGTCAATGAGTTGGACATCAAAGCCGACTTCAGCATGGATGATGTACAAGCTATCGACCTGTGCGATGACGTGGACGAGAGCATTGAGAAGTATACGAAGTGGAAGCCATCTGAGTCCTATCTAGAGGTTGGACATGAGACTAAGTCTGCATCGCTAATGGCATCTGGTTGGCAATCCCAGATGCAGCTTATTCACTTCCGAGCAACATCAGAGCAGGTTGCGGATGAATATCTGGCACAACATAACATTAAACTACACAGTGGTAAGAAACGGACTTCAACCATTCGTGACAAAGATTCCTATCGCCGGGGTCAGCATGACAGTTCAAAAATCAACGTCCGCCAGAAAACGCCGGTATAACAGCATTCTGCTTGGGTTCGCGAGGGAATTCGCAAGAGCTTTTAAATTGGCGATGCAAAGATTACTGGAGATAAGAAGAAATGCGCATGGACTTCAATCACACTATTTCCGGCAAAAATCACCTTTTCGTTCTGGTTTCTGGCCTTCATTAAGTCAGTTCTCAATTGTAAAGCTCGATATGGCATTTCCCATGGGCATTCTCCAGACGATTTCAAATCCTGTAGAATATAATACAATCAAACTCATGATTGATTATTAGTTACCTTCTGCCACTATCTATATATATGTGTGTGTGTATATAGGTCCGTCCGCTTAGACTCCTCGCAATAAAGAGTTGGCAATCTGGATTGAGGTGCAAGTATGGTATTGTTTGATCTAAGCGAGAATACCCAGCTACTCATAGTTGCAGTAGTTTATCTCCGTTCTGCCTAGCGAAGTGGTACCCTAACAGTAGCCACTCGCAATGATCTGTCGCCATGAATTTCCCCCTCGGAGGTGGATTAATGTTCTTCCGTATATGTTTATGTTGTTTGCATGTTCCTCCCCCAGAAATGTATGTTGGATGCCTGAAGAGAGGCGAACGGAGAACGCTTGGAACGAACCGTGAGTTATTTCCAATAGGTACCAGGGTACCAGAGTACCTAGCTCCGCATGCCAAGGCGGTGTGGGATTTTGTCGGCTTTGACACCTTTGCTCCTTCTCGCGCGACAATTTTCTCCGGGTCTCGATGTCTCAGAGCCTCGACCTTGCAAGGCTTGGCGGATAAAAATTTGCTGCATATCACACTCCTAGGAATATCTCTACATGCGCTTTCTGTTCTCCTGGCTACCTACTCGTCATTCTCCATAACTCCCTTCCCCAAATCTCATGTACTTGAAATTTACTTTGCCGTTAACTTATTGCTCCCCAATCATCGCGTGACATGTCTTCGGAGCCACCTTTGGACCACCTCCTTGGGTCTTATAACAAGAAAGTCGCATATTTTTACGCCTCCGATGTGGGCAATTACGCTTACGTCTCGGGTTACCCCATGAAGCCTCATCGCGTACGCATGACAAACAATTTGGTTATGAATTATGGCCTCTTTTCAATGCCACCATCGAAACTGTGATCTTCAAAGCTTGGCTTGCAGCTTGACACAGTCAAAGCAGTCTACAATACTTACCCCTGGGCCCCCGTGTAAGTCACTGTATGACTTGCATCAAATAAGAAGATAGCCAGCTAAGATTATAGCAATGCCGACTGTGTATAAGATTTGTGCGAGGTATATCTCCCCGTATGTCAAAGCCAGCGCTGTCCAATAAGTCATGCTCAGTGGCTTGCGAGGCTTTGCGGTCTTTTCTGGGGCCTCATTGACTGTGAATTCGGCCCTAGATGACGTCTCTTGGGCAGGACTAATTGCCCCGGTAGCTGGCTCGCAGGCCGTGGTGCTTCTGGCGAGCCCGGTGCTTCTCTGGCGCTCATATGATGTTGTCACAGTCACAGGCATCCTGTTAAGGTCCTTCGGTCTCAGTGTTCCTCGCACTTGGAGGGTTCCGATACTAGCGTAACAAGAAACGGTGCTCTTTGAGCCATAATCGCAAGACAAGAAAGCGGTCCTTGAAAAACTTTAGCAAGAATGTGGGATATTTTCAAGTTCCACTATACCTGTCCTTATTCACAGTACTGATCAGTTGAAAGGAAGCTGGAGCAGCGATAGCTGTCATGCTGTTTCCCCTGGCATGGGCCTTGCCGTTTCCACGATATGAACAATGTATGTGGTCGAGTCATTTTCCTTGGAAAATTAACGGGCCACTCGTCCATTCCGGAAGATATCTTACCTTGTTCAGAATTCCCGCCTCTAATGTATGATTACCGAAACCTGGCAAAAGAAGGTTCACTATCGGAAAAGCCAGCATGAGCGGACATTGTACCAAGAAACCGAAGCGCCAATGTCGCATGATGTGTGATGCTTCAATTATCTAGTGAAATGGGCGGCTCGATGGCTGTCTGGCGATGCAGACTGGACAACACACACACACACACACACTGCCTGTCTGGTGTAGAGGATGCTGGATGAGGTCCAGAATGGCTGATAAGAAGCGCCCCACACCTATACTGGCGCCCCACTCCCACCCTCAAAAAAGCCAGTATGGTCCACAGGGCTATCCTACGGTCGCATTCATCTGATTCTTTTCAGAGATTTAGTATTAGTATTTGAATTTAGTCATATTGTAACTTGAGCTTCATCCGACATTATTTAGGTTGTTAAATATAAGAAGGTCTAGAAAGTGGAATTATTTTTGATGGGGTGCGGGTTCGGCTATTCATACCAACGCGTATTATCATAGTGTAAAAGGCGGCAGAAACCTCGCGCCACCTAACTCGGTGATAATGAGGCAAAAGCTGCATGCATAACCTGCCTAGGCGCTGGCAGCCTATTTCCTGCCCTCTGGCTGCGCCTGACAGCATTCCCGCATAGCAGCATGTATATAAAGCGAGCTACAACGGGCAAGTGAAACCTCCTCCTACTACTACTACTACTACTAATGCCAGGCGGCTATCCAGGCGGCTATCCAGGCGGTGCAAAACCCAAAGCGAACGTCTGGCCGGTACGTGCTCACCGCAATATACGACCACGTCCGAGCCATCCGGTCGCAGCAGCAAACGCCCACGTCACCCTCGATTCCGATATTGATCCACTGGATCCCCGCACACGTGGGCGTTTCTGGCAATGAAGCAGCCGACGGGGAAGCCAAAGACGCGCCGCTGGCGGGCGCAGGGGGGAACGTCGGAACAATTCTGGCCGACGGCGGTGTCGGAGCGATCCGATTGGCTTCCACCGCCAAGCGCGACGTGCGCGCTTCAAGGAAAGATGGGCAAAGCAGTGGGCAGAGCAACAGCAACAGACGGCGCGGCCGACTAGACGGCTGGTTAAGGCGCCAGATAAGAAGGTTCTGAAGCTGAACGAGGGGTTGCCCAAACCATACACGTCGATCCTCATCCAGATGAGATCGATGCGCATCGGTTTACGTCACTTCTTGTACAAAATCAACGCGTCCGATGAATGTCATTGTGAAGAGGGGTCGCAGACACCAAAGCATATCCTCCTACAATTTCCGTTATACATTGATCAACGACGAGCGATGCTGACCAAGATCAGGATGCGAACTGATCTCGATGGCACAGACTACGATGAGACTGCGTCTCACCCGCAGGCGACCCGTTACGTCGCCGAATTCATGCTGCAGACAGGTCTGCTCGGACAGTTTCGCCAGGTTGACATCGAACCCGAGCCTAACCAAGAACCGATAGGCCTCGCGGCCATGGAGTAGGTGGGGAAGACGATGGGTACTGATCATGGACCACCCAAACCTCGGTTGCCGAGAAGCCGAGGACAGCGACAGCGAAAACACCACTGCACACCACCAATCGAGAACGGAGCGGTCTAAGAGTGCCAACGCTATGTGGGCAGCGGCAGGAGGATGGTACTGGGGACAGGGAGAGTGGGACTGAGGGTTGGAAGCTGAAGAGCTTCATTTATTCCTGTACGGGCAAAGCGCTGCCCAATTTCCTTTGTATTTGCTTCTTGTGTGGGATTTACGGCGTCTGGGACACTGAGTTCTTGCTTCGGACGGAAGAAGCGCCTGCATAGCCATTACGCACTAGTTAGGCTCTATCAGGTTAATAGAATTCATCGTCATCATCATCATCAGAAGAAGCTATCTTATCTATCTAGGGGCTAGATCAGGTGACTACTGTCAATAAAAGAAAATGAGGCGAGAGTGGTGATTCGGCGCTGGGCGTCTTGCGCTTCCCCTATTTAGCATCGATTTAACGCAAAAAGAAGCAGCCAGAGGGTTTTCTTTGCTCAGAGAATCATCTGCATTTTGAGAAAGATGCGGAATCTCATTTTCCGAGCCAGAAGCAGGGTACGGGGGATTGGGCAGTGCTTGGCCAACCGGGCACGCATGTTGAGTAGACCGGCTGCGCAATATAGCATCAGCTTGGCAGTCATTTTTCGAGTTGCGCAAGAGTTCAATGTTTTGTGCAAATGTACGAATTTGTGCAGGAAGTGTTGGTTCAACAGAAATCCAGATGTGATGAAGAATGTCGTGTGTGGTTGCGGTTGTAGGTCTCTGGTGAAAAAGCGAGGACAAGTGTTGCCAAGGAATGAAAAGCCCGAGGAGTATCCCGGTTAGATCATTCTGAATCGCTGTGGTTGTGGGAATCCCTCCTGGCACGGAATTCTCGAGGACTGAAATTCCGTCAGCTCGCCTTCTGGGTCACTGTGGCCGTCTGAGAAGGAGACTCAGCCAGCCTCTGTACACGCGTCCGGTGGCTTGGATGCTTCTCATTGAAGGGCACGCCTTCTGTTGTCGCATCCTGGCGTCTCTTGGTGCGTAATATCATGTAGACTTGCATTGTGTATATTTACCCTGTGTTTCCTTGCGGTCCCCCGCTCAGAGACCGGCGATTAATTCTACGAAACAGCGCACCCGTGCCCCTCTCACACTATCGCTCCCTCGCCAAAATCCAACCACAGTATGGAGGACCTCCTTGCTTTACGCTCTGACAATAGGTCCAATATACAAGACGATAAGTCAACAACAGTCAAGCCTTTTCATTTATCTTCATTTCAATCTCAGGATCACAATAGTTACCCACAACAAAGAAAAATCAACTGACAATCAAACAATAGCTCCACATTGCGTTCATCACCAGCTGATCATTGATTCGCTAACTGGATGCTTTAAGAGTAAGAGTACGTCTGAGCACCACTAGTCCCTCCAGGGTTCACAACAGTGACTGAAACGGCTCCAGTGCCGGAAGGTGCAACTGCACTGATTGAGTTGTCACTATGAATAGTGAACGGAGCTGGGTTGGCTCCAAAGAATACATTAGTAGCCGTCGTGAAGCCCGTTCCAGTAAGAGTCACGTTATTGCCGCCAGCAATGGCTCCACCAGTAGGCGACAAGGTGGTAAGGGTTGGCGCGGCAATATATTGGAATATGGCGCCGTTGCTAGTGGCAGAAGCGGTGTCAACTGTCACAGCAGTAGCCCCTACTGCTCCAGCAGGGGAGGTTGCAGTTACCGTGTTATCAGAGATAACTGTAAAGGCGGTTGCTGCAGTTGTCCCAAAGAACACATCAAGAGTATTGATCAAGCCAGCCCCAGTGATGGTCACTGTAGTGCCCCCAGCAGTTGGTCCAGAAGTGGGAGTAATAGAAGCAATTACCGGTAACGGCTGGAAGCTGAAGCTAAGCGAGCTATCTGTGCCGCCTGGGGTAGTAATATTGATTGAAACTGTGCCGACATTATGTGGAGGTGTGACAGCATCCACTTCAGTGTCATCAATAACTGTAAAGCTAGCCGCAGGGGTGGTTCCGAATTTCACACCAGTAGTACCTAATAGATTAGTGCCAACGATAGCGACAGTGTTACCGCCAGCTGTGACGGCTGCAGTAGGATACACTGCTGTAGGTGTAGGTGCAGCGACGTAAGTATAATTAAATCCTGTGCTTGCACCAGCAGGCGTTGTGACTACTACTGAGGCAGTCCCAGCAGTACCTGGTGGAGCCACAGCATTCACTTGAGTGGGTGATAAAATAGTGAAAGAACTGGCTGGATTACCAGCAAATGTAACTGCTGTGGCGCCACTGAGGTTTGAGCCGGTGATGGTGACATTATTCCCACCTGATACTGGCCCGGATGCTGGGATAAGCGCGGTGATGATAGGCGTTAGAGCGGCTGCATAGGTATAGTTAATGCTAGCGCTACTAGTACCACCAGGACTAGTGATACGGACAGAGACACTGCCGCCACCGCTCGGGCCTGGGGGAGCAACTGCATTTATCACTGTGTCAGCGAGAACAGTGAATGAAGTGGCAATAGCTGAGCCGAAGGTCACAGCCGTGGCGTTGGTGAAACCAGAGCCGATGATAGACACTGTATTTCCGCCGGCAGCAGGGCCGGTGGTGGGGTTCACAAGGCTAACGACAGGAGCAGCTATATAGGTATAGGTAGTGCCAGCGGTACTAGTACCACCAGGTCCGGTGACAAGGACATCGACAGCACCGCCGGCGCTCGGGCCTAGGGGGAACAACCGCATTTATCGCTGTGGCAGAGACCACAGTGAATGAGGTGGCAGGAGTTGCGCCAAAAGTCACAGCCGTGGCGTTTGTGAAACCAGAGCCGATGATAGACACAGTATTTCCGCCGGCAGCAGGGCCGGTGGTGGGGCTCACACTGCTGACGACAGGAGCAGCTATATAGGTATAGGTAGTACCAGCGGCACTGGTACCACCAGGACTAGTGACACGGACAGAGACACTGCCGCCACCGCTCGGGCCTGGGGGAGCAACTGCATTTATCACTGTGTCAGCGAGAACAGTGAATAAAGTGGCAATAGCTGAGCCGAAGGTCACAGCCGTGGCGTTGGTGAAACCAGAGCCGATGATAGACACTGTATTTCCGCCGGCAGCAGGGCCGGTGGTGGGGCTCACAAGGCTAACGACAGGAGCAGCTATATAGGTATAGGTAGTGCCAGCGGCACTAGTACCACCAGGTCCGGTGACAAGGACATCGACAGCACCGCCGGCGCTCGGGCCTAGGGGGAACAACCGCATTTATCGCTGTGGCAGAGACCACAGTGAATGAGGTGGCAGGAGTTGCGCCAAAAGTCACAGCCGTGGCGTTGTTGAAACCAGAGCCGATGATAGACACTGTATTTCCGCCGGCAGCAGGGCCGGTGGTGGGGCTCACACTGCTGACGACAGGAGCAGCTATATAGGTATAGGTAGTACCAGCGGCACTGGTACCACCAGGACTAGTGACACGGACAGAGACACTGCCGCCACCGCTCGGGCCTGCTGGAACAACAGCATTTATCGTCGTGGCAGAGACCACAGTAAATGAAGTGGCAGCAGCTGAGCCGAAGGTCACAGCCGTGGCGTTGGTGAAACCAGAGCCGATGATAGACACAGTATTTCCGCCGGCAGCAGGGCCGGTGGTGGGGCTCACACTGCTGACGACAGGAGCAGCTATATAAGTATAGGTAGTACCAGCGGCACTGGTACCACTAGGACTGAGTGACACGGACAGAGACACTGCCGCCACCGCTCGGGCCTGCTGGAACAACAGCATTTATCGTCGTGGCAGAGACCACAGTATATGAAGTGGCAGCAGCTGAGCCGAAGGTCACAGCCGTGGCGTTGGTGAAACCAGAGCCGATGATAGACACAGTATTTCCGCCGGCAGCAGGGCCGGTGGTGGGGCTCACATTGCTGACGACAGGAGCAGCTATATAGGTATAGGTAGTACCAGCGGCACTGGTACCACCAGGACTAGTGACACGAACAGAGACACTGCCGCCACCGCTCGGGCCTGCTGGAACAACAGCATTTATCGTCGTGGCAGAGACCACAGTATATGAAGTGGCAGCAGCTGAGCCGAAGGTCACAGCCGTGGCGTTTATGAAACCAGAGCCGATGATGGATACAGTATTTCCGCCGGCAGTAGGGCCGGTGGTGGGGTTCACAAGGCTGACGACAGGAATAGCTAGAGCGGCTACCCCTAGAGTGCCTCTGGTACTAGCTCCGTTGGTCACACTGGCCATTGTGCCTCCTGCTATACCTGCTAGCACAGCTGCAGAAACTTGAGTGTTGGAAAGGATAGCAAAGCTGCAGTGCAAACAAGCTCACTGCTCTCTTTTGCAAATGAGCAGCCATGAAATTGAGGGAATTGCCTCTTTTAAGTAAACATAAAAATAAACAAGGCACGGATATTAATAGCCGTAATCATAAAGAGTTGTACGACACGAGCCAGTTTGGGCTAGCTGCATGACATTGCCCTCGAATCTCGAGATGCATTAGCGTGTTGACTCATCCTTGAACTTGGATATGCTCATGCAAGGTGTGGCCTGACCCCATGACTATGGCACTGGAATGTCGAGGTGCATAGCGTGTTGCCGCATCCTAGATCTTGGCTATGCCATTAGCTGACACTCATGCAGGAGTGACCTGACCCCATGACTACGGCCCTCGAATGTCGAGATGCATCCCACCTTTGGCTGTATTCGCTTGCTTTTTCCGTGAGGCTTGATATACGACGATCTTCCTGGCGGGCTGATTTGTCGAGTGGAAGATTACCAGCGCCTATGAGGTTTATTCGACCTCCGGCTGGGTGTCTAAAACGGGTTAGAACGCATTATTAAGCACACCAAAATTGCCAGATAAAAAGTAATTTTTAGAGCATATGGAAATACACATCTTCTTTGACCCCTTTTGATCTCATTGGTTAATGCCGTAACCAACGTACTGTATCCTCCGGAATCGTTAGATGTCACCATGGGGAAAGGCGGTGACGGTTGTGGGGTCGAATCACGTGATGAACGTTTTATGCATGTTACATAGACCTCGCCAAAACCCGCCCACGAAAACGGTTGGGTTGGGTCTTAGTCAGCAGACCCGTGGGCGGGTTGTCATTTGGAAAACCAACCCAAGACCCAAATGGGTACCCCCCTGTATAACCCACAAAAGCAAAAAATGTTATCATGTCATTTACATAAAATTGCAGTAATTTTCGATTATGTAATGGCATAGCCATTGTCTGGGTGTCCTAGTCTACGGCTGCAAGTATTCAGGACAAATGTTCTTGACAAAGAAAAATGAGATGGGCTTATGATATACAAGACTGATATAGCTCGTAGCCGTGCAGTCGACTTGAGGGCATTGTGACCCTACCAGAAGATCTTTTCTGACTTCTACCACCCACTTGTGTGATTGGAGGTGGAAGCAAATCTGCCTCATCATCTTCATCCACTTCATCTCCTCTTCCGCTCCCACATCGTACGTCTGGTTGTGCATTGAAGGCCGGTCAGTCTCTGTCAGTACACGTTCTCCTTGGTATGGCGCCTCGGATTCAATATTGCCCTCGACATCTTCACTTTCTTCCACCTCTTCATCGTCGCTAATCGGCGCAGCATCCTCTTCATTTGTTTTCAGCGCTTCATCCTCCTCAAGTGCCTCTTGACCCTCATTCTCCATCGGCTTTTCCAGGCGACTTAACAGCTATCCCTCCAGAGTGAATTTCTCTGAGCACATATACATCATCAAGTCTTGAATAGTCGCTTCATGAAGAGATCCTCGACGATAGTGGCAGATGTCTCGCGCGCTATTGAAAAGCCTTTTCTACGTCCGCGCCGGTGCCGGAACCGAAAGCAAGTCGCGTGCAAGCCGAGAAAGCACTGGGAATTCACGCTTATGCTCTCTCTAGTAGAGCCGTGGTGGCACAGGGGCATTTGCTATTAGAATTCAGTTGGTCATCCGGGTGTACCATGCCAGCTGCCCTTACCTTCTCTGAGATACTGATCCACCTCGTTATGCTCCGCCCCTTCGTGGAGCATACAGTCATCCGCTGGTTCAAGTAGCCGATCAAGTTCTGAACTGTGTAGCGTGGAAGAGCGATGCACCGTGCGAAATAACAGCTCGGGGTTTTGTTGCTGATACTCCGTGAAACATGTTCTTAAGTATTCACAGTACCTTTTTGATGTATCCTTATAGTAAGTAGAATACTCCCTATCATCAAAGGCAGAGAGTTTATATTGAGTAGCAAGTAAAGACCCCGTGCTATAGAGAAAGCCCTGATCACAGTAGGTCCTCTTGTAGTACTCTTTTTTTTTGCCTGGTAATAAGCAGAGCGCTATATATGTCGTCCTAAGGTGTTGTTTTTTTTCTTTAATTTTCGATTTAACCGTTCAATATGCTCCAGAATTTTCCTATACACAAGAAATACGCTATGAATTGTAACGTCTTTTGTTGTGACGCATGAATGTCTTGTGGTGACGCATGAATGTCTTGTGGCCTAAGAGAGGCCTGAGGGGGAACGTGATCTGGAAGGAGCCGTGGGTCTAACCCGATTCGGGATAGAAGTGGGTTTGTTTCGTAGATGCTCGTTTCCCTCTTTCTCTCTTCTTCTTCTTCTCCAGTTTAGTTGCTTCTGTTAATGATACACGAATTCTTCTTCGTCTCTTTGTTGTATTCCTGCGAGCGACTTGGGCGTGTTCTTTGGATCAAACCACCTCAATAGCCTCATTTTCAGGATTTGCTTTCATCTGACCAAGTAGATGTTTAAGAGCAAGCTGTATCACATGGGCAACACATGGGACTCGAATAACAGCAGGCCTAAAATCAGTAGCCAAGGATTGGACTGAATCTTGGAGATTTGAGACCAAAGTGCTATTATTTGATGCGTTATCTGTAGTAACAGCAAGCACTCGGTCTTCAATCTGATGTTTCCGGAGAACATCCCAAAGCACTACACTTAAATTTAGCCCGGAGTGTGTGCCATGAAGGTGTTCAAAACCAAGTAAAATCTCCCGATATTGCCAATTCAGATCGATAAAATAACCAGTAATTGCCATAAACGCTTATTGAAAGGGTGGTGTCCAGCAATCTAGGCTGATTGATATTTTTGTCTGCGGTGGAAGCTTTTGAAGTACGTCTTTCTGCCGATCTTTGGTTATCGTCTGAAGTCGACGTTGAATTGTCCTTCTAGAAGGAAATTCAGGGTCTATAGGCGCTAATCGGGCTAATCGAATAAGGTTTTGGAAAGCAGGCTGTTCAACAATTTGGAACGGAAGACGAAGGGTAGTAATAGTTATAATCAGCTGCTCTTGCCATTGTGTGTCGGTAAAGGATTGGGAGGAACGGGGTAAGCGAAGGGCCTAGTAATAAGATAAAATTAGATTTGATCTGATCTTCACCTTCTTATCTTTGTTTTGAACTGATATTTACCGCGTTTTGCATAATATGCTGAATATTTGGCTGTTTTCCTTGCTTTGTCTGCTTTCCGCAAGTAGGTAGATGTCTTCGGAGGGAACTGGTGCCAATCCGAGATCCATTCTTTGCAAAGTTTGGATGATAAAAGGTCTTTCCACAACTATTGCAGATAACCCTAGGCTCCCCAGTCTTATAGTGGGCTACCTGGTCAAAATGGGACCAAAGGTCTTTGTTTTGCTTTTTTCCATCCCATTGTACCTTCTTCTGTGTTGTCTCATCACCCCCAATCTGGGTCTCAATCCACCAATTCATAAACTCTGCTTTTGCCATCTCATGAAAGATAACCCACGTTTTTAGTCGGTCGGAAGAGCGTTTTAGACTAGATGGGACGAGACGGGGCTGGTGTGGAAAAAAGGTGGACTCAGTGTTTGAAGTAATTGTTTATTGGCTTTCAGATGGTAAGAATACCTGATTATCCTCACCCTCATAAAGAGAGGACGAAAGGAAGCTAGATAACTGAGACATGAGTAAAAAGTAAGCGTAAAGTGAGGAGAAGGTAAGAGAAAGGTGAGGGATAATCAGAGGAAGAATAAAGACTTAGGACTTAAAAGACTTACCTTAAATTTCTTTGAATGTTAAGGGGAAAATTAAATTCTAGTAGGAATAATAAAATAGGTTACTTATCTACCTATTTAGTCTGATCTTTTAGTGCATCCGATTAGTTAGATATTAGGGGAGTAGTGCGTCAAAAGTCCGAAATACCCATGGGCTACCCCAAATACCCCTGAAATTCGGCGAGCTTGATCCCCCCCCAAAAAATTTTTCACTTTCCCTCTCAATCTCATAACTTTTTCATCTTATAACACTCTACATCCTAGGTTATAGTGGTTAAAAAGCAAAACTAGTTGTAGTTTATAGCTTAGGAATTAAGATAAAAAGTAAAATACATGGATTCTTAAATTATTATTCTTTTAATCTGATGGGTAGTGCCCACCACCAACCAACATATTTAAATATATATTACTCCATGGGATGATCAAGATTCCCACACTTTTCATCTTAAATCCCCCTTAGTTTATCACTCTGGTCTCTTCGAATACTGGACTCCGATCACCGCGGCATGCATCAAGATCATGGCCAAATTGACGATCAGCAGCTGGACCAGGGTGCCGCGGTAATGTCCTCTTTCTATTTTAAATTTATTTCACCTAGTTACAAATAATATTAAGATGAAAAGGTGTAGATACTATAGTATAGGCAAATACAGCGAAAAATAACAGTAATCTATTTAAATTATTCAGCATATTATCCATCATAATTAAGAAGTTTATGTAGAAGGGGGTATTTGAAGGGTTCCCCGGCCGCCACCGCGGGGGCCCCAGGGGAGGGGGGGGGGGGGGCGAGACCCTGTCTCAGGATACCCCTGCCCCTACGGGCAAGGGTAGGGGTTTGAATCTTGTACGCCTTGGGAGGGGGTGGGTGGGGGGGGGGGGTTGGGGGGGGGGGATGCCCAGGTCTACCTTGGCCTGTTCCAATGTCGGGAATATGCTGGGGCGAGTCACCCATAGGAGATCGGAAAAATGGATTGTTTCTGTGTGATTCCATGATAAGAGCAACAAGGTGACTGATGTTAATTAGTGAGGATAACTCAGGTGACTACGCGAACCAAAGTCATACCCGGCCTCGTATGCTTTGAACTGTCTCTCATCGGAAGGAAGGCTATAACGATGTCATGAAATACCCGCTTATTCTTTGTCCCGAAGTGTTCGGTACCTAGGAATCATGATTAGTCTTCTGGCCTGGCAATTTCCCAGGTACTTACCGTCTACCATTCTCCATTAAACCTCGGTAAATCGGAGAACCAATGGAAGTGGTCTCCCTAGACGAAATCAAATGTTAACGTCCATCCTCACATTGGAAGAATCGCCGCGTGGAAGACCTACGACAGCCAATCATCGGGGTAAGAAACACTGTCAACGGCATACTGATCCGGATCCTAAGACCACCGGCAGGCCAAAATTGCTGGGTCAAGAAAGGCCAGCATTACATACTACAGCAATTGATTGGTCTGACATAGTAAAAAGCCGATCGTCGATTACTGATGGTGTATGCAAGATTCGAGAGTATAACAAAAAGCCCAAACCAAAACAAACGTTGCAGGCCGGATAGTTTCGAGCCCAGCTTTAAGAAGTTGGAATGGGACGGCCCCGATGACAAAAGAACATATTTTTTGAGGGGGCGGGGTGGCCTGAACTCTTGCGTTCGAACCTCAAAGCGCGGGGCACAAGACCCCCTTTGCCTTTCGTGGTTTGATTGAGGAGTGCAGATAACCTGCAAGGTATATCATAAAAGGAGTCGTGGCAGAGGCCGCCATCCAAAAACTCCTTTCATCTTTTGGAGGTTGGTAGAGACATGGGAGGCGCATCAAGGACCAAGAATCGTTGAATCTCTGCTAATAGGGTTCGCAGTTCTGAGATTAGAACGAACCATCGTAGCCTCGGGCGCTGACTCGATCGTTTTCGACCGGGTCTCGTTCGCGCGATCGACAATGAGATCTGCAATGTCAGAACGCGCAGGCATGTGATGCTGCGCACTGATAGGTCGAGTAGAACGCATTAAGTGAGAGAAAGTTCAACTTGAGGTCAGTCAATCCCTCTTTGAATTGGAAGTGCCCACAGTCATGATTTATACGCCTGAAATTGGCAACGTGCATTAAGCTAAGAGGTCAGGGCATCCCAACGCCGCCAAGATGTACCGGAAAGAGCTAGTTCCCAGGATGTACAAGGATTGTACTTTTTGTCTCACTTAAAAATTGGGGCCTAGGAGATTCCGTATGGGATGAACGCCGCCCTGCATACAGGTGAAATATGCCGATATATGTTAAGTCCTACTTTGATCTCCGGCGGTATTGCAGCGCCCTATACTGACGATGCCTTCTTTCTACACTTACACCTGCCCACCTTGCCTAAACTACGTGGCGACGTCGAAGAAGGCATAATTAAGATACGCGAAGCCGCCAGATTCCAGGAAACCCCAAAAGACGCTGGGTTGGCGCGTGAATTTAACGTCAGCCGTCAACCTCGAACCTCCCGTATCGCAAGCAAAACCGCGCTTGATGAGACAACCGAGCGATTATTCGGTAGATTCGGCAATTTGATTCATTATACTCGCCACCTATACTAAAGAGGATACGGCGCTGTGCGAACCAATTCCTTTGACGAAACGCGAGCGCAGACGCAACGTCCCACATATCTAAAAGCTGGGTTTATCGCTTTATCCAACGCCTTCCTAGTGACCTCACACTCGTTAAACAAAAGCCGATGGAGAAGAACCGACTCGAAGCAGAAGGTCTGGGATTTTACAACATTAGTCTGATCGTCAAAAGCCCTTCGTTAAGCTGATTCCACCAAAAAAAATCTATAACTTCGTTGAGACCGGCTTCCATCTCGGTCATGGAAAATCCCAGAAAGTCGTCCCTGCATACCCTGTACGAGCTTCACGAGGCAATCCATAAAACAAGATCTGTGAAACTTTGACTGCAATCGAGTGTATCGCTGCGGATGGATCAACAACCCTATCTTACTTCATTTTATAAAGGCGAATACCACCTCGCTCGATGGTATCAATCTGATCTACTTCCGGACCGTTACCGAATCCCGACAGCCCCTAAAGGCTAGACTACAGACGAGATTACTTTTGATTGGATCCAAACCTTTCACGAGCAAATAAGATGCCGGATTTGTAAAGGCGAAGCTCGCCTATTACTCATAGACGGCCATGGTTCACATCTTACGTACGATTTCCTCGAGTTTTGCGGCGAACTCTGGATTATCCCATTTTTTTTTATTCACACAGTACACACCTCGTGCAGCCTCTCGACGGACAGCTTTTCATGTTTATAAACAACTTTTTTGCGCGCAAAATAACCAAACCACTCAGCGGGGCGTTCGAGTATCGATGAAGCAGATTTCGGAGATATTCCACGAATCCCGAAAACGAATCGAAACAACGTATGATCCCCAGCGCATTGGCCGACCGAATCTCCCGTCTAATCCAGAAAAAAATCGTACGACCGCTTCGAGACGCTCAACCAACTCTAGAGCTTCAAATCTTCAGTATAACATCACCAGCATCACCAACAACACTATCTATTTCGACTAATCCACCACCAACTACGATTCGTTCGCTCCGGCGTAGCACGAGTCAAGCAGAGAATTCTATTCAAAACAGTTCAGGGCTTAATCAAAGCTTTACACGACGGCTAAACCTACCATTTCAAAGCTCTGTTGAAAATTCCGAACGCCCCGATCAGCTCCAAACCAATACTCAACAACACCGTCGCCATAAATAGCCTCCAAAAAAACAGAAATCAAGCAGGTGAATCGACAATATAGGGCCTCTCATAGTTAAGGATGCGAATGGGGAATTGCGTACCGTACACAGCGAGAGGGAACAGATTATTAAGTGGGCTAGGAAAGCACAGAATTACACGCGATTTTGACCAAACCCGACGGGATAGGGGATAATTCGCCTAGTATGGAGCCTAGTCAGTCGGTTAGAGAGGGCCTCAGCTACCCTACTGGATATATATAGATGGTGGTACATAATAAAATAGGTCGAATAGCTTCAATTCTATCGTTGATTTGGGAATTGTCGCTAGTATGGGGCGCTGCAATACCGTCAGAGGCGGCGTAGTGCGCTGGCAAGGCACGGCTACAGCAAAAGTGCGATACACCTCGACACACGAGGGTCATAGTCATGGGGCGAGGTGACTCCCGCATCAGCGTCTGCTAATAGCGTAGCTAAGATCTGGAATGCGCCAACACGCGTATGCAACTCGACACACGAGGGCCATTGTCATGGGGCGAGGTGACTCCCGCATCAGCGTCTGCTAATAGCGTAGCTATGATCTGGAATGCGCCAACACGCGTATGCACCTCGACACACGAGGGTCATAGTCATGGGCGAGGTGACTCCCGCATCAGCGTCTGCTAATAGCGTAGCTAAGATCTGGAATGCGCCAACACGCGTATGCAACTCGACACACGAGGGCCATTGTCATGGGGCGAGGTGACTCCCGCATCAGCGTCAGCTAATAGCGTAGCTAAGATCTGGAATGCGGTAAAACGCATATGCAACTCGACACACGAGGGCCATTGTCATGGGGCGAGGTGACTCCCGCATCAGCGTCTGCTAATAGCGTAGCTATGATCTGGAATGCGCCAACACGCGTATGCACCTCGACACACAAGGGTCATAGTCATGGGGCGAGGTGACTCCCGCATCAGCGTCTGCTAATAGCGTAGCTAAGATCTGGAATGCGCCAACACGCGTATGCAACTCGACACACGAGGGCCATTGTCATGGGGCGAGGTGACTCCCGCATCAGCGTCAGCTAATAGCGTAGCTAAGATCTGGTATGCGGTAAAACGCATATGCAACTCGACACACGAGGGCCATTGTCATGGGGCGAGGTCATCAGCGTCAGCTAGGATGCGGTAATATGCGTATGCAACTCGACACACGAGGGCCATTGTCATGGGGCGAGGTGACTCCCGCATCAGCGTCTGCTAATAGCGTAGCTAAGATCTGGAATGCCGTGACACGCATATGCAACTCGACACACGATGGCCACGGTCATGGGGCGAGGTCATCAGCGTCAGCTAGGATGCGGTAATATGCGTATGCACCTCGACACACGAGGGCAGTAGCATAGACCTAGGCCGACCTGGCTCGCGTTGTATGACCATTAGCTTTCACAACTCTTTGTGATTATGGCTAGCATCCTCCGTCCCTTATTTATTGTTATGTTTACTTAAAGGAAGCAATTCCCTTAAGTTCATGCCTGCCTTACTTCAGAAGAGCACAGTAACCTTGTTTCCACTTACACAACTACACTTCTTTGAGTTCAACGCTTGATTATCCTAGACAATCATGTCTGCACCCACTATCACGCGAATTAATCCTACTTCTGGCCCTACTACGGGCGGAACAACTGTGAGTATCACCGGCACTAATCTTGCCACCCCCACAGCAGTTACGTTTGGTGGCACCGCTGCTACTGTTAACTCAAGCACCCCAACATCGATCTCGGTCACAAGCCCAGCACATGTTGCTGGTGCGGCCCGGGTTGTGGTAACCACTGCAAATGGTACCAGCATTCAGCCAGTGAATTTCACTTATATCACTGTTGCTGCTCCTGTCATTACTTCCCTTTCTCCAACTAGTGGGCCAGTATCAGGTGGAAACATAGTTACGATCAATGGCACAAATCTCCTCTATACCACTGGTGTCACCTTTGGAGCTACTCCTGCCAGCAGCTTTGCCATCCTTTCCAACACTCAAGTTGCTGCAGTTGCGCCAGCAGGTGCAGCAGGATCCACCACGGTCAGTGTGACCAATGGAGCTGGTACCAGTAGCACTCTACCATACACCTATAATGGGGCAGCTGTTCCCGTCGTCAGCAGTGTGAGCCCTACTAGCGGCCCTGCTGCTGGCGGAAATACTGCTATCATCAGTGGCTCTGGTTTCACATTTGCCACGGCTGTGACTTTTGGCGCAACTCCTGCCACCTCATTCACTGTGGTTTCTGACACAGCGATAAATGCGGTTGTTCCCCCAGGCCCGAGCGCCGGCGGTGTTGTCGATGTCCTTGTCACCGGACCTAGTGGTACTAGTGCCCCTGGCACTACCTACACCTATACAGCCGCTCCAACGCCTACCATCACAGCGCTTACCCCAGCATCCGGGTCAGCATCAGGTGGGAATACCGTCACTATCACCGGCTCAAACCTTAGTGGCGCCACAGGAGTTACATTTAATGGTACTCCAGCCAGTTCTTTCACTATTGCATCACCCACTCAAGTGAATGCTGTGGCTCCACCAGGTACTGCTGGGACTGCCTCGGTAGTAGTCACAGCGCCTGCTGGTGCTAGCACGGGATTCAATTATACTTACGTCGCTACACCTACACCTACAGCGGTGTTCCCTACTACAGATGTCACAGCTGGCGGCAACACTATCGCTATCACTGGCACTAATCTATTAGGTACTACTGGTGTGAAATTCGGAACCACCCCTGCGGCTAGCTTTACAGTTATTGATGACACTGAAGTGGATGCTGTCACGCCTCCACATATTGTGAGCACGGTTCCAATCAATATTACCACCTCAGGCGGCACAGATAGCTCGCTTAGCTTCAGCTTCCAGCCGTCACCGGTAATTGCTTCTATTACTCCCACTTCTGGACCAACTGCTGGGGGCACTACAGTGACCATCACTGGGGCTGGCTTGATCAATACCCTTGATGTGTTCTTTGGGACAACTGCAGCAACCGCCTTTACAGTTATCTCTGATAACACGGTAACTGCAACCTCCCCTGCTGGAGCAGTAGGGGCTACTGCTGTGACAGTTGACACCGCTTCTGCCACTAGCAACGGCGCCATATTCCAATATATTGCCGCGCCAACCCTTACCACCTTGTCGCCTACTGGTGGAGCCATTGCTGGCGGCAATAACGTGACTCTTACTGGAACGGGCTTCACGACGGCTACTGATGTATTCTTTGGAGCCAACCCAGCTCCGTTCACTATTCTTAGTGACAGCTCAATCAGTGCAGTTGCACCTTCCGGCACTGGAGCCGTTTCAGTCACTGTTGTGAACCCTGGAGGGACTAGTGGTGCTCAGACGTACTCCTACTCTTAAAGCATCCTGTTAGCGAATCAATGATCAGCTGGTGATGGACGCAATGTGGAGCTTGTGATGCTCCTGCGTCATTCTATATTGCCTACCTACACCGCCCTTGCTATTTGCTTACCTATTTGCTTGCTTACCTTACACACTCTCTTACCGCGCAACTATACCGCTCTCTATCTTCATACATCTACTACTCCTGCCACTCATTTGCATCTTCCTGTTGTTTTTCCTTCTGTCTTTGATTTTCTTGCTTTAGTCACCTAGTGTAGTGGGAGAACTGGTGACATAATGAGCCTATGTGTGGCCTCAGGCATGATTTAATGTCTGCAGTGCATAGTACATCTCCAGACACACTTGGAGAGAGACAAGTCATCTACCCAATTCATTCAGGATTCACCCAATTTCTTCTATCCATGATGCAGCATTAAGATTATCCCGCACGGCCGCAACAGGGCATCAGTACGGCCTCATCCAGCATCCTCTACACCAGACAGGCAGTGTGTGTGTGTGTGTTGTCCAGTCTGCATCGCCAGACAGCCATCGAGCCGTTCCCATTTCACTAGTTAGTTTAACGACGTTTGAGGTTATCCTACACTAGACAGGGCGTCTCACAGAGCTATTGTTTGATTGTTTAGACATCGCCACAGCCCGCCCGTGGGCACCTAGTCACCGCCCGTAGTCCGCCCGTAGTATCCCGGCGGGTAGCCCTCGCCCTCACCCGCGGGTGACCCTCGGAGGGTCACCCTCAGACCCTCATTTTGAGTAGACCTGGACAAACCCCGGGGTGAGACTGCGCCAAAACCCGCGTTTGGGCCCAGACACCGGGCCCGCGGCCCGACCCGAGCGGGCTTTGCAACCCTTCGGGCCCGAGCCCAACCCAAAGCCCACTGCGGGCCCCCAATGGGGGCCCCCAAAAGCCCAACTTTTCATAAAATCGAGGTCTTGGCAGTCACAATGCTACCGATTCACCTAAATAAAATAACGTAATTCACTAGTGAGCGGCCACCCCATCCAAATTTCCGCAATTGGTGAGGTGAAAAACACTTTCTGTTTATAATCCTCCGGGCCCAAAATACCACTAGGATCTGAAGATTCAATTTCTCCATTGTGTCTGTTCACGAGAGGTGGATGTTCTGATATTTCGCGTTTCATAGACGCATATGCGTCTGGACTTGGCGTTCGGGAATTTGTCGTTATAGGATCTTCTTCTGTATCAATGGACTGTGCCACCTGCAAACACTCATCTGATGGCGGAGAGACATCTGGCTATTTTGAATGAAGCAGAGAGGTACGCTGCATTAAAAGCTGACTCGGATCTGTTTCATCGCAGAGTGCTTCTGGTGTGAGCCAAGCATCCCAATCAATGGGGGTCGTGATCGGGATCATCGATTGCATGGGTCTCATAAGAGACTGAAGTTTCTGAGTCAAACAATACTATCCTCTGATGCTGGACAGTGGCAATATGAAAAGAAACAATGATGAAGTGCCACGCAGTGGCTTCAGGGAGGAGCATTCTAAATAACTGATGAATTGCCTCAGATCCAGCAACTAAAGTGTGAGTGAACAGGAAAACACGTTGAATTTGAGGGCAGCTGAATTACTGTAACAAACGAAGGAAATGGCTAGACAAAAGAAAAAAGGGAAGAAAAAAAGGAAAAGAAAAGGAAGAGAAAGAAAAGGAAACCGGGGCCTTAAGCGCCCCCGAAAGGCGCATCTTGAAAGGGGACAATTCTGGTTGCGACACCATTTTGGGTGTCGCAGGCAGAACGGTGATCAGTTGGCCGCAGTTTTCCCCACACGGTCACGGTTTTTGAAATCCGTCATCTTTTCCAAACAGTGAGTTTAACCAGGACTGAATGGAGTACTCACCACTTGAAAATCATCAGGTAAGTCCGAGCTACCATATAATGTATTCCAAGAACTGTGGAATACACTGGTGAATTGGAAGGTGACTGCAAAGAAACAGACTGGCTTGGGTGGTTAAACGTCGGAAACCAGGAGGGCGGTGAAGCGATACATTCTGTGGCCATTCGTTGGGCGCCACCCGCGAGTCTCTTCACCTCTACAAACTGGCCCTTTCTCATTATGAAGGCTGAAACTCCGTCTCATGCAACCTAACTCTCTGTTCGATGTGTTTTTGAACTATTTCTCTCGAGATGTCCCGTACATCATGAGACGCGGATACTAAGAAGTAAGCGTCTATTGTGTAATCAAGGCATAGGGCTTACCCATCACTAAAACCTCACCACGGGCTTCATGCGTGTTTGCCAGTCGTTTAATATTTCGCCCGGAAGCCTCTTCTGATATTATCTCATCATATTGAGGTTTCCCATTGAAAACTTTGGCATGGCGTTCTCTTGCTGCCGGCGTACAAGGAGTGCCCGGGAACGCCCACTCCGGCAGCAATGGAAGACATCAGGACAACCCGTCCACCGGGTTGAATATAGTTGTAGGTGTTCTTGGCCACGAAGAACTGAGCTCGGGTATTGAGATCGAACACCTTGTTAAAATCTTCCAAGGTCGTATCGGCCAGAGAGACAAACTTCTCCGTTCCAGAGTTCCAAACGACAATGTCTAGTTGACCAAAGTGCGCCACGACCTGTCGGAACAAGTTCTCAATTGCGTCCACTTGAGTCAGATTTGCCTGGAAAGCGGCAGCGCGGCCCTCCAGCGCCTCCATCTCCTTGAGCATCTTTTCGGCGGAGTGGGGGTCCCTGGCGTAGTTGATGGCCACAGAGGCACCTTTCTTGGCCAACTCGAGTGAAATGCCGGATCCGATGCCTCGGCTGCCACCGGTCACCAGGGCGATTTTGCCTGCAAGCTCAAGAGGAGCGGCGTGGGGGATTGGGAACAACCATTGTGGTGCGAATGTCGAAGACAGGTGGACGTAGAAGAGGTAGTATGATTGGGAGGAAATACGTTAGAAAGCAGAGAGAGGTAGTGGCTGGGCAGTGAATATATTGGGAAACCGTGTCTGCTTAGAGGCAATGCCCGATGGGGTCTCTGGCTGAAATCAGCTGTGTGCCTAGATCAGGTCCTGCCTGATCCAACATTGGTTACTTGAGGCAATTCGACCGCATTGGGGTATCATGGTATTTCCAGGGCCATGTAGATTGGAGAATCTTAGTTGTGATAAGCGACTGACGCAGCTATGATCATGGACGTGATGAACTTGCTATTGTCGGGCCGGTTTGACTGCTTCTGCCTTGTCTCTAGAGATAGTGACTTTACTCGACTACTGTAGCCGCTCGCATTCGCGAGTCTGGGCTAACTGCATACGAATTCGGGGAGCGTAAGACGCTGAAGCGCTTCGTTGCCGCCTGCGATAACTTTATCTACACCGAAAACCTGATGTACCACGAGGAGTTTGTAGCACAAGCCGATAGAGTTGTCATATCCCAAACACATGCTCTATCCCAGCAGGTTCAGGGAGATGACCACTTGGCAAGGCAGCTGCGAACGACGGTGGAGACCTCCTCCGACGAGGGGGCAAGTGTGTCATCCAATGAATGACTAAGGCTGAACCCCGCTACATTATGCAATCGAGCTTAGTTATATGGTGGCTACCACCGCCGCCCACGACCTGCTTGGGGGCGTTGGTGGGAGTCTTTTAATTTGCGACCGTAGCGCTCGGACTTCCTCATGAAGCTTCTCGTTCTGTTCTTGTAGGACATTCTGGTCGTGCTTGACCTCTAGTATTTCAGCTTTGGTGACTTCAATAAATGCAGTTTGGTGGTGGATGATGTCCTCCAGGTTGTCGAGGAGTTTCCACGCTTCCCTAGTGGTGACCCGGCCTGTCCCTTCGGAGGGCGTATAGATTTCGCCATTCCACGTTCTTTTTCCTATAATCGGAGCCGGGGCGATCGTTAATCGGGGCTAGAAGTCTTCCACTGAAAAGCTGGCGCTGGTTTCTTGGGTGTTTATGGGAGGGGTCTCGGGAGGCCCCGCTGGTGGGTCCGCCATCGGTTCCGGGGTTAGCTGCCGCTCGGTACACAATCACAATGTCGCGACAGCGGATTACGGTCCAGGTTTCTGGCCATATCTATTGCTTTACGGTCCAGGTTGGATGAGTCAGCCAGGGCGGTGGGAACATGGGGGTTTTGTATCCACATAGTCCCGGTTCGAACTTAGTATCATTACCAATCTTACAAGTTGTTTTACACTTCCTTACGGTCCAGGTTTCCGTACCTTACGAGTCGTACTTCTTGTGTTGTTTCATACCAGTCTGTGAGATTGCGTTTTAACAATAATTGTATAGCGGGGTAATCTTGCTGTCGCACTCGCACTCAATCCGATCTGTCGCCTTCCAGCGACTCCGTCCTGTTCCCCAAAGGTACGGCAATATTCGAAATCAGTTATACCCTCCACACTCACGAATTAATTTCCGAACCCTAATCTTTTTTGAGGTTTCAGCAGTCTTCGATAACGCTGAGGCTTCCTTGATAGATATCATGTGAGACACTAACTCTGTATGGTAATGTCGATCATCGGGAAGCGTGAAAAGCACGCTTCCACTCAGGGGTTATCTTAGTCATCTTCAATAATACTCAATTGCTGGCATATGCTATCGCTCCTCCTATATCCTAACCCTCATCTCAACAATCTTCAGTAATGACCGTACAACCATTGATGGGTCCTTTCTATAATACAGTAATTTCCCATGGAATCGCATAGAATCTTTCATGCCACAAAGTCCCAAGTCCAAGCAAGGCGTAGTTCAGATGATCTGGCAATATCGTCTTATACCTTCTTTCCTCCAGTATCCAGCAGAATAATCTGGTACCTATGTATTAAGCCGTCTCTTATCGATTCAACTGCAGTCACTGTATGTTATTGCTGATGGAAAATTCTCGGAAAGGAACAGACATGGCTTAAGTGGAGCGTGTGGTCCACATTATCTGGGCGGCGCACATGCTCTTCTACATCACCAGTAGTCGAAGTCACGCGAAGATATGTATCACAACACAGCGCCGATATAGAGCAATTCGACTATTGTGAAACGGATTATGAAACCGAAAAGACAGTGATTATGACAGGTCCCAACAATTCTATGCGCCGAAAGTTCTTGTAAAGTATTGCCCAGCTACTGTCACCATCTAAGGGATGGGCAGGTTGCATGGAAGCCACTGCGATCGAGGGAAACATCGTTTACCTGCACATCAGTTGGCTGGCGAAACTTTGACGAAGATGACCGATTCAATACGACAACTGGACGATGTTGATATCGGCGAGGTCAGAGTTTTAATAGTTCAGCAAGCCTATAGATGCATCATCTCAGCTCAAGTGCAAACATGGCTCCAAGACGCCTTTGGGGCCACGGCTAGTTCGAAGCTTTGGACATTTTGAGATTCGTTGGCAGGCAATTGATAGATTGCAGACATTTGCGGTCGATAACTACCCGGGAGCCGCACTTCCAGCACGTTCTGATCTAATTGGTTTCTCCCAAACCAAAAATAGGGGCTCATCCGGAATACCATGTTTTCATGTGTTGCTCGTTTTGGAATGCCCCGCATCCTTCCCAACGTATCGAAAGTGGACGAATTTGTTAGATACCCTGTGTTCGCTCTGATTGTCTTCTACGCATGATGACTCGCGCTTTTGCTTGTCTGTTCCCCACGGGTTACTAGGGCAATCATGGCTGGCCCGGAGGAATGTATTTGAGTGTACGGTTCTATACCAGCATGGAGGAACACCTTGGCGAGACAAGAGGCAAGGAGAGTTCGCTGAGATTATCGGGGCTTGCTGGCGTAGAGTTAAGTATTCACGTGAAGCAATAACCTCAAATATGGATCGTTAAAGTTTGTCCCGCTAGCTCCGCGGACCAACAGTTTACGTTAAAGTAGAAATTATGAACAAGGGAGGCCGTCAAGTTAAATTTCGGTCGGAAATAAAGGCATAGAGAAGTTCAGAAGTAAAGTCATTGGACGGGGAAACCGGCTGCCAGCATAATGTCTCGGCCTTGCATGTGAAACGGAGCAAGGGAGACAAGAATGGACCATCCACGGGCCCATAGGTGGTAGACCTAATAAGATAGGAAACATGCCCAAAAATGGCTATTGCTTTTATGCAGAATGCTAATTTCCTCTTTGAACAGCAAGTATTTTGCTGCATTAAGTCTATTTCCTGTTTAAGTTTAGTTTCCCTTCATCTGGTATGTTCGTGAAAATCTATAGGCATATCATCCATCCCTCGTTTCCTAGTACGTATATATTTGTCATCTATGAATCATTTTGCAATCACTATATAATCCCCCCTGAATCAGTCCTCCTTGCACCAATCCAATTACCCACTTCATTGACCTGGTCTAACCCTGTATTCCTTCGTCAACTATCATAATGCGGTTGTCTATTGTTGCTACTTTCTGTGGTCTCATTGCTCCCACTATTGCTGCACCTCCAAAGGATGTCAACAGCTCGCCTCCCCTCCATCACGACACTGGAACTTATCCTGGATATTCGGCCGGCTCTGCTTCTCCTGAGCTCAGTTTCTACATGTGCTGCACCGCAAGCCCTGACTCCGCTGGCATAGACAACTATTATCCCCCGTATGGCTGCATATACGGACCCGCAACAGGGGCATGCCCTCAGGGAGCCAGCTCCTCATTCCCACATGCGTGGCTTTGCACATATCAGTTTGGTGAAACCGGTAGCCTGGTAGGTGTTGTTCTGTAAATGCGGTCGATGATAATGGTCAGGTGTACTAATAACTATATATAGGACTGCACTTATGAATCTGGCCCATCTTCCACTTCTATTGTTGCTGGAGTTCTTAGGCCCGTATCAAATGCTGTTGGTAGTGTTGCAGGAAATATTGGTCTATAAGCTTATGTTCAGGATAAGTCTCTGGTCTGATGGTGTGGAGTTTTGCTTAGACCTTTGATAGGCTTATACTATGGTTAGTATCTGCAAAGAATAAATCCAAAAGCTTTATTATTGATAATTGCTAGTTTTCAGAGCCTTCCCCACATCCATAAGCTACATTTCTTTCATGAGAAGCAAGGTGTCTCTCTTCTTTTTCTTCTAGTCAAAATTTTTTTTCATTCATGTTATTCAGATACAGTTTTAGCTAGCATAGACCTTAATCCCTCGTAAGTTTAGAGACCATTCTGTTTTATTTCCTAGCTTTTTAGGCCTACCGTACTTGACAAGCGAGAGAGGCACCAAATCGCGGTTACGCAGCCTCCAACGATCATTCGCGTTTTTCTCCACCAACAATCATGGAATCTTCAAAAATAAAATAAAAATTAAAAAGGTCCAAATGATCAAATCAAGACAGAGCGAAATCAAACTAAAAGTCAGAGGTATTAGGGACAGCGACACAATCTCCATGCCAGTCGCCTACAGCAGACCCTTATGCAGCCACTGAAGATCCGCACATGTTTTCTTTTAATTAATACAGATGGTAGACGGCAATAAATCCCATTTGCTTAGGTAGGGAATGCAGAAAGTGACGTTGGGCCGTGGGTAAGGGGTCAGATTGGCAGGTTTCCCTGAGCTACTTGGTGGGTAAAATCCGTCTTATGGCGAGTATTTCTACTTTATTGGACGAGTGATTTAGGCGGCCATACACGACCTCAAACTCATCCCCTTAACGCCAAGACGCTAGCTGCACAGATCAGGGGTTGCGTATGTGTTGCAGCTTCATATTTGTCTAGGCTAAGTCTAGACCATACTTATCGGTTAGATCAGATCAGTGCTTGAATGCAAAAGATATGTGGCATCATCGGCCGAATCAATGGACAACAATTTCTCGTCCTAGGAAAGTTGGAAAGGAAAAAGAAAAAAGAAACGAACCGTCGAGTTGGCCCGCTATACCTGGGGGTCGTCAACCAGCCTACGCTGATAGGACATAAAGTTTTTGGATCCCTAGCCCCACATAACTTAGATTATCTAATATTCTGCCTGTCAAAAACCTCCAAGATGTGACGCGTGACGCATGACCATCCTGAGGACTGAGGGGGAACGTGATCTGGAAGGAGCCGCTGGGCTAACCTGATTGGCGATAGAAGGGGGTTTTGTTTTGTAGCAGCTCGTTTTCCTCTTTCTCTCTTCTTCCTCTCTCCAGTTTAGTTGCTTTGTTAATGACACACGATTTCTTCTCGTCTTGGTCCGTAACATACAACTAAACTCTCCTTTTCTCTTTCTCGTCGCCGTGGAGCAGTCCAGACATCAGACACCTTGCTGTCGCTGTCTCGCCCCACCGGTGACACCATTTGACGAATCAGAATCAGAACCGAACCGAACGAACGAACCCCGAACCGAACCTCAACCCTCACCGAACGCCAAGGCGGAACCACGTTATGGTGAAAGACATCGACCCCCGTGCGAAGTCTGAAGTCGCGCGACCGACGCGAGCGGCGCACTGCACCGACCGAGAACCTCCTCGCAGAAGAGGTGATGATAATGATGACGACCAGGAGCACGCCGAAGAGCAGGAGTTGCCTGAGTTGCCGACTCCATCCCGGAACCCATTGAGACGCCGCGACACGATCAGCTTCGAGGTCGATGACCCAGAGGCTGAGGACCTCGTCCGCCGGGAGTACTACTCCAAAAATCAGTTCCGGAAGAAGGTCCAAGAGGATGTTGATAGCCTATGGGAACAGCTGGTCCAGCGTGAGGCCCGTTGGACTCAACGTGACCTGCAGACTTCCGGAGATGCACGTCTGGTTCAGCTTCTGCGGACTGATATCGGGCAGCTCAAAGCCACTATCGTTGACCTAACCCAGGAGCGAGATGAGGCTACTGCCCACCGGAATCTTGCAGTTAATGAACGGAACGACCTTGCTTTCCAGATCCTTCGATCCTTGGCACCGACCCCTCAGAATACTTCTAACCGTCAAGATCCCTAAGTCCCTGAAACCCACGGCCGTCTGTCGGCTAAGATGCCCGATGCCCCAATGTTGGATGACTGTAAGACGGTTCGTTTTAACGCTTGGGCTACGATGATCAAACGTAAATTGGCTGCGAACGCCGACCACTATCCCACTGCTGAACATCGTATGATCTACGTTGCGAGCCGTTGTGAAGGAAAGGCGCTCCTTTATATCCACCCTCGTCTGGAAGAAGATGCCTCGAACCCTTACCGAGACGCCCTAGATATTATGGAGCACCTAAAGGGCGTCTTCCAGAACCCGAACCGTGCTGCTGAGGCTTACCAGGAATACCAGCGTCTGACAATGAAGCCAAAGGATAACTTTAATGACTTCCTTGCCGAATTTGTTCGTCTCGCCGAAGAAGCGAACCAGCCAGAGGACCGCCGTAAGCGAGACCTCTACGATAAGCTTCCGAACTTACTGCAGACCCAGATGATGCTGCTCGTGGATAAGACTACCGTTGATTTCAATGAATTTGTCCGCACCTGCCAGAGCGCAGCCCACAATATCACCCTCTAGTTTAAGGCTAAGGAATCCCGCAAGCTGACTACCCCCTTGAGCACCGGAGCCACCACTGGAACCCCGACTGGTATGGCCCGCTCCCGCGCCTCGCAGTCCCCGTTCGTGAAGCGCGAAGGCGCTGGTGTCACCCCGTACAAGCCACTGTCGGTCGAGGAACGCAACGCTTTGATGAAAGAAGGTCGCTGCTTCAACTGCCGCGAGCAAGGTCATATGACTCGCGAGTGCCCGAAGAAGAATACCGTCTCCACGATCGCTACCGCTGAACTTCAGGCACTGGAGCAGCAGCCTACTAACCCTGGTAATGATCAGTCGGGAAAAGCCTGAACCTGGAAGAAGTCTCCTTTCCAGGTGGTAAGAAGTTGTCGCTTTGTTCTCTGGACTTGACTAGATTGTTTGGATTGGGCGAAAGTCTTAGTTTTACCGCTCAGATAGCCCATAATGGACATTCTCTTTCAATTTCAGCACTTGGTGACACCGGAGCAGGTGGATACATCTATATCGATTCATCCCTCGCAGTGCAGGCCGCGAAGGCCTTTGGTCTACACACTCTACCCTTACCGCACCCCATCCCGACCGAGGGCTACGACGGGCACCCAGGAAGGCCAATCACTTATGCCCTCGAACAAACCCTGATTATCGACGGCCGGAGACTCTTCCGCCTACCGATGTTAATCACTGACCTCGGACGACATGACCTAATTCTTGGACGGATGTGGTTCAAGGAATTCGGCGTCCTCCCGGACTGCAGGAAGGGACGACTTATCTGTCCTAAGGAGCCTAGCCTCGAGGATAACGTAACAACTAAGATGCCTGCGATCCTTCCTCGGTCTATTCTGAAGAGACTAGAGCCAGATCCTAGGCACCAAGAGGACGCTGACCGACGTAACCTATTGTTCTAAGACTCTCACCAACCGCGCAAGCTTCCAAGTGTTACCCAAAAGCTTCTTCCGTTCGGTAGTGACCAGGTTATTGGGCCTCAGCCTCAGTCTCCACAGAAACCAAGGAAGGAACGCTACATTGGACCCTCGGACGCAATTGCGCTAATCGGAGGCACGGGATTTCACCGGCATATAGGGAAGGAAGGTAGTGAGGTCTTCCTTACTTCCCTCTATGAGATCGACCGTATCGTGGAAGAGAAGCGTGATACTCAAAGGTAGGCTGAAGACCAGGAAACGCGGAGCGCAATCCCAAAGGAGTACTACGAGTACGCTAACGTCTTCTCGAAGCGGGATTCGAACACCTTACCGCCGCACCGAGGTGCTACCGATCACCGGATCCTTCTTGACGAAGGGATGACGCCAGGATACTGCCCTCTTTACAAGCAGTCAGAGGAGGAACTCCAGGCGACAAAGGCCTATATCACCCAGAACCTTTCCCAGGGCTTTATCGTGCCTAGCAAGGCCCCCTATGCATCTCCTATCCTAATGGTTCGGAAGGCAGATGGCGGTCTACGACTCTGTGTAGATTATCGGAAGCTAAACGCGCTTACGAAGAAGGACCGTTACCCTCTTCCACTAATTGATGAGATTCTTCAGCGGCTTGGTAAGGCCAAAATCTTCACGAGGCTTGATATCCATCAAGGGTTCCATCGAATCCGGATGTACCCTGACTCAGAGGATCTCACTACCTTTCGAACGCGATATGGATCCTTCAAGTACAAGGTAATGCCATTTGGCGTCACCAATGGGCCTGCCACGTTCCAGAGGTTCATCAATGAGACGCTAGGCGACTATCTGAACGATTTCGCTATTGCTTTTATCGATGACATCCTGATTTACAGCGGGACGATTGAGGAACATATCTAGCACGTGAAGAAGGTGCTACAACGACTCCGTGGGGCCGGCCTACAGGCGAGCCTAGGTAAGTGCGAGTTCCATCAGCAGAGCACCCGTTTCCTAAGGGTTTATTGTTGGTACCGAAGGGGTCCGTGTGGATCCTGCGAAGACTGCAGTTATTCGAGACTGGCAGCGACCCACGACAGTCCGAGGTGTGCGGTCATTCCTTGGTTTCTGTGGGTTTTACAGGAGGTTCGTTGGGAACTATAGCCGAATCGCGAAACCGTTAAACCGCCTAACGGAAGATAATACACCCTTCGATTGGAGTGAGGCCTGCGAAAGTGCCTTCCGGGAGCTTAAGGAGAAGCTCACCTCGGCCCCGATTCTACAACCCGACCGCTCCGACTAAGCTTGAGACTGACGCATCCGACGGGTGCGTTGGTGGAGTGATGTCCCAATTTGCAACTCGATGGACATTGGCACCCAGTGAGCTTCTATTCGAAGAAGCTCGATCAAGCCCAGCAGCGGTATGATACGCATGATCATGAAATGCTCGCAATCGTCCTCGCACTTGAGGAGTGGAGGGCGGAGCTTGAAGGCCTCCAGCGAGAGGATCGGTTTAGTATCTTCTCCGATCATCAAGCCCTACAGTATTTTATGACTACTAAGAAACTGAATTCGCGTTAGGCTCGCTGGGCTGAGTTCCTATCCCGATTCCACTTCTTAATCCGTTACTTTGCAGGGAAGCGGAATATTATCGCAGATACCCTCTCCCGAAAAGATCCCAGTTTGGGAAACGGACGAGAACAGATTCTTCTCCCTCGGTCGTGTCTCGAGCACGGCGTACACCCCAAGGACCGCGACGACCCTACCCCTACCCCAATCAGCACCTCCGAACATATTTCAACGGCTGCCGGTGGCTCCAATGTCGTCACCCGAGTGACCCTTGCGAACCAACGACACGAGAGTCTCGAGGAATACCGAGAATTGGCAAGAACTGATCCGGATGGACCTTGGAAACTGCAAGATGGGCTACTATTAAATATAGGTCGCCTAGTGGTGCCAGATGATGGGAACTTACGGGCCCGGTTACTTAATGAGATCCATCGGCAGCCCTTGACGGCGCATCCCGGACAGGATAAGACGAAGGCTCTCATATCCACACGGTATTTCTGGCCTGGATGGTCTACTGACGTTAAACGTTATGTGGACAACTGTCTAGTCTGTAAGCGTGCAAAGACGTGGAGAGACCGGCCCCCAGGTCTATTACAACCTCTTCCCCGCCAGACCGTCCATGGCAGCATATCACGAGGGATTTCCGATCGTTCCCTGAAGACAAGCGGGGTTTCGACGCAGTGTTCGTGGTAGTTGACCGGTTGAGCAAGCGGCCAGTCTCCCTTCCATGTCATAAGACGATTGGAGCTCCAGAGATGGCCCAGTTATTTATCTCTGGTGTTATGCGGTACTTTGGCCTACCAGACTCGATCGTGTCAGACCGGGGAGGCCAATCTGTCTCAGAATTCTGGACGGAGGTCTGCCGAGTCCTAAGGATCAAGCGTAAGCTGTCGACAGCATACCACCCCCAGGCCAGAGCGAGATTGCGAACCAGCATATGGCACAGCGACTTCGTGTGTTGGTGAATCAACGCCAGGACGACTGGTCTGACTGGCTTCCGGTAACGGATTTCGCCGCTGCGGCTCTGCAGCAGGATTCTACCAAGAGGTCTCCCTTCTTTATCGAGCGAGGATATGAGCCCCGGATGTCCTTTGACTGGGACGCACCCGCGGAACCGTCTACGTCGCCTCAGTCAACGCAGGATGCTCAGGACTACGTTCGGCGACTTCAAGAGGTCTGGAAAGACACCCAAAAGGAGATTAAACAAGCCCAGGAGCGTCAGCGCGCCCAGGCTAACAAACACCGCCGGGAAGTGGATTTTGACGTTGGTGATCTTGTCTTTATCCCCACCAGGAATTGGAAACTTGACCGGCCAAGTAGAAAACTCTCTGATCAGTCCAGTGGCTCCTACAAAATCCTCTCGAAGGAAGGTTACAGCTATCGGCTCGACTTACCGTCTTCCATTAAGGTCAACCCAGTCTTTTCTCCAGACAAGCTCCGCCGTGCGGCGAGTTCCGATCCGCTCACAGGTCAGATCGCAGACCCAGCTTTACCAATAGAAGTCAACGACCAACAGGAATGGGAAGTCGATGAAATCGTGGACGTCCGACTACGCTATCGGAAGCTTCAATACAAGGCTAGGTGGATCGGAATTGAGGACGACGACTGGTATCCCGCAGGGGATTTTAAAAATGCTCCGGATAAGTTGATGGCTTTCCATAACCGTTACCCAGCCCTGCCCGGACCGCCTGTACGGTTATCAGTGTGGTTGGACGCTGCTTTAAATGATTACTTTGTGGATGATCATCCAGATGATGGAAGACCAGAGCCTCGGGGCGAGCCTCTTTAAACAGGGGGACTATGTGACGCATGAATGTCTTGTGGCCTGAAAGAGGCCTGAGGGGGAACGTGATCTGGAAGGAGCCGGGGGTCTAACCCGATTCGGGATAGAAGTGGGTTTGTTTCGTAGATGCTCGTTTCCCTCTTTCGCTCTTCTTCTTCTTCTTCTCCAGTTTAGTTGCTTCTGTTAATGATACACGAATTCTTCTTCGTCTTGGTCGGTAACACATTTGAAGAGTTCCGATAGAACTTCCTCAAGCATTAGATAATAAAAAAAGGCCGAAAACTTCTGTATAATACTACGGACATTTCAGAGCTCATAATACAAGGGTGATGCTACCTATTGTATTTGAGTGTAAGTCTATCATCTATCACCCCGGCTGAATTTTGTGCCTGATGTACACTCTGATCGGATAATAACAAAATACCACCAGTTAACGGACCTCAACCACCCCTTTGCTTAGCCCTTGACCTGGTGCATCTTCGAGAAGCACCCATGTCCGTCCATGTCTGCCGCAGCAAAGCTGTGTCAACATCCGGGAAATTGACTCCAATCTGCCTCAGGGTCAAATTTTGATTCTTCAGTTCACGTAGCATTCGTTTGTCTTTTGCACTGAGTTTCTTTCGTAACATCTCTTTGGTCAGGTTACTTGGACGATGCGAAGCAGGCCCTTCTTTTAGGGGGGCTCTGGTGTGACGACCGCGAAGGCCGATGACCAAACCCTCGGCATGGGGTATGTTTTCGTCGCTAATTTTCTGGTGACTTGTTGGAAATTCCCCACATTCACGCTCTGAAACGGAATATCGACTGTTGTCTGACATTGAGCTGGAGCAAACTTCTTGCAAGACATTCATGTTGTTCATTTCTTCACCAGTGGCAATGCTTGACGAAGTGTGCCCTGACTGTTCCGTGTCGTTGAAAGATACTGGTTTGACTTCAGCCTCACTTGAAGAGCGCTTGAACGAAGCCAGCTGCTTGGCCACATGACCGTCGGATTGCGAGATTTCTTCTAAGCGTAAATCAGACGCCGCGAAAGTCCTCCGAGGTGGGATTTTTTCTATGTCTTGCTCATCCAAAGAATACTCAAGTGAGTATCCTTCCATGAACATCTGACATCTTGGCTGAGCTGCTTGTCTTATGCTGTAAGAAAGGGGCTCGAGAATTCTTGGATCAATAACCTCCGCTGAATCTGGGGCTATTGGCTGCGAGCTGGATGGTGAACACTTTTCCGAGAAGCAAGACACTACTGAGCCGCTTCTGCTGCCATCCTTTGGCTTGTCACCGACGTCTGAATAGTATAGCAGCTCTGGACGCTCCTCGATAAATGTACCTAGCGTCGGGGTGGGCAGAAAAGGGGTTTCCGATAGTTTATATTCGTGTTCGTGACGCGGAGGTGGATAACGATAGAAGCGAAGTTTTTTCGGAGGCTGCTCTTCTAGCTCTGTAGAAAGAACTTGGGCTTCTGACATGGAGGGACGCTTTCTTTTCCTCGGAAGCTTTGGGTTGAACCAGATGGCTTTGTTAAGCTTGTGAGTATCATGCAGATGATGTCGAAGGCCGCGTTCATCGACGAAAGTTTGGCCACATCCACAAATTGGCTTCGCACCAGGCATATGCTTCTCTTCGATGTGTTGCTTCAGATTGCCGCTTATGAGCCATTGGCGTAATCGGTCTTCTGCATCGAGGCTTTTGTCCCACAAACAAAAAGGACAATAACCAGGTCGGATCACCGTATTGCGGTACACAATGACTTCACAGTGCTGTGCTTTCCATGACTGAATATGGGAAGAGCAGTGGTCTCGCCATTGACTCGCCTGGAACATTTCATGCACTCGTAACAAAACCTCATCTGAGATTCTGAGACTTGAAGATCCGAAGCAATCTCACGTCGAACACAGTTGTGGATATGAGCGCTTCTCTCAGTTTTACGCAGGCTGTATTAGTCAGCATGCATATCATCGCTATGTTATGGGGCAACAAACCATTGAATTTCTTCAAGGCAATCTCTTGCTGGACAGCGACCATGAACGGGGCTTTCCTGTGGGAGATAAGCCACGTCAAAATCGCGTTCACAGTGAGCTTTGAGATCGTCCACGAAAATCAGCATTTCGTCGAACGAAAGCTCTCTGTCAGATGACATCAATGTCGAGATTCGGGCAATTTCGGGCATAAGCAAGGATTGAGCCCGCGTGGAGACGTCGTTGTCACTGATAATTGGCTCCTCTGTCCCCCTGTTCAAAATTCTTTGATCTCGTCTCTCTTGTACCCAGCGGTTCTGGTAATCTTTTAGACCTGCGATGCGATGTCGGAGCAAAGACTTTCTGTATTTCAGCCCCTCAGTAGCTAAAGAGTCTTTATCGCTGTTCGAGGCTTGAAGTTGTTCTATTCGGCAGCTGATAGCGATTAGTTCTGGTGTTTGCAAAATATTTGCCCCAATCTTCGCTGGAAGTTCCCCTGGGTATCCATGTTCATAGAACCTCTCGAAGCCTTGGAAGTACTCGATGTGATTCGATTGTTCTTCCTCCCCGAGAACGGCCGAAACTGTATCGATTGAAGAGCAATGTAACAAATACTCTTTAGGATATGTCCCTGCATCTTTATGCCCATATATTTGAGAGACCAAGGCAGAGCCATGCTTCCCTGTGCCAGTAGTCAATAAATCTTTTCATCATAGACCTATAAACTCCGACCGCCCAACCTTCAATAACACTTCCAAGATACTTCCAAATCCTATGGACAGTCACACTCTTGCTGTATCCAGCAGTCGTCACAACTTCACGCAGTAACTCACAAAACCGCTCTTTATTGAGTGGAACGTCTTGTGGGCCATCGGCTGTGACATTCCTCAGAACAGGCTTATCCAGATACTCATCTTTCCAGCGTAATTCAATAGGCTTTCCACTAGAAAGATCATACTTGGTCAAGTCTTCCACCGTTTTGATACCAAAAAGAGCACCATGTTGGAGGGCAAGAGCTAGGAGAAAATAGCCAGACGCGAATTGTGGTCTCTTTGTGTCACGAATGCCAATCCCAAATCTTATTTCTAGGTCAGCGAGGGTGCTTTCCATTTAAGCCAACGGATCAGGGTTGCTTTTCAAGTAACTGACACTGCGTAATCTGGGTTTCGATTCCCTTTGAGCCACTTTTGGTTCACTTTCCACTCCACCTTCCAAGGTGCCGTAGTGGATGGAAACAGGACCAGAACTATGTCCTTCGAAGGGAGTTAGCCACGCGCAATCTCAGTACTGAAGTCTTGTCACCTTATATCTAAGCCCTCTTTCGTGTCTATCCTCGTGGGCCGGGATAAAAGCTCCAATTCTTGCTCCAGTGAACAGAAATAATTGGAGGGCTAGCATGATGACAGCCTTGAGCAATCCGGGCATGAAACGGCGATGGTCCGCTTGCCACATAGAAGATATCATTCGGAGGAAGTCTTTCTTGGTAAAGCTGTGATCTGGATCCTCGACATTTTCAATGGTCCCTTCGTTTGCTGTCAATGTCCTCCTTATCCACTGTGTTTCTGTCAGTCTGGCCAGCATGGCGGTACTTAGTGAGGACTTACGTTGAAGATCTCGCTCCGGTCTTCCGACACAATTTTGATTCCCAAATTTTCTTCGAATCCGCCAAATAGCCTTTCCGCACAGTTGAGAACCGATGTCATCACTGGCCGTCCATTTTTACTTTTTGTACCTCGCGCAAGGTGACTGTACCAGCGAAGAAATTCTTTGATGAGTGTGTGATCTGGAGTCGCACAGCCGGGCCCAATGTGGTAACCCTTGATTCCATTGTGTTCAACAAATCTAACCGCAAGTCAGAAATCTTTGAAACGAGTATTCCCCATATACAGTGGATAGCAACTCACTTCATCCAATGCTGGACAGCTCTGAGATACATCTTCTTTGTCTTGGGTATCCTTTTATCTTTTTCTCGGATGGCGTCTTCAGCTGCATGAGCGCCGAAGATATAGCCGCTCTTTGCCAGTTGCGTTAGGGACCTCTCATTGGCAATTCCATCTTGTTGAGCAAAAAAGAGTCTCCGACCCATGAGTAATAAGAATCCCAAAAAGAAGAGACTGGAATGGAAAAGAAAAGGAAGCTGGGTGAGAATTTGGGAGGGAGGATATAGCTTCTATTTGTACTTCAAAAACTGGCACAGATCTTTGCCAAAGACCGAGGGAGGGATTTTGTTCTGCGCCGCTTTTTGCGAGATAGAACCTGAGCCCTCCATTTTCGCGTCATCGTGCTTTAGTGCGTAACTATTCGGAAGACGAACAGAAGTGGAGGATGGGGCCTCAAAAAGGGGGCATGGTGAGAAATGAGGGCCATCAAGATGTAATTCACAAAACAACGGCGGAGTGGGCCCCCATCGCTCCTTTGGGTATGGTCTGAGCGAAGACTGGGTGCTCAGTAGAGGCCTCTGATCGATCTCTGAGTAATCAGTGAGCATGCTCTGAGCGCTATCTGAGCGCTCAGAGGGTGCTCAGATGGCCTTACTAATGAATCACGTGACTGACTCTGCGCAGCTCAGTGAGTCTGAGCCTGGACTGAGATTTACTCAGTGAGCCTGACTCTGAGCGCCCTCATTAAAGCGGCGGCATCTGGAATAGGAAAGACCCACCCGGCAGAGGAAATATGGTACGTATAGTCACCTATGTGATCTATCCTAGTATGTAGAATTTCTCACAGAGCAAAGACTCTTTGTTTTCCGTCAGGCGTTTCCCGAGGGGCCGGTGGGTCTGAGACTGAAATAGGCCATCGGACTGCCGACTGCGGGTTCAGAGATTCCGAGTCCTGTGCCCCATGAGATGTAGGCAAGATCCGCCTGGAGATCTTATCGGGAAAAACAGTTTCTTGGCTGGCAAATATGCGAACCATTCGACGCCTGTGCTGTCTGACCTCCTGGGTAGGTACATCTATGGATTGCGAGTCGCCGAGGCCCGTGAGCAGTACGGCCTCCATACTATTTTGGTCAGGACTGAAGCCTTGGATATTTCTAGTGACACTTCTTTGAGCTACAGCTCGCTGGCTATCCGGAAAAGCCCGAGTCCGACGAACCGAATCGAGGACGAGGTGGGACCACAACCGCTATATATACAAAGCCGTGACTCGTGGTAGAGGGCGATTCATGGCAGTCAACCATCACCGCAAGGATAGACAAACTCATTTCATTTGAATTGGGGGCCTATTCACAATGCCAGCATCACAGATCAAGGGCTCTCATATCTGGTTTAGATGCCAAGATCGAAGTAAACAATGGGAAGGCGGACTTCCGCATCTGGAGGAACGGGATCCCCACGTCAGTGGCTGGGGCCATGAGAGTGATCGAGTCCTTCGGATCACCAGCGCGTCGCGAGGAAGGGCACATTGAGTTTGAAGCTGTAGATCTAACAGATACGAACGAGAATATGCCCCAAGATAAATAAAGCAACGTGGGTTGAGCTAGGGAGATACGCAGCGTGGCTCCACCAAATGCATGACGTGATGTCACCGAGCTTCCCTGGTTCCTTGCACGCTCACATGGGTATAAAACCTCAACCCCCGCCAGTACTCTCCTGAACCTCATACATCCCCTGGTACGTGCGCACTGCCGACTTTTCCCCCTTCCCATCGCTGATTGGCATTCTCTCAGTCTTACCGTACCCTACGCTCTCACGAACTCGTTAACATGTCTTACGCCGACGCCGCTGCCAAGGGCCCCAAGCAGTCGCCCGAAGAAGTAAGTGCGCCAGTCGTTGGAGGAAAGTAAAACATCTCGAAATCACAAGCTAACGTACCCGGTAGGCGTAAGTGATAGAACATCCGCCCTTGATCGGCTTGTCCTTCCGGTCGCATCACATGCTAATCCCTAGTGCAGTCGCGCACCCGAATTGGGCGGCATCTACAAGGACGAATCGGAGAGCACGGCCTCGCTGATCGATGTCGACTCCCCACACGTCACTGCGGTCGATTCCGACTTCCTGAACCAGGAGGTGAAGACCACCACGCAGGCCGACCGCCTCGAGCGGGAGGCTGCCGAGCAGGAGAAGAAGCGCGCCGAGGAAGAGTCCAACAAGAAGGTGAAGGCTCGCAAGGCGAAGAGCAGCGGTCTCGGGCCCAACTCGGACAACCCCGTCTATATCGGAAATGCTTTGCTGTACACCCTGGTCGGTGCTGGTCTGGGCTTCGGTGCCTACCACAAGCACGCGCAAGGCAAGCTCTCCTGGGAGACCGTCGGACTGTGGTCTGGTGCCGTGGGCGCGCTCGGTGTGGTCGACTACTTTGTCAGCAAGTAAGTGCCCTTAGCGTCTGAGAACGAGCAACATTGAGATGGCAAGCTAATGTTATCTATAGGTGGTTCCTGCAGAACAAATACCCTCCCAAATAGGCGGATCATCAGTTGTGTCTGATTGCTGGATTTCCTTTTGTTTTTCAATATACCATCCCTGCTCTTCCGAGACTTGATTCTGATTCTGATTTCTAACTCTGATTCTGCATCTGTGCTTTGGCGCGAAGGGGAGTCGAGGATTGGCTGTATCAATAGCCTCAACGATACCATTTCCATTTTTTTCACACGTGATCGTAGGCTTGTCCGTATCGTAGGGGTAGCCCTATCTAGACCCAGATCAATTTCCAAGCGACAGGATCTCCGAATCAAGAACAAATGTCAGTTTTGGAAGGCCGATAAACACTAGGACAAGAAAGAGTAAAAGTAGAACCGTTAGATATGTGCCTGAAGGCGGTGAAGGGTCCAAACACCTGGCCTTCGCAGTGGGAAGTTGGTGAGAGTAGAGCTGCTTTTCCCCGACTTCGTTCATTGATTTGACTTGTGCTTGTCCTCTGTGAATCACTATCGCATATACGTGGCAGCAGCCACTCCTGAAAAAGAAATGGTGGGAGTTCCCCCACTCTTGCATCCTGGGCATGGTTCCTAACATCTTGCTAGAACTCTCTCTTCAACTCGGCCCTGAAGCAGTCGTCTGCCATTCGCCGTGATCTCGACACTTTCTCCCAGTCACCTCAGACTTCCTCTGCCGCTTTACAAGGTGCGTTGCCTTCTCTACTCTATGCGCCATGCAACAGTCGTTGATCCTCTCCTTATCTACAGGCCAGATCGCCGCATCTTTGGCGTCCTTGTCTCGCACCGTCGATGATTACTCGGCTCTTTCCAAAAAGGAGCTGATACCCGAAAAACAGCAAAAGGCCTTTGACAGAGTGAAGAACTTCCGTGACGAACTGGGCGACTACCGTACCCAATTCGACCGGCTGCGGAAAGAACGCGAGGATGCAGTACGTAAACACCCCGGACGTCTCGGACTTTCATGCTGACTTATTCCAGCAATCGGTCACCAATCGCACCGAGCTTCTAGGGCGCCGTCCCCATCATGCCGCTACACCCGAGAATCCTTACGCTCAATCCTCCCTTCCACAGCCCACGTCCGCCTTTGCGCCTTCTTCCGGCCTCAGTTTCGGCGGCCGCCCGGCGGATCAAAGCCGAGAAAGCCATGCTCTGCGCGAGCAATCGTTCTTTGCCAACACCAATACTCAGCTGGATGACTTTCTGGATCGGGGTCGCGCAGTTCTGTCAGACCTCGGCCAGCAGCGGGAAGTACTGAAGGGGACCCAGCGGAGGCTATACAGTGTCGCCAACACCCTAGGCGTGAGCGGCGACACCATTCGTATGGTGGAACGACGGGCACGTCAGGACAAATGGATATTCTGGGGTGGTGTCATTGTTTCTTCCTATTTTGTTGGGCTGTATTGCACTTCCTGCGATGAGCCGGTATCCTGTTGTGTTGTAACCTGTGGCAGTGGGCTTTGTGTGATTTTCATCAGCGACGGCGTTCGGGCATTCCAGTTCAAGTATCATAGCTTTAGTCAAATCAGAAGTAACACTTTTGCGTCAGGATCCAACCGCGACACGAAAATGACCGCGGCTTAAGACCAATGAGAAGTAGAGCTGGGCCGAGCATCGGGAGGTCGGAAGCAGTTGTGGAGAATCCCTCACCGAGACCCAGTCTCTTCCCTTCTTCCCTTCCGTTTCTCCCTTCTTCTCTTCCCCATCCATCCTCCAGAATCAAGATGTTCGCCGCTCGCCGTTCCATCAACCTCTTCCAGAAGCGCGCCTTCTCGGCCTCGGCCAGCCAGGTCTGTTCTCCCTGCCCTCAAAAGACTTGGTTGATGCACCCGTGCTGACTTTCTCACAGGCCTCCAAGGTCACCGTCCTCGGTGCCAGCGGTGGCATTGGCCAGCCTCTGTCCCTGCTGATGAAGCTGAACCCCCGTGTCACTCAGCTTGCCCTCTACGATATCCGTGGTGGACCCGGTACGTTGTCCTCTGAAGCGTCGTTTTCCTCCTTCGATCTCAATCCTGACCGCATGTGAACAGGTGTCGCTGCCGATCTGAGCCACATCAACACCAACAGCACCGTCACCGGCTACAACCCCGACGAGGCTGGCCTCGCTGATGCTCTCAAGGATGCCGAGATCGTCCTCATCCCCGCCGGTGTTCCCCGCAAGCCCGGTATGACCCGTGATGACCTCTTCAACACCAACGCCTCCATTGTCCGCGACCTCGCCAAGGCCGCCGCTAAGGCCTCCCCCAACGCCAACATTCTGGTCATCTCCAACCCCGTACGTCCTTGATTCCCCGTTTGCATCTTACCTGATCTGTCAATTGAATCCAGACCTTGAAATTAACGGTTGCAGGTTAACTCTACCGTCCCCATCGTCTCGGAGGTTTTCAAGGCCGCTGGTGTCTACAACCCCAAGCGCCTGTTCGGTGTTACCACCCTGGACGTTGTCCGCGCCTCGCGCTTCATCTCCGAGGTCCAGAAGACTGACCCCAGCGGCGAGAAGGTCCCCGTCATTGGTGGCCACTCTGGTGTGACCATCGTCCCCCTCCTCTCCCAGTCCAACCACGCCTCCCTCTCCGGCGAGGCCCGCGACGCTCTCATCAAGCGTATCCAATTCGGTGGTGATGAGGTTGTCAAGGCCAAGGACGGTGCTGGTTCCGCCACCCTCTCCATGGCCATGGCCGGTGCTCGCTTCGCCGAGTCTCTCCTGCGCGCTGCTCAGGGTGAGAAGGGCATCATCGAGCCCACCTTCGTGGACTCTCCTCTCTTCAAGGACCAGGGCATCGACTTCTTCGCTTCCCGCGTCGAGCTCGGCCCCAGCGGTGCCGAGAAGATCCACGAGGTTGGCCCCATCAACGAGTACGAGCAGAAGCTCCTCGACGCCTGCCTCGTTGACCTCAAGAAGAACATCGAGAAGGGTGTTGCCTTTGTCAAGGCCAACCCGTAAGCAAAAACTCTTGTATAACATGTTTGGGTCCGGGCCTTGTCCAGAGTTCCGTCGGCATCTGTATTACTAGATCGATATCCATGTCATAATTTAATATCGGTCTGATCGGCTGTCACTATACCTGCACCGTGTGAACATGTAATTTCGCATCAGTCAATTGTAAAATTTTCCTTATCCCGAACTATTGAAAAGCCGCGTCTACCCTTACCTCCCCCCCCGGGGCCGGGGGTAAGACATGAGAAGTGAGAGAAGACCGAAAGAATGTGAACGTGAAATTTCTGTGAATCTCGCCATGACCCATTCCAGTTCCGTAGAAGCCGTGCTTTGACTTCTCGAGACCTAAGTGTAGCTACGCATCGCATCTAGATAACCAGTTCCCCCGCGAAGATCCTGATCAAATGTCTCTGCAACATCCAGAACTCGTTTTATGTGATCCATTGATAGAGGCGAGCTCTCATTGACTGCCAGGGCCTGTGCCGTGCGGACCGAGTTTTTGATCTATTTGAACCTGTTAGCAAGGGCCTCTTTTCAATTGAAGCATCACGAGAACATACCTGACGGCCGTTCAAGGTGTGTCGAGAAAGAACATCATAGTCTTCCTCGGAGAAAGAGCTCGTGCGGACTCCTTCAATGGCGCGCACTCGCTCCAGGAACATCTTCCAGATGCTGCGTTTGGCCTTGGTTGTGAGATCGCCGTACCGCAAGGCAACGTGAATACGAGACTGGAAGGCATCGTCAAAGGTCTCCACTCGGTTGGTGGTCAGGAATAGAATGCCCTGGAAGTATTCGAGCAGGCGAAGGAAAATGCTGACTAGAGCGTTACGGTGGATATCGTGAATCGTCCGTTTCTCAAGGAAGACATCGGCCTCATCGAGGAGAGAGAACGGCTCCCCACGAGTGTGCAATGTCCAGGATCTTGTTCAACTCGGCTTCTAGAGTGCGTGAGTCTGTTCCAAGCTCACCGGCACTGACCATGTATAGTGGTCGTTTGAGGAGTTCTGCGATGCCTTCCGCCGTGAGGGTCTTTCCAGTTCCCGGGGGGCCGTGCAGAACAGCGACGAGACCTTTGCCCTTGCCCTGAATCACATCGTCGATGTTCTCGGCGGCGTGGAAGGTGTGCGATTCCACCAGCGCCTTGACGATGGACTTCTGGTTGTTAGGAAGCACTAACGAGCCAAAAGCATCGGCGTTCCAGTCGATGTCGCTGATACCAGAGATAGTAAACTCAAGCCACAGCTTTTCGCTGAATGCGAACCCAAGGACTACAGGGCTGGCGACGAGCAGTTCTTCCTCGGTGAACTCCCGTTCCTTGGTATCCGCTGCATCACCTTCGATGCGGTCCATCTTCTCCTTGTGGATCTCATTCCCGTTCTCGTCGACTTCCACCTCCACAACTCGGGGATTTCCATCGTCGCCTTCAATGACTTTGTAGACAGTTCGTGGAGTGTCCGATGAGCCGCCACGGTCAGAGTCCGAGTCAGACCCTCCGCAGCAGCAGCCCTCGCTACCATCGTCATCGGGATCGCTGAATCCAGCTTCCGAGGGATCAAGCAGATCTGGATCCTTGGGCCGGACGGTGCTAATGGGATAGTTCGGATTGATACGTCGGTGAATGGCAGGGTCGATCATGACTCGTCCGTTGATATTGACCTTGACCACGAAGGAACGCTTCTTCTTGAAGAAGGCCATCCCCTTGTGGAAACGGTAGTTCATGCCGCGTAGAGCGACGAATCGTTTGCCACGCTCGATCAGTCGTGCGCGAACAGCCTCCGAGTCGCGGTGATACTGTAGAGGATAGCACGCCAGGCTGGCGATCTTTCGTGCTCCTTTGAAAGACTCCACCTCAGCAGACATGGTACCGAAACCAAAATCCTTGCCATCGTACTCCAAATACCGACCTTCCACACTGTACCACTGGCCCTTCATAAAGGAGGATTCCTTGATGGCATATTCGATCTTGAAGGCCCGAGGCTCGTCGTTGTTCCCGTAAGTTGGAGTGTAAGCAATGGTGTTGGGCTTGAACAGCGCCCACAGTAGATCGAACGTGATTGTCTTGGCTTCGAGTAGGGGATAAAGGGTCTTTTTGATGTCGGCGTAGTCGGCGTCCAGGTATTTGATGAGCACCTTGAGATGCGCCGCCTTGGCAGCGGCATGTTTCTTCGCCTTCTTCTTTTTTTCGGTGCGCGACTGGCGTTTGAGATCTTTCATCCACTGTCGAGTCTCTTCTAGATACAGGAATAGCATGTTGGGGTCAACGACAGCGGGCTCTTGCACCAGACTAACACCCTTGACACCGTCCATGACCTTGGCGAGAGCATCACGAAGGTGTTTACTCTTGATGTCAACCACGGTTTCCAAATACTTGTTCTCCCAATCAAACCTGCGGCGCACTGTGAAAATGTATTGGTCCCACTCGTCCGCGTCGGGGTCATCCACGGTTTCGGTGAGCTTGTATTTATGGATGGTGTTATCCCAGACTATTTTTTGCGCCCCCAAAATTGTCAGTTGAAGCTACCATATAGGAAAAGATCAGGGGGTCAAATACGTTGATCCACACGCTTGAAGGCGACCTTGGATGCCGGCTTCTTTCTCTTCGATCGCTTCTCCCGGCGACTTTCCCCCAGAGGGTCACTCGTGCCCAGATCGTCGTTGGTCTCATCTCGCAGGCGCCTAGCCCGCTTCTTGAGCTTCAGACGGGTCACCAATTTGCGCAGGGCCTTTTCATCCAGTGACGAGTCAGAGTCGCGCGAAGATCCGGAATCGGTGTCGGAGTCATCGGAGGAGTCGGTGTCGGAGCCTGTTGAACTTGACTTGCGCGACCGCATCTTTCTTCTCTTACGTCGTTTCTTGTCCATCTGGGTACGTTTGGTCCGGGCCTTGGTCTTCACACGGTGACGTCTACGCTTGTCGGCTTCGGATTCACTGGCAATAGATTCTGAATCGGCATTGGCCGAGTCGGACTCGCTGGATGATTCGGTTGACTCCGAGTCGGACTCGCTCTCGGAGGCATCTTGCTTCTTTTGACTCCGCTTCTTCTTGTCCAATTTGGGGTGTTTTTTGCAGGGTTTGGGATGATCAGGGACAGTGGTGGTGGCAGCATCCCTCACGGAAACGTCGGGCGCAGGTTGAGCTGAGCCATTTGCATTATTCTCCGGCTCACCCTCGTGTTTACTATCCTCCGAGGGATCAGCCATGGTGGAGGTAGAGATGGAAGTGGAGCTGAACCAGAGCTAGAGCTGGAGCCGAGAGCTCAAGTGGGGGCTCAAAGTGGGGAAAGCTGGAGATAGGCAAGCTGGGGGAACCTGAAGTTGAGATTCAAGATGAAGAAAAAAGCAGAAGACGTGGAAAGACGTAAGAGATCGAGATCCTCAAACCAAGTCGACCCAAGTCTTGAGGCCTGAACCAGAAAGTCAGAAAGAAAGAAAAGATGGGGGTGAGACGAAGCCGCCTTTAAGACGCGCTGTCCCCAGCTGCAGCCTGTAGGTGAACTGGATGAAGCAACCCAATCATGATGGCCCACGCACGTCTTGCGCTGTTCAATTTCATCGGAGCTGCGGCTCCGCCTTATTTGTCGGTGACACCGTGTTAGGGTCCAGGTGGTTGTGTGGGTGTCTCGATGATTTGGGTTTCTAGACGAGATCGGGGTGTGTACTGTACTATGCCCCAGTCTGTGGCATCACGCCCTTAGTGTCTTCTTTGAACTCGCATTACATCCTACTTGATCTTAGCTTTGCACGGTGTGAGCCATATGACTATGTATCCCCGTGTTGACCACCGCCTCACTGGCCTCACTAGCCTCATTCTGCGATATGATTCGGACTGGTGCCCAGACTGCGTTCAATGTAGCATCTACCCAATGACAAGGACATGATCCAAGCGAATCTTATCACAGCCTTAACGGAGCTCCCAACTACCCCGGACAAGCCACGTGCAGCTCCATTGACAAGAGCTTTGCGCGGCCCATTCTTGGACTCGAGCGTTCCCGTGGCTCCCGGCAAAAGTACACTGCCGCTCGTGAACTTTGGGGTTGGAATGTGAAATGACGATAGCCATCACTGCGCTTCAAAGAGACCGAAAAGACTCCCTCAGGAGTGGTCAGCCCAGCATCGATCACCGTCAAGTTTCCGGGCTGGGGAGCAATCAGCCATGAGGCCACCGCGGCGTCGCTGAGCTGGATTCCAGCTGCGAAGGTACTGAGAGCAGAATCTGGACTGATAAACCATCCGTGGGCATGAGAAATGCGCGGATCGTTGGTGTATGGTGCATTATGAAGGGATCCGTCCGTGGCATAGCCTTCGATTAAAGTGGACTGAGTCATTCGAGGATCCTACAGCATGAAGCCTCATTGCAGTCTCATTAGGCCAAGAGCCGCCGCCGGTTGACTGGCAATGTAGTGAGCCCGCAACTCAAATTCACTGAGGAAGGGCGATACCGTGGCTCTGGACTCGGGAGCTGGGCCACCGTAGGTTCCAAAACGGGCACAGAGCCTCGGAGATGGTGCGACTCTGATCATCGGAATGAGTCGCATTAGCCTTCATGGCCCACGAGCTCCCGTCCGGGGGGGGGTGCAGCGTGGTAGTCTGGTTGTCACGATACAGTCCAGCTCCCACATCCCGTAGCAGCCCGTTTGCGGCTGATTTGGTACCCTTCGCGATGCGGCCCCACTGCGCAACGAACGATTGTATAGTTGATTGCGTGGACCAACTGCTGGGCCTCCTGGAGCACGAAGCAAAGAAATGCGTTCGTTCCAATGTTCTGCACCACATAAATGATCAAATCACGAGCGACAGTAGCCACGACGGGAGAACTTCCATGGCCTCCCATGCCAAAGCGCAGCCAGTCCGTGCTAGCAGTTATATTGGCCAGCCCCATTTGAACAGTGTAAAGGTCTCCAGTGCTAACTGCGATACTTTCAAGAGCGATCGACATGTCACCCGGCCATACAAGTCGATCTCGTTAGGCCCCGTCCGTGATGGTGCTACTTCCGCTGGTAATGTTGTGAATGCTCCACCAATAAATCAGTTTGGGGCAAGCTGATGTTGTCGCTAGATGAAATGCCCCACCCCCAAAATGGACCAGAGCATCACCATGTGTCGGGTTGATCGTGCATAACTGATTCGTGTAGGCTCCAGCATACCAAATCTTATTTATCAAGTCATCATCCGAGTGAAACCATCCATTGTAGTTTCGGAGAATTCTGCGTAGGCGCGGCAGTGAAGTTGACGTGCAGAGACTGAAAGGGGAACTTTCGCGCTGGTGGTACTCACGGTAAGATAGCGCAAAAGCGTCGCGAGGACATTTCGCTTCGGGCGTGCACTTTCCAGCACCCGGGCCCACGGGGAATCACAGCGGAGCATCGCCACTCGAGTCGCGGCTGCGGCCTACGGAAGAAGGCACGATGAAGTACCATGGTTTACCCGAGGAATCACATTGTCTCGGTCATCTCGATGCCAATAAATGCTGGTCACTGCTGGTCGCTGTTCGAACCAAAGATTGCGACTGCGATCACGAATGTGGCTTCTGCTCGGGATCCTCATACGGCACTTCTACAAGCAGGAACCTCTGCCCGCACTTTTTGGGGAAGACTTCATCGCAGGATGGGTCTAGAACGAGAACCAGCGCGGGCGTTCGCGGGAGGAAGCCCAGGGAAAGCAAGCACCGGTACAGTCGTTCTCGAAATCGGCTTGACCCAAACACACTTTATCACTCTCTTCCGGCCCCACTGCCAAGTCCTTAGCGTGGATCAATCATTGAGCGGGCCACCTAGGAGATCGTCAAGGAACCGGTTGCTAGGCGACCCTCTACCCACAATTTGCAGAGGCCCACTTCAGGTTTCACTCACCATAAGTCAAACGTGCGCATCGTGTAGTGCGGCGCCAATTTGTATAGCTCTGATATACCTGCACTACGATCTTCCAGAACAAGCAGGCTTGGATTCAACATTGCGAATCACACTTGACCAATCTTAAATCACGCTGTGGTACTCTCAAGATCCGATATACGCTAGTTGCCCCCGGATTCTGTCCCTTCTGCCTAGGTGACGCAAAAAGACCGGCATATGGAGTATTCTAGCAGTGGCTAGATAAAGCGACACTTCTCAATCACATCGACGCACATATAGGCTCATTGCATGTATCGACTGATGTCTTATGCCTGCACCCCTGCTGTAAGAAAAAAATATGTGGAGACGTGGTCTGCCTTCAACGCCACTTTCATGATGCGCACTCCATTGGATAGCCACGTTCGAACTGTGTGAAACTAAAAAGGAAATGGCACTCGGGGTCGGAGCTTGACCTTGAAAGCACGAATAACTAGATCATTCCTACTTTGGAAATGGACCGCCACAAATATGTACCATCTAGTTTTGAAGGAACGCGCATGCTTGATATAGAGGAGCTTATGAAGGAGTTCATGCAGTTTGATGAGAGCCTAGACTGACGTGCAGAGACTGAAAATCGTACTTAAATATCATGAATAGATTGTGAGCTTATCTTTGTAATCGGTCTTTCCCCCATATCCAATGCTATATTTTGTTTTACCCTCTTTGAATGACATCATATGTTACATGGAAATTTCATCTGATCTGATGATTTCTGGGTGAAAGAAAGATTAGCTATACTCGACAGCGTGTCAAGATTGTGCTCGCCGAGTTTAGTCTTTAGAGTCTGCACTACCTGTATCTGGAGCTTCTCGGCCTTCTCTCACTGACCTGGTTCATATGCTTTATAGTACAACAATAAGTGTCACAGGCCAGTACGGGAAAATTCGTGTGCCATTCAGAAAAGTTAATAAACTGAGGAAAGAAAGAGAAGAGAGAGAGAGAAAAAGAACAACTACGAAACAATACCCCATCCCCCTGTGTCCCCTTCGGGGCTAGCTCACCACACGTGACCTTTCCTCGAGCCATGCGTCACAGCCCTTTTGGAAATCATCAGAGCAGCTGAGTATAGGACAGAAGCTGTCAAAGAGCTTTTTCATCGACTGTCGTCCATCAACAAACTATTGGGGAGGTTTGTGGCAGCTTTTAACAAGTCAAATTCTTGCAAGCTCAGTCATGAAGTCCAGTTTCACCTTTTAATGGCAACCCGGACAACCCAACATGTCTGGGCAAGATACCAGGAGGTGTTCAAAGAATAGACAAGGCATTTCATCAACGACTCTTTGCGTGACTCAGATTGGGATCCTTTCGGTGCCTTCGCGGACATACAATCGCGAATTTTTAGCGCGAGGCTACGACATTTAAATGGTACCATAAACATAGCGATATAAATCTCCGCATTGTATGTTGCAATTCTCTGCTTTTGCAACTATCGGCTTACTGAGTTACGTTATCAGAGTGGCTTTCCATTCCGCCTCGAGAAACATCTCCGATGAGGAGTGGAACTCGATACTAGAGAAATAAAACACCTTGCTTTCAGCGATTATTAAAATGAACGAAAGCCAACAAACACATCAGCGCAAAGAAAGGGCGGCTGAACGCATCGCCTGCGAAATCAAAGGATCTGGCATAGCAATCCAACAAGGCCGAAAATTTTCCGATGGATTGCTGGCCGAGTATAGCCGGCTACGATGGGGCCAAATATTCCAGGCCGGACAGGAAGGTCAGCTTCAGAATGCTATCGGAGCTTTGCCCGGTGAGATCCAATGGTCTTACGAAAGCGGCGTTATTAGTAATAACGGAATCACAGTAGCTAGGTTTCGTGGAGCATACAATGATAGCGATGCTCCGTCGGCTCCTATGGTTCATGCTGACGATGTCCCAGAGACCGCTGACTGAGCAAGGTTATTACCAATGTGGGCTAGCAGGTTCTTCATGCAAATCATTATTATGCTCGAATAAGTCCGACCATCGACCCTGTGAAATATCTATTCCAGGCGACGGCCTGTCAGGGAAACTTTCCAGGAAGAGCCGCTTTCGTCGCTTTTGTTAACCTCGACAGGCCCTTTTTCTCCTATTACGGCTTCTCAGTCCATCTTGAAACCCTCAAATTAGTCCGAAAATCATCAAAAGGGACAATGTTAGGGCAAATTTAGGCCTGCCTGAGAGATTAGATTGAACAGTCGACCGCCTAAGCGGTAACGTTCTGCTCCTGTTATGGGGAGAGTGAGTCGACCATACGCTATGTAAAGTTGTCAACTAACCTTGTATTATTTTCGGCACAGCCACACTACATTACGACCAGCCACAGCTTCGGAAATTTTGGAAGTTTTGAACAGCGACAGGGTAAGACAAGAACATGTGTCTTTCCAGTATGAAACGCTTTCCTGCTTGTTTCATTGGCCATTTGAGTCTTAATCCTTTGTTCTTCGGCATTAATCACTAATTCTCAATAAGTCACGCGTCCTCAAATAATCACTCATCCCCAAGTGATCACTCAGTTCGAATTGTTTACTGGTCCTCATGTCTCCACTTACCCACGTTGGAATTTGGTAGTAACGAGTAAATGGGAACTAAGCGCATGTACGCACATCTGATCGTTCTCTTCTAGGGAATATATTATTCCACCCGACGAAGTGACCCGGCGTCTCATAATCCAGGACATGATATTATTGCGATTTTATAATTTGATGGCCTCGTAAAATAAAAATTGTTACTCTGAACTGCAACACCGACTGCTTCCTTGAGTCTCTTTTGTGTTGATCAGGAATATGACATTAAACGGGTATGTAGCTCATCCTGGTGACCTGATGACCTGATGACACATTTGGTAATATCTGGTCATTACTAGTAGGCTACATAGTGATTTTAAAAAACCTCAAATTCCTAATTTGGTCATGTGATTACAAAAAGCTCATCAGGTCGAAATTGGACCCACTTTTTTGACCTGATGAGCTTTTAATGGTTATTACTAGTAGGTAATAGTAGTATCTAAATAACTATATTTCTCTAAAAAAGTAAATGACCTGATGACCTGATAACCTATATTTAGTTATAACTAGTAATTATAAGAAGAATCTAGAAAGATTAGAATTTAATTAGTCTTTTCTAGTAAATATAGATTTTAGTCTCTATGTATAAATTCTATTTAATGACCATCTATATATATATAATTTAAAGGTAATAATGGTGACGGTAAAACTACCGCCTCGGGAAGTGATCGGCTCCCGGAGCACAGGGTGAGTTAGTCACCCCGCCGCCCTGAGCTGCTCACTGAGCAACCCTGAGCTGCTCCCTGAGCGACCCTGAGTTGCTCCCTGAGCAGCCTGGTCGCTCACCCCAATGCTCAGGCCGACCGGCCCATTCGATCTCATCCTACCTCTCCGTTATTTCACATGCTCCGACAATAACCGCACTGCTGCCTACTCGTGCTCCTGGGAGCGGAGCTAGGAAATGACGTATTCTCGCGGTGCTATAGTAACTTTCGGCTCGGTCTTCGAACTTTCAGCTGATCGACTCGACCAGTCTTTCAACTTGTATGAGATATTAGATATCTCACCATCCACTCATTCCTTCACAATGCAGGCTCCATCCCGCCAACCATCCAATAGACTCTAACACAACCCTCATTGCCTTCGAATCTCTATGTCCGGGGCTGGCTCGATCCCAGGAACATTAAACACTGCCTCCATTGGGCAAATATTCTCACGTTCCCTGCCATAGGCCTCGACTGCACCGATACGCTGTGCTACGAAAAGTGAAGACATTAACCATCGGTCCGAGTATAAATCCGGAAAAGAAGTCCCCCACACGGTCCATATCATGCTAGTGTTCCCGGGAACGCTTGCTTCATTTCGATCCACTATGAGATAGAACGGGTTTTCAATTGGCCGCAGTAAAGGGTCGAGAAGCTGCACTGATAACATATGTGGTCTCATTACCATGCTGCATTAGTTATTGAGCCGAAAACTTTACCGATCTTCTTCGCTTCATAGTGCGACGGGCGTGAAGAGACAATGACGCCTGGAGTATAAAAAGCCCACGAAAGGGGATCGACGGATATACCATATCTGGGCTAGCGTGCCCCACGTTAGGGTTCGGGAATTAAAGTCGAAGAGTGTGGAGGTAAATCTGATTTCGAATACTACTGTATGAAAAGACCGGCTCCAGATATAAGACCTGCGTATGGTGAACCTGGTCAGTCAATGCTTGATCAACTATCCGATATTTTGTACGCTCGCGATCAACCCTTCTCGTTACTATTCAATTCCGAGCAAGAATGCTTTCATATCACTGGACTGTCGGATACGGAAGACTCGGAATGCGTTGAAACACTTTCACAGGTACAATCCGACGGTTTCAATTTAATCTTCATGGGAAAAACTACCCAAGGCATCATAATTTTTCAATTTGTTCCTATTCTAAGTGAGCGCGATCGTGATCAAGCCAAGCGTCGCCTTGATCGAAATCAGCATGATTATGTTCAAAGACAGCGTGATCTCCGAAGCAGGCGTGCCATCAAGACACGGGCTGAGAGGCTACGGCGAGAGCGACAACTGTCATCTCGAAACCTTCTGGTACGTAACTGTGCAGGCCATCGGTCGCAACGCACTGACGGGTCACCTAGAGTCAATCAACCCCCGGGAACTACGATTGGCGCGATCACGTGTAGGATTCCATACCCAGGCACATCCCGGGGCGAAAAAAAACAACCCAGGGGGTGCCGGAAATAGGCTCTGTCTTCATGGCACCAAGGATACTTTGCAAGCCTGAGGGATGGTGGAAGAGAAGTTATTTGTGGTTACAACACGTAACCAAGATGGTAGAACTGTATCACGGTATATGGTAGGTGACGTTACAAATTGATCTATCAACACACACCCATCTTCCATCTACCAGACGCGAAGGACTGGGAGGATACTCATTTAGAATTATGTATCTACTTCACGTTCAATCCTACATTGTTAATTTAAAATCGATTACCGCTTCTATGATTTTTATGATGATACGAGTTAGCAGGTATTGTTCTCAATTCAGGGCTCTACAGTAATAGATCCATCTAGTCCGGCATCAGCTCAATTCCGCCCAGTGGCAAGCCTGCTGGTGTCAGCACCCAATCAAAAAGTGAAGCCTATCGCAAATCATCACGAAACCTCATCCATTAGTACTTTATATAGTCGAAAAATGCCCAGGAGCTTGAACGGTTGGCTGACTGAAATCAAATTGTGGCAAGGTTGTTGGACAGGGCAGGAGAATCCCCTTCTGCTTGCATTGTTTGCAGGATCTACGTTCTAGAAGCCCTTCGGCTCGAACAAGCTCCATACAGAAGCTAATTTTATGTTGTTATTTACAACTGTACTAGAATACCGCCAAGAACTGTAGTGAGGGGCCTAGTAACTGTATTAGGTATGGTGTGTTTCGGATTGGTGTTCGAGAAAGTATCTCTGTGTTCAAGTGGTGAATCTGATTTCGATCCATGCTGGACTGTCAATCATTCAAGATTGCATTATTGGGACGTAGAGAAGCTTGCCATTCCAACAGAAAGCACCGCTTCCTCCAACTTTCTGATCTCTACCTCGCATTGCATCAATGAAATCCTCTCCTGCCGCTCTTCGGTCAGCCAATCGCCAGCACACCCCGAGAGAAACAAGGTGTGTCCGCAAAAATATGAGCCAATCGAGTATCAGACGATTTCAAAATGCCGAAAAGCGTGCTGCACGATCTCAGGATGAATAGGATATATCGGTTTCCAAACGGTAAGGAACCAGTGTCCGAAAAGGAGCCGATCCGACCTTCTCTCCTAGGAGCTGGAATCTTCGCTCCTGGGAGCCTCAACGCTAAAGGCGTTGCACGATTTCGGCGCTAATTATGATTTACAGGCGTAAAGAGGGCTAGTTGCCCTCTCCTTCATTCCCATTCTCATTTCAGTTTGCTTATAATCTGACGCGCCTACACACTGTCACGGCAATGCCCCTTTTTTTGTTGAAACGATATTTTTGGGTTTCTCAATGTGGTCGGTTCTGGAACCACGACGCGCTGGATCCGGCGAAGCCGAAGAAGGTTACTGCGACACTGTGTGTGGACAGCACTGGTATAGCACCAACGACAGAGGATTCGCTATGCTATCGCACGAGGTTATCTCAAACGCAATGATGGACCTCACGGCCAAATACATGCAGACATCGGAAGGAGTTGCGTAGGCGGTTGATGGTGAAAAAACGCGAATCAGCTGCGAGGGCAAACTTGCTACGTCCCAGATACGGATTAAATTCCAGGAAGTGTAGTGTGGAATCGACGGCCGCAGTTCAAGCAAGACGAAACGGTCAAGACTTACCCACATATGGCATCATTTGTTCGGCATGCCCACCTCAAATGGCAAATCCAAAGATTGCAGGTGTTGCTCTCCCAGAAACGACTTTTCCGCAAAGACAAAAGGAAAGTCTTGTCGGAAAATTCTATCAATAGTATTGGGGGATACATTACAGATTGGGACGTGTCTTTAGAGAAGGCGGTCTTCCTTTCAGACATGATCGCCTCTGAAGTTGCGTACGTTCGGTACAAGGGACAGGCGGCTGAGCGTCCATGATCTCTATTGGACTTGTATAAAATGACACGGTGGGATATGGAAGCAGAGCAGAGAGTTTATAGGCCCGAATGCGAGGTGAGTAGTCCTCAGAAGAGCGAGAACTCCAGCTTGTCTGCGCAATACCTCAAGACTGGTGATTGCGTTGTTTATTGCGCATTACAGTGAAGCAGACTGACGTTGGACTCAGGCCTAGTTGAAAGGTAGAGAGGCGGGTCTTTGATACGCCCGCATACAATGTTTATAAAGGAGGGTTGTAGTTGGGGCTTTCTGATTCCAGTCAATTCCATCTTCATATGCAGAATGAAAAGGACTCAAGAAACGTAATCCTCTACATCCGCTTACTTCTAATCATACATAAATATCGATCCTTAGAGAGATGCTGGGCCATTTTTCCGCCCTGGAAGGTGGCGCCTGCTCAGAGCTCGATTGCTAGAGCTTGCTCCCAGTTCTTCGAATGCCCTTGGGCGCCGAACTCGTGTGCACTTTGTTGATCTATTTGTTGACCTCCTTGCGCCTGCCTCCTCCCTCTTCCGCGACCTCTTCGCTGTCGCCGTGAAGACAATGCGCCGTCAACATGTATATGCTGCAGTATCTCTTTCAGCGAGCCTTCGGTGTTCTCCTCGTGGTCTTCTCCTCGGGATTCGCACAACCATAGAAGACCACCCGTCCGTAGAGACAGAGAGCGATGGCATCGATTGAGAAGCCCGAGAGGATGGTTTGATTCCAGCCGACACTCTGCCTCCGCTCGTGCCTGTCTCTCCTCTGTCAGCACCCTGCAGCATCTCAGAGCTGTTGTTGTTCCTAAAGCTGACGACGGAACCCGGAGGCTGACGACAAAACTGGGAAATCGTGTCCGCACCGTCCATGCTTGATGCTGGTCGTAGGTATCGTCTCCAAAGATGGGAGTTCAGCGTATAGGATGTCGACACGGCATGACTTAAGGAGGTCTCGCGATGGGGACACGATGTGATGTCGCATTCGATTGTCTACTGGGGCTGGCTGCCACGACTAACCTAGTTTAGTCAATTAGTGCCTAAGACACCAGTCATTAGCTAGTGCCTTTGTTTTGGACATCAAGCTAAAGACGACCTACTTCAATTCTCCTTTAATGTTTCTGCCGCTTGGCTTGCCGAATGAAGAGCTCCCGTGCCATTTGGGAGGTTTGTGCTTGCTGGGCCTAGAGATGAGGCTGCTACGCGTGAGGCGGAGGTGCTGCGGGATTTTGGGGACCATGCTATGTGCGAGATGAGAAAGTCTGTATATCTGCTATCTGTTGCTCGTGAATAGACAATGGATCTGCAGGGTCTCGGGCTTCGACCTGTCCGCCAAGGACCGTTATCTCGGGCGGATACCCATAGAAGGCCAACCTCTGGTTCAAGGCAATCATGGGAAAGTACTTTTTCGAGCAGTCTAAGTCGGCAAACACCGCGACTTTGTGACGCTACGATACCAACTGCTCTGGATAGCCGCACGAAGCATGTCCATCCGCACACGTGGCTAGGGCAGAAGCATTAGTAGGCGTCCGTTCTGTAAAGGCACGATTTAAACGCCTCGCGTTGACAGAGACCTACCTACCTCCCTATGCATTAATTCTGACCGCGCAGTAGTACACCTTTCTTCATGCAGCACGACATGGTATGCTAGTTAAGACCGACACGATTTCCGAAACGACTCCATCTCGTTGTCCTCCCACGACACCACCAGCCCCTTAACCGGAAATAGTTATTTCGACGTAATGCTATGGGGTATATACCGGAGACGGTATCGGATCTGCCGCATAACTCCATTTTCAGTCGCCCTGGACATCGGAGCAGTCCGGAAGATTGTGGGGAGCGCCTTCCATATGAGCTCCTTAACAATATAATCGCAGAAGAATGGCGCGTCGGGCCCGGCTATGTTTGGCAGTGTATCGCGATAAGGGTACCTACGGTGCGTGGTATTAAAATCTAACTACCTATAGTGGATCTTGAGTACTTGTTGCTCGAGGTCGAAGAAGATATCGATAGTGCTATTGTTAATGTAGATAAAGAAAACTCTGATATACTTCGCGTTCTCGGATAGAGCTATATATGCTTTCAGGACCCTCTGGACCCTCCTTGAGAAAGAGGAGTTAGAGGGTGAACACATAGGGGCATTTTTGAATAAGATGATTTGCTCTTCCTCTGCGGTTCTGATCGCAGAGTTTGATCGGAGTAAGTCCTATAGCGATTCTAGGATTTTAACTGGCTCCTTTCCCAATATATCACGAATCATATCTATATCCTACTCACTGTCAATCTCTAGGTTTATAAATAGGCCAATAATTATACTGACCTTGGCGTAATATGTCTCACTATAGTAAAATAGCTTCCTATTTGCCCCTTATAGAAGATATTTCCAAATCAGAGACCTTATACGTGCTTCTAGGAGACGTTCTGCTAGTTCTATATCTAGCGCCTACGGGAAGTCCCGTAGGAGATTGACGTAGAGAGGAAGCGTAGACGCTTTATCTTAGCCGATAGCGGCCTCCTATATCCGCCGCACGAGATTAGCTTCGTCCTGCTTATCACTCGATCTCTGCCGGTTACGATTCACCGTCCCCGTAAGGAAATTATACCTAAGCTTATAGGAGCCGGTCTCAGAGCTTGACCCTGATAGAAGCACCCCCTTAAGATAGACTTTGCCACGGAACTTTTCGTTAAGAATGATATCTCCTACTCCTATTTCAATGATATAGGAGGGGTAAGAAAATCCACGAATATCGAGAGAAATCTCTAGCCACTTCTTAAATAGTTCTAATAAGATCTTCTCCCGCTTCTTATTGCGCTCTAGACCGATCGTGATCGTAACGTCTCTCTCGACGCGCGAGCGTAATTAGGCTATATCGCTAGCTAGGTCCGTACGGAGGCTAGAGTTGGCGTTTCTGGATAGGCGTATAACATAGGATACCTAAGATCTTAATAGTCCGCGGGCTCGGAAAGTCTAGTCGTAGCCACCCGTAGCTATATGCATTCGGTAGCCGTTCTGAGATATTACTATAGTAGCTAGCTTAAGTCTTTAGCCCCGGTATCCTACGAGATAGGGGCTGCCCTCCTTCGAAGTTTGCCCTAGCTAAAGATTATTTGGCCGAAGTGAAGCATATAGATTAGCCAGAATCATACGCCCTACTTTTTTCTTATATTGTATGAATCCTAAGGCTCGGCCGTGTCTATACAGTGCAGACATAGACGGGTCCGGTATAATGATAGATATATAGTCGCGCTTATTGTCGTAAAAGGGCTAGAAATCCCGACGCTCGAGCTAAAACCTTTCTAGAATCGCGTCTTTCCTATTTTTAGTAAGCTATCTATTAGACCCGACGAGGAAAGCTTACTAAATCTAAAATAGTTCTCAAAATACGGCGGCGGTGTCCTAGTGCTTTATAGAGCTCGGTGAGATATTGAGCGAGACGGTCTGCTAACGGCATAATGTAAAGGATCTATGTGTTCAGGATAGAAAGCCTGTCGGTTAGGTAAGGAAGGATGTCTGGACTAGGTGTAGTATTGTAGAAGCAAGACTGATTCTTGCTAAGTCTAGATTAATTGGAAACCCTCTCGATTTAAGTACGAATTGGGTCCGAGACTTGCTTATTCCACTGCGGGGCAACCCTTCACCGCTAGTCCTCAGTATTCCTTTACAATAAGCTCTAATCTTACTCGTCTAATTCGCCTTAGCATAACTCACGCTCTAGTTAGTCACTCACTTGTCTCTGTAACTTATCTAGAGAGCGGTAACTAGTCTCCGAAGAGCCTTAGTCGACAAAATTCTCTATCGAGCTTAGGATATGTAGTGCCGATATTCTTGCAATGAAAGGCGCACCCTCTCCTTCACTTACGGTTGAGACTCTATTTTATAGATATAATAAAGTTATATAGACTCCTTGGAATCTCCTTTGGAGCAAGATATCAGAAAATGTATATATGGTTCGTTAGAACGGACTAATATAAGGATTGACTGGACCGTTTAGGTAACGTTAACCTATTTAGGGCTTCTGAGCTAAACGTTCGCAATCTGTTCTAGAAAAGTATAAATGCGGGTAGAATAATCCTAGGAATAGAAAAATAGAGGAGTGAAAATAGCTAGAGAGCAGTTTTCGCCGAACTTAAACGTTCATAGTATAAGCCGCTAAAACTTATCGTACGCTAAACGTTAACGAAGTTGGCCGGCCTTGCAGCTCAAGGCCCCAACATAACTCTCGATGTTTCCCTTTCATCGGATGATCGAGGCCATGAGGAGCAATAGCACGTAGACAAAAGAGTGGCTAGCGCCACTTTGATAAGAAAGAGGAGGTATACTGGTTAAGAGTCTATTCTGTTATCAACCCTATCACTAAGACGGAAGATATATAGCCTGATAAATATCAGTTTATTTCTCTGAAAAACGTCTCCAAGTTCAATCCAGTGGTTTATAGCTCGAATTTCTCGCTTATCTGTAGCCAAGGGCTTAAGAGCGCTGGATACCCACTATCCACTCGATACCACACCCCATCGGAGATCGCCCCGCAACCACGAGGCGATATATCCAAGGCCTTATTTAGAAAGAGTAACTGAGATCTAGGTGTTATCGAGAAAGTCCCCGAGCGGGTAAGCACGCTCTGCCCTTCAAGCGCCGTGCACATATATGGGTCCGCAAACTAGCTAGGCAGCCTCTAAGAGGCTAGATTAGAGGTGGCAGAGCTCGCGGGAAGTTATCAAAAAGGCTTAGCCAGTTGAACGGAGGACTAATCGATGGTATTGGATGCGGCGACTGCGCCCCAAGCCTCACCGTCGATGCATCCCGCCGTAGCAGAAAGAAGGGCCTTTTTGACAGGCTGACTAGCGAAAAGAAGAAGATGTCACTGGTATATTGCTACGGTATTTGCGCTCGTACCTTCACTGTTCCCATTGGAGGTGCGAGGAGATATGTTGATGAAAAACTGACTGTTCAGTTACTGTACAAGTACCTGCGTTGGCGGTCATTAAATGAATACTTTCTTGATCCTTGGGAGTGACGCAATATATTGACATCAGAGCTTGACGAAATGCTCCAAGTAGTTAATTGGTGGATATAGAAGAATGAAGGTTATGTAAAGAATAATGAATAGTAAGCCCAATTTCGTGCACATCGACGGAGCTGGCCGAGACTCCAATGCGGCCCTGGGGATCGTGACGTGGCCGGAATAATAGAATCGACGAGTGTTTCTTATCTATAGTGGGCTTCCTAGGAGCTTATAGGAAAAGACTTAGCGTAGGAACTATGGCTAAAATCATCCGCTTTTTGCATAAAGCAAGACTAATCGTTCTGCTGTGGCGGTAATGCTCTCCATAACCCGTGATAATAGACAGTTCCTTATAGACTTAGTACTTTTGCCTATAATGCCCGAAAACCGGTACTAGGCATGAATCGCACGATAATCGGGGAAAATTTCGAGATCAAAGCGGTAACGATATATTATAGGAAGCTTATATATACGAGTGAGTGATGAGCGAGGCTACTACCCGGGGTCTATAAATACGGACGTGCTTATCCTTTAGAGATGTAGTATTACCTATATACTTACTTTCTTACTTTCTTCTTTCTATGCCCTACGGAGCGACAGTAAGCATAATTCGAAGCGGTAGCTCTCTCGATCTATCTACGAGTGATATTATCTACTATAAATTAGCCGCGCTTTATAATTATTAGGACTATTACCGAAGACCGAGTTATAGGCGCGTTAAAGCGTTCTATGATAAGATCCCCCCCTCTTTATAAGAGGAATAATCTGCTATTACTACCCGTACCGACTGCTAATACCTTAAAGTTTTGCCCCTATATACGAGAGACCGCCCCGGGAATACGTCCGATTCAGTATCTCTAACGGTCGAGGAACCTACTACTACTGCTACTACTAACTATACTAGATCTCTCTACCCCTTGTCTTATTTAGTGTTCCCTAAAAAGTATAGCGTAGAAATTCCGTTAAATCTAAAGGATTCTAGAAGGGACGTCTCCTACGCCGTACGTAAGCTCTCTATAATCCAAATCGGAAAGTTCTAGAGTATAGATACTTCTTATAAGTTAAGTCCACTGCTATATAAAGGCGGTCGGTATAACTTATCCCGACCCCGGGATACCGGAGAGCCTATTGGCGAAGGCGGAGTAATCATCTAATCGAACGTTATGGAGTCGCGGAAAGGAGCTATGCGGCTATACGAGTTTGCAGTTAGGCAAGTCTCTATCTTATGGTATACCCTACGGCTAGAATTTATCTCAAAAGATTACGATAAACGAGACGAACTACTCGGTCGGGGCGTTATAATAATCTACTCGAATGGATCAGAGTTTAAAAGCTTTCTCGCGTTTTTATCTCACTAATCCCTAGCTAACTATTACCTCCCCTCCCCAATATTTGACCTAAACAGGATAAACTTGAAATACGGTAGGGATATAACTATTCGATTAGCTATCCCGGGATTCTAATCTAGCCTAAGGGGAACTATCGGTAATAGGAGTTCTTTAGAAGAGTGTCTACTCGACTATATATACTAGGGGCAAATCCCGCTGCGGCGGGTCGCGAGAACCGAGATAAGATTATTGGACGAGGTACGGTAGTTATTCACTCGGATGAAGTAGACCCGAAATGCTTCCTTGTGTTTTCTTCAAAGTCGCCCTATGACATTTCGGCTATTTAGCTACGCGCGCCTGACCGTGGGAAAACTTTAGCAGGGAAGGGAGAGCCTGGAAACATAAGTCGTTATCGGTTTAGGAAGAGAAAGGCTAAGGTGGTATAAGGTAAGAAGTCGTTGACGTAACGCAAAGAGTCTGTAAGCGACGTTCAAGGTGGAATGAAACCTGCAAGTTCTAATCAGCACGAAAGTAAGGATGTCCAGAGGGAAAAAAGTGGGAAGCGGAGATGTTAATGTATATACCAAGCCGAGATTCATTTTGTGGTATGTATGTACATTTGAAGACCGAGTTTTATTTCGCAGCGTGAATAGGTAAAGCTTGCACTGTACTTAACTCCAAATGCGGCTTGCGTAAAGAGCGAAGCATAATCAAGACATTGGGAATTCCATTCTACCCGTAGATTTGTCGTCAAGGCTGACGACTTCTCTTGATGAAAATGACGTCCGTCCTTGCGTCGCAAGGCGTGGAGCCTGCGGTTTGACTTGACTCAAATCTAGGGGGGGCCATATGGACGTTACGTTTGCCTCTATGCGTGCCATGTCATACAGTACCTATGTTTGTTTTACGCAGGCATGCTAGTCTTTTTTGGTTTGAAGATAGTGCTTCAACGGGCTTCCCCAACGAGCTACTTTCGGGTTTACATTCTTGTGACCTGAGCATGCAGCAAGTTCATGGCTTATCACTTGTGCTTGCCACGCACCCATTTATTCAGTATGTGCGATTCCTAACCTTACGATAGGTGCCTCTTTGTAACCGAATGGCTTAGGTCAATACTGCACTTCTGGGAATACTCAATAGTGCCTCCCCAACATGGTTGCCTGCAGTTGTGTGACCCAGCATATCTCTTTAACATGAATATAGACTTGATAGCGCATCCACCGAGGAATTTCCGTAGCTTGATAGAGCAGCATGATTTGAAAGAGATAACAGATTAGGGCTAATAAACGGCACCGTTAAGCTCTCCAAGAGCTCATTATTGCGGCGTCACGGACGGGCGGACCGGAGGAATTAGCGGTGTTTAACGTAAAACGGAATAGGCGGTCTCTATTTCATGAGGGCGCTAGGTATATCTTCAAAAGCCCGAGAAACGACCGCTTAGCATCTATGGGTATAACTAGAAGCTAAGTCGTCGTTCCTCTATGCTCTATCTATCTCTAGACCTTGTCTAAGGCTTTGTGCGCCATGGCTCAACCGAAATCATCCAAGGGGGTTCCTCCCAAGGCCACTAAATCGAAGAAGCAAGATGAACTGACGGAAAAGCTTCGAAAAGTTGAAGACGCCGCTAATAACGGGACAATACCTAGTGCAGTAGTTAAGAGCCTGAATAGGCAGGTCAACCTTTCGAAAACAGTCAATGGCAAGCCAGCGGTAGATCCACACTCGAAACCCCCCTTCGAACTCCCAGAGGGACAATCTGTACCCGAAAGTTCCAGCGGCAATAGTGCTATCGAGCCTCATAATACACCAATGGGAGAGGCTACTAACGAAGACAAATCACAGCCAGCCGCTGCGAATTCCGGCGGCCATAGCTCTGTCGAGCCCACTGACACGCCTATGGCAGAGGCTTCTAACAAGGATACATCGGAGCCACCCGTGAACGCTATGCCTAGCTCTGTGGGTGAAAGTGCGAAAGAAGAAGACGGCATACTCGTTAGCTTTCAGAAACTATCGATTGGAGGCAGCCAATTTGGAGGATAGCCAGAAGCCTAATTCTCGACTGGCAGCTCAACCAAAGCCATTATGCGACATAGGCCTCTCAAAGGCGCTATATATAAGATCTAATCTGCAAAAGGATACAATCTAAGAAATCTGCCCGAGGCATCGGATAAAAACTCTCGTATTACGCAGATCTAGGACCGAGACGAAAATAGTAGAAGGCATCGCCGCTACACAGTGGAGAATATTAAGGGTATTATCGGCATTATGATACTAGAATATACGAATCTAGACTATAAGTACTCGAAAGCACCTCGGACGTATCTAAAAATCAAGTATATCAATATCGTCAATAAAGAAGACTAAAACTTACTTCTTCTAGGTGGCTGCACCTAGGTTCCCAAAGCCGATCTTAACGGCTTATTCGAGGCCGAGGTAATTACCCACGCCATAAGTAAAGCTTAGGAAAAGCAAGAAGAAAGATAGCTCGCGTACGAAGAGGGCGCTAGACGCAGTAGCCCTAATCGCCTCCCTTCTATTTGCCCGCTAGACGCTTTTATACGCGAGAAACGATCTCGCACGCACTCGGCCCCTCCTAGGTCATCGACCAAATCTAGGAGCCCTAGATCTAAGTTCAGAGGAAGTTCTAGCTCTACAATCATTAATAGTATTAAAACGCCCGCTAACACCACTTCTCCAGTGAAGAGACCGGTAGAAGTAAAGCAAGAGGAGGTTAATTATCCGGATCTCTCCGCTATGCCTAAATAGAAGGAGGAGGACCCCGACCTTTTTATTTAACAGCCCCCTACACCTACTCCAAATATAACCCCTCGCCAATCAAATATCGCCGACCTTGAAAGCACTACGGGCCAAGGTAAAAAGCGAGAGACTCTTAAATTCAACGTAGACTCTTACCTTGCGCAATTGAGAAGGACGGAGAGATAGAACACTATAAGTGAAAAGGAGCAGGCAAAGCGCGCCGCCAAAGCGCTTGCAAACTATGACCACTACAAAGAAGAACGACTCAGAATAGGCGATATTGAAGAGGAGGAAGAGGAATAGTAGAGCACACAATTCGGCAAAATATTAAGTTAAGTAATGCGAAACAAATAGGCCCAGTTCGCTAGCGACATAGGCCTACTAGAAATTATTGCATATCGGTTGATTCAATTTTGTCTCACAATTTTCATTTTGTTTTGGGATTTTTAGCTTAGCTCCCCTAAAACGAATACACTATCTTCCAGCGAAGCCTTTGAAACGCGATCATTTGAAAGGGTCGCTTTAAAGACACGTCTGTTACCATATAAGATCGCAGACACTGCGAGTAGATACATAGACACGTGAAGAATATATACCAGCACTTCTTGTATTATCGGGCTGACCGCATTTATACTCTATGTATAGCTCGGGTTCATACATCTGTACCGCTCTTACAGAGCCATAGACATGTTCTCGAACATATGAGCTATCAACAAATGAAATAGGAGCGCCTCTCGGGGTGCGCCTATCACGTTAGAGGCGAATATCAGGACTTAAATCTAGTTGACAAAGGCAATGTGCGCCAATAGGAAAGCAATATATACGAGATAAGGCTTAGCTGTTGGTCAGCTTACATAAATCAGAGGGTCATTAAAGGATTACTCCCACAATTGAAGCCCCGCACGTCTACAGACATGCAGCACTTTTTTGGTCAAAGCAGATCCGGCTATTTCCTTCCCCAGGTCGCTTGATCAAGTCGAGAGCATCTAGTGCTTACCCACCGCCGAAGTAATATATGTCAGATCGCTATGAAGCCTTAGATCCTTCAGGAGCTCTTTTACGACTTGAAGATGCCCCTTTGAATCAGCGTGCTATATCGCAGTCTTGCCCGACTTATCCACAGCATTGAGATCTGTTCGCGGATCCTCCAAAATGAGCTTCACGATATATAGATCTCGATCTCCGGAACCAGCCGCCGCTAACAGGGGAGTTTCACAATCTTTGTTGTTTCGACAGTTAACGTCCACTCGGTTACCCTGCTGCAGCAGGAGATCAACCACCCCAGTTCTACCGCACTTTGTAGCAAGCCAAAGCGGGGAATCTTCGTCCGGGCTCACTGCATTACATCGAAGATCATCTCTCCGAAGCAGTAATTTTACCATAGCAACATTGCCGTCGCGTGCAGCGTGGCCAAGGGGTGTCCAACGGAAAGACCCGAGAAGGTTTAGGTCTAACTCGGGGTTTCGTTCCACAAGCGAATAGTTCTGACTTGCCACAGCATCAAAGAGAGGCGTGGTAGATAGACCACTATTCCAACCGACAGCGTTAAGATCCACACCAGCCTCAGCTAGCAGCCGGAAGGAGATGCCATTATGTCCCAGTCGGATAGACCACCAGAGGGGTGTGTTTCTGTGCATATCTTTGCAGTTAATATCAACATTCGGGTTGCCTAAAAGCATATACACGATAGAAAGGTGGTTTCGCTTAGTAGCAACATAGAGAGCAGTAGATCTTGACGGATCCTATGCCTGCAAATTGATATTTTGCTGTTCAAGAAGCAATTCCACGGCCGCCAAACGCCCCTGATCCGCCGCGTGGTATAATAGAGTGTATCCACGCCGGTTGGCTGCATTGACATCCGCACCAAATTCGAGCAACAGATCTATCATTTCCGTGCGTTCATACTTAGCGGCCAGACACAGTGGCAGCTCGGTACCGTTGCCATCTATGTCGTCCAGAAATGTGGTCGTAGAGTAAAGGGCTCTCAGATGCTTCAATAGGAGTTGTGTGATCGAAGCATTGTTTCGCATAATTGCACAGTTGAGCGGTGTGACTCGATCTCGATCCGCCGCCAGTGCATCTTGTCCGCTCTTCGGCAGCAACCTCACCTCTCCCACGCTGCATTTGGAGACGGCATGCCAAAGAGGTATTCGATTGTAGGAGTCGTGAAGCTCTAATCTCGCTGGAGTTTCTAGATTGTTTGTCTAGACATCAATAGGTCAGTCATTGACTGCAAGACGATTCGAGAGAAGGGGAGAATGCTACTATGACTGTGGTGACAGAGTGAAAGACACCTAGGATATAAAGCTTTGGGAACTGTGAAGTACTGGAAGATAGGAGGTAAAACGACTGGTAGCGCACTCCTTAAATATCTATTTGGTCATGCCCTCCATTATTTATACCTCGGCATTAATGCAAGGGATTGCTATCTCCTAGGGCAGCCGATCGGGCTCCCAGGAGCGAGATTTCTGTATCAGTCTGTCATGTATGCGGTTTAAGCGGAAATAACGCGCAAGCCTAAGTGATAAGCTGACCGCCACCCATTTGTCGAACAAGTCGCGGTCACTGTCAGAACAGAGTCATTATGAGAAAAGAAGAAGATATACGCCTATACAACTAGCAGACTTTGTTGGCCAAACAAACTTCCAACAAAAATTTGATATATTCCATATATCGGTGTTGTCTCAACGGAATCCGCCTTTTACGAATTAGGGTAGAATGAAGGCCTGGATTGCGCGGGAAGATGGTTAAGCCGTAGGCTTCAACAAGCGGCCGTCAACCCATACATATATTACTTTAGCGGCCCGAAGACGGATAAAAGGTAACATTTAGATCAGTACTAACATCGCAAATCTTGGTTGCATAATTATTATCAGAATAGTAATAGGTAGAATCGTATCGATATATATTCGCGGGGCACTTGATCGTTGCGCACTCGGCATAGCTAGGCTTAACGCGGACCCCGTACTCTGTATTGGATAGGTTATTAATTTTCGAGAGTTTATAGTAGATCCTATTCAGAGGACCGCAGTCCGTGTTGCGTTCGTTTCCAAAATATGCCCTATAATTTATCTGGGTGATCTGGAGGCTTCACCACCGCGTAGAGACCTTGAGAGAGCTGCTATCACTATCTGTAAGGCGGAATAGGTAGGAAAGGCTTCCTATTGGTTTTAGCTCCGTGTCCAACTATATTCTATTTACTACCCCTTCAACGTATAGAGGAAAGCGGCAATAGTTATATAGGACAATATTGCTACGCTACTACTTGGCTAAGCAAGCCAACGGCGCCCAGATAAGAAGACCCAATGCCCACCGGACGGCGCTTTCGAGAAGCATTGTACATAGCAAACTTTCTCACGAGGGCTGCAGTCGGTCTCTATATATATTATTACCGACAGAGCCCAACGTTCGATGTACTTTGTGTCTAAAACGATAGCTAGGTTAAAGGATAAGAAAGTGTATCATGCTAACCACAGCACTTCTCTTTCCGACATACCACACATAATTAGACCGGAGGCAAGTTTCGGTGGTGTTTATCCGGTCAGAAGGGGGCAAGATCAGAGGTTTTCAACGGTTGGCCTGCGATACAGTCATTCCATTGCACATAGAAATACACACTTTCACATTAAATGGAAAGGAAGGAAGACGTTATAACTACGACTACAAGAAGGAGCTACGTCCTAACTTTCTACCTTGTATAGTAGTTGTTTCGCCATAGAGACTCTCACGCACCCGTCAGATGATAGAAGCGAGCATAGTGGAGAGATGCGATCGGGTCCCCAGCCATGGGCGAGCTCGAGAATAGCTCACACGGCCTTTTAACAACTAGAATTCCACAGTACCCAACAGTAAGAGCCTCTATTGACCACTAGAATTAGGCTTGCTAATTAGCTTTAGCAGCATCACGCCGGCAATGCGAAGGTAGTGGAAGAGGAAGAAAAACTAAAATTAGCTATCGAACCTTTCCGGTCGGTTATCGAGATTTTGACGAAACTAGAGAAAGAGGACGCCAAGGCGGCGGCTCAGGGCGCTCGTTTAGTGAGCCTCCTACGGCGTTTGTAGGAGTCCTATATCGCTAAGCATATCGATAGCTAGCGACTTAAGGAGGGGAACTAATAGCTACGAGCCATAAATTCGTAGCTATATCACGAAGGAAACTACCTCTAGCACATCCACGATAACTAGCTTACTTATTTCTATGCCGTTAAGCAAGATTAATGAAAGTGCGATAGGACCTTCTTTATATCCTTAAATAGTGGAATAGCACTTCTATAGGCGATTTAAGAATCCTACCGGAGGATAAGGATCTACTAGAAGTAAACAGCTAATAGGACGATTAAATTTGCTTATAGCTTAGATTATAAATATCGCACGTTAACGTAGTATAGATAAAAATACTAGTTATATCGTATCACGTAGATCCTAGCATTCGCCGGACGTAAACTTATCCCTAAAATATAATAATTATCGCAGTTACGGACTAATATCACTTTGTGTTCATCTCTGGCCTGTCCAGTGCCTCGTTCGCCGGGAGTTCATATATGACGGGTAAACCCCCAGTAAACTCCCGAGACGTTGACTTGGTCGCCGCACAGTTGGTCCGCCGGCGCGAGCAGGTGCCAACCCGAGGAAATGCGATCGGGTCTCTGAAGTGTTTGTTATGGTATAAGACTGACCGGTAACCCCGACACCGTTCGCATTGAAGCCGTAGCAGAGCCGGTTGGGGTACTGCCAAATAACTGTCCGGACCGTCCCGTGCGGGAAGACTTGCGTGTTCTTCCTTCGGCGGGTGCTTGTTGCGCCGACTACCGGTGAGGGACCGTAGCGATTTTCTGGCTCTGTTCGTATGTGAGTGAATGCCTCGCAAAGGATGCGCACGATCAAACTGCTTACGTACCTTGCATTCACCCACAGCCCGGTTCCAAGGATCCAATGTATGTTCAGGACGAATTTTCCCGTGTTTCATTCGTCTTCGAGAGGCGAGTAATAGGCCGCGATCGCTCTCATGTCAGATTTCTGATCTTCTCCAACGCCTTTTGTAGGCAAGCCCGCCAGGACTCTCATCGATCTAGCGTACTGCTCATAGCGACATTGCGACCACGGTGACCCACACAAGAGACGCACGTAGGAACCCGCTGGTCAAACTCCGTTGAAGAATGAGACAAAAACTTTGACCAACTTGAGCAGCCCACAGCCGTGGCCGTCATGGGTTCTGAGCCTCAGGGCTGTGCTTTGCTTTCAGAATGTCATAGTGAGAGCATGATGCGTCAAACCACCGTTGAAAGGAGAGTCCATCGGACAGAGTGGCCGGTTCCCACCAAGAACAATCAAACGCCCGACGGCGAAAGCGTAATCATGGATGTATGGACCCAGAGCTGTTGTTAGCCCTTACTTTCCGAAATAGCCAACGCTCGAAGAAATCACCCTCCCAACGTTGATAGGCGTTGTTGCGGGGCCAGGCACCCATACCACCTTTGCCAGCTCGCTGAGAGCTCGATATATGTAACTACCAGACCTCCGCCCCAGCCTTGCCGTATAGTGCGAAGCTCAAGCATTCCGCGCTCTTACAGTACCACCTATCGGATAATGTTTGCTCTTGTGGTGTTGGTTGTTTTGGGCATCGGGTCTGGTGCAGCGGCTGCCGCGTCGCGTGCCCTCACCGCCCGGTCCGCCACCGACGTATGTTCACCGTTTATCGCGTTTAGCTTTTATTGCCCCTTCACCGACCAGCGTTGACAGCCCCTAGACACTAGATGCCCCATTGCAACTTCAAGCTTGGACCCATCCGAACTGTCAGGGCAACAGATCCGCCTGGACCTCTTTCGACGACAGTGTTCTTGCGCGCAACATATCAAATCTATTTATTGCCCGCAGCTTCCGACTTAACCGTACGTTGGTAGCACAGGAACAGCTAGACATCTCGGTGACCAACAATTACTCCACGTGGTACCCAGACAAAGACCAACTGTCATATGATAGCTCATCGTGTACCGATTTCTGGCAGATTACTATGCCCACAATGGGACTACAGCATATCACAATACACCGCCGTTTACGTGCCACCGGCTGTGGAACAACCCGGGCTTGCCGACAGTTTAGAGATTTGCAGAGACCTATAGCGCCGGGGTAGGTTGAGCGTCGTGCGGGACTGAAGCAATACCGAGTGTTATGTGGATGGACGTACGGATTAAATACAGCGATCTCTACAGCTTGCGTAGTAAGTGGAACAGGACATAGATTTTCCATGGAACGCCTTTGTATAAAACCCTGTGATCAACAATAATATCGGTATCGCCGTGGCTAGGGCCCGCACGCTTCCCATAGAGACCCGGAAACCAGATCGTATCCGCGACCATCCTCGCCGGCCTCGACGCGCGCCGAGTGACTCGCACGATGATAACGATCATGCACCGGGACTGGCTTCCTCGAAGAAGGAAACAAAACTCCGTTCAGAGCCAGGACAAGGGCTGACTCATTGGATGCATGGGCTCATTTGCCTCCGCATCCGCCGTCATACTGCGAAGTTCCCCGCTATATTCCGTACAAAAAAGGCTGGATCAAGCGACACGGGCGTAGCCGAGCGAACGCATGAAAACGCGTTGTCCCGGACCAGACTCGTCCCTGCCTCTTTCCGCGGCAATATGTACATTTGGAAATACGAATTCTCCAATGCGCCCTAGCTGTCCTGTCGCGAGATGATATCACAGATCTGCCCACGAATCCGCGGCAGATTTCCCAGCATCGATTCCTGGCAAGGGAGGAAGAACGGATACTCCTCCACAACCTCGCCCGTCGCCGTCGTTAACCTAGAGAGCCGGAACTCTATCCACTGTATTTGCCCAATAGGCATAAATGCCGACAAGTGGAGAAAGAAATCACCGGCGCTCGTATAGAAGGACAACGGGTCCGGCCCGGTCCAGGAAAAGCAGCGCCGGGCATCCTGAGTGGGACAGAAGATATATTCGACGAGTGATGGTGTATAGTCTTCGTGATTCGCGGGGACGGGCGCGTTAGGCGGTTCCATCGTCACGAGATGATCATGACTAGGCGTGAGGCCGGGAGGGGACGTTGGCAGCTCCGAAAAATCCACAAAGTCCGCCCATAGCTGCTCTAGGTCTATATCCTAATCCAGAGGAGAGACTGAAGGTAATAAGTGTTAGCGCGAAGCCAAGGCAGGGAGCCGCTAGACTAACCGCTATCTGAGCCTTCTATTTCTTTTGCTTCCAAGTGCCGTCGGATAACTATACCATAGGTAACATCAATCTGCGCAGAATAATTGATATAGTACCAATGTTAATTTAATATACATTTCGAGAACTGAGAGGTTATCTGTTAGCTCCCTTTTTTTATTTTTTTTTATTTTTTTATTTTTATTTTTGGTTTTCCCGGCTTATTACGATAGAGACAGCTAAGTGTAACTGTTTGAGGATCGAGTACTTTGTTATTTGAGATGCTGCAAGAAGTGCTAGCAAAGTCGCTATATTTGCTCACAGTAGCGACCGTTGGATTTGTGCAAGGAAAATCGGTTACGGTGTTAATCCACGCTTCCGGGTAAAGCTCGGCGAGGAGGGATAACAACCCTACACAAATAACATATGATCGCACCGCCCACCCTATTTCCACCGTTTATTATCTAACGTTTATCACCCATCATTCGTCGCCCACCGTTTATCGCCTATCAATTTACCACCTGTTAGTTGATAAGTGAGGCCTCGGTGTTTATATTGTTGATGGGAGCTGATTTCGTGTTGTGTGTTGATATAGAGACGCTGGTAGCTAGGTGAATATGTATGTATGCACGTGCTCCTAGCCCCGTGATTATCTCAGTGACCGGGATATTCAACACACCCACCGTTTATCGCCCACCGTTTATCGCCCTTCATTTACCACCCGTCGTTTATCATCATCTTCATCGGCCACCGTTTATCACCCGTCATTTACCACCCACCGTTTACCACCCACCATTTGTCGTATACCGTTTACCGCTCACCGTTTATCGCACACCATTCACGGCCCTTCATTCACCACCCATCGTTCTCATCATCATTGATCGGCTACCGTTTATCGCACACCGTTTATCGCTCACCGTTTGTCACCATTGTTCATCACCTATCGTTTATCGCCCACCCATTTATCACCCACCGTTTATCACCATTGCTCATCGACTGAAGATTCTCGTATCAACAGATTTCCAAAAGATAATTGTTGCGATTTGTTGTAGGCCTACATCATATGTCAAATTAAGGATACCACTATGATTATACGTGACTAGTGCACCGTTCTTCTGGCATTATAGGGTCTTTTGTATTCCCTGGGAAGCAAGGACCGTAACGAGTAGGATAATACTGTAGGCCCTGAATATCCCCTAACTGATTCTCGCACAATATCAACTAAGACCCCAGATGTCTAGTACGGCTCAATACTTCGAATCTTAATTAATATGATATTATCATTCTATGGTACGGGCACAGAAAGCGCAATATTGCTACATTCAATTGACAGTGCTTGTCTCTCTTTGATGGAGAGACAGCTGCTTGCTTGTATACGACAATCTAGGTTCAGGCCGGAGAGACAAAATAGAATTCTCAGATATCGTATGGTGATTCCACCAAGCCGCCCTCAGGACAAGCACTAAGAAACTGAGCTCCGTCTATAGAAACACGGTTCCAAATCCGGGGGTCTGCTATATCTGCAGAATAAAAGGACAATCCACTAGGCTCATACATTGTAGGCCGATCGTCTTCTTATATGCAATCCTCAGCGTAGCCTACTCTTCGGACTAAGAACTGCTAACTGGAATATCGATTTTTATGGGAGAAATCCCCAAACGCTAAAATTTGAAGATTTGGTAAGCCGCTGGCGCCGAAAGCCCATTCAGTAAATGACAGAAATTCTTTAGCATCACAGTCGGACGTAGGCTTCAGTGTGGCCTCTGATAAACTGTAATTTCTAGGGGCCAAGGAGCTAGGTTAATTGTCAATACGAGCTAAGTAGCTAAGTAGTTATTAGATCTATCCTTACGCGGCGAAGGCACACTTTTAGCGTATCTTTCATGAAGTAGGGCCTCGATTTCTTATTTAATATATCGATGAATCCTCTCGGGCCCGCTGAACCTTAAATATAAAACCTGTAGTTGTATCTTGCTGGCCCTGGGCTCTAGCCATTAGTGCTAAGAATATTAGCTTCCATCGAGTCATAACTAGTACTGAGACTATATACCGCTGCGGAGGGGCTCACACAAAGTGCCAAAGCTATCATGCGACTCAAGTTCACGATGTTAGAGAATATCCAATATGAAGATACATCTCGATCTTCCTCGAATAGTCCCGCATCGTCGATTTGTTCAAGCTGTCGCTCATAGTAAACGAGCCTCTTTAATGAGCTTCGGTGGTGTCGAATAGCATTTTGGAGTGGATATTCCTACGTGGGGAAATTAGTTAATTTTAAATGAAGACTCTTGAGGCCCTGAAAAGAGAAGAGGAACTCAATAAGCGCGTTAGAAGCACAATTATCTCCTGGCTCAAAGAGAAGGGAGTCAATATATAGTTCAATATGCTCAAGTTGCGGTGAGGTTAGTGGCCGAGATAGCTATCGCAATAAGTTCAGCTGATTTGAATAATCTCGCAAAGTCAACGAGCGCAGTGAACGGAAAAAGGAGCCATATAAAGAAATTTCTGTCGGAAGAGTGACTTTAGAGAGTGACAAAGTGGATAAAGGCGAAAGTGACGTTGACTAGTTAGCGGTGCTGTTTTCGAAGTTCAAGATTTCTGGCCGGTGCAAACCAATTGTCTCCTAGCGTAAAGCCCTAGAGGCAACCGATGAAGTAAATCTAATCGAAAGATTCGTCAGATGACTCCAGTTTCGATAGATACACTGCCGCAAGGTTTCGATCTCCCTCGCATGCTGGATACTTTCCTATGCTAGCGTTTTCAAGTAAGAAAAGTCAGATAGACCTTCTAGGCTAAAGGAGATTTGTGGATATGTTCCATCGGTTATAAGCAATAAATTTGCGAGCCTGCTTTAGTATTGGCTGAGATACCCTCCCTTGTTCATTACACCTATCGGGAGACATATCCCAAATCGCTAACTGTGACGGTCAGTTTCAATACAGACAGAAATTTGTGCGTTTGATACACTGAAAGGTACGCAGGCTATCTGGCTTTAAACGCGTGAAGACCTGTCTGAGTTATGCGGCAATATCGTCCAGGAAATGCTCGTGCGCCACCATATCATCGGAGGTGCCGAGCGTGGATGTACATAGAGAAAGCCCTACATTACGGAATATGCTATAATATGCACACCGATTAAACCGAGCGAGATTGATTGGCGCGTAAAAGTGTAGGTGCTTAACGTGCTGCAGATGGTTAGCTGCCCGTATGTGTCCGTGGTAGAGAAAGAAGGAATCGACATCGAGGACGTTCAATGCCCACTCACTGGTGGCACGGAACGTAACGGTCTGATAAATCAGGGGGATCAGCGCTGTATGCAGTCTGGACGAGACTTGACTCAAAATCCCCAGGCTAGCAGTAGGCAGCTAAGAGGTATTAGCACATTGAGCCGGACTTGTGGCCAATAACTTACAAAGTTTGCGATCAAGAAAAATATTTCGCATAGTAATCTGTCTAGCATGATGCTCGGTGTGGGCACAGCTTTGGAACTGAAAGTGTAGGATTTTTATATGTCTAGCTGCTGCATGTGAGCTCTTAAATGATGCCCGTGAGGGTAAATCCTGGTATGCATCGAATTGTATTGTTGCCGAAAAGGAATTGTGAGTACGGCAGTCGTCAGAGTTTCAGGCTCTAGGTTAGGGGAAGGCTCAGCTAGCAGGCCCCGTGCTTCAGATCGTTGACATCGTCGTATAAGGTAAAAAGTTGCGTTTAAATCTTTGAATGGCCTGAAATGTCTCGTCGAATGGATTAACCGAGCTTGGTGAATGTAACAGGTGTAGGCGCAGAAAAGAGGGCCGATGGCGGACATGTCACAGGGTCAAAGAGATGACGAGCCGTACGAAAGCGAAGAGCAAAAGTTGCAAGAGCCATATTGTAGAATTTGCCGATGAATTAACCAAGCTTCCACCGTTTAAATGTTGGGCTCAACAGGTTTCGTCCCGTTATCAATAAGAGGCATATTAAACGGACAAACGGACAAACGGACAAAGCCTTGGCCAGCACGGTCGAGGGCGGTGAAGGGCATGAACGTTCAACGTTGAACTACCGAATCTCGGTCTTGTGCAGCCAGAAGTCATCGCTCCCTTGTTAGTTTGCACCCGACCACTTACGTAACGATCAAAATGGTTGTCTGAAAGCCAGCCAGGGTTATCACAAGGGTCAATTTCTTGTATAGAGGATCAGACCCTAATTCCGGGGAAGGAGCAGTCTTTGGCTAGGGGGGGCACTATTAGTGGGCGTAGCGCATCCCGGGAGTTTCTTCGCGATTCTTACACGCCCGTGACCCTCGTGGGGAGCTTGAATCGAGTGTCACCGATCGTACTGTACCAGGATGGGCGCCTGGGCGGTCCTAGACGATTGTACCCGATCCGGCTTAGTAGGTAGAACGTATGCCATACACAGCCCGGTGTCCTAATGCTAACCCGGATGCAAAGCCATCGACCCGATGTGGCGTTCGACTGTCACCTAGTTACATTACGGGGCAACGGATATTCCTCGGGCGCACTAGTAAAGTCGCGACCGTCCACTCTCAAGTCTCGTACTTTTCACTTTTTTGCTCCTTAAGCATCCGCCGAAAAAATACAGTATATACTTGGCCTGTCTCACGGAGACGTATGCCCACACAGACATCTGCATCGTAAATCTTGCTATATTCGCATGCATTTGTCATTAGAGTTGATTTACGACGACACTGATTTCTAAGTACTGTAGCCACTTCCACAATAAAGAGATGCCCCGGGCATCATTTTTAGATAAGTGAAGGGAAGGGGAAATAAAACAAGGGGCTAACTAGCTAAGTAGTTTCAATTTTGCTGTACCTTGGCAGTTTTTTATTCTTGCACTAGGTCACGGTTTCGCTAACCGTGCTCCAAGGAGAGAGTAGAACACTACTACGTTGAAACCCTTCAGCCCTTGGGAGTCAAAACCTGAATGCAGATAATTCTGTGAAGACTATGTTTAACCAGCAGCTTTCCCCCGGATTTGCAAGCTCCGTTTACAACACCTGGATTAATGAAAATAAAGTGCGGTTTCAACGCCCGCCGTTCTTTCTGTTGACCGTGTTGAAGCCGCAGTTGAACAGTCATTTAGGTCGATACGTGCAACCGAGGGCGAGAAAAAAAGACAATGATTAATTAACGGTAAAGTAGCTGAGTACAGTAAGAGTATTAATCGTCGCAAAAGACCTTTGTCTTCAACTGCTACATGCTGGGTTTCTCAAACTGGGGTGCAAGCAACTCATCAATATGATGGTTGAAAAGGCAAAGCCCCTGGCACCTCCGACAGGCCCAGAATACCAAGATCCTCAAGCACAACATTGAATCACCGTTAAGTGTCCGCAGGGCGTCTTGTCATATGTACTAGGTAACAGGTGCAACCCAGAAACTACGCTTAATCTTCATGATTGTGGTATGCCCCTGCGAAATATATACTTCGCTTTCCCTAAAGAAACCGAGGTCTCGTAGGCATGAAATGAACCTGTAGAATGATTCAGTATTGGCTTGAAAGAATTCTGTGCTTGAAAAATCGAAAATTGGCGGGAGCAACCATTCGTTTGAAGAGGAACGAACCTTTCATTGTCCGCCCTAACGTCCACCAAGACGGAATAGGTTCTCTGGTCGCACAACCAGCAATAATGAACCACTGAGCTCAGGAAGAGTGCCAGATTATCCAAGCTATTGAAGTCGTCATCTCCAATGAAGAACCGGAAGCCCCTATCCCAATCCTCCACCTTGCCCTGCAGCCTACCACGACGATCTTCAAGGACCCAGAAAATCTCGAGGAAGCCAACAGGTGTCGAGCCCCAGTATGCTAGTGCAGGAAAAGATGATTTGCTTGACATAGAAGTCTTAAGATTTTCCCTCCGGACTTCCAAAGAACTGCTCTGGATCAAGCTTGCGTGAGTTGGAGACTGGTCCATCCATCGGTGAAGCAATTCCAAATCATTCATAAGTTCAGGGTCAAGGCATAGGTTCGGACAACTCCAATCGCTTGGCTGCGTCGTTGTGGAATGTGACCTCATTGCGCTTTCCATTGGGATTAGGGGTACGCGGAACGTCATGTTCTGACCACTACTGGGAATGAACCTCGTGTAAAACACCTCTCCTTGCTGTGGAGCTCTTGGGCGGACTGGATGGCGAATGCTGTCAGTAAATTTATATTGAAGTGGGATGGGAGGGTAATATGAGGGTATGAAGGTCCCAGAAGTGTTGGGCCCAGCGCCAAAGGGGAACCCTTTTCCAAAAGCATCCAATGATGGAAGAGCCCATGCCTCATTATCACTGACAGGAAAACGGGGTGGATCCAGAGTAAACAGATAGATCCCGGGATCCAACTGCCAGAAGGCTCTTTGAGTAATGAACATCTCGAAAAAGGTCTCTGGTCTCTCTTGCGAACCCACTGAAGGATCAGCAGTCGCGATTAGGCCCATCCTCTCGAGTCTCTGCATTCGCTGTTTCCCACTAAGAACGCCGTCTCCTTTCACTTTCAGACTCCACTCTCCTCCTGTATCTGTGGCGAATCCTGGCAGTTCATTTCCATTCGACGTGGGCACATGCCAGTCTGGTGCGGGTTCTTGGAAATACCAGAGAAAGGTGGCAAATAAGATCATGGCCACTTGTCTAGTAGCAGCGCTCTCAGGTTTCGTGTCGTTAATTGATGGCGTCGACATTGAAGATATGTGGAGCACATCGCTGAGGAGAGTTGGTCTCGTAAAAGACGAGACAGAATCGATTAGGGACTGGCGATCCCCGTCAATGGACGGCTTTCCATTACCTGAGTTCTCGGTATAAAGAGATATCGACCACCCAGGTGGAAAAGAGCCGTGCAAGCTGTGTTCATCGACTGAAAATGTAAACCCCCCAAAGGATGGTTTGACATTGATCTGCTGCCCGTTGGGCAAGAAGTACTTATTGTACTTCATTCGAACGTATGATATGGAAAATACTGAGGTAATTCAGATCCAGAGAGCTGCACCAGAGAGCTGCACATACTGTGTTCTTGAGTCCCGTTAAAGTGACAATGGTGATGAAGAGTCTATACGTCAGACGATAACTTTAAGTGGGGTGGGGTAAACGTACTATTTTCGGGTCCATTAACAGTGTGAGCGTGGTATCTTCCATCCGTCATTGATGACTAAAATTCTGGCATTTTTTTTTACAACTGAATGTAATTAAACCGCTATAATACATCAACATACCCTTAGTAGGGCGTACAGTGGCACCGCAAAAGTATTTGACCACCTTTACACCGCCTTATTTTCTGCCATATTTTCTGCCAGCCAAAAAACTCCATGAATTCAAGCACCATACCACTAATATTTAGTATACAAGCCATTAGACTTTACAATTGCCTGCACCCGATGCGGCATAGTCTCTGATAGATGCTGAAGCATGCCCAGATCAAGCGCATCCCACGCATCTTGCGCTGTATCAATCAAGATATCAAGCGTTTCGTTATTATTCCGCATATGCAATAGATTAGGCCGAATCTGATATATCTTCTGCTTTAGAAGCGTCCAGAGGTTCTCGATAGGATTAAGATCAGGGGAAATAGGTGGCTATCCCATTATCTCAATTCCTAGCTCGATCAAAGCCTCGCGTACGATATAGGCAGTATGCGAAGGTGCATTATCTTACTGAAATATCGTATTCGGTATCGACGATAATAAAGTAGGTAGGATTCTTCGATAGATATCCTCGATCACGAACCGGTCTATACCCCCTCGTATAGACTGCGATATACTAGCGGTAAACAATGGAATAAGCCCAGTCCGTCGGTATGCACCAGAGAATAAAGCCCAAAATATCTGCTTAATCTGCTTCCCTTTCGTAGGCGTAGGCATTATATCGCCTAGTTCTGCCTAACGGTAAGGACGAATAAAGGAATATTTAGGCCGAAGACCTTGCCTACGTTCGATAGAACACTTATCCGACCAAAAAAATACGTTCCCAATCCTCTTTCATATAGTGTTCGTATTGCCGCGCCCACGAGAGTCGTTTTGCAGCGTTTTCAGCCTTTAAATAAGGCCGTTTTATCACTCGCCACTTCTTTAGACCTTTAATAGATAGTAAGCGAGCAATAGAGTCTCTCTTGCATTTATTACTAACTTCTGCAAAAAGATCTGCGTATTAGACGCGCGGTTTAGCGTGGACTTTATCAATAATCTTCTGCCGATCAGCCTTATCTAGCACCTTTGGACGGCTAGAACGAGGTAAAGATATATTCATATTGCGCTCGTGCGCCTTCTTAACCGTATATTTGATCGTCGATAGAGGAATAGAAGGATATTCCCTTTAGATTTGCTTATAAGACCATAGCGCAACCGTTTTTAGTTCAACGATTTTAGTTCGCGTCTATACGTCAAGCTCGCATTTAGGCCTTCGTAGAGCGGTAACGGGCGCCCGCTACGGCGTAGGGGTGATCCGGATAGGAGGCATATGTGTATAGGTAGGTTAGAAGAATAATAGCTTCATACGCGGCACGCGTTGATGGAACACGCTAGCTAGTTTAGTAGGTTTTAGAAGGCCTAGTATGGTAGGCGGTGAAATGGGACCATTAAAGCGGTGTGGAGGGTGGTCAAATACTTTTGCGGTGCCACTGTATGTCCTCCCTGCGCGTCGATAACAGCCTGGCAGCGCGTCTGCATTAAATCGATCTGTTGATTAAGAAATTCTGTAGGTATTGTTTCCCGAGCAGCTACCCTTTTGCAGGATAAAGCATGTATATCATACTGTAGGTCTAGTTTAATGACTTGAGTTAAGTACGGAAGCCGATTTTCTACGTTGCTTTTTGTCTTTCTTGTGCCACTTTATGCCGACAAGTGTGTATTCCATTTGCCTCTACCTCTCACCGGTCTATTATATCCTTGTACCATATAACAGTTATCTGGAAGCCTGTATACCAAGCGCCTCATTTCTCACCTGGCTTCTACGTCCGGGCCACTTCACGGTTTTCTGGTCATGACGCCCCATGGTTTGGACTCTACTCAGGCTGATGATTGGTTTACAGGAAGATGACTAAACATACTCCTGCAACGTAACGTATTTCTCAAACGGAGGTTCGCCCAAGCAGGTAGGCTCAATCGTCCCAATCGTCCCCAATCGTCCCCAGCACACCTTAGATTGCAAGATCTGCTACATGCAGCAAGATCGCTGGGTCACGGGTGACTACTCTATGTGGGCATATGGTCTGGGAGTTATGCGCAGGAAATCTTGAAACAAAGTCGGATGCTATCCTTTGGCAGGTTAAAGCATATATATCGTGTTGCACTAGTTCAATCACTCAAGTTAAAGTATGGAAGCTGCGTTTCCACGTTGCTTTCTCCACTCATCTACCTTCGCAGCGGGACAGCCGAATATTTAACATCACGTGGAGCCTGAACTACGCGCCGTCTTAGCGCCCACGTATTGCCCAACGCGTAAAAAGACCACGATTTTCCTTATGAGAAATTCATGTCTTTTGTCAGTTCAAAAATTGAAAGTTCCCTTTGCATAATTTAGCTCTTTCTTGTTACCAGAACTATGCCTTATAAGAGCTCGCGTTTCCGATGCTTTTCCCGGGCAATACAGGTACATTCACATTCATCGCCCCCCTAAAGAGCAAGGCGACCACTCGCTCGCAATGGCTGCTATAAATCCAACCCGATCTAGTTGCCTCAAAGAGAAGATTGATACGTCAAAAACAATGCCGTCGCAAAACAATTTTGATGAGAAAGGCATGCGAATATAGTAAGATGTGCGACGCAGATGTATGTGTGGGCATTCGCATCCGGCGCAGTAAAGCTTGATGGCGTTAAGTCTATCTTGAACTGATACGCGGCGAAGAGCTCCGCGGCCGCTAAATTAATCGTGGGAACCGATTTCGGACCGGCTGGCGGCTTAATAGGTAGAGCATTATTAACATAACTATTGAATGATAGGCCTATTCGATCAATTCGTATTAAGATATTGGTCACTATAGGAGAGATTCCTGGCGGAGTAGGTACAGGCCGGTCTCCCTGGTGGAGGTTAGTTAATAATAGCGATTTTGGTGAGGTCTGCCCGGCTGGATCAGTGGGTAAAATGACCCGATACGGCTCGAACTCTGCCGTAAGAGCTAGGTTATCCGGGAAGGTCAGCGCGGGGGACTGAGTCAGCCATAACGATCCGATAAAGAGTTTAGCGGGATAGCTATAGTTTAATAGGAACTTGGCTATTGGGTCACCTAATTTAAGGTCGAATTTAATATCGATAGAGAAGCCGAGTAGGGAGAAGTTATAGCCCACTGAGAAGGTTACGCTACGCACCGTTGTTGCGGATTCGACGGGTAAAAGTGAGCTAGGGGAGAATATCTAGTACGGTGTTCAAGTCAGACCTTCCTAGTTATACACAGGGCATATTACGTATCTTAGTAATGCAGCGACCTCTCGGGCGGAAGGCGCATATACTTTCCTAAAGAAGCATATCGGAGGTAGAGCAGGTGATATGCTATCTATCCTTTACAGCATATCCAGTGCTGTTTTGTCTCAAATTGATCATATTCGGTCTAATAAGAGAGCAGGTAATATTTATACGCTTCTATTCTCTAAGAAGCCTCTATATCGGTTGATTGAGAAGCATATATCACTATATTCGCTTACTTTAATTAATAAGCAGCACCATATAACTAGCTGGTAGGGCTACTACAGAGGCGCCTTTATCGGTCTGTACTGGTGCATTTACTAGAGTATATGGCCTTCCATGTGCCCACCGGATCGATGCTTTGATCAAGCAAAACCAGCTTATACCGGTCACTGATATTCACATGTTCTGGAGGATCGGTGGCCTAGAGAACCAGGCATACATTCCGTTACCGGAGCCTCGGCTTCCTGCACAGCCTCCGAAGGTATCAGACCGGAAGTATATGGTGCTAGTGGTGCCAAAGAAGCAGAAAGCGCCAGGCAGATGCTCTCAGTGCGGCGAGTATGGTCATAATGTCAGGAAGTGTGGGATGTAAGGCAAAGAAAGTTTTGCCGGCAGTACGAAAGGCGGTCAAAAATGTCGTGTTTCTAAAAAAAGTGTCGTGTTTCTATCAATTCCCTTCAGATTATAGTTCGTAACTTAATTCGTGAGAGTGTATAGGTATAACTGATTTCGAAAATTACTGTAGGGTATCGTATCATACTGGCACAGATTAGTATGAATTATGTAGCAAAATACTAGAATGAAGTTGTCAAACTCACCACAGCATTTCGTGTCAATAGATCCTAGCTAAGGCAAACCGTTGTTTTCCCGCAGTTGCTCCACATTTTGTAGAATTGGAGCTGTTTTGAAAGCATCTGGTCGTAATACTTTGCGCAAGCACTGGTAAATTGTCTCCTCCAGCCCCACTGTTACCGACCAAGACGAAGAAGAATTCGTGTATCATTAACAGAAGCAACTAAACTGGAGAAGAAGAAGAAGAGAGAAAGAGGAAAACGAGCATCTACGAAACAAACCCACTTCTATCCCGAATCGGGTTAGACCCACGGCTCCTTCCAGATCACGTTCCCCCTCAGGCCTCTCTCAGGCCACAAGACATTCATGCGTCACACCCACTGCTGGTAACTGAATCGAAGGGGCAAGATACTCTTTATTGACTGGTTCGTGAAGCTGACTGGTCTGGGCAAGGGCGTCTGGAGCATGACCGTCAACATCAAGTCCATTCTCTGTATAGCCTGGCCCTTGAAACAAATCACCAAAGCTGTTTTCAAAACCAAATCCAGGTTCAGAGATATCTCCCGCTTCCTGGGTCAACATGCTTGGAGTATGCGGCGGTTGAGCAGAAAGGCCATCTAGTTGATTGATATATGGCAGATACAATGTTTCTACATTGATCGCAAGTGGCAAATTATTTTTCTCGGGTGGTAAATGCTTCCTACCCCGGATTGAAACGTTGAGCTCATATCTATAGGGTGTCATGGTTACTTACTGCTGGTGCTGATGCCTCATGAAGGAAGCGGCCCGTTTGTATTTCATCGTACATCCTTCATAATCACAAGTGTAGATAGTCGTACTTGTATGAGTCAATTTATGCCGTCGACAGTGCTCAGCCCTTGTGAAAACCTGTCGAATGATAAACATAGGTTCAAACATTCAGCGGCTTCAGTCTCACCTTATTGCAATCAGGATGCTCGCATTTATGTACTCGTTGACCCCTTGTGGTTCTTTTGGCTCGTTTTCTTTTGACCGGAAAGCCTTGTAGTGAGGAGTCGGTATTGGTGCGAGATCCTTCTATCTTGCCTTCGAGCCGAGGCCAAAAATCCATTTGGAATACTGAAGTCATTTTTCAGATACAGAACTGACTTTATGTACGTGATATGGAGGTTGAAAGACAGAGGCTTCTTTTTCAAAGGAAGAACGAGACCTGAAGTCACAGGCACTTATTTTGGGATCGACTCATTCGAAAAGTGGCTAGTAAGATCAAGTTCGGTTGAGTGGGTACAGTAACCTTTGATTAGTAGTGGTCAACACAGAATTTATCAACATGTAGTTAAAGACTGTATTCCAAATAAAAATCAATTGTGGGGCTCTGCTGCAGATAAGGAAGGGGGGTTTAGAGACGTATAAACGTTGGATTCTCCAAATTCTCCTTTATGACCCTGGCATAGACAAGATGACGTATGATCTTGTGTCTACTCACCACTTTGATCGCTGAGCTGATTAGTTAGCAGAGGGTGATTTGAGAAAACGGCCAGTAAACAGTAGAAAGCGGTCAGCAGAAACAGACAACAAAAACGGGTTAACAACAAACGTTCGATCACAACGTTTAATCACAACGTTTACTCGAGTTGGAGTAGCTCCCAGGCTGCCATCTTTCATAGCATAAATTTGAGTCGTTGACTGGATGTTTTGGTCACTAATAATAATAATAATAGTTAACAGAGGGTGGTTAACGGAAACGGTCAGTAAACAGTAGAAAGCGGTCAGCAGAAAGAGACTTGAGTAAAAAAGGGTCAACAAAGAATCGGTTAACAACAAACGGTTAACAACAAACGGTTAACAACAAACGGTTAACAACAAACGGTTAACAACAAACGGTTAACAACAAACGGTTAACAAAAACGGACGACCAACAACAACAAACGAAAGTGATTAAAGAGTGATAGGTGGCAGATGCCCCAACAGCAGGAAGAATCCTTCTCCACGCTGACTTTGAAACATGGACTTTGGGTGAGTGGCACCCTGCGTCCTCATTCTCAGCTTTCTACGCGTTTATCTGGCACGTATCTATTGAACGAGAGTACGAGGCAATACCTCCATTTGCAAAGGCAACCGGTCTCTTTTTATTTCACCGCTTTCCTGAAGATTCGCTCGCTCACATTGGATATTTTTGGTGAATATGAACAAGAGGATTTGATGAAATATGAAGTATTAGACAAATGACGTACGACAAAACACCGTTCGCTGGTCTACGGCGGGCCCCCGCATTTGAGTAAAAGAAGGAAGAACGCTAGAGAATTATTGAATTAGAAAGTTCTCAAAGATAATTTAGATCTCTTGAACGTTTATGAACGTTTACTAACTTTTCCACGTGAATGGACATGCTCTCGCAAAGGACTCGGGCACAAAGAAGATACAAGGTAGTTAGATCATCGGTGTCAGATAATCTAGCTTGAAGCTTGTAATTTTATTCCAACGGGCTCTTGTTGAGAACCGTTCGTTGGCCGTTCAACGAGGGTCGCTCGATGTTTTGTGTTCCACAACAAGCGTTTGTTTCCAAGCGTTTGTTTTCAACGTTTTTACGGATACGCAGGTCTGGACTAGAAAGGAAATGCCTTTCCGTTTGATCGCCAGGTTTCCTGCAAGCGGGGCGTTACGATACATAACAATACGCAAACATTTCATTACTTACGTGGTATACACCTAGACAAACAAACTGTGGCGGTGCAATCTGTATTGTATTGAAAGGTTCTGCGTAATGGTAAGTATCAAGTCAAGCAACGTTCCAGCCTGCAGGCCAAGCTTGGTTCTCCAGGACGTCCCGAAATCAATGTCTGTATTAAATCTGAAGTCTGTGTCGCATTCTATGTGCGGAGTTATCATAATCAGCCCACACGTTTGTTTACAAGCCTACCTGAAGAAGTCGAACTTGGGGGACAATGAAGTAAACGCTGCATATTTTGAGGCTACTCGTTACGGTACCAACGGAGGACAGGAACATCAAGGTGCAAATTAGCACCAAACGGATTGGCGAATAGCTCATCTCCGCAGAACAAATTTTCATAAACATCTATGATTGTGGACCTCTTTCCCTCGTACACTCGACAATCAGAGCCTAGGCAATCGCTGACGAACAAGCCATGCTTTACAAATAATATTCGTTGATACGGTTAGCCAAGAGCTCTATCGGTAACAAAAACGCCAAGTCTGATGATGCAGCTCTATCCTATCCATACTTAAACTAGCACTGGCTCTAATTTTGCTCAAAGAATGTAGGAGCGCTCTGCGCAAACGAATTTAGCACACGACCGGCTCCCATGGTCCGCGACCAGTGAAAAATAATCTATAAGCCAGCCTTGATACGTTGCGCTTCGGTGAAGTAACGTATTGAGTGAACTTTCTCTGCGTGGCTTTTGAAGGCTCGATGTCCACGAAAGGCGAGTCCGCAAAATTTATCAGGACATGAGATAAACTCATCTCCTTTGAAGTGACGGAGGTGCTTCTCAAAATGCTCCCTGGCTTTCCGTGTTGTTGCAAAGTAACATTGGTAGTTCGGCTCAAAGACGCAGAAGAGACAGTGCCGATTTGTCAGAGAGATTGGACGGTCCCGCGGCTCTGGCGAGGGAGAAAGGCCTTGTTCTGATCAAGCAGGCTCATCTGGCGAGGACTCCTGGCTTTTGCTGTGGATCGTATTCTGTGACGGTTTTTGTGGGACGAAATTTTCAGATGGTACCCTTTCGACACGGCCGAGATCGATAAGGGCATTGATCAAAACAGTCCGTCGAAGGATGTCATCGTCTTCAGCAAGCTCGTGACATGGCACTTGCATTAAGTCTGCCACTCGGCGGCGCTCCTTGAGACGGTGGACAATCCTTTCCACCTCGTATATATCCTGTTTGATGTCCAGAAGGGAGGGATCGAGCTGTTTGTTGATTTCCAAAGTGTCAATGGTGGCAAAGAACTCATTGCGAGCACCAGTGAATGTTGCTTCTTTCACCTTCTTTTTCGCTACTCTCAATGCAGCATCTGCTTTTGCTTTGAGCTCTCCAATTTTTGTGCCAGTTGCGTTCTTCATGGACCCATAGAGCTCCCTGGCTTCCACAGCGAGGGTATCACGCATTTGCTGTAGGCGTATTATCTCAGGGTGGTTTGAAAGGGAAGCCCTCTTGTTCTCAGGCAAATCATCGTATTTGGACGGGGCTCGAGGGTCAATGAAGCGACTTTGGTGGCTAAGGATATTCATTAATGCATCTTCTGAAGGTAAGCCGAGAAATGCGGCTTGAACATGCGTCTGAACTCGTTGGTTCATATATTTCTGAAATGTGCTGGCATAGACGTGACCCATTACCTGCTGGAGCAAGGGGGGATGCAGTTTCTGAACGAAGTTTTGGCGTCAGTTTTAAGAAATTACCGTATTCAAGGACAGTAACTTACTGTCGACTGCCTCACCAGTACCACGCCGGAGATCATAAGGTTTCATAGCTCTAATCATCCCCACAGCCAAGCTTAATCGCTCGAGAAAGTATAAATAGGTGTGGTACTTCAGAGGTTTTATGTGGTCAGTAGTCATTCCGGAAGAGGTGTAAACTGGCTGGCGACAGATGGGCACGTTGAGTTTGTCTTTTTTGAAATCCAATTTCAAGGATCGACGCGGTAGAGATACACGAGTCTTGAAAATATCCTCGACCGAACGAATGTTTGGTAAAAAGGCGTCATCAAGAATTGCCATTGCAAGCACAAGAACTATGACGTCGAAGACAGGCTGCTTCACTTCGGACACCAAGAATATTTTCCTTTCAGACATGGTCAGTTCAATGGAGCAAAAGCAATGCCATGGAATATACCACCTTTTCGGTCTGCTATGATGGCCCTTGGTATGCTTCAAGTCAATTTCCATAACAAGGTGGTCACGGTTGCCTCCAGGGTTTGGTAGCAGAATCAAGCTGATCTGGCCGTAACAAAGAGTTTTGAGATCCTCATTCCTGAGGTCCCAATCATCCTCATTTTCACCCTCACCATCGTCTGCATTGCTGAAAAAGTGTTGAACATTAGTCCGTTCGTTCTTCTCGACATACACCAGCGCTCCTGGTCGACTGGCGGTATAAGCCGACACCAGAAGGAGGAAGGCGAGTTGGATTATTTGTCGACCATCCGGATAGGGTGTTGTGTCTTTTGTCCAATGATGGTGGAGGACAATATACAAATCGTCAACGTTCATGACGGATTTCTCTCTAACGGACATATCGAGATTGTAACGTGTGACCAGGTTCTCTTTCATGTACTGCCGCTCCTTTATTAGAAAGTGAAAATAATAGGAAGGCAATAATTACTCACATCATTGAAGTCCTGGCAGCACTTTGCATGAAGGCTACGTCCCACAGCTTTGCGATAGAGCTGGCACCATTTCCTCCAAAGCTCGTGTAGGCTGCTAAACTTCTTGATCTTGAAGTTATCAAGTATCCACTCCAGAAAGATCATGATATCCTCTTTCCGGGCCGCAACGAGGAACTGGAGAGGATCTTCCCCTAAGTAATCGCAGTGTCTGAATCTATCAGTCTCATGCTAAGGTTCAAATTAAATATTGAAATGGGAACGGCTCGATGGCTGTCTGGCGATGCAGACTGGACAACACACACACACACACACTGCCTGCCTGGTGTAGAGGACGCTGGATGAGGCCGTACTGATGCCCTGTTGCGGCCGTACGGGATAATCTTAATGCTGCATCATTAATAGAAGAAATGGGGTGAATCCTGAATGAATTGGGTAGATGACTTGTCTATCTCCAAGTGTGTCTTGAAGATGCACTATGCACTGCAGACATTGAATCATGCCTGAGGCCACACATAGGCTATTATGTCACCGGTTCTCCCACTAACGTGGTCGGTAAACGAGTGACGCATGTAAGCGAGTGACGCACCCCAAAACACTATAGTAAATGCAACAATGTATCTCAACAACAATAAGCTCATTCTTCTCAATATACATAATTCTACTGAATTAGTGCATTAAAAGTCTGGTAAAGAAAGCCTGGTTTAGTTTAATCCTAATTTGACAGCTTTTACCAAAAATACACTGTAATTTTGGTGGTTGAGCTTTAAGGATATGTTATCTGACCACTACTTCCTAAAACCCTTTGAGACTTTCAAAAAACATTAGAATTAACTTAAATAATATACGCTTATGAGGAAGTCTTACGAGAAGCTATGGTTGTTGAGATATAAGGTTGTGAGTTATCCCATTTACTATGGTGTTTTGGGGTGCGTCATCGCTTACATGCGTCACTCGTTTACCGACCACGTTAACGTGGTCGGTAAGCGAGTGAGCCATGTAAGCGAGTGAGCCACCCAACCACTTTTTCTACACTTTTATACATATTAATCAACCACAACGCCTTTATATTGATTAATCTCTAGCTTTACATATATTCCTTTTATGTCCGATCTGTCCGCAGCTAGTGCATTAGGGTGGACGCCGCGTCTTCGGTGCTGGTGTGTCCCGCGGTAGTAGGCTTGGTGGAGCTAGAATTACCTGAGAGGGCTCCTTATGAGCTTCCTCGAGCTCTAATGCTTCTCGTATAGATAGACCGTTATCGTGGGCTATCTATCTAGACTTACGAGCACGCTTTTGCTTTTGCGTAGCGTTTGCGGCACGTAGCTACTTATTTTCTTGCTCGAGAAGGATACCGTTTTGCATTGCGATCTGACAGCCTTTGATAAGCTGGTTTAACGCGGTTTGCGAAGGCGATAGCGGACTTTTTGAGCGTCGCTTTAAGAAAGCTTTGATTGAGGATACTTACTTTAAAAGCTTATCGATATTCGCGGGCGTATACGGGTAAAAAGCGCTTGATTGACTACCGCGGCTTGCGGGAGGTGTCGGCGTCCGAAGTTGAATATTAAGCTTTGATAGCACTTATTGAGGATTAATTAGTACTAATCCTGCTGCTCGGAAGCTATTTTGTATTGTATTTGGTTTGTATGCGTCGACGCGAGCTTATAGGTATATAAAAAGGAAATTAAGTTTATCGATATGGTTGATCCCGAGCCGCATCTTTTGGTCGATTAAACTGCCGTACGATCGCTTTAATACGGCGAAGCATCCGATATCAAGAGGCTGAAGTAGATGCGAGGAATGCGGCGGCATACAGATTGGAATTATATTATGATCCGCGCAGATTTGATCGAACTCTGGCGTTAGATGACTTCCGTGTCCGTCAAGGACTAGAAGACGATATCGGTCACGCGTACGGTGATCTGTTGACGGAATAAACTGTTTTTGGAGCCAGCGAAGGCCTATATTGTCGGTTGTCCATCCATTTGCACTAACTTCGAAGCGCCAGTCGGGTGGAAGGTCTTTAAACCACGCTTGATTGTATAGCTTGCCTTTAAAAATAAGCGTCGGCGGAAGCACCCACCCCGAAGCGTTAATTGACTCAATTGCAGTTACCCACTCGCGGTTTCCTGGCTGTAAAACTGATCTCCGACCGTAGTATTCTGATCGGGTAATCACTTTTTGGGCCGTACATAGGCCCATCGCGAAGCCAGTCTCATCGAAGTTATAGATATCGTCTGGTAGGATACCGTATTGCTGAATTGTGGCTTGTACGAGGTTAAACCACGCACGAATGATCTTTGGATCCTCTTGTTCTGCCCGCTGGTAATTATATCGTCGGGAAAAGCGAGCTTTGAGCTCTGGACGGCGCTGGGTGAAGTTATATACCCATTTTTCGCCGACGGTCTGGATGGGGGTAGAACCGCGCTTCGCAAGTAGAATATTCGCCATTTCTCGTACGTGAGCTTGCGTAGGGGCTGCACCGCGTAGATCTAGCGATAATATCCGTTGCTGGAGTATATCCTCTTCGATTTGGGTTAATTTATGACCATTTGCGCGAGATTCAGCGCGGTTTGTAGTACCGCGTAGTCGACGGCGGAGCGTAGCTTCAGGCACATTAAAACGACGTGCCGTCTCGCGTATAGACGTGATTCCCTTATTCTGAATAGCTTGTATAGCAATTGATAAACGGCCCTCTTGCTGGATAGAATCCTGGCTTGATCCGACGCGAATTGGAGGCATGGTGCTTGATAGAAAATAAAGGGACGCGCGGAGATGCGGAAAATTGGGCGGGTGCGTCACTCGCTTACATGCGTCACTCGCTTACCGACCACGTTACAATATGGTATTACCTGATCCATCGTCTTTTGATATTATCAATATTGTTCTTGGTTGAAACGGCATGTCGTTTTTGGACGATGCCTTTCTCAAGTTGTTGACGACGTCGCCGATAATACTCGGGGTTAGGCGCTTGCTTTTTCTTATCCGCAAGAATGGACATGGCCTCAGGTAAAAAGAGCCTCAATCAAAAGGATGGGGAAGAGGAAGAGGAAGAAGAAGAGAAGACGAGGAGGATTGAGGCCACGGACAAGGAAGAGAATAGGAAAGAAAGCGGTAATGACTGAGACCCAGGGGAAAGCTGGTGGTTAAGAAGAGATGAAAGCACTTGGAATCTTTAGCACGAAGTGCATAGAACAGGAGCTAAGAGTTGACGGGGGAAGACTCTTTAAATATTAGAAAAGAAGGCTTGAGGTGGTTCAGCACCTAACAAATCTATTTTTGTAATGAGCGGCTATTCACGGATGACAGAGAGGACAGGCCATGACGACATGCCTGATGGTCTGCCCTGAGTACTCTGAGTGAAGGGTGAGCTGATCCCTGAGCAACCATGAGTGCTCAGGGGAGCGCTCCTGAGCACTCACTGAGCACTGTGTAAAAGTGGGCCGAATCAAATCACGTGATGCTTCAATGACTAATATTCTGGTAAATAGGACGCTTAAAATGGCGTCAAAAGTAGCCGTTTTTCGGCGCCCAATTTACCGTCACTTAGCGTTGTGGTAATAAAGGTGACGGTAAAACTGCCGCCTCGGGAAGTGATCGGCTCCCGGAGCACAGGGTGAGTTAGTCACCCCGCCGCCCTGAGCTGCTCACTGAGCAACCCTGAGCTGCTCCCTGAGCGACCCTGAGTTGCTCCCTGAGCCGCCTGGTCGCTCACCCCAATGCTCAGGCCGGCCGGCCCGTTCGATCTCATCCTACTTCTCCGTTCTTTCACATGCTCCGACAATAACCGCACTGTTGCCTACTCGTGCTCCTGGGAGCGAAGCTAGAAAATGACATATTTTCGCGGTGCTATAGTAACTTTCGGCTTGGTCTTCGAACTTTCAGCTGGTCGACTCAACCAGTCTTTCAACTTGTGTGAGATATTAGATATCCATCCCGCCGTCCATCCAATAGACTCTAACACAAATGCTTTCATTTCGAATCTCTATGTCCGGGGCTGGCTCGATCCCAGGAACATCAAACACTGCCTCCTTTGGGCAAATACTCTCACGTTCCCTGCCATAGACCTCAACTGCATCGATACGCCGTGCTACGAAAAGGCGGAGACATCAACCATCGGTCCGAGTATAAATCCGGGAAAGAAGTCCCCCACACAGTCCATATCATGCTAGTGTTCCTGGGAACGCTTCCTCCAGTCGATCCACTACGAGATAGAACGGGTTTTCAATTGGCCGCAGCAAAGGGTCGAGAAGCTGCGCTGATAACACACGTAGTCTCATTACCATGCTGCATTAGTTATTGAGCCGAAAACTTTGCCGATCTTCTTACATTTCGCTTCATAGTGCGACGGGCGTGAAGAGACAATGACGCCTGGAATATAAAAAGCCCAAGGACCACTTTCGTGCGGCCTTTTCCCCCTACATCCTACTAACTCCAATTTCCCCATCTCCCACTTCAACTCTCCTCTAAAGATCCTTGCGCTCACCATGGTAACGCTGAATCATCAAAATTTCTGGCAGCCAACACCGAATTCCCCGCGAAGGTGCTCTTCTGTTGGTTCGGAAACTCAGACCATAGTTATAACAGAGCAACTGAACACCTCAAGAGAAAGCTGCGAAGCAGGCGGCCACAGCCCGAAGAACAATGTGCCAGAAGAAGAGGGCAGAGTAATGAATTTCGGTAAGTTACATCTTCAACGATTTGCTCCAAGGCGTTTGGATTGATACGTTATCCCCAGCATCGGAAACTGACCGGCTCTCTCGACCTGTTTCGCCTGACGCCTATCCCGATGACGCACCAGCCGCCGATAGTTACCCCAATTACCCCGAGGAGGTTGCGCTTTATCCTTCCTCCCGAGTCAGTAGTACGGCTTCTGTGACTGGCCTAGATGGGCCTGGAACAACGAGAGTCTTCGATGTTTTTGAAGATGATCACATGCAATTTACTCCAAGTCGAAGGAAGCGTGCCTTGGGGGACCCAAGTATCCCTTCCCCGAAACGACGCCGGTACCCGACTTCAACTACCATCAATGCGACTAAATCACGAGGAAGACGAACGAGTCAATCAGAAGCCGAAAGTTCGTCATTTCATAGCGAAGAGGACTACGCAGACAATCATCTAGTCGGGCTCGGGAATGCGATCAGGTATCTGAAACGTTTCTACAGCCTAAGTACTGCCGAGGCCAAGTTCTCTGATGATCTTGCCGATGCCGATATTCTCAAAGAAAATCTTGCGGTAATCCAACTTGCAACTAAAACATTGCAGCACGCATATGGTATCATTGCAACAAACACCCTATCAATAGCGAATCCTATTCGACAAGCTACGACCGTACAAGCACGGCAAACTACCACGCGTGAGAAGTGGTCTCCTGAGGATGATCGTCGTTTGCTCGATTTGAGAGATAGTCAAAAATGGCCATGGGGCCGTATCCACGATACATTTCCCGGAAGAACTCTGAACGCAGTCAAACAACGTCATTCCGGGCTCTCAAAGCAATCCAAGAGCCCCTCAAGCAAAGATAATCACTCAAGCTCCTCCGGTCGACGTGAAAACTGCACCCAGAATGTCCGAAGAAGCCAAAGGCTGGGTCGACATCATCAACTCAGAATACAAGGAGCGATGCCGGGCGCCATCGAAGGTACACCTCGCGAGCTGTGAAACATTCCGGTGTGTCAAACGCACCAAGGCTGGATTGCATCGATCCCCAGCTACGAAGCATTAGCAAATTCTAAAGTCCATTCATTGAATTATGCCGGTACAGTAGTATTCGAAATCAGATTTACCACTACACTCTTAGACTTTCATTCCCGAACCCTAGCTTGAAACACACTAGTCTAATTTTAGCTATTCCCCAGTGATCCCATCAGACCGTATTGTTTTCCTTGTAATGATGGATGAGTCATTGTTATAATACCGTAATTTGCTTTAGAATATGATAGAATTAGTGATGCTGTAATTTCGAAATTGGCGAACCCAACGAAGCAACATATCTTACTTCCTGGGCGGAAAATCGCCTTCAGATGATCAAAACTGGACGCCAAACTTAGAGGCAGTGCGCGCCTTAATACGGTTTGCAATCGCCACGGGCCGACTCGACGTCGTTTAGCCATGTCGACGAACACAAATGACACCCTTTCCCCAAGTTAACCCACACCAACCACCTTGTGCCGGAGACGGTAGACGCGCTTCAACTGCCGAGGATAGGATGTTGAACACTTGAAGAAGCGCCTTCAAGCCAGCCTACTAACCAAATTACCAACCCACGGGGACCCGCTACGATACTGACAGCTGAGATGACATGTACTGAAAGGAACCATGTATGGGCTACAAGGAGACACGGCACATGTACACTAGGACATGTATTGATAGATCAGTGATAGTTGCCCTCTCGGCTTAGCCGCCGGGCGTTAATGAATTGTGTGTGTGTGTGTGTGTGTGTGTGTATTGAATCGGCCGGATAAAAGTGTAAGGATAGGTCGGCCATTCTTTCTGTCACTTTGTGAGTCCAGCCGCAAAACTTGAACCCTGAATGGAAATGGCTGTGGTCTTGATAGGTCAAATGTAGACGGCCAATAAAGGTGGTTAACGGAGTGGTTGAACAGTGTGGTCAAGTAGCGTGATTGCACGGTGTGTTTGAAGGGTGTGGTCCAACGGAGAGGTGGTTAGACAGTGTGGTTAAACGGTGTGTTTAAACGGTGTGTTTAAACGGTGTGCTTAAACGGTGTGGTTAAACGGTGTGGTTAAACGGTGTATTTACAGTCGCTTGCAAAATCGCCTTGCGTTTTTGCATTCGCTCTTTCTTTGTCGGCCTCCACTGCCAAGATAGCTCTAATGATATTCGGTTAGTCGATAATCCATCTTTGTTCGGTATGGTAAATAGTATTGAAACAAGCCGTAACATTGTTCATCTCAGGCTTACTTGACTGACTACCGCGACTTGGTTTCCCGTTGGTGCCGCCGCGAGGCAAAGATAAGAAAAGCAAAATAGCGCTTGGGGAGGCCTTACATCGCAGATTTGTTCAAGGAGGAGCAGCTCGGCTGATCCCCAATACTAGTAGAAGATGAGAACATGTTCTCTATGATCTCCACTTTGATCGACTGCGTTGCGTCTTGGAGTGCGCGCTGAGACAGCAGTCGAGAAGGATGTTCTTCATTAAGTGTTCTCTCTCGCACTGCGACCACGTGCTCAAGTAGCTCGACAGCCTGTTTGATCCGCCCGCTGGATTGATATGCCCCTGCAAGAGCTTGCTGAGATGCCAGTCGAGAAGGATGTTCTTCATCAAGTGTTCTCTCTCGCACTGCGACCACGTGCTCAAGTAGCTCGACAGCCTGTTTGATCCGCCCGCTGGATTGATATGCCCCTGCAAGAGCTTGCTGAGATGCCAGTCGAGAGGGATGTCCTTCATCAAGTGTTCTCTCTCGCACTGCGACCACGTGCTTAAGTAGCTCGACGGCCTGCTTAATCTGTCCGCTGGATTGATATGCCCCTGCAAGAGCTTGCTGAGATGCCAGTCGAGAAGGATGTCCTTCATCAAGTGTTCTCTCTCGCACTGCGACCACGTGCTTAAGTAGCTCGACGGCCTGCTTGATCTGTCCGTTGGATTGATATGCCCCTGCAAGAACTTGCTGAGATGCCAGCCGAGAAGGATGTCCTTCGTTAAGTGTTCTCTCTCGCACTGCGACCACGTGCTCAAGTAGCTCGACAGCCTGCTTGGTCTGCCCGCTGGACTGATATACCCATACGAGCATATGTTGGGATGCTAGTGGAGAAGGACGTTCTTCATTAAGTGTCCTCCCCTCTACAGCCATCACGTGCTTAAGAAGATCGACAGCCTGATTAGTCTGCCCGTTGGTTTGATATGCCCCTGCAAGAACGTGCTGAGATGCCAGCCGATCAGGATGTTCTTCATCCAGTGTTCTCCCTTCTATGGCCACTATCTGCTCAAGCAGGTTGACAGCCTGCTTTGTCTGCCCGCTGGATTGATATGCCCGTGCGAGTTCACGCTGAGATGCCAGTCGATCAGGATGCCCTTCATCGAGTGTCCTCCCTTCTATGGCCACTACGTGCTCAAGCAGGTCGACAGCCTGCTTAATCTGCCCAGTGGATTGATATGCCCCTGCAAGTTCCTGCTGGGATTCCAGTCGATCAGGATGCTCTTCATCAAGTGTTCTCTCTCGCACTGCGACTACATGCTCAAAAAGGTCTACAGCCTGCTTGGTCTGCCCGTTGGATTCATACGCCCGTGCGAGTCCGTGCTGAGATGCCAGTCGATCAGGATGTTCTTCATCAAGTGTTCTCTCTCGCACTGCGACCACGTACTCAAACAGGTCTACAGCCTGCTTGGTCTGCCCGTTAGATTCATACGCCCGTGCGAGTCCGTGCTGAGATGCCAGTCGATCAGGATGTTCTTCATTAAGTGTTCTCTCTCGCACTGCGACCACGTGCTCAAATAGCTCGACAGCCTGTTTAGTATGCCCGTTAGATTGATGTACCCTTGCGAGTTCGTGCTGAGATGTCAGTCGAGAAGGATGTCCTTCATCAAGTGTTCTCTCTCGCACTGCGACCACGTGCTCAAGTAGCTCGACAGCCTGCTTGATCTGCCCATTGGATTGACGTGCCCGTGCGAGTTCGTGCTGGGATTCCAGTCGATCAGGATGCTCTTCATCAAGTGTTCTTTCTCGCACCGCGACAACGTGCTCAAGTAGCTCGACAGCCTTCTTGATCTGCCCATTGGATTGATGTGCCCGTGCGAGCTCCTGCTGAGTTTCCAGTCGTGAGGGATGCTCTTCATCATAGTGGCTATTTTTCCATAAACACACATCTCGAAAATGTGTAACTGCTTCTTTTGCTCGGCCATCCGCTAGAACACATTTTCCCACCTTAGAAATTAAGCTATACCTCTCACTTATATCTTGACTTTCCCCTCTCCTGATAATGCCAAGGGCGTGTGGCAGGTACATCCTCCATGTCTCCCTATTTGTGTATTCATCAGATGGAAAACACTTTTCCAGATGCTGTGTCACAGTCGCGATAGTCTGTTGTGTCTTCTGTTCCCCTGTTATCCACACTCGTGTCGATAGCTGCACGAGGCTGTGTATATCAAACAAATCCTCATTGTCTCTTCTGATAAGGAATCCATAGCCAGTTAGGGTACCAATTGCAAACTCCATCTCCTCTGCCGAATCGAGACTGGGGAGAATAGATCGTGGGATTACCTTTGGCTCAAGGTAAGAGATAAATCCCAAGAGATCAGCGGCAGAGGGCTCAGAGGCCTTAATTATGCTTGAATGAGATAAGCCATGTGGTAGCCACCGCGTTTGGCATTTTCCGATAGCGAGTGCTATCACGAAACTCCCTGCTCGCTAGACGCATCCGGCCTTTTTCAGTTTCACGCATAAGCTCAAGGTACCATATGGCCGTTCCATGGTTGCGAGAAATATAATACGCTGCTTGTGCAATAGCTAGAGGTAGGAAATTCAACTCCTCTAGTAATTGTATAGTGGATTCTTGGCCACAAAGCAAGTCTTCTCCCACAATCTTAGTAAGAAAAGCAGCCCCTTCTTCAGCTGTCATCTTTTGAAGCTCAACTATATCTCTTCCTGCAAATGATACCGCTATCTCACGTGAACGAGTAGTGAGCAACATTACCCCTCTGTCACTAGTAGGGAAATGCTGAACAAGCTCGTCGAAAAGCAAGTGCACGTCATCGGCATTGTCGACTATGAAAAGCCACTTTCCGGCTTTATCAGAGCTCAGCTGTCGATATACTAATTCCATAGCACTTTCACCATCTGGATTCTGGTGGATTTGAAGACTCGTCGCGATTTGCAAACAAGCCTGCTCAAAATTCTCGACGCTAAACGCAGGAGCCCAGAAAATCGAGCAGTCTGGTATATGTGCTTTCACCCAGCGGGCAAAAGTGAAGAGCAACTTGGGTTTTTCCAACGCCACCTAGCCCGAACAGAGCTAACCTTTCGGTATTCGGTTGGATAAATAGCTTCTGTTTGAGCTCATCAAGTATGGATTCACGGCCAGTAAAGTGACGATTTTCCAAAGACGGGATAATATAGTGAGCTTGAGCTTGATCACCTTGGAAGGCATTAGTGAGACTTATATCTTCATCTGGGTGTTCTATTGGCGTACAAGGCCTAGTATTCATCTCTTTGATTTCTTTAACGGGCAGGTGGAAGTGATAAGTGACGGAGCCGTGGTTCGCACCCATCTGGAATCCCGAATTTGAATACCCAAATGAGATTGCGGATGCCATGCTCTCCACGGGGATAAGGCTCGATTCATCCATGGACATCTGGAAAACAAGTGCTTGACATAAGCTGCCGCTGCCGCTGCTGCGAAGGCGAGGGTGAATAAGCAGAGATATCAATATGTTGCTTGGCTTCAAAGTGGGCGTGGACTGTAAACTCGGTCATTCAACAGGCTCGGGAGCGGGGGGAGGGGCAAAGAGGAATGACTAAGACCGCAGGGACGCCGTGCCATCAGCCTAAGGCATCAGGGGTGAGGGACTGCACTGCCTAAGCATCCCCGCAACAAAAAGGGCAGCTCGACGAGTCATGTGCAAGTGTGGATGTCAAACTGCACAAGATACTTCGTGCTATTGGCCATTGAATTGTGATTAGACATTGACATAACCCATGGGTTGGGTCCATGGGTCGAACCCAACCCGTCCATGGACGGGTCCTGGACACCTACCCCGAACCCATGGACGGGTCAGGTCTGGCTGCCCATGGACGGGTTAACCCATGGGTTTCTTGGCAACCCATAGTACCGTAAGACATAAGTTATACAATTTATGTAGTATTTAATGTATTAGAGTGGTAATATTTAGACAGAATATTACCGCATTTATTTAGGAAGTGAAGATCAAGTGAAGATCAAGTGAGATTAATTAAATACTAAACTATTTACTAATTTCGAACCCTTCATGTATCCTCGGCGCCTTCCTTACCCTTCCAGAATGCCGTACTTGGCTCATTAAGGGTAAACCACTATTATCATCATCACTTTGCTCACTTTCATGATCAGACAAAACACTCTTTCGTCTCTTCCCTGCCCTCACAGATAGCCTCACTTCATCGTCACCTTCCTCAGTATCGCTGATTGGATCAATCCCTTCTAACGAAGGTGAAATCTTCTCATTTTCACCTTCTTCAGGGATCTCTAGAGCCCGAGCTAGTTCAAGCTGTTCATCTTCTATCTCAAATTGAGTAAGGCAAGAGAACATCATTAGATCCTGGATAGTTGTTGAGTTCAGACGACCTCGGCGATAATGACAAACATCGCGGGCTGAATTAAATAGCCTCTCTACCCCCGCACCAGTAGCGGGAATAGAGAAGATATCGCGGGCTACCCGTGCGAGGGTAGGATATTCAAATTGATGGTCTCTCCAGAAGGCCTGAGGGGTAGTGCGTATAACACCTAAAGAGAAAGAGAAGTAAGCAAAGAGGGTAAAGAGGCTTAATAAGCGAGCAAGCCTTTAAATAGGAGTTAATCGGACTCGGGGGAGGAGTCGATCAGACTCGTGGAAGGAGTCGATCAGACTCGTGGGAGTAGTCGCTTAGACTTAATAATATAAGGGATTAACCTTATAAGAGGAGTCGACCCAACTAAAAAGAGGAGTCGACCTAACTGAAAAGAGGAGTCGGTCTAACTTAAGTGGAGTCGAGCTGACTTAAAAGAGGAGTGGAGGAGACTTAAATAAAGAGGCTTACCGGCTTGAAGATACCGTGCGAGTTCATCCCGGTCTAGGTTAGATTCACCTTCATCTTCGAGTAACCGATCAAGTTCCGACCCTTGTGTATAAGCTTTAGATAGAAGGGTGTTATTCTCTTCGAATTGATAAGCTTTAATCCGATCTTGAAGGGTGCTGTGATAGTGTTCGGCCCATGTCTGAGTAGAGCCCTCTGGCCCACCAGACCATTCCTTGCGTTTGAAGTACTGTAACTTATCCTTTGGTGCGAGGATAGTGCTATGCGCATACACATTACCAGCCTCAGGCTGATCGGTCTTTGCGTAGTACTCACGGAGCTTCTGTAGGCCTGCTTCAAGAGCGACAAGCATCTGTTGCTTCCATTTAATCTAATATTCGTTAGTATAAGGGTAAATAAAAAGTAAGAGAGAAGTGAGAGAAAAGTGAGAGCGTACCTTCTTCTTTTTGAGCTGACTGATTGACGCCTCGAGGTGTTTAAATAGCTTATTGTAAAGCTTAAACACCTGATGGATAGTCACGTCTTTTGTCTTTGAGAATGTGCTTGTGTATAGGAAGAATGGTCTTGTGAGGCAAAGAAGATAGTCAACCTGTCGCCATTCCTCGGAATCAAGCTTCAGGTTGTCTAGGCACTCAATATGGCAGTACCTATTAAAGTATGGCTGTAGTCGTTTAGCTCTTTGTAACATCAGATAGGTGGAATTCCACCGTGTTCGGACGTCCTGAATTGGGACCAATTGACTAGGTTCCATCGATTGAAGCCTAAGGAATTCCGCACGCCTTTGTGGGCTTCCGTTAATATATATTGCAAGCCGGCGTACCCTATCGAGGGTGTTTGCAATATCCCCTTTCTGTCCTCGCTGGGTAGAAGCCTTCTGTAGCTCATCGGTCCACACTATATTCACTGTGTCGTTCTTTGGCTTTGCTTTGATCCGATGTAGGAGCTCATTAAGGCTAAGCTGAATCACATGCGCCATACACGGAATATGAACAATAGAGATGTCTGGATAGATCCGTTGGACCTTATCAAACATTGTCTTATTGTTTGACGCATTATCAGTGGTGATAGCCAGAATCTGATCTTTAATCCCATGTCTGTCAATAACAGCACATAGGGCTAAAGCAAGGTTCTCCCCAGTATGTGTACCCTCGAGGGGTTCGAAACCGAGTAGGATCTGCCTATATTCCCACTGTTTATCAAGGAAATACCCAGTGATAGCCATAAACGCCTGATGAAAGGGCGACGTCCAGCAGTCAAGTGCAAGTGATAGCTTTGCGTCTGACGGAAGCATATTTAGTATGCCTTGCTGTTGGATTTGGACGGTGCTTTGAAGCTGACGAGCAAGGGTTTTACCCGTTTGGATAATAGGGAGGGAAGGGGCTTGTTGGGTCAAGCGTAAAAGGTCTCGAAAGTGCTGGTTTTCGATGATCTGGAATGGTAGACGAAGGCTAGTGATTGTGACCAAAAGCTGCTTCTTCCAATCGTTTTCATCCCATACGTCGGGCGGGGGAGCGCATAGAGCCTAGTGATTCAAACAAAGGAGTATTAGTCTTACTTCTCTTTCACTTTTCTTTCACTTCTCTTTCACTTCTCTTTCACTTCTCTTTCACTTCTCTTTCACTTCTCTTTCACTTCTCTTTCACTTCTCTTTCACTTCTCTTTCACTTCTCTTTCACCTTTGTCTTACCTGGGTACGGATAGCCGCCTGGATATTTCTCTGTTTCAGCTTACCCTTTGGTAGGCATCTTTCTCTATGCCTTGTCATAATATTCGTCCCATTTTTAGGACTATGCGCGTAGATCTGGCCACAGTCCTTACAGGTAATGCATGGTCTACCAGTAGAGATCTCTGCGCCCTGTTCAAAGTGTGTCCAAACCTCGGATATTAAGCCCCTTTTATCCCACCGGGGATGTTCCGCTCGTGGTTTCTGCCCATATGTTGTTGTAAGCCACCATTGGATGTATATAGCCTTATTCATATCGGTCCATAGGATATAGTTTCTCTTAGGTCCGACGCGTTCAAGGATCGGTGGGGGCTCGGTAGTAATAGGCGCGGTAGACTGGCTTTCAGGAACCGAGGAGGGTGGGATAGAGAAGCAGCAATCAGATAGAAGAGGGTCGATACTATCACTCGTGATAGAATCAAAGTGTTCAGATAAGGATCTAGCCATGATAACGCGAAAGAACGTAAAAGTAAGGGTGAAGTAGGGAGGAAGTGAACCATGGAATAAATAGCGGGTAGGACTATACACGCGTTAATTGGTTATAACGCGCGTTGAGCGGGTCTTTTGATCTGATGTCATTGGTCTAATCCTTAGGCACGGACCCACACACCTATTCTGCAGAATCAATCTCTCTAAGGCTGTGAAAGGATTAGTCTTTATCTTCACTACTCACGCAAATCAAATGTATAAGCTCTTAAACTAGGAGATAAAGTAGAGATATATATAGATAATACGTACACAAAATATCATAGCTTAATATTGACATTTGGGTGAATTAAAAATTAAAGAAGAATCTCCAACAGAAAGTGGTAGTACACTTATCTACGGGAAATATATATTTCTGCTCTACACCACTAACATAGACACAACTACCCTATTATAGACGATAATAATTAGTCTTCTTTATGCGACCGATACAAAACGTACTAGTCTAGGTATAAACGATCATATTTCATATAAATACAGTAGGGAAGGATGAAAAAGAGGGAATGGTATGCGTTTAGACCAGAACTAAGGTAGAAAACGGTAAATAAGCTAAAAATTATGCAAAAAGTTCAGGCTGAATCAGGCCAAATCAGGCCAAATCAGGCCGAAAATCCTAAATCAGGCAGGATTAGGTGTCCATGGGTTGCCCATGGGTTAACCCAACCCAACCCATGGACGGGTCAGGTTCCGCTGCCCAAGCGTGGGCAACCCATGGGTTGGGTCATGGGTCGAACCTTCTGCCCATGGACAACCCATGTCAATGTCTAATTGTGATTACGCAGCACCAGAACCAATCATCAGCTTTCAAGGTGAGGCACATGAAGCCGGAATATCGAACTTGCTTTTCCGATGACGCAGTAAGCCAAGCAGTATCTGACATATATGTCAACAGCCTCATTACTATGCTGGTAGGCGTAACTCCACCCGACTTGAGGGCTTTTTTCAAAATTGAAGCGAAAAAAAATAGAAAATCTATCAACGCAGTGAGAAATTGAGCCGAAACAATATTTGGATATATATGACCTCTATACATTCATACACGTCAATCAAAAGTGTTGAATCGTGAGACCAGCATGACGAAAATGCCCTTCAGTACTCTTTTCTTTTCCTCAACCACATCCACACACCACTCCAGAAATGCTTGGAAATCTCCATCCGGGTCATCTTCAAACAACTGCCAGTTGCGTTTCATGAAAGCTTTTAGCTCAGCAAAAAATTCCTCGATGGGATTCAGATCAGGAGAATAAGGTGGAAGATAAACCAGCTTCACTCCTGCTTCGAGACACAGGAATTTCATCCGCTCAGAGTGGTGGAAGGATGCATTATCTATCACCAATACTGACTTAGGCTCTGGCCATCTGCCGCAATGATGAAGAAGCTGCTCAATAAAGTCCTCAAATTGAGGAGCATCGGTCGAGCCCCGAAAGACGCGGGAAAGCAGCACACCGTCTTGGCAATATGCCGGCAAGATCTGGTATCGCTGACCCCGATGGAACTTAGCCACTTGGACTAGGGTGGCCCCTGGCGGAGCCCAGCCTGTTCGCCGATACCCTATCCGCTTGTTACATCCAGATTCGTCCACGTAGACCAGGCGATAGGACTCAAATTCCGATAGATTATGGAGGTAGCAGTCTCGTAAATCCGCGTTTCGCTCCTTCGCTTGATTCCGGGTTGTCTCCTTAGACCAGCCTTTTTTGCTAATGCCCGACTAATGGTAGAGTTGGCCACGCAAATGACAAATTCCTCCCGAAGAAAATTTGCCATCTCATCTGTTACCGACCAAGGCGAGAAGGAATTCGCGTATCATTGACAGAGCAACTAAACTGGAGAGAAGAAGAAGAGAGAAAGAGGGAAACGAGCATCTACGAAACAAAACCACTTCGATCCCAAATCGGGTTAGCCCAACGGCTCTTTCCAGATCACGTTCCCCCTCAGTCCCCAAGGTAGTCATGCGTCACATAGTGCCCCTTTTTAAAGAGGCTCGCCCCGAGGCTCTGGTTTTCCATCATCTGGATGATCATCCACAAAGTAATCATTTAGTGCAGCGTCCAACTACACCGATAACCGTACAGGCGGTCCCGGCAGTGCTGGATAACGCTTATGGAAAGCTATCAGCTTATCCGCAGTATTCTTAAAATCACCTGCGGGATACCAGTCGTCGTCCTCGATTCCGATCCACTTAGCCTTGTATTGAAGTTTCCGATAGCGTAGTCGGACGTCCACGATTTCATCGACTTCCCATTCCTGTTGGTCGTTGACTTCTATTGGTAAAGCTGGGTCTGCGATCTGACCTGTGAGCGAATCGGACTTGCTGCGGCACGGCGGAGCTTGTCTGGAGAAAAGACTGGGTTGACCTTAATGGAGGACGGTAAGTCGAGCCGGTAGCTGTAACCTTCCTTTGAAAGGATCTTGTAGGGGCCACTGGACTGATCAGAGAGTTTCCTACTTAGCCGATCAATTTTCCAATTCCTGGTGGTAATAAAGACCATATCACCAACGTCAAAATCAATTTTCCCGGCGGTGTTTGTTGGCCTGGGCGCGCTGACGCTCCTGAGCTTGTTCAATCTCCTTTTGGGTGTCCTTCCAGACCTCTTGGAGTCGCCGAACGTAGTTCTGAGCATCCTGCGTTGACTGAGGCGACGTAGACGGCTTCGCGGGTGCGTCCCAGTCAAAGGACATCCGTGGTTCATATCCCCGCTCGATAAGGAAGGGAGACCTCTTGGTAGAATCCTGCTGCAGAGCCGCAGCGGCGAAATCCGTCACCGGAAGCCAGTCAGACCAGTCGTCCTGGCGTTGATTCCACCAATACACGGAGTCGCTGTGCCATATGCTGGTTCGCAATCTCGCTCTGGCTATCTGTCTGTGGGTGGTAGGCCGTCGATAGCTTACGCTTGATCCTTAGGATTCGGCAGACTTCCATCCAGAATTCCGAGACAAACTGGCCTCCCCGGTCCGATACAATCGAGTCTGGCAGGCCGAAGTAAAGCATAACACCAGAGATAAATAACGGAGCCATCTCTAGCGCTCTAATAGTCTTATAGCATGGAAGTGAGACTGGCCGCTTGCTCAACCGATCAACCACCACAAACACTGCGTCAAAACCCCGCTTATCCTTTGGGAACGATCGGTAATCCATCGTGATATGCTGCCATGGACGGTCTGGCGGGGAAGAGGTTATAACAGACCTAGTGGCCGGTCTCTCTACGTTGTTTGTACGCTTACAGACTAGACAGTTGTCCACATAACGTTTAACGTTAGTAGACCATCCAGGCCAGAAATATCGTGTGGATGGGAGAGCCTTCGTCTAATCCTGTCCGGGATGCGCTGTCAAGGGCTGCCGATGGATCTCATCGAGTAACCGGGCCCGTAAGTCCCCATCATCTGGCACCACCAGGCGACCTACATTCAATAGTAGCCCATCTTGTAGTTTCTGTGACGCATGACTACCTTGGGGATTGAGGGGGAACGTGATCTGGAAAGAGCCATTGGGCTAACCCGATTTGGGATCGAAGTGGTTTTGTTTCGTAGATGCTCGTTTCCCTCTTTCTCTCTTCTTCTTCTTCTCCAGTCTAGTTGCCCTTGTTAATGATACACGAATTCTTCTTCGTCTTGGTCTGTAACACCGGGGAATTTGCACAATATGGGGTATCCTCCCCAACGAGCAGCCTAGAGGACACTTCTGAAGTTTCCACCCTGGGCGTTGACATCGGCCCCTCGCTCTAGCAGCATCAACGATCTTGTCGTGTCCTTGGGAACAAGCAGCGTAGAGGGCATTGCAATAGAGTCCACCCTGAGCGTTAACATCGGCCGGCAAGGTGACCAGGATTCAGTTCTCAAATTCCCTGGATCGCTACAGGCTCTTACAGGAAATTTCGAAGAAATCCCTACGTTATGCCGCTGCTTAGCCAAAAAATCACGTGCTTTCAAAGGGTATAGTTATACATCCCCCACGTACTGTTTACATGCTCTCGGTCTGGAGTCTATATATGGCCATAAATTATAGAGCGTGTCCCCGAAGCAGCCTTAGCAGGCCTGGGAGGCCCACCAAGAAAGAGATCATCCACACTTTCCAAAAGTCAGCGTGATTACATGTCCAAGAGAAGGACTGATTGTCCATTCATTCTCATGGGTTTTCATGGGTTGGGTTATGCACAGATCTTGGTACCCTTGGGTCCCTGTTTGTCAAGGTCTAGTACTCGTTCAGCTGTCTTAGCTGCTCATTTTTGTATTTAAAAATGAGATAGAGAATGCTACGGTCATTCTCGGAATCGGCTTGACCGATACACACTGAATAACTTGGCAGAGGGTCTAGGGAAGAGTTATTCATTGTGTATTGGTTAAGCCGATTTCGAGAATGGCTGTATTCTTTCTACAAATTTAAGAAAAGAGATTCCTGAAAACAACATGAAATGAACAGAAATACTAGACCCCGCAAGAAGGACCCTCGTCACCAACCCGGAGGGGCTGCTCCCTGCGTGATTGTACCGTTGTTCTGACCAACTTGGAAGCCTGAGTTGTAGCTCCCAAATGTGATATTCGTATTGTAATGGGTATTGCCAGCCTTCAGCACCAGAGTGACCTTTGTTTCCTGCGCGACCTGAGCCGGGGCAAGCCGATTCAGTAGGTCCTTCACATAGGCCGCAGCAACCATCGCCGCATAGCCCTGCCACCCTTTGTTTTTGTGTGAATCGGAGTAGTCGCAGATACCACGTATCACAAGACAAGGGAAGTAATTGACCAATCCAGCTGCTTCCATCTCAAAGCATAGGATATCGTTTTGTTCGACAAGTCGGTCCCTAACCTTAGCATCCTTCATAAGTTGATTGGCGGATGCGATCAGACCGTAGTGGATCTTGGGATTATCGTTATATTCGGTACGCTTATCTCTGATAACTAACGAGGATTTATCATCGCCGCAAGTAGTACGGCAAGGTGTCTTGCTCCCTGACGGATGGACAATATCACTCTTATAAAGTCGATCTGTCGCTAGTTCCGGACGCCCAAACTCTCTTCTCAACCGCGGATAGTTATTAAGGACTTCGTTGACCGCCTCTTCAATCTTATGGCCCTTGATTGTGTACTGTTTGTCGAGTCCTTGTGCTGCCCCAAGTAGGGATCTAGGTGGCGGGCTGAGAAAACCAGTTGGTTTGAAGCTTTCGCCTTGGATTGTTTTTCCGAAGTCATACTGCAGCACGCCACCTTCACTATTACCAGGAACCCCAACGACTATATCACCAAGCCGAATATCGTGCTCTGAGCTTGGTGCACCGCCGCCGATGCCAACCATAAGGGCAATCCGAATATTGGTGAAGCTACGGATCATATCCTTGGCCACACCAGTAGCTGAAGATATGCCGTATACTCCCTTAGGAAGAGCGGAGATGACCACGTTATGCTTCCCAATCCTGCCATAAGTATAATCGTTGGTGTCATCAGGTGATAAATCGGTAGGGCGATCGTGCGTTTCATCAAGAAATACTTCTGCGGCAATATATTCAGGCTTGATGGCCGAAATCCAGCCCACACTGTAGTCCTTCGTGCTTGACATTGTGGAATCCTGAGATGAAATGGTTATATATATTTAAGTGACAAAAGATTTGATGTTTATTAAAGTGACTCGAGTTTGAAAAAGGTGGGGTCAGATTTGTGGGAGGAAATGAGATAGTCGTTTTGGCCCCATCGACGAAACGCCTTGCTATTTATTCTATAGCGCGTAAGTTCTAGTCACCTGATGGTGAGGCTGAATGCTGCCCCTCATTCCGATGATCGTAGCCCAATTCGGCTCTCTCACACTTGACCTATTTAACATTTTGATCTTGACCTCGGGCATAGGCAACACATGTGCTGATGATGGCATTGTCCACTTTTGGTCACATAAACTAGGGTATATGTGACGCATGACTACCTTTGGGACTGAGGGGGAACGTGATCTGGAAAGAGCCGTTGGGCTAACCCGATTTGGGATAGAAGTGGTTTTGTTTCGTAGTTGCTCGTTTACCTCTTTCTCTCTTCTTCTTCTTCTCTCCAGTTTAGTTGCTTCTGTTAATGATACACGAGTTCCTCTTCGTCCTGGTCGGTAACAGAAACCCGGCCCTTTTGTCACAGCCTGACTCATCCACGAATACCAATTGGTACGACTTGAAAAAAGATCGGTTGTGGAGATAGAAGTCCCGTAGATCTGCATTCCGTTCCTTTGCAATCTGTCGAGCTGCTTTCTTCGACCACCCGACCGAAGCAAGCGCTCTGCTGATGCTTTGAATCGTCACGTGCTTTCCAAATTCATCCCAGAGGAAGAGGGCCATTTCATCTTAATATAAAGTCGGCTTCTCCATCAAATGTTCACAAAGAGCTTCGAGCATGGACGGTGTGATATTTCGCGGGCGTCCGACACCATTTCGCGGCTAACCTTCCCAAATACTGTAAGGTTAGAGCGAATGTGTAGTATGGACTGTTTGCTGCAGCCGGCGGCATGAGCCATCTGCGACGACGTCAATGAGTTACTCTTGATCATATGATGAATAAGCTCGAGCTGCGGGGGGCTGAGATTTGGTGCCAGGTTGCTCGATACAAAGTGGACTGGTTGTTTTGGATGAACGTGCTACTGTACGTGGACTCGGTCAAGGTAGGTACTGGAGTGCGCTGGCCCCTAGTAGGACGGACCGACAATGAAACTGAGCTTAATGACATCACCTGGCTCTAATACATTCCATCTGATTCTATGGATTCTCACGAGTTATCACGTGAAGTGATGCACGATAGTGCAGTAGACCTCGTTCGTACTGTACAGTTATCTGTATTCAAGCTACTACCCTTGGTATAACCTAGGAACGGACCGAGCCGCTTGTGGTGAGCTGTTCTTGCTTTGACTTTAGTAGGGCGAGGGCCAGCAAAGATAGCGTACCATGGTGTGGGCGGGCGGAAGCCACGGGTACAATGGTTCTACTATGGTACCAAACTGTACGACACGTGAACTCCCGTTTGGCAGCTTGGGGGTCTCTGTGCAGCCTCACCTTGACCCCGCCTTCTCCTGACGGTCCGATACCATTTCAGCGCTTCACAACATCTTTCATTCTCCTATGGTTCCTACAATTGGACAGGCTAGTTATCGTAAGGCAGATATCCGATTAAACATAGCCTATCATGGAAGCCAGGATCCCTCTCTCTCACGAAGATTACACCGTTGGATGGATATGCGCCCTGCCCCTTGAGATGGCAGCTGCAAAGCTGATGTTGGCCGAGTTTACTACGCCCGCCAAACGATCATATTACGTATATCCTGGGAAATATCGGGGAGCACAATGTTGTTATCGCTAGTTTACCGAGTGGAGCATATGGCAACACTTCAGCTACATCAGTTGGGATGCAGCTGCTGTCCAGTTTTCACTCCATCCGCTTCGGTTTTATGGTTGGTATCGGCGGCGGAGTACCAAGCAGCCATGCAGACATTCGACTTGGGGATATTGTCGTGAGCCAGCCGACCGACACTTCTGGAGGGGTGATCCAATACGATTTGGGAAAAGCGCTAAGCGGCGGCCAATTCAAGCGAACCGGAATGCTTAATCGACCTCCCAAGGTTCTGTTGACCGCTCTCGCGACTCTCCAAGCACATCACCTTACAGAAGATAGCCGGATCACCGGATTTGTTTCCAACTTGCAAGCCAAAATAGCGCCCCACAAAGCTGCCAAATTCACACGACCGACGCAGGAGGACTGTCTATTCCAAGCAGAGTATGATCATGTCGCATCCGATACGTGTATCGATTGCGATCGATCTAAATTGTTTCCACGACCCCCACGAGAGAACCAAAAACCAGTCATTCATTACGGACTCATCGGATCTGCAAGTCAGGTTGTGAAGGATGGCAGGCGGCGAGATCAGCTGGCTCGGGACTTAGGTATATATTGCGTGGAGATGGAAGCAGCGGGACTTATGAATGACTTTCCGTGTCTGGTCATTCGGGGGATCTGCGACTACGCCGACTCACACAAGAATAAGTATTGGAATATAGACCAATGCTACATAGAAAGATCTATCCTTATATTCAACATATAAGACTAGATTGCATTGATCACGTGACCAGATTTTTCTTCTATCAAAATGATATGTTGACCACTTCTGATTCTGGTCCGCGGCCCTCCCCCAAACGATAGGCGGGACCATTTTCCTTTAGGGGTAGATGGTCCGCCTTCAGGCATGAATGGTCCGTTCCTTCGGGGGTGCCTTCGGGCATGCCTTGCCCGCGGACTTCGACCATGGTCTTCGGACCTCGGTGAACAGACTTCGACCCTCAGTCCCCTTAAGGATAGGCGGACCACTTTCCCTTAGGGGTAAAATGGTCTACCCTTGGGCATGCATAGCCTGATCCTACGGGGATGCCTTTGGGGTGGCTTAGACCGTCGATCCTTGATATCATTCTTTTCGCTTCTCTTCGGTTCCCTTCTTTGCCACCTTCATTATGTTGCTGCCTAGTGTTTGTACGTCATTTGTATGTCATTCTAGACGTCATTTCTAGGCTGTCCTAGCCTATAAATACGTCCTTCTTTTCTAGCAGAGAGAATCAAGTCATTTCTACTTTCCTGAAGTCAGTTCTACTTTCCAAAAGTCATCTCTACCTTCTTCCTTTGATCCTCAGGACTGTGGTTCTGCCTTCGTTTAGGCTATATCTGCTTATAGTCTCTCCTACGACCTTTGACTTTCTACCTTTGTCTGGCACCGACTGACCCAGCCGGATTAAGGTTGATCCCACGGACTTAAGGGGCCACGATCTGCTTCGTGGTAGCTTTCCCCTTATATCCCAACAATAAGGAATGGCAAGGGTATGCGGCCGCGGTGGCGGCGGCGTATGCGAAAGAGCTTCTCTTGGTAGTTGCAGCCGATCAGATCAACAGTACGCCAACTGCGAAAGAAACTCTAGCAGACTCTGGTGAGAGAACCTCCACAGTACTCCTTAAGTAGTTCGATCCAATTGCTAAATCACCATTCACATATACAGTTCACCGCTTTGACGTTCTATTTGACCTGACGGCTGTGCCAGTGATTACAAATTTCGTGGGACGACAAAGCGAGCTAGACCAACTATGGCAGTATCTACGGCCCACGGATCCCCAGTCGCGAAAAGTTGCAATCATTCATGGGCTTGGCGGGGTGGGAAAGACACAACTAGCGATCCGTTTCGCACGAGACCAAAAGGATGATTTTACTGCCATTTTCTGGCTGAGTGGTAAGGACCGAGGCACACTATTACAATCTTTGAGCTCTATCTGGCCCCGATTGCCAGGACAGTCACATACTGATAGGGCAACGAATGACGAGGAGGTGGAGCAACGAGCTAGACATGTGTTAAAGTGGCTGGCAGAAAGAGGAAACTCACGCTGGCTGATCATTTTCGACAACATCAACCAATACGCCCCTTTCAATGGCCCCATTGGTGATGCATATGATATCGGAGAATTCTTCCCTACTGCCGATCATGGCTCTATTCTTCTTACATCTCGGCTCCAAAGGTTGACTGAGTTAGGGAAGTCTTTTCAGCTCAACAGACTAGACTCCAAGGATGCAATGCAACTACTATTGCAAAGCACCCATTTATCAACCAGAGATACCGTTAGCGAACTTGAGAGCAATCCAGGTACCAAGACCTTTTAATACACAGATCCGAGTGATGATACTAACATAAATAGATACCCATGCTCTTGCTAGTCGTCTAGATGGACTTCCATTGGCAATCGTCATCGCCGGGGCCTTCATGCGTGAGACTGGAACTAGCGCCACCGAGTACTTGCAGTATTACCAAGAATCTTGGTCCGAGTTACAGCTGCAGTCAAATCCTGAACGCCAGTACCAGCAGGGTAATCTGCTACAAACATGGATGATCTCATACTATGAGATCCAGAAGCGGGACCCGCACGCAGCGAAGTTGCTCCTTCTACTTGCTCACTTCGATAATCGAGATATCTGGTATGAGTTGATAAAAAGCAGCCCATAGCTCAGACGTTCCTGTCTGGCTTGAAAGAACTATATCAAGCGGACTCGCGTTTAGAACCGGCGTCAAGAATCTTATCGGCTCTCTCTGCTTGGGACTAAGGAACAAGTCGGAGGCTATACGATACACCCAGTGGTGCAAGACTGGTGCATTCATCTTTCAAGCACAGACCAAAATGTGGATTCGACCGAGCTCAATAAACTTGCACTGATATCTGTTGGATACAGTGTCCCAAGCCGAAGTGACAGAAATTATTCCGAGCTGCAAGAACGGCTTATTCCACACGCAAATCATGTACGTCATAGGGACTGGTCAAGTGGCAACATTAGTATTGCGGTATGGGGAGCATTCCATGGTTTGGGGAATCTCTACTCTGATCAGGGGAAGCTGAAGGAGGCGGAGGAGATATACCAGCGAGCACTGGTAGGCTACGAGAAGGCCTTCGGTCCAGATCATACGTCCACTCTCAGTACAGTCCATAAACTTGGGATTCTCTACTCTAATCAGGGCAAGCTGAAGGAGGCAGAGGAATTGTACTAGCGAGCACTGGCAGGCTACGAGAAGGTCCTAGGTCCAGATCACTATAGTACTTCGTGGGTTGCAGAGAGGTTGAATTCATTATGCATTGCAGACGGGCAATAGCACCAAAAGTTTTTCCAGAAACAGGTACTTCATTGCAGATATATAGCCAATTTATTCGCCTATAAGGAAAGTGCTACCGGCTATGGAGAGACACAGAGCCAAACAAATGATGAGTTATATACTATGTTTCTCTATCTCTATTGCAAACTGTTGGGATATAAGGGGAAAGCTACCACGAAGCAGATCGTGGCCCCTTAAGTCCGTGGGATCAACCTTAGTCCGGCTGGGTCGGTCGGTGCCAGACAAAAGGTAGAAGGTCAAAGGTCGTAGGATAGACTATAAGCAGATATAGCCTAAACGAAGGCAGAACCACAGTCCTAAGGATCAAAGGAAGAAGGTAGAGATGACTTTGGAAAGTGGAAAATGACTTCAGGAAAGTAGAACTGACTTGATTCTTTCTGCTAGAAAAGAAGGACATATTTATAGGCTAGGATAGCCTAGAAATGACGTCTAGAATGACATACAAATACTAGGTAGCAATATAATGAAGGTGGCAAAGAAGGGAACCGAGGCAAAGCGAAAAGAATGATGTCAAGGATCGACGGTTTAAGCCACCCCGAAAGCTTCCCCGCAGTATCAGGCTATGCATGCCCAAAGGTAGACCATTTTATCCCTAAGGGAAAGTGGTCCGCCTATCCTTAAGGGGACTGAGGGTCGAAGTCTGTTCACCGAGGTCCGAAGACCATGGTCGAAGTCCGCGGGCAAGATATGCCCGAAGGAACGGACCATTCATGCCTGAAGGCGGACCATTTACCGCTGAAGGAAAATGGTCCCGCCTATCGTTTGGGGGAGGGCCGCGGACCAGGATCAGAAGTGGTCAAAATATCATTTTGATAGAAGAAAAATTTGGTCACGTGATCAATGCAATCTGGTCTTATATGTTGAATATAAGGATAGATCTTTCTATGTAGCATTGGTCTATATTCCAATACAAACGATGGCCTAGCACATACTGGGGATGATCTGGCTTTGCTTAAGAACCGTATACTTTTGTGTTCACCGGGCTTCGCCACTCGCTTTTCGAGATCTGGTTAGTGTATGGCTGTCGTTGATTTATATATGACATCACCCCCGGGAATTGATTTTCAAGGCCATCTTATGGTAGGTCTGGATTTTATCTCTGTTTCAGTTGCAATGACGTCCAGTGGATGTAGTTCCGTAACGACAGATACCTTACTAAGCCTTTTCTTTTGTCTGGTAATTTACCATTCCGCCTTGTGACGGGGTCCTCAAATACGGAATAATCGTATACGGGTTGGCGTAGCACGTGATTAGGGTTTGAAAGAAGCTCCTCTGTATTGTCCGATATGGAAGGCGAAGGCGGTCGCTACTGTATCAAGTCATCATCCGAGTGAAACCATCCATTATAGTTTCGGAGAATTCTGCGTAGGCGCGGCAGTGAAGTTGACGTGCAGAGAATGAAAGGGGAACGGTCGCTGTTAAGGAATAATGTGGTTATTCCTTAATATATGCAGGTGTGGGTATACATATGGATTTGAGGATGTCGACCTTAAGGGTCGACATAAATGGTCTTTTGGCTAAGCGGAAGGATGTTGCCCTCAAACCTCCTTTACAGTCGCGCTGGTGGTACTCACCGAAAGATAGCGCAAAGCGTCGCGGGGACATTTCGCTTCGGGCGTGCACTTTCCAGCACCCGGGCCCACGGGGAATCACAGCGGAGCATCGGCACTCGAGTCGCGGCTGCGGCCTACGGAAGAAGCCACGATGAAGTACCATGGTTGACCCGAGGAATCACAGTGTCTCGGTCATCTCGATGTCAATAAATGCTGGTCACTGCTGGTCGCTGTTCGAACCAAAGATTGCGACTGTGATCACGAATGTGGCTTCTGCTCGGGATCCTCATACGGCACTTCTACAATCAGGAACCTCTGCCCGTACTTTTTGGGGAAGACTTCATGGCAGGATGGGTCTAGAACGAGAGCCAGCGCGGGCGTTCGCGGGAGAAAGCCCAGTGAAAGCAAGCACCAGTACCGATACGAAAGCTTTCGTTATAGAAAGTTACCTGAAAGACCTCGGGCCGCTAAAGAGTGCGCTTGACTAATGCACCCTTGCAACTCCGGAAATCCAAGACCAGGTGATAGCTACTATTAGCTGGCAGAAAACCCAGATGCAATAGGTTGGCCAGTTGCTGGAAAATCTCGCCAAGCAGGGACTGATCACAGATATAGTCGACGTGGAAATGGCCGGTCAAGCACTGGTGAGCCACCAAGAAGAAGTCGCGGTGCCCATAGCGGAAAGGTTTCAGGAGGATGACAAGCTATCGTGTTTGACCAGCCCCCCGACTGAAGGCCATGTTGGTGTCCACTTCAACGATGCACAGAGCTGGTTGATTGGAAACTTGGCTTATAAGTGGCTGATGTACCCGGACGGACAACTTCGATCTCGATCGTGTGTTGAACGAGGTGCTTGCGTTTCTGGCTTAGCTTGTTGTTTCTCGCTGTTCTTTCTTGAGCTTTTTGTGAGTGAAGCGCCTCTGTGTATCTTATAAACAACAAATTAGGAGAGGGGCAGGTTATACGTCTGCTTGATTTATTTTAATTGAGAGCAGCACAGAACGAGTAATCCACTTGGTCCAAAATAGCCTCTCTGTCTATGCAGCGATGTGATGATAGGCCGCTCCGGTGGTGTTTAAGCACCTACTCCGCATTCTCTATACCTTATTGTACCATTGGAGTAAAAGTGGACACAATTTGAAGCTGTCTATGCAATCAAAGCTGCGCCAAAGAGAGCGAAGACCGTGATGTACATAGCTAGACCTCAAAAACCAAAGTTAGCGCTAGCGGGCGATACAAGATTCCTCGCAGCCCCCTAGCTAGGCGAAGAAGTGCTCTCTCCCGTAGTGGAGCCCACAGTAGTTCCCAAGTTTGTTGCCTCGACACCCCCCCTTGTTATATGGACCCGGGGTAGTGACGGTGACATAGCTTGGGAAGATCAAAAACGTGAGCGAATCTGGAGCACTGGTAAAACTTCCGGCATCAGTGGTATCTGAAAGAGGTGCTGCCCAGGAAAGTCAGAGGGAAAGTGGCCTGGATTGTACCACGTAGATGCGCCAGTATCCAAGGTGAACGATGTATGACATTAGTTGGCATCGGAAAGAATAGAGCATTCGTCAGATACGGACTCATTATAAATCAACTGGAAAGTCTCCACCATTGTGTCAATATCTATCACGGAGACGTCGTTATTAGGACACTATTGGATAGATCTGCACAAATTCAATAAATCGATGTATCTAGATAGAGGGACCAATGCCTATCACTTACTCGGACAAGAAGGATGAATCCCAGCAGCACTGGCAGCTAGCCGTCTCGGAAACCGAACCATAAATAACATAGTTCTCGCAGGGCGAGTTTAGGGAATAGGTCTCGGTGAATTTTCCCCATATATAACCTAAATTACACACTGCATTCAATCCACTTATTAGTCGGTGTATTGAGAGAAAAACTAAACACTTGCAACGGGAACCAACAAGCGATCCTTCCATCGATCTTAACCGAATTAGAAAGATACCGATATGTTAGTCTAGCGTGGGACAATTCGAGAAGGAAAAACATATATCTCTGCGTAAAGGAATTTTTTGAAATCGCACCGCAACGCTGAGGGCTAAGCCCACCAAACTCTGCTCAGTTTTAATTAACTCCACGCGCTACCATTTGATACCACTTTTGTGTGGCTATCACCATGGTGGCGCCGAGGAATGACTGGCCGCCCCTCTCAGGGGGTGCGGAAGCCGAGCCACGAAACTTCATCGAACGCATCATGAATGCCAACCACGATGCAAAGCGGCTCCTGGACCACATCTAGGGTCATGCGGGCATCCGGGTGCCTTCACCAGTGCTCCAATACGTTAATAACATGCAGTCTCTGACGCTAGACCTAGTGAAGAATCCTTGGGGGGGCGGACTGGAAGAAGGACATTGACGCCCTCCACCAGGAAACCCTCCAGATCAAATAGGGTATCAATGCCGTCCGTATCTCCACTAACACTTCGCAGCATCAGAGCCGTGCGAAATCCTTTGCCGACGCCATTAGGCAAGGCTGTCCCCCCGCTCCTGCACATTATCTGTCGGTGCATGGGTCGGACAGCAGTCCCGGAATAACTCGGTCCTCGCCAAGCTCGGACCGCGAGGTTATTGTCCACCTCGGTGACGCTGACGCAGTGAAGCGGTATCGAGGCATAACTGCAAAGGATATTAAGAGGAGGACAGAGAGAGTCAAGGTGGACGCGGCAATCCGTCTTTGTGTGCCGACGCTTGCGTCGGTGGCCTTCGTGGCCGTCCGGGTGTTGAAGTCGGGTGATATCTGCTTCACAATGCGCTCTGCGAAAGAGGCAGAGATCCACGGACACACTAAGGGTGGGCCAAAGGTCTCTGCAAAGAGGCCAAGGTCCATCTGCCGACCTAGGTGGTCATTATGCACGATGTGAATGTACGCACCCCCGGGATCAACGATGCAACGGAGCTGCAGGAACCGTAACACCAATAGCGGCTGATCAAGGAGCTGGAAACCTCGAACCGGGGCACCTAGGGCGAGGAAGCTAAGGTGATCAAGCTATACTGGGCGGTCGTTCCTAACGGCAAGAAGTCGGGCTCACTGGTCGTGGAACTGGACTCGCCAGTCGCGGAAACAAGGCCATCGACCTAAATACCCTGATTGGAGATAACAGTTTAACGACGGTCTTATACGACCGTGCCGCTCGCATCCGACAATGTCACCGCTGTTAACAATATGGCCACATAGGATCAGCCTGCCCCAACGGAGCGAAACATGTGTTCTGCGCCGACGAGCACCTTTCTCGGGAGTGTGAACGGCGGCAGAACGGTCTTTTAATCGAACGAAAGTGCGCCAATTACGGGGGCGCACATGCGGGATAGTCCAGACGATGTGAGGCTTTCCGCAAGGAAGTGGAACGCGTGGAGATCAGACGGGCCACCCGCCCCAGATATCATCGCGTGCCGGCCCACATCTCGATCTCCTAGCAGTCAGTGGGATCGAAGTCCGACGAATCACGGGGAACCGGCTCTGAGAGTAGCGACTCGGGGTCGACCGCACGCTCTTTCAGCGGAGAGCAGGCACACGGAGGCTCCGACCTCGTGCGAAGTGTGTCAAGCCTACAGTCCAGTTAGCAGGCGGAGACAGAATCAAGCACCTCTACTAATGCAAGCAGAGTGCCCTGTAGTAGCTTTAAAACAAGCACTAAGGGCGGCACGAAAGGGAAGAACAAGGGAGGTGTCCGGGCTGCCAGCGAGCCTATGGACACCGCCGAAGACCAAAACAGGGCCGCTGGTCCAGGCTATCGCGGCCTCTATATACCAGTCGATTCATGCACCATCCCACACGCAATCCGAACCGTCCAAGCGGTCGTCTAAGCGGTCGTCTAAGATATCCCGACTCATCCAAGGGCTTCCCCCGGGGGTGACCCGCAAGACGACGCGGGTGGCTAAAGCGACAAAGAAGGCGTGCCTGGAGCGACAGGAGGATAACGAGGAGGAAGCTGTCTTCGACGAGGAGCGAAGGAAGGAGCACGAGATGCAGCCGATTACTATTGACGAGTCGTCCACCAGTGTCAGCATCAACGACCATGACTCCGACTACCGTCTATCAACAGCTCTCTCCGAAGGAAACGCCAATGCAACAAACAACAAGGCGGCAAGCCAGGCCGCGGGCAAGGAGAACTCACCGATCTTCACCAGCACGGCCAGATCGACCAAGTCTGCACCAGCGGGGCGCAGCCGTCCCATGAAGCGTAAATATGGCGCGGACAGCCCCGTCGGCAAGGGCACCGTGTCGACGAACTTCAGCAACCGGTCATCGTTGAAGGAGGCGAGGAAGAAGGCCAGGAAACCCAAACCAACCAGGAAACAAAACCCCCGTTCATAGCGCAATGAATAAAAAACTCACAGTCATCCGTACAACACGAACCGGTCAAAGGACGTCGTCATGGCCCAACGTCATGGCCCAATTCATGCGGGATCCCACGGTCCTCAAGGCAGGCGTCATTGCCATCCAAGAGCCGTGGGTGAACCCTTTCCAGGAAACCACGCACCACCCGGCGAAGCAAACGCACCAGCTGTTATACCCGCAGGCGCACGAAACGGGGGAGAACGTACGAGAGTCTGCTTCTTCGTGTCGAAGAAGCTGAGACGGGTGGACGTATGTAGTGCACTCCCGTGATTGCCAGGAGCTGAGGATCCGCCACCGAAACGAGGCGAGGGAGTTGCGCATATTTAATTATATAATCAGCCAGAGAACGGGGAGGACACGGTGCAAATGCTTACCCAGTTGATTCCACCGGCGAGAGAGCAAGCGAAGGAGCCGGGCATCATATACCTGATCCTGGGGGATTTCAATCTGCACCACCCGTACTGGGAGGCGAAGACGTCTAACAGGATGAGGCTGCGGATGACTGGCTAGATGCGGCGAGATGAGGGCGCTGGATCTCTGGTTGAAACCGGGTTCTATCACGCGTATGCAGGCCGGCAGTCGGTCCACGCTGGACCTAGTCTTTGCATTGGCAAGCCTAGATGGGAGGATGATCGATTGCCGCGTGGTGGAGGATATACATGCGGATTCGGACCACTTACCGGTCCTACGGTCCTCGACTTCGCAACTGCGGAGCCCGCAGAGGCGCCGAAGCGGCGTAGCTGGAAGGAGATGGACGAAGATAAGTTTCTCACCTTTGTTAATGCTAATCTGCAGGATAAACGTGGCCGTATCTCCGCGGAGACACCGTGCATCTACGATAGATCGACGACGCAACTGAATACCTGACGGAAGTCGTCCAGCGGGGTGTGCAAGACTCGACGCCGTGGGCTCGCCCCTCACGATGGGCGAATCCCGGCTTCACCCCCGAATGCCGCGAGGCTGTCAAGGTGACACGACAGCTCCGCAGGGAACATGTTAGATCACAAGGCCTAGGGGACTTGGCGACGTATACCCTGGCCCGGAATCGCAAGGGTAAGATCATTGCGAGGGCTAACCGGGCTAGATACCGAACGTGGGTGAAGGAGATAACAGCAGAAGGGCCGAAGGGGATGTGGAAGGTCGGTAAATGGGCAAGGAACCGTGAAGCGTCGTCAGGGAGCATTGTCCCCGCGCTAAAGAGGCCGGACGGGAGTCTGGCGGACACTAATCAAGCCAAGGTGGACGTCTTGAAGGACGTCTTCTTCCCTCAGCCGCCTACCCAAGATCTCGAGGATATCCAGCGATACCTGAAAAGTGGAGCAGATCCTATTTCCACCGGTCTCGCTGCAGGAAGTGCGGGATGCCATCCGTAAGGCACCGCCGAACAAGGCACTAGGAGACGATACGGTGCCGAACCGAGTCTGGCGGTTGCTAGCAGCCAACGATAACTCACCCTTCTGCAGTATTATCACCTTTATCTTCTATGCGTGCATTCGCATCGGATACAACCCGCGTCACTTCCAGTTCTCGATCAAGGTCACCCTTCGTAAGGGTGGCCCCAGGGACTACCGGGTACAGAAATCGTACCGTCCGGTGGCTCTGCTGAACACCTTTAGCAAGCTACTGGAGTCGGTCATCGCAACAAGGATATCGTGGGCGGCAGAGGAAAGGGGAATCTTACCAAAGGGCCATCTCGGGGGCCGGAAAGGTGTGTCGGTCGATCATGCCATCCAGCTGATCCTGGACCGGGTACATCAGGCATGGGGCGTCGACTACAAGGTCAGTATGCTCCTGCTGGATGTATCCGGGCATACGACAACGTCTCCTATGAACGATTGCTTTACAATATTAGGAAGCTGGGCTTAGGCCACTTCGTGCCGTGGATCCAGTCATTCTTACAGGACAGAAGCACCCGAATCCGACTTCTAGGATATCGCAGTGATCCCATCCCAACGCCCACCGGCATCCCTCAAGGATCTCCGATCTCGCCGATTCTCTTCTTCCTCTTCAACACCCCGCTCGTACGAAGTTGTACGCTCTACCTACCATGCGGAGGTACGGCTTATGCCTTCGGGTGGGTTAATGACGTCTGCATCGTAGCAACGTCTGAATCCGACGCGAGGAACATCGAGATCCTGGAGCAATCATACGGCGAAGCGGCAATCTGAACGAGGAGGCACTCGGCCAAATTCGCACCAGATAAGTTCGAACTTATTCACTTCCGCAACCCTCGACTACCAAAAGAGACGACACCGGCGCCGACGACACCACCAGTGCCAACGGAGGAGGACATCTACGAGATCCAGGCATATGAAGGACACAATGAGATGCCATTGCATCTACCAGAACAGACGATTACACCAACACCGTATGCTAAATACCTCGGTGTTTGGCTGGACAAGCACCTCGACTTCACAACACACCGCAATAAGGTTATTGCAAAGGCTAATAGCAGCCTGGAAGCTTTCCGCGGTATCACTGGGTCCACAAAGGGGACTTCAATATCCTCTATACGCAAGATCTACAGGGCGGTGGTCATTCCACGGCTTTTCTGGGGTCTTGCGGCGTGGTTCAGCCCGGCAAAAATGCCAGCCACGGCGCGAACACAGATCATCAGAGGATTTACAAGAATCCAGAAGCGTGCGGCGCTGATGATCAGTGGAGCATTCAAAAGCATATCGGCTGCGGCGCTGGATATTAAGCTATTCCTGACCCTAATTAACCTACTGATGCAGCAAATCATCGAAGAAACCGCTATCCGGATCCAAATGGGAGTGCCTTAGGCTATCCCCGATGGAATCAATACCCACACGAAACGAAGGCCAAAGGAAATGAAGCTCGGAGGAATTGCGCCCCTCGAGGCGTTGAAATAGAAGAAGAACGGCCCTTTGGCACCGTTAAAGGTCCGAGGACAAGAGGCGCAGTGGGAAACAAGGTCTTGTATTCGTGCTTCCCCCCTGGGAGACATGGATCAGGTACGTCATGGAGGAGGCGGAGGCCGCTATCCAGACGTACGACAACAGCGAATTGGACGCCGCACTCGCCGACGGAGCGACCCAGCGCATCTTCACTGACGGCAGCGGATGCGCTGGACTCGTGGGTGCATCTGCAGTGGGCCCAAGGAGCTCGGACTGGCAGCAACGACACCTTGGATCGCTGGAGTATTCCAATGTGTACGCTGCGGAGCTCGCGGGCATCGAAATGGGACTTGAACGACTGGGAAACCGACGGAACCAACAGGATGAGGACAATGTCAGAGAACTGGTGATCTTCTCTGACAGCCAGGCTGCAATTAAGTCAGTGCAGGGGTGACCATCAGCTAATCCTTGCTGTTGTATGTTTTTGTTTCCATTTTTGTTGACTTAGTTCGTAGGTGTTATTTCTCTCCGTAGATGAGGAACTTTGATTTTGAAGTGTCGAAAGGCTGAAGTTTGAACCTAGAAGGTGCTCTTTCAGCCTTCGTAGCTTCCTGTTTTCAGAGCAGCACCTGTAAATTCACCCCGATAGAATGTAAGCAGAACAGAACATCCATCTTACACCATTCATCGCCTTGCAAATATCGTTCATACTTATCATGGCAGCTCCGCTCCTAAAGCGGAAACGCTCGGTGTCCAATAATTCTACCTCGTCTGTCCCCCTCCCAACTTTGTGCAGCCCAAACACACCTATTACCATACCCGACATTGAATCTTCGCGAGACGTGTCTATTGTGGAAAACATGGCAGAAGTAGGGCCAGTCGATATTCTTACCAATGATGGTGCCAGGGACGAAGAGAATGTGCAAGATGACTCCGACTTGGAAGATGGAGATCAAGTTATGTCTCGTGGTTACCCACGGAACCCTGACAATCTTGTGAAGCATGGCTTTCGGCCAGTTTGGACCCTGTCAAGAGGATACCTAAGCAGCGACTTTCCAGCAGACATGGAAGAGGTGCTGAACGACATTGACACCAGCAGTAAGCTCAAGTTTTATCTGTCATCATCACGACAGGAGAAGAGAACGAAGCTAAAATATCCTAGAAAAGCAAGCGAAATATGTAGGGCCTCTCCGGAGTCTAGCCTGGTTAGCTGGACTAGATGAACTTATCGAGGCAATCGACAGCCCCGCCTACATCATCGAAGATTGCATCGAAATCGTCCCACTTGGTGCAGGGCTTATGTGGCCAGTTGAATGGCACATTGAACAAGGAAAGATCCCATCACGAATTGCGGACAAACGCTTATCCTCTGGGATGAATCCCCAAAAGGGGTAACAGAGATGCCTACCCTGTTTACTCTACGAGATATTACCGGGACAAGTCGACTACAAAGACCCTCTGGCAAGATTCTTTGCATGAAAATTAGGTCCCAAAAAGGGGTCGATTCGCTTGCGGCAAAAATCAAGCGACAAGTTGAAGACCTCTTCGAATCAGGAGAATTTTGGTTCCGTGGATTGAGTGTGCCAGCGTTGAAGTCAACTCTGGCGTTTTTCGTACCAGAAACAAACGGAAGCAATCGGGATAATGAGTTTGGGCCTGGCTTTTACACAACTAATAGCTTGGAGCACAGCTTGCTCTACCTTCGCGGGGGAGTTGGGGCTATCATGGTTTTCAAACAACCCAATTTATTCCACTCTACCGTTTGGCAACCCAGTCTTAGCGACTGGACCGCTTGGATAGCCAGATGGACTTCGCGTCCACTTGCCATTGCTAGTGACCCAGTTCCCAAACAGTACGATACTGCCGACTTTATCCGGGGACCAATCAGTGCAGACAGGGGTTCAAGGGCAGGCAACGCTCCTACTCAGTCGGAAGGTACCCAGCTTGTCGCTGTTAGCTTCAAAGGCTGTCAAGGCTTGTCCGACTCACTTTTTATGATTATCTTTGTTGATCCAAAGTGATCGATTGATTCGATGCGCAGTCCACTTTCACTGAGGATGTGCAGCTTTGTTTTGTATTATTATCCGCTGTTTAAACCGCAACGAAACTTATACCATAGCTCTTAACTCTACGTCCTATAAATCAATAGTTCTTCTTGTGGTGTACTTCCTCAGTCCACTAGACTGAGCAGAGTCGCAGTCAAGCGGTCGTATTCATTGTTCCCCAGATCCCAAAGTCTCGGTTGTTGTGCCCAAAGCGTGATCGGACTACCGAGAATCTAATACTAGGTACCAAGGCAACAAAGTGCGCGGCACTAAATCAATTTCTACCAGGGCCTGTATCTAACTTGGAGACTGCGGATTACAAAGTCAGAACGCAAGCAGGCACAAAGGTTATACCTCCCCGTTTCCGTCCTTAGATACTCATCTCCAACCCACCAACACACCACTCCAATACCATACCATCATGTCCCAACGCCGTGAAGTCCGATCGGATGAGTCCGCCTCCGCGTGCTCAGACGCGTCATCCATCGTTCGGAATGCTCAAGTCGCCCGACAGTCCCTTGCCGCAGACCTCGAGCAAATGTCAGAGTATGCAGTCCTCAATCGATCCCTCTCCCTCCACGCAACGATTTCTACATCCTCCTCTTTTGCTCGACGGTTTCAACATGCCCGCAGTCGTCCTGAGCTGCAAGAGTTCAACCAAATTGGAGCCGGTCTGCAAGGAGTGATCTTCGAACAGGTTGGACAGCCTCTGGTGTTAAAGAAAGAGTGTCCAGGCAATGATACCAAACCCTCGAACCTAAAGCATGAATATGAAATGCATTGTGCTGTCTCCTCGACATTTGAACTCTACGGTCAGTTGACTCACGAAAAAATCCAAGTCCCCCGACCGATGGAATTCATTTCGAAGATTGGCAACGACGCACTCTGGGACAGCCTTCTTCCAAAGTTTCCGATGGCCTATTGTGCTCGCGGAGACAGTGTCAAGATGGAAAGAATTCTTCCTCTTCCAAAAGTTGTCAGAAGGGCCCTGATTACTCGCTTCTCCAACCGCGAAAAGCCCCTTACTGCCGACGTAATTAATGATATTCTTGCCGATCCCGAGAACAAGCACTGCCTTGCACGCCTCTACTTGGGTAAGGCGAATGGGCCGATGAGTCAAGGGCGTTTGTCGCTAAGGAACTTTCCTCTCTACCTACAGTCGAAGGAAGATCTCCACATAGGCGTGAGAGAGATAGCGGACGCCATAGGAAGAGCATACGCGATGATGCACTGGGGAGCCTCGGTCACCGGCGACGATGTAGAATTTGTGCTTGGAACCTCGGCTGTGCAGGGTGAGAGAGTGGAGGCGGCACTACCAGACTTTCAACGCCGAGTGATTAGTATTTATCTCCTTGACTTCGGCCACTGCGAGGCGGTAGACCTAACGGAGGATCCAGAAGTCGTGTACCAGGCATTTAAAGCGGCTATGGTCTTAGGGGACAATCAGCTTTTCATCCCTCACTTTTCTAAGACCCCAGCACTGTTTGCAGAATTCAAGAAGAGATACACAGACGCCGGTAGTATCATTCTGGCGCAAAAGGGCTTGGGAAACAAATTTTGTATGGCAGACTTCATGCTGGAGTACGAGGAGTACGCCGAGGACTTGCTGTAATCAGCCCATGTTTAGCTTTATGGGGAGGTATTATTAATACCGCTGCCTTCATCTCAGATACAGTGGCCCCTGCAGAAAGCTGCATAACACAATGTCACCTCCTCTGTTCTCTCTGAAAGGATAGGAACATTCATTCATTGGTCACGTGGTGTGGCTCTCATTGCTTTTGGTATCGATTACTTCGTTCATTTATTCAATACCTATTGTCACAGGCCAGTACGGAATAATTCGTGTGCCATTCAGAAAAGTTCTGTATTGAGGAAAGAAAGAGAAAAGAGAGAGAAAGAGAACAACTACGAAACAATAAACCCCCCCCTGTCCCCTTCGGGACTAGCTCACCATACGTGACCTTTCCTCAAACCATGTGTGAGAATTGAACGGAGTAATTGATTCCCCTTCCCCCGAAGGGGAAGGCTTGGTCTAGATACTATCTATCCTGGTGCTTATGTAACATGGAGCCCGTACGGCCGGTGTAGTCCCCAGCCAAGGCCGTACGAGCCGAGGATGGATAATAATATCCCCGTAGGCCATGGGCCTGAGGCATCCTCAGTGTCTTGGGGACCACACATGCGTCACACCATGGATGCTATGGCCTAGGGGCATGATGGTAACACTAGGCGTTTGCTGGCGGATCATATACTTTAGACCTTCCAATGAGTGGCCCACATAACTTTGCAAAATAAAATAAGACTTCGCTTATAGAATGAGGACTAGACGGAAAGAAATGTTTACAAGACAAAGGAGGGGGAGAGGAGAGAGCGAAACTGTTATATCAGATACGTACTATTGAGTGTGTAAGGAGAAAGACGTTCAACAAAATTCTATTTAGAATCATTCGGGATCCCTTTCCTCGTCAGGTGAGTGAGGAACCCAGGGCCTATTATTGTAGATAAGGGCTGTCCCAAGATACCCACGAGCTGGAAAATCTGCATCAAGACCCAATGGCATCTCCAGTGGCGCCCCCGCTGCTGTGTAAACCTCACTCAATGGAGTGGCTCTATATCCGGATTTGACACTTCGAGGGGCGCACACGTTTAGTAGGATAGTGCCTACGTCGGGTGTCTCTTCTCCATTGAAAATTCCAGCGGGGAACATGTCTACGTCGTCGGTTGTGATCACCTCGCTCAACTTTGTATCGAACAGTCTCATATTTTCGACCATTGTGTGCTCTTCCCAAGTGCTGCCTTCGGCAGATTCGAGAATTCCATGTAGCTCTGCCCGGCGTTTGAGATCCTCGACATAAAAGGTGCTAGGCTGTTGTTCGGCTTCGCGGATGAGAGCACGTATCGGGAAGAACTTGAGGGTTTGGTAGACAGCCTGGTAATTCGCAATAATGCAGGCGCGTGCGACCGTTAATGCCATACGAGGCTCCCGATAGGCGAGTTCACGATAGATCTCTGGTTCGGCCAGATTGGGGTACCAAATGCAGGATGGATTCCTGAGAGAATGCATTGTCGTGAGGCTCCCGGTGAGGTTGAGGGGGAGGGGGAATTTCAGAGGCCGGCCTTAAAGGAATACGCGATAAGTCGTTGCTCATGATAAAGCGTGCAGTGATCGCGCGTTGTAAACGCTTGTCTTTCCTCTTATCTTCCAGTGGGAGTTGTCTTGACCACCACTTAGCGAAGAACGTTTCGTGGCAGATTCCGCGGATCACACATGCGAACTGTTTATCAATCATAACATGACGGCGTAAACGGCTATATCGATCCATATTGCCATTCCAAGCAGCCATTAGAATAAGAAGATCTTTATCATGTTTGGTAAATCGAATGGTAGGGGTACTGTAAAGGAATACTAAGGACTAGCGGTGAAGGTTTACCCCGCAGTGTAATAAGCAAGTCTCGGACCCAATTCGTACTTAAATCGAAAGGGTTTCCAGATAATTTAGACTTAGCAAGAATCAGTCTTGCTTTTACAACACTACACCTAGTCCAGACATCCTTCCTTACCTGACCGACAGGCTTTCTATCCTGAACACATAGATCCTTTACAGGTACATAAAGAAATTCCGACACATCCTGTGCAGGCTGTTGGTCTGAGTCAAACTCATCCACGTTCATGTCTTCGGTGATATTCCACAATAAATCCTTCAATCCTGGACGGTTGGCGAGGCCGCTATGTTTCTGCTTTCTCTCTAGAAAGGACTGGACAGCTGTGTCTCCATTAAGGCCACCAATAGGAGGATTCTCCAAATTGACCGTGCGAGTATAGTCGTTCATCACTCGATACCTTACTGGACTCGCCATGATCATCTCGAATATAGCATTACTGCCATTATCGCGAGCCTCCTCGGCAATATGCGCCTCAGGCAGCAGATCCAACTCCCGATATAAATCGATATACCCGGCTACAGCACACGCTCTGCCGACTTGGTATTTAAGGGAGGGATATTGAAGGACCAGTGCCCGATACGTGGCTTCACTGGCAGTTTCCGGATACCAGATACAGTAGGGAATCTCACGAGCATTCTGCAAATCAGGAATATCATTGCTCATGATGCGTCGAGCATTTATAGCCCGGGTAAAGAATCGATCTTGATCATATTTGCATTGGAGTTCAAGTGCAAACCCTGGATGGTAGCGAATTCCCCGCGCAACACAAGCACGGGATGCCGGGGAGCCCAGTGACTGGGGAATCTCAAGGCCACGAATAGCCTGAGTGCATTGCTCAGCGATGTATGTTCGTTTCTTGAACGCTTTCTTCAGGGCGAAGTCGTCCATGATGTGAATGGTGTATTGTGAAAGAATAATGATCCTGCGAAGTGCTGCGAGGGAAGGGAAAATAGGCCGATCTTCGGGACAAACCCGAAAGCCCCACAGCCTGCAGTCTTTTGTTGAATTTCGACCCTTTTCTCTTCTCTCGCGTTCGTCGCCCCGCTCTTTCTCACTTCTCTTGTCGGTTTCGGTGACAAAGAGAATCTTGCTTACAGGGTGACCAAGGAATAAACGTAGGTTTTCTCACCGCCTTCCTTTCATAATTACAAGCAACTAAACTGTAGAGAAGAAGAAGAAGAGAAAGAGGGAAACGAGCAACTACGAAACAAAGCCACTTCTATCCCAAATCGGGTTAGACCCACGGCTCCTTCCAGATCACGTTCCCCCTCAGTCCCAAAGGTAGTCATGCGTCACACTTAAAAGCGGGGGTCAAACAGACTGATATATCTTAATCACAAAGTTGATTGGCGTGAGTGCTTCACCAGATTGATTTATTACTTTGCCTGAGGGTACCTATTTGTGATTTCAGGGCTGTAGAGCTTGTATATATCTAGCTTGATGATAAGAGCTCGTTATACCCTTGATAGTTGATGTGATACTAAATTGGGCTCGAGGAATTGTTGAATAGATATGATCAGTTAGGGATCATCAATTTCGGCTGTGCCCAAATACTCCACGTCAACTACATTGGAGAAGGAGACATCCACTGCGCATTTGGCAAAAAATCCTCGAATTTTTCTGACAGCCGTCATCATTTAGGGGTATTCTGCTACGGCGTTGCCTTTTCTGACAGCCGTCAGAAAAGGGTGTTAGGGACTGGGAGCTACGGCATAAGTGGATTCTGACGGCCATCAGAAATAGGCTTCTTTAGCTATAGTATTAGCCTTTATAAAGTCGGAGAAAAACGTCGTACAATTAGATTATGTCGGGCTATAAGGGTAAAGCTACCACGAAGCAGATCGTGGCCCCTTAAGTCCGTGGGATCAACCTTAGTCCGGCTGGGTCAGTCGGTGCCAGACAAAGGTAGAGGGTCAAAGGTCTTAGGATAGGCTATAAGCATATATAGCCTAAACGAAGGCAGAACCACAATCCGAAGGGATTAAAGGAAGAAGGATAGAAGAGACTTCAGTGGGAATGTCCTTTGGAAAGTGGAAATGAACTTAATTCTTTCTGCTAGGTAGAAAGGACATATTTATAGGCTAGAATAGCCTAGAAATAATATCATACGATACACATAAATATCATACGATCACTATGCAGCAAGATAATTAAGGTGGCAAAAGAGGGGAAAGTCCCCGAAGACATCCCCGAGTGGTCCCCGAAGGAGCGGACCATCCATACCTAGAGGCGGACCATTTTACCCCTAAAGGAAAATGGTCCCGCCTATCTTTTTTTGGGGGGCCAAGGGGCCATTGGCCAGTCGGGCGTGGACCAAAATGGTCCGCGAGCCAAAGTGGTCTGAAACATATTTTGGTAAAGGAGAAAAATCCGGTCACGTGATCAATGTTTTTTCAGTCCTTGGATATCAGGATATATAATCGGTGTTTTGTTAGAGTTTAGGGTTTGGCTTTTGACCTTATATGTTGAATATAAGGATAGATCTTGGAATATAGCATTGGTCTATATTCCAATAGATTAGTATACAGAATAAATAATAAATCATTGAGACCGAAGTACGTAGCCATCAAGTAGCTTTTAGCGCTTACGCTTCCTACTAGATACACGCTGTTGGGTATCAGGTAGAGGAAGGTTAGCATCGTCGTCATCATCCTCATCATGATCTATAACCTCTATCCCTTTAAGATCAGCCATCGTCGTATAAGACTGTGGAAGGGACTCCCTATCCTGAGCCTGTACGTCGTCCTCCTCAGTATCACTAATTGGATCAAAAGATTCGTCCTGGGTTTCATTAGCCTCAGTCATCGCTGCGATCTCTTGATGCGAGAGATATTCTTGTAGGATAAGCCGCTTCTGCTCATGAAGGTCAAATCTTGTTGTACACATCCAGAGCATAATATCACGAATTGTCTTTGGCTTCAACGAGCCTCGTCGATAATGACAGATATCCCGGGCAGAGTTAAAGAGGCGTTCTACCCCTGCTCCAGTTGCTGGAATCGACATTACATCCCGCGCAAGGCTTGCAAGTACGGGAAACTCGCATTCATGCTCTTTCCAGAATATCCGAGGGGAGCCTCGTACGGTTGCTAAAATGAGGATTTAGTGTGGTTTAGTAAGAAAGAAGGAAGAACGTACGACTTTCAAGATATCTTGTGAGCTCGTCGTGTTGCGGAGGTAGTGATTGTTGTGAGTCTTCAAACACCAAATCCGCATCTGTTATCGTCGTCATCGATGACTGGCCATCTAATCGTAGCCTATCTCGCGGAAGACGCTCGTCGTACGACCTGAAGAAAGACTTAAGACTCTCGCGGTAAATTGTTTTCCAGTCCTTTTCTGGGTCGTCCGACTCCCAGTCCTTTGTTGAAAAGAACTGTAGCTTATTCGCGGGAGCTAAGATCGTACCAATAGCATAAAGGTCGCCTTTCACACTATCTGTCATACTGTAGTATTTTGATAGTTACTCTTGCGCCGCCTCTAGTGAGGAAAGCATAAGCTGCTTCCACGCAACCTTCTTTCGCCGGAGTTGACGAATAGACTTTTCAAGATGATCAAAAAGCTTGTTATAGAAAGTAAAGACTAAGTGAATACTTGAGTCTTTAGTCTTACAAACGACAGTCGTATATTTATAGAAGGGCTGTAGGATAAACAGGAGGTAGTCGATTTGTCGCCACTCTTCTGCGCTAAGTGCAAAATGAGGTTGGTCGTACTGCGAGCAAAAGGTATCGAAAGTAGCTTGGAGTCTCTTAGCCCGGCGAAGCATAAGATATGTTGAGTTCTATCGAGTTCGTACGTCCTGGATAGGCACAAGCTTTGGCTCATCAGGCTGAAGGTTATAGAAGGCTTCGCGACGTTGTGGGCTTGCGTTAATATAAATAGCAAGACAGCGAACCTAGAAATTCGTATATAGATAATAAGCTTAAAGATTGATTATTGTATAACAATAATTAAGAGACTAACCTTGTTTAGCGTGTCGGCGATCTCTCGCTTTTGCTGTCGAGCGCGTAGCGCTCGTACGCGATCCTCTTTCCACTCTAGTTCCGCGGTGTCATTCTTAGGAGTTGCCTTCATCTTTCCGAGTAGATCTGTAAGACTGATTTGAATAATATGTGCGATGCAAGGCACTTGAATGATTATTGAATCTGTGTTAAGCTGAAGAGCCTGGATCGTATCATTCACTGCAGCTATAAGTGTCGTATTATTCGACGCATTATCGGTAGTAACCGCGAGGACGCGGTCGATGATTTCATACTGTCGGAGAATCCGTACGACAACCTCACCAAGGTTGGTGCCTGAATGCGTACCAGATAGAGGTTCAAAGCCAAGGAGGACTTCGCGATACGCCCAGTCCTGATCTAGGAAGTAAGCTGTGATTGCCATAAATGCTTGCTGGAACGGTGACGTCCAACAATCAAGTGCTAGAGATAGCTTTGCACCTGGCGGTAGGCTTTGGAGGATGGTTGTTTGGATGTCGGTAACAAATTGACGGAGCCTCGTACATATTACCTTCCAAGAAGGAATAATTGGTGTCGTCGGAGCCAGTCGCGCGTACGAGATGAGATCATGGAACTCTTGATGCTCGAGGAAAAGGAAGGGTAAATGCGACACAGTAACCAGAATTAGAAGCTTCTGTTCCCAGGTATTCTGATTAAATACCCGGGTAGGCGCTCGCTGACCCTAGTAGGTTAATAATCGATTAGTTTAAAGCCAAGGGATAGTCTAGGTTATACGTACAGCTTGTACGAGTAGCTTATGGATACTTGGTTTGCCTGTCCCCTTCCGACATTGTGGCCCTTTAAGATGTTTATGCATCGATGAGGTACC